GACACCAGCAGCATCCCGTTCCCACACCTCCCACAGTATCTTCGTTGCCCCAATCACCTTGGCGGTACCGCACCAAATCACACCGGTTGTCTCGTCTCTTCGGAATTCCTGAGAGACTTCGGTCGATACCGGAGATTTGAATGTTGGCGTTTCGGTCATTTTGATCAGAACAACGCGTTGAACATCAGCGTTATTATTCAAATAGAACGGAGCGAGGCGTCGGAGCTCTGGGAGAGATTGAGTCTGGCCCACTTCGATGATCGTATGAATTCTGTTGTCGCCCATACTCTTTGTCCATCTAATAAATAAGTCGGGTATTTTTTGCGCTGATACGTAGTCTCCTGTGACTATCCTGATAGCTGAACCCTGCTTAACTGATATCTTAGACATGAGAGTAGATCTTAAATGGACTGACGCAGCGCCGCCGTTGCTGATCCCGAGGTCCTTCGACGATGCTTCGGGGTCTGCGAGGATTTTCTCTTTGGCATATTTGGTACGAGCGGCCGGGAAGACGACAATGCTGGTAGTTGGACTCATGCTGACTGAGCAGTTCTTTTCGAGTTATAGCGGTTCGAGAGAGAGCTTGATGGTGCAACATGCTGCTGCTGCTCCGCCGCGTGCTGTCGGCCCGGAGAGACACGGGGCAGGGTTAAGGCGACAGCAGACCAGGGAGAGGGCCGGCACGCTGGAGCCTCTTGGCCATGTGCTGTATCCTCCAAGAAACGGAGAGAGCAGCATGCTCGGGCTGCTTGGTCATGTGCTGTCGGCCGCAGGCAGCAGCCGGCGATCATGCTGCCGTTCTCAGGAGCACCACGCCCGAGACAGCATGCTCCGGCCGCTTGGCCATGCCAAGTCAGAGCCACACGGCAACGAGCCGGAGTGAATTGCTCCGGCCGCTTGGCCATGCCAAGCCAGAGCTACACGGCAACGAGCCGGAGTGAATTGCTCCGGCCGCTCGGTCATGTGCTGTCGGCCGCAGGCAGCAGCCGGCGATCATGCTGCCGTTCTCAGGAGCACCACACCCGAGACAGCATGCTCCGGCCGCTTGGCCATGCCATGTGGGCCCCAAGCAGCGACCGGCGGAGGTGCTGTCGTACTCGAGAGCAATATGTTTATATATACGATATGTGTGTTTGTTTGGTGGAAGAAGAGCTAAGTTTTGCTGCAGCTCATGGTAATTTTCGCACTGACTGGACGAGATAAGGCCACTTGACGTGTTATCCTGTGCTAGGATGAGACGCGGACCTGGTAACAGCCGCGTGTCGTTATGGACGGCTCAGTGTCGATCGAGGCCATTGGTAGAAGACTTGAGGAGGAGGACATGCCTCCTCCTCCAGTGTAGCCAGCACTGGTTGACCCACTGGAGGTAAGAGTGGAAATGTTGGAAATGTAGCGAGAGGAGGAGACTTGTGGTGATGGTCAAGGGCCCTTAGCAAGGGGAGTAGAAAGTCTTGCTAAGGGATGCGTGGTGAAGATGTTGCTGAGGATGCAGAGGGGGGAAGAGGAGAAGACGGAGACGGAGGGGGTATAAATGGACGAGATACAGGCGTAAGGCAGTAGTCGTGACACGGTGACTTGGGGCAGTTGAATGACCCACATCACCACTGCCTGTACCTTTGTGACTTTGTGAGCTTCACCGTACGCGTGTGTGAGAACAAAGAGACACTATGTGATCGCTTGTGTGAGAACAAAGAGACACTATGTGATATGCACAGCGACCACCCTAGTCTTGGTGACCACTAAAATCCTCCACAACCACCATTAATGTATCGATTTGTCACTCGGTTTGTAACAAAGCAGTATCACGACACGTCGGACGAGCTGATTGAATAACTGTTAACGCTGAATATGATATGAATTCGAAGACATCCCGGTTGAAGTTCATGGAAGCGCTTCTATGATGCGGCTGTGGCAAGTCCGCCAATCAGATTGGGTGGTTTGCGGCGTTGTACAGTCACGTGACTCTCCTGTTCCCGTTGTCAGCGGCGTCGAAACAGTGCCCACCGTTACACAGCGGTGCAAAGCCACTTCCCACGATGTAAGGTTATTAATCGACCCGTTAACGAGCATTCGAATTCGAATGCTTTATCACGACTCAAGGCCAGCAATGCAAGAACTCAGGCAGCTCTCGTTTGCCCCGAGCATGCAATACCAGTATCAGACTACGTTACTCCACCAAAGGCGTTTGCGGTATCTATGTTCCGGCTGGACGAAGAAGTTATGGGTTCGCTCATGCAGAACCTACATGAGGACAAAAGCGGTTGGCAGACTGGCCTAATCCTTACTCGCCGAGCGAGATGCCGAAAGATGCTCTGACAAAATATGGAAGGAACGGAGTTTACACATCCTCTATCCACCTCCAGGACGATGTGGTATGTTTTACCAGATCCGCCAGGATAAATACATCGGGTGTGGGTTCCAGCGGCTCTGGAACGTCAATTCGTGCAAGTGGGTCAAGACGCAACCCACATGCGGTGATCAAGCGATCGAATGTGAGGCACGGCTTTCATCACGAACATACGACAAATGATTGAAAAATACGTCCCGCTATGGCCTGCCTGCGAACAACCAAAGCCTATCCGTAAAAGCCCGCATGGTGAGCAATTGTCGTTGAAGACACACCATCGAAATCGTAGGACGTACCGGCAATCGACTTTGTCATCGGCTTGCCCCCTGGGAGGGTCAGCGACAGGGACTCAAAGTTTACCGGGGACTTTTAGAAGTCATGACTCCAGAATTGCCATGTCGATGCCTGCATTGCTCCATCGGTTGGCAAGGGGAGGGGTGGGCGAAGTAAACAGACTGTTAAGATTGTGCTGGGACGTTGGCTAGTTGGGAAACACGAACAAGATCGGCGTGGGCCCTCCAGGAAGTGGCATTTGTGTTGAATAAATCAGCAGGTGCAGCGACTGGTGCCAGTCCCTACGATGTCGTACACGCCCTTCCGCTGGAGCTGAAGTCTCATGGCGCGAAGGCATAAGTGGGCCACAAACTTTGTCGAAAGGCAAGGAATCCTGCTCAGCGAGGTGAGAGGCGCATTCATAGCTATTCAGCTCCACAAACAGCATCTGCCTCCTTTCTTCGACGGCAACTTGTGGTTGAGGCTGGCAGCGACCGGACATCGGGAGATCACCTACGCTCCACTGGTAATTTGGCGTCTAGGCTTGAACTCCAAAGGCACATACGAATGCAACGAGTGGTCGGCCGCCCCGCGTTGGTCAACTGGCAGGAAGAGATTCTCATTCATAAGCTAATTAACTGCAACGATGGGCGGAAACATGATGATAACCACGCAGCACCCTCGAAGGAGGACTTGCTAGCATCGGTTGAAGCGTTGGAAAAGCAGCCACGAACATGAATCTTACTTTCACTTTGCTTTCACTTTGCTTTCACTTTACCTCAGGACTGCGCGTTGATGTGAGGGATGCACCAGAACATTCTGCATTATTTGGTGCCATGATATTGGCACGTGACAGCACATGACAGCAACACCGCGTCACCTTGGCCAGAAATATATCTTATCGTTACCAGTTCCTCCCTGCAAACCTTCCTTCCTACAACTCATCACTTCAATTGCTCCAAATCTTGGTGATTTGGGGCGACGGCATTGTCCTTCGCCACTGACGCGGAGACAGCGACTTCTGCCTTCGGTTGGCTCATTTCCTGCCTCACCGACAACCACCTGTAATTTAACCGAGCCATCCTTTGTTGGACAATCGCTCATCACTTCACAATCACTGACTTATTTCCAAACAGGATCCACTCTCACCTACAGAATCCTGTTTCCTTGACGGCAAACGCACCGACGGCCATCATGCCTGACGGACACGGGAAGCTGCAACGCGCTGGAGCGTGGAATGGCAAAACCTACGCGCAAAACAAAGCACTCGGTGAAAGTCATGACAAAACAACCCCTACTGATCAATTGCTCCTCATCCGTTTCCAAGACTACAAGCATGTCCTACATCTGCCGCTAGAGGAGGCACGAGCAGCGATTCCAAAGTTCGGCAAGTTGGACGAGACCATGCTGGCCGTAGTGCTCTGTCTCTTCACCCCAGGCCAGATTGGTAGACGAGGCTACTGGCGTGGGGACTTCAATATGTGGGGCAGCATACATCCTGATCGCGACCCAATCGGCTTACCACCATTGATCCTTGATTCACCCAGCTGCTACCACTTCATTGTTCATCGACGATCCTACATGATATGTGGTGAATTTGCAAATCCAAGAGTTGGAATCAAGCAAGACCGGGCAGAGGTCGAGGAAAATGAATTCTTGAACACCTGGGGAGATGACACGGCGGTTGAGCGGGTGGCAGAAGCCCGAGCTGGCCGCCTCAACCCGGCACAATGCCTTGTTTTTGATATGTCGACAAATTGGAATCTGGTGCCACCGCATGACATAGTCCCGATCGTGGAGGCATGGAGAAAGGATAAGCGTTTTGGGTTTCACTTTCACAAATACATGGACGAGGAGGAAAGCGGGCAATGTGCAGCCTGGTCGCCTGCAGGCTCTCCCACTCTGGCTTCATCCTCCTCTGTGCGTGCTTTATCCTCTACTGCGCGTTCGGCATTCTGGACTGGACGCAAGCGCGACAGACCGGACAGCGAGGAGGAACCGTCGACCGAGACGCCGCAGCGAAAATCAGCTCGCGGCGATACAAGCCAGAAGATGGTCCCTGCATCAAGAACTGTCGGCCCACGCAAACTTATCCCAGCCTCGATCTCACGATGGTGTAACATTGCTGGTTGGTTTTGCCCCAACAAGGCATGCCAATATCTTAACCCGCTTTCAGAGACCAAATGTCCGAGGTGCGAAACCCCTAGACCCCCACAATCTCGTTTGTACCGCCGAGACAGTGAGCCGACGACGCCGACCAGCTCGACTGCAGGATCCCCGGACTCCGAACATGGGTTCTTGACCCGAGAAGGGAGTCCACCAACCCGCATACAAGACGATATGGTCAGAGAAGTTCCGGTCACGGGACCTTTGACGGTGCCGCGGCTGCTGAAAATCTATGTCGACATGCTAACGGAGACCAAGACGCTGGCACTAAGTCAATCCCAAGCAGAAATGGATGATCAGGCGGTGGAAACGCGGCTACCAGTTATCCAAGGAGAAATTGAAGGCTTGCGTAAAATCGAAGCTGGTGAGCGCCAGGAGGCGGAGAGGCTGCAAGAGATGGCCCGACGCCGGGTTCAACACGCCGACAGCTTGCAGGCGAGGGCAAAAAGCCTGGAAATTGACATGAAGATGAGTCTCGAACGTTTGAGACCGCACTTGGTGGACCGACAGCCAAACCTTCTGGTCTTGCAACGGGTGAAAGCCGGCATACAAGCTCTGCCACCGGCGGAGGCCCAGCAGGCGCAGCACATAGCCCTGGAGAAGTTGAGGGATATTCCTTTGTTTGGTGTCGATGATGAAAGACGCCAGGGAATTTTCGCCGGCATTTTCCCTGGCCTGCGCGTCGGAACTTCCGATCCTCGGTCTGGAGAAGTTGGGCCTGATGTGGATAACATAGGTAATGAGGTACTGGGTGGCGTGAAACCATATGACGGTAACTATGATGGCCAGGACCTCCAACTGCAGCCTGCTATCGCGGAAGGTGTGCGTCAGGAGTCACGACGCGAGGACCTAGACGGGGATGTTAGCGGCCGTAGCTGCGTATCGCTGACGACGAGACGTGGACGGCCCAAAGCGATAGGACTGGGACGCCGCAGACTCGATGGCACTGCGCCGAGCGGGAGTTCTCTAGATGCCCACTTCAAGTTCGAGGAGGCATCTCCCAACCAAATATCTCACAGCCCTCGGTTTTCACTTCGTACGAACCGGCCTTCTGGCATCATCGACTCGACGCAGTCAGATTCAGACTCTGACATCGCAAACTCGATGCAGACAGACATGGGAGCAACAGAAACCAGAAACACACTGGATGCCATGGCAGGGAAAATTTCACTTTCCCCTACGCAAAAGAGTCCTGTCGGCCGTCTGGCAGAACAGAGGAAGAGTGTACGGATGGTTCTGACAAAAAGACCGCTTGAGACGGAGCGGGCAGCCTCGAAGCTCTCTCTGCGCTTACCCCAGCGTGATGTTGACCCGTCACCGCTAAAACTACGCCCGACTGCATAAAAGGTGTTTCTTCGACTTGGGACGGCAGCAGGATGACTCATAAGTTCTATGCAAAACGTCCAAAAATCGCCCCCCCCCCCCCCAGCTAATCATGGAAAAAAAGGAACCGGTGCGAGAACCGAGCGGCGTGGTCGTACCTATGCTGCCTTCTGATTTTGCTCCTGCTCCGAGGGGAACTCAGCTCCCGATGGCGCGAGCCACCACAAAACCGATTACAACCCATACTGCGACAGAGGCCACTTGGAAGCAACGGGGGCACGAGTCGAAGGTCAGGCGCGGCGACCAATGCGGGGCCCAATGAAGGGGTCTGACAATTTAGGTCGCGGGGAAACTCGCAATGGTGAACGATATCCTTTCGCCGAGGGAGCTCGGTGCGTCTGGCCAACTTCGAGGGGAGGCATCTTGTCGAGACAAGAGGGAAGTCGAATTCCGAAGATCACGGTTCGGATGGTGTGCTGGCGTCCAAGGATTAAGGTCTGATCAGTCCCGACTTGCGCACAAGATTTTTGCTCGGTCTGATCGACAACATGCAACAGAAGCGTGAGAGCTAGGGGTGGGTTCTGTGATTCATTTGCCGGAGGCCTGGTTGATCGCGATATGCTGAAACGATGACGGGAGCTAGATGTGATTGCTTTCCTTCTTTTGCTTTTACTAGGTCGAGCTTCTGCACAGATAACAGCAATCTCGAATGTCTTCCGATCCATTTTTTACCCCCCTTGTTTCTCACTGCGAGTGTTTGCGGGCTTTCATCAATTCCTTCCCTGCAATTCTGTAACATTAGCTTGATGAACTCTCCCTCCTCCTTCAGGAAGGATACGCCATGTCCAACGAGCTTTCTCAGTTCCTCCAACATCTGCAGAGATGAGCCGCGCACCTTTTCTCCCTTTTGAGGAGTACACTATGACCAAGGCATCCGCACTTTTCCACATCCTGATTCGCTCACCGAAATGCCAAAGATGAAGCGCGGCGATTTTGCGTCTGCCGACCAAGTAACCAAAAGGCCACACGTGGGCTAGCGCTCGAGGTTGGCCAGTGAGTCGGAACTGTCGAACCAGGAACCAGAGCCGAGTATCGAGAACCTGAAGGAATTCGCCGAGGTGTTGACGACATCTGGAGCATCACTGATCATTACTCAATGGGTGCTGTCCGTGGCGGCACCAGCTTCTACACCCACTGAGACGGACAGGGAGAAGACAGATCAACAATCCAATTCAACTGCGCAGATGCTGAGCGACTCACGACAGCTATGCTATCGGTGGCGGCTGCTCTGAACTTCAATTTCTTCAGCATCACCTCCCACACAGGCCGATATGGACGGACGACCTCGGATCGCATCCTCAACCGCCCGACGTACATGAAGAGGCATGCTTCGAGGCCCATTTGGTACGGAGGAAAAGCAGACGGCTTGACATCGAGCCTCCAAAATAACTAACTACGAGCGCCAGCCTCGTGACTGGTACCCTGAAGTAAGAAATCCTCCCCTCTTCCTCTGCTGGAAATGGACCAGTGACTGAGCATCACTCGACAAGTACGGCAGGCCCAACTACTACTGCGTCGTGAGCCTGCAGTCCGGTCCCGCAACGCAGCCATCCAGCAGACCGAAAGCACCTTGACTGGAACATGGTGGATTTTATCCAGGGTTTAGAAGCGGTGGCTGCCGCCGCGCGGACTGAGAATCAGTTGATTCGCGAGACCGCGAGCACAGTCTGTGAGTGACCACGGCGCCACGGCCCTTCGAATCGGTAATGTAATCTCGGTCAGCATGTGTATATGATATAACCTCTGGACCATTTCCTCGCTCGTCCCACTGCACGGTCGTTTCCAAAGCATATCTGAACAGAATGTTTCTTAACTTGATGTCGGTTTGTATAATCGCCTTGGCATGGCATGTAGGAGGCCTGCGCCACTGAAAAGACTCACGGCCAGACGGTCTGTTCTTCGATGACGGACGGTGTGGTTCAGAGCTGACTTCAATCCCAGAGCTAGTGAACATGGTTGACGAAAGAGACTGGGAGGTGGAACGGGTTTTCGGGACGCGCAAAAGGCCCGGTCAGTTGGAATACTACGTCCGGCGGAAAGGATTCTCGGGAGCCGTGATAGCTGGGAGCCTGAAGAACATCTGCGAGAGGAGTTCGACCAGAAACAGGCACAGTAGTGGAGAATCAGACTGTCATTGCCAGTGGTCTAGGACCACAGCGATCCGCATGCGGATCCATATCGCCTCGTAGGAGTAAGGCAAAGAAAACGTTTCAACCTTTTGAATGCCCGACTTACGCTCTGACGCTCAACGACCCGCGAGGGCCGTAGGCGAATCTGCTGCGGCTCGAAGAACTCGTCCCACCAAAAGGCCCAAGCCGAAGCGCACACAAGCACACGCAACTCAAGGGTGATGCCTCCCTGACACCCGACCAACCACCCGCAGGGAAACACCTCAGTCCTCGTCCTCCCCAGGCCAGCGGAGAGGCTCCAACCCGTGCTAGAGTCAGTCAGCATACGGTCAGGACGCAGAACGTATGCGATGCTTACCACCTCCCGGTAGGAGTCTACACCGGCACGCATGGCGTCCAAGATGTGAGCCAGCACCGTCGTTTCGTCGTCCGCGCCCGCTCTCGCACCGCTGGCGGAACACGCGCAGGACCCACAAGCAAGACCACTGGCGGACTCACGGGCAATATCGACACCGGCGAGGCGCATCTCATCCTCCAGGGCATCAGCCTCGAGCTGGATATCCGCCACCGAGGGAGTGCCAACCTCGCCAGCCGCACAGGCGAGGTTGGCTTCCCACAAGCGGTTCGCCCGCGCGACGAGCTCGGTGGGCATCTGTAATAATCAGCCTGCCGAATGCTTGTGTAACCGACGCCACTCACCGGCACACAGCCCTGGTCCCCACCGTGGTCCCCGCCGTCGTGATTGGCACCCGAGCAGTAGGAGCAGTTTTCAGAACGCTGACCACCCTCGGTGGTAAATTCGCAGGTGATGGAAGAACCAGCCGCTTTACCTGCAGTCCGCAGCCGACGCAGACAGCCACAGCAGCAGAGGGCATTGGGCTCCGGAGTCTTTACCCGCATGGACAGGGAGGGCCCGCGCACGTCATCAGGAACTGTATTACTTGTCAGCCAAAACTCGCGGAGGGATCGCACGACTGACGCTGGTGATGTGGCTGTTGATTATCTTTAGGATCTTCACCGCCAACTCCGCTAGCGGCTGGGGCGGTGGCGCCGATCAGGGCAACGGGAGCAGTAACAGTAGCAGACACTATAGCGGTGAGCACGGAGACAGCAACAGGCACCGCACTGCTTACTAGTTGATGAGCAGAGGAAGAATTGAGGACACGAAACTGCTGCGCGGACGTTAGATCGGGTGTTTCCATGTGTAAATGGTGTAAGAACCACATCACTTACTGCTGGAAGCGAGGCAAAGGGACGCGCGAGCAGGAAGCTGTCCACAAGTCAGTAAGGGATTCCGGCAGGAGAAGCGAAAGGGAGAATCACTCACAATGTGGTGGTGGTGTTGTTGTTGTTGTTGTTGTCCGTAGTGAGAAAAGAACAAGGAGAAGAAAAGGAAGGAAATTACGACAAAATATGCCGCAGCCAAGTGAAAGGGGGATCTGACAGAATCAGTGTGAATAGGCAAAGGGCATGTCACACTCCGTGCACGTGCGGTTACAACTACAGCTACGTTTACAGGTACAGAATCTCCATTTGACTCAGGGCATGAGCCACAAGGATTCACGAGTGCCAGACACGGGGCTACTGTCCACGATAATGTTGATGTTATTCTGGGATCCCCGTGTCAGCACGGTACAGCGAGGCGTGTCCTCACCGGCGAGACGAGAAGATACTCACACGCGATAATTTGACAAATTTCAGAAGCTCCTGGCAGCCCGATCACCAGGACCGGCTCCAGCGGACATTTGTTCACCGACTTGGTCGCCATACGCATGCGGTACGCACGAGTGAACTTGGGTCTCTCTCTCTCTGTGCCGCAATGCACTTCGCGAGCCCGTATGTACGCCGAACAACATCTTCCTTTGCGGACGTAGGTGTTGCTGCAGCCGCATGCAGAGCCCAAAGCTACCTGCTGTTTCTTGACTCAGGTGGCAGCGTCTTTTGTTGTTCTTTTCTTCCCCTTCTCGTGCGGAATTCCTCTGCTGATACTTCGAACAGTCTGCTGCGCACGTGTCGGCTTTTGGCTTGATTCCAATGTAGGTTCATGAGGTTTAATTGAGGATGCCAGAGCACTTCAAGAGACGCGGTTAAGGGGCCTCACGTGACAGGTCGTCAGGGCGGCCACGGTTTCTGGACTGCTTGTTGGTCTGGTTTTCTCGCTTCTGCCGCGCCTGGGGTGTGGGACTTGGTCAACACCTCTGGGGGTTTGGGCAGCGGCAGCTCGTGCGGGTAGGCTCACGTCGACTTTTAATTTCGGCCGTTTCTGGAGGGTCGTGCCAGGTGCAGGCTTCGAGTGTGGCCGATGTCGACGGGGCAGCGCCTTCTGCAGCGAAGGAGCCTCAATTGATGAACAAACGGGACATCAGCCATGGCCTTCGACTTGGTGAAGTTCGCAGTTGGTGGTTGAACGGTATACCGCAGGCTGGGCTTCCATGGGGGCGTGATCCCTGCACGTAAGCACAGTGGCTCCAACAGAATTGAAGATTCTTTGCCTGCAACTACGGACTGCGCCCCAGCATTGGGGACTGCGCCACGATTCAGAGCTTTCAAACGTTTGCATTACCTTCATTATGAACTAGTAGCACGTCCTCCTGAATCTCACTCCCTCGCACCGATTAGTGGCACTTCCCGTCAGGCCCTTCGTGGCAGCGCAGCACAGCACGACAAGTGGTCTCTGGACCGCAGGACGACGTCCGAAGGAATCGTCAACGTTGCCCTGTGTCTCGTCATCCAAGGTGATTATATCCACCTTAAATCGCCGGAAGTTAGGGAATCGGCGTCACGATGCTCGCGTTGTGTGGTTCTTTCGAATTCCATGATATTCGGAGTTCATTGTTGAAAAAGGTTCCCCACTCTCTATCATATTCGACGTCTACGGCCCGACTGTCGGCACTGATCTTGCTAATCTGACTCGTGTCTATCCAGATCGTGCATTTATTTGCCGCTTCCCCATGCTTCCTCTATTCACCGCCATATCCCCTCGTCCTCGGATTATCGTCCTCCAACAGATCCAAACACAGGCGAATGTGGTCCGAACCGCAGCGAGGCCTTGAAGCGACACTTCAGCGACTACGACGATAGTCCGTGAGCCCCCGAATTTCCCCAGCCCCTTCCACCCATAGCCGGATCAACTATACACAGAACATGGAAATCACTTGCGGAGAAACAATCGCCAATGCACCCGAACACATCTTTGACCGTGTGTGCGGAAAGTCGTGCAGAAGAGAGGTTGTCAGTCTTGATGTGCACGCGGTTCAGCTGGCCTCCAGGACACGATACGGGCCATACGGATGGAGAGAAACAGGCACACGGAGGGAAGTGCTGCTCACCCATCATGAGTCTCTTCTGGGATCTTTTGTAAAGGGATAAATAGCGAGGATGACCTCAGCCGCCTTGATGAGGTGCATATATTGTTGAGCATGGATATAGTCTGACAGACAGCAGGAAATGGGAATGAAGCTAAAAGGATGGACTGCAGGTGTCCACTGTCGCACATTCTTACAACGCCTTCCTATGTGAACTCGATGATCTCGTTTTCCTTGCTGTCTTTGGTATGGGGCTGATGGGCTGACCGAGGCGCCCCCTTTGTTGACGTATGACCCCATGATAACCCCGGCCTGATCTCTGTCACCGTCAATGACCATCATGACTCCATTGTACCTTTCATTTTCAAGGCTGGCCGCATCGGCCAAAATCTCGTCGTCCAATTCCCCATCATCAGAAATCGTCCGCTCAGGCTTCCGTCCCTTTTCAAAATTTGCAACAACTCGTCTGGGAGTTGTTTTGTATGAGGGTTTGAAGTTTCATGACCGCCCAGGATATGTGCAAAGCAGAAGCACGTTGGTGTTTTGCCGCGCCTGTCTATTCTGGTCTGCTAAACCAAGAGTGCCGGTTGAAATGAAGACAAATCGAAATGGGCGGGACGGGCCGCAGGAGAATCGTTGTTGCTCATTTGACAACGCGCACTCTGCGGGATGCCAAAGCCATTGACCAACCCATCCCATTCATGGTCAGATCATGACTGAAGAGGGCTAGGTTGACCAAGTGTGCTCGAGTCACGGTTTGGTCGGTTGATCGCCCATGTGGGGTTCTTCCACGGCCGTCGTGTTTTGACGCTAACGATGTGACTTTCTCACGGTGGACGAGTTATAAGAATTTCTTGATCATTCTACCCTTGGCTTGATGATCTGCCGATAGACCTGCCAGTCGACTTCATATCTCGGCCGATGACTGCCATTGCCTCCGCCGTCTCTTTGTCTCGACGCAGGCCTGTCTTGGTAGCGTTCTGGGTGAGAGATTGTTCCGTGGAGTAGATTTGTCGATGGCTTCGGTCCGAACTTGCACCAGGCGCGCTGTCACTGTGTCTAGTCCTGGTGCTACGGCGTATCGAGGTTCGAAGCTTGAAACTGACATATGCCAGTCTGGACCGTCGCCTTGAGCTTCTCAGTACCTGTGGCCGCTCAGTGTCGAGTCTTGCGGACGCTGTTTTGCTTCCAATCGAAATTGATTTCAAAGCTGATAGGGAGATGTTCTGAGTCCCTTTCGAGGGTGTGGGCAAACTTGTAATTTTGAAGTTGTCTCCTCAATTTGGATGTTGCAGAGGCGAGGTCGATCATGCTGTCGTGGTACTGTGGCTGGTGGGTTCTCATGCATCGAGGTGTGGCTAAACATAGGCGTGAGGTTTTGGGGCATGTTGGGGAGTGTGTGAGATTCCCGAGGCGTTCTTTGAGGCCGTAGCCTTGATCATTGTGGGCATAATATCTGGCCCACAACAAAGCAAAAGGGAAAATGCCACAATGGCAGGGGTTGTTGAAGTCAGTTCCTTTTTGTCTATCTATGAAGATGAACGAAGAGTCCGAGCTCGACTATCTGAGAAATGGTAGGCAGGGTAAGCAGGATCAGGCCAGTCCTGGTTTGGCCTGGTGTAATCTCAATGAGACACGTGAGAGTGGATAGTAGAAATTGAAGTCGCCGAGAAGGAGCACATGACGTTGTAAATCTTCCCTTCGCAGCTCTTTTTCAAAAAATTTTCAATGATTGTATGTGGGGTTCTCCACTTGGTCAGCTGTAAACATTGTAGATGCGCATATGCCTGCCGTTTGGTACATTGAGGTGGAGAACACAAATGTCACTCCTGAAGTAGCTGATTTCCACGTGCCTTGGACGATCTTTTTGCCGACGTTGTTGAGGATCCTAGCATCTCTGCTGTCGAAGTGTGGCGGGTGGAACCGGTCTTTCACTGGGTGGTGGGATATGTTCTGGAAGGTGTTTCGGTATGGCCCTTGGATCTCAAGAATGTCGTAGTCACCGATCGCGTTGCGTGGGAGAAGGACACTCATCACCTCCCTCGACTTCTGTGTATTGTACTGCAAGACCTTGAGAGTTTGGGGTTTACACGTCATACTGAGAGGATAGTTTCAGGACCCTTAATATTCGCTAGTAGTGCGGATATGGTCTTCTGCTTGGAATAACATGCTCGTTGCCCCGTCTTCTTTTTGGGACGGGGATGTTCCGTTATGAGTGCGTTCTTCTGATACGCTTGCGTAAATCAGCTGATGTGTCGTTCTGTACCACACAGTACAGGCAATCTCCGATAGAATTCCCAACAAATATTCATACATCTCGAGTTGGCCAAGTCAGGTAGACGTATTCATGCTCACCGCACGAGCATGCTCTCCTTGCTGGTGGCAAGGTTGTCAAGGTTCCCTCTCCTCTTGGCCCAGTACTTGAGCTGTCGGAGTTAGTCCCTGACGCTGGTCCTCAGGTTTCAGAGACTAGGCGGGTGTTCTTCTTCGGTAACTGCGTCCATCCAACTTAGATCAAGGTGGTGCTGCCACTTATCTGTATCGAAGTCATCTTCACGTTCCATTTCTGGTGCCATCATGGTTGCTCCAGGAGCTATCGGGGTGAAGGTGTCCAGGGTTGGTACTACTGGTAGCGTCGGCCAAGTTGCAGTCCATTGGGGGTACGACATGGGCTGTACGGAGCCAGGCTGTGTCTGTGGTATGAATGGAGGCGAGATGATTCCTGCTTGTAGTCTCGCCCTCAAGGTCTTTGAGTCAACGTCCGGTTGGTAGGGAGAACTCCCATCTTCGCTCGGCTGTGTCGGTTCGCTTGTGCTACTTGTTGGTCCAGGTCCTATCTGGGTGCTGGGCCTCGACGCTGCATTAGCTTGATACGCTGGTGTCGGCCAGTAGTGGCTTCTTGTCAGCTTGGCTATCGTCACCCTTCGAATTTCTTTCTGTCTCTCTGAGCAGTCGCGGCTCCACGCCTCGTGGGATCCTTTGCAGATTGTGCATAGGGGCGTGAATCCGGGGATGTTCTTGGCTGTACATTCGTTGGATTCATGGCCTCCCGCACAATGACCACAGGTCTGAGGACCATCGCACTGAGCAGCGATGTGGCCGTAACAATAGCATCGAAGGCATTGTTGGATCCTGCATGAGCGATCGTAGAGTCCGCAAGGATAAACTGTCCCTCCCCAGAGAAAGCCTGCATGAATGATTGCGTTGGCCATCTCGGGGTGGGAGAATTTGACCACCAGGGAGGTCCATCGCCCAATTACATCTTTCCTGAACAAGGCCACGTTCAAGATATGGGCATCAGGGATCACTGAATAGTTCTCTGCTAGGACTCTCTGGATCATTCCCTGCTGGTCTTGAATGTTGACTGTATTGACGGGTATCCCGGGTACGATGACGCCGTATCCTGTTTGTACAACCTCTGCCCGTGGCCCGATTCCCTTCACCCATCCTACGTGTGTCTGTAGTTCAACAGCCGTGCTGAGTGAATCTGCGATGACTTCAATGTCTCCGCTCCTCAGTTGGTGTGCTGCCACGATCTTGACATTCTTCTCTTTGGGGTCTTCTTGGAGAAGGTCGTTCAACCCGTCCTTGAGCTGGGTGGCGGAGTACTCTCGAAGGCGTTGGGCTAGCCCAACGTCATAGAGTTTCACGATGACCTGATTTCCTTTGTCAACTATCGGGGTCGAGGAAGGGCTCGATGAGAGGACAGGACGTTGTGGCGTCAGGTCGTCAGGCGTCAGTCCAGCTGTCGCTGCCATTTGTGCGCATGAGGCGACGCGAGTTCCAGCTGGTGTTGTGACCCAGCTGGAGGCGGTGGCAGCCTCGGAGGCGGTTTTGATGGCTTCGTGGTCCTTGAGTTGAGCGCCGCGTTGCTCTTTGAAGAGGTGATGGGTTTGGGTGGCAGTCTGTGTCTCCGGCTGTTCATCGAGGTGGCAGGTAACCTTGGACAAGAGGTTTACGGTAGAGTCAATGATGGGGCCGATAACAGCTGTTGGTATCGCGGTATAACAGCCTTGGACCGCCTGCAGTTGGGTGCATGCCTCGTGTAGAAAGGTAACATGCTCTTTCAAGTTGGGAGGGTCAGCGCCTGAACTCGGCCAATTGGCTGCCATGGTGATCTCGATGATGCTATGGGCCGGAATGATGAAGGTTGTAGGACGAAAGGATATCTGAAAAGGTCGCTAGTCGACGGTGAGGATAACATCGTGGCAGCGCAGGCAGCCTAGTACTAGTGCCGCCACGTGACAATCGCAACGCCTTGCTTGGATATCTGTCCCAGAGCGATTACTAAGAAACCAAGACATACTTAAACACACACATAAGGCACCACAACTCCTCGCTCATGTCTTTCTGTATCAGGTCCTGGACGGCCAGCCTGGAACCAAGTCTACCGAGGCCTATCTCACCTGGCGTCTGCGGGATTATCCTCGAGCTATTGGACCCGTGGGCCGTGCGTACCATGCCGCTGAGAGCAGCTCCACTGCATCCATCCTGCGGCGACTTCAACCACTATATCCACTACTATCAGACACCGTGGCATTTACCTGCCACATAGCTACCTATCCAGCATGATACCAGGGTACCAGTTATAGTCATACACCGCCTGCAGGCGTAGGTATTGGGTTCTCTCAAGCTTCAATCATGGTTCAGCAATTGTACCCGTAACTATCCTGTGGGGGTTTGGAAAGAGTTTTGTACCCAACTAGCTAACCTAGTAACAGGAAGGATAAATCCGAGGAGAGAAAGGAATAAGGAAGAGTCGTCTCTCCCTAGTTCCTTATATCGTACGACCTTCAGCAAGGGGGCCTTCAATATGACCTCATTGCCATCTTCTTGTCTTTCCCCTTGTCCTGGTGTGTTCGCCTTCCTTGCATACGCTTCACGGTTTTGATGATGGTTCGTCGGAAAAGGGCCTTCTCCAGGGTTCAATCCATCACATCTCTTGCTATCTAAATGTAAAGTGCCCAAGGAGTCCGGCATGCGTACTATTGGCAGTGTCCACACTCGGCGCACGCGATCTTGTTGCACGCATCGGTCAGCATCATCATGTTGACGCAATTGCTGTTGCTGCCCGCCGAACACGTCAGCATGAAACCACGCACGGACAGACACTTAATGGCAGACCCAGGAAGGGGGGAAGAACGTAACGTACTTGCTGGGATCTGCACCGCTGCAATCAGGCTCTCCGGGAACGCTTCCGGAGCCCGCGGTGGGCTTGCGGCCATTCTCTTCGACTTCGGCATGATCTCATCTCTGGCTGGGATGCGCCAGCAGCCTCTTATAGAGGACGTGCTTGTAGAGCGGGTTTTCATTTCCGCCGGGGTGCTGCTTCTTGTTGAAAAAGCGATACCGCGCTAACCGGGACAGCTCGGAGGATCCTTCGTCTTTCAGCGCGCATTCAACGCGCCATTCGCGTGTACCGCACGCTGTCCCTAGCGAGTGTGCGAAAGTGTCCGTGGCACAGAGGATGGGAGCCTTGGGGCTGCGGCACACCATTACCGAGACCTCCGCAAACCTGCCCAGACAGCTAACACTGTAGATCCTAACTCTTCAGTTGCACGCGGCGGCGGAACAGGTGTCGAGAGAGGGCAGCCAACTCTCCACTGAAGCTCCTTTTGCGTATGTAGGGATCTTTGCCAGTTGCGGAGAGGTATGCAAGCCCAGTGCCAGCACCTGGCTCCAAAGATGGCAGGGGCGAAGGCCACGAATTTGGGACCGCGCGCCGCACATGTCTCTTCGCGGCCAGGACGTGGTCCTCCGGGCCAGGCGTCGCTGGTCAGCTGCTGGCCTGTGTCGCCGTATTGCAGGCCAGCGCCCACCGTAGCGTTGAATATGTTGTAGCAGGTGCAGAGCCAACTGAATGTATTGGTCTAACTGCGAAAACCAGTTAGGGGGTCAACCATGCAGCTTAATGATGGACTGGGGCCCACGCTCGGCTGACCTGTCTAATTAGTCTGACAATAAAACCACGGACATTTATTTTTATTTTTTCGAAATTCCCCCACACCAAGACCCCCTCAATACGACGAGGGCGAATTACGTCGACTCCCGGCCCTGTCAGGTCAAGACTACCACCGGGGTTAGTCGGCAGCAGGACCTGGGGTTCGAATCCCACTTCAACCTTATAAAGTAGCGAATTCGTAGTATAACCGGCCGAGAAAAACCAACCCGCAAGGGCGAGTTTCGCTTATCACAAACCAGGTTGGTTGACCTGCTTTGTGATAAGTTTTTGCCATTTTGACCGATATGTGGCTTCTTAGAAGTTGCATCCCAGGCCGTCCTCGAGCCACCATGCCGATAGGCGCAGGGCTATCAGATTGACGTGGCATGACTCTCTCTGATGCGCAAAGGACACCCATGACTCAGAGCAGCACCTAGACTCCATGGGATACCTAAATGCCAGCCCATTTTGCCCATAATTGTAGGACCATCCCGCGGACTTACACCAAACCTTCCAAGCCACCTCAAGCCTCCCAAAAGGAGCTCAGGCCTGTCAAAAACAGCCCTAACCTCAAGCCCATCACAGTCAAGGCGCGCTAAGCCGACCGGGCCACGCGGTGTACACAACACTTGAGCTTCATCGGCTGAACAAGCCCCAATCGTTCGCCCCATGACTTTCATCGATTCTAACATGCTGTCGGACCTGCAGGATGCCTTGCACCAAACCTACAGAACATCCGAGTGTGATGGACCGTGTCGGACTTCCAGAGTGCATTATCTCAGATCAAGGATGTCACGAGTACACACCTGGGCACAAGACATAGATAGATGTATCTAACCACGGCTCGCACAGCCGCATAGAAAATGAAGAGGGCAAGTTTGGACAAATACAGATTGCGTGGCCAACGCAAGCCTGCATGGGTTGAGTATTTAGGCGTCTTGGACGAATGCAAGGGTTGCGAAGTCAACCACAAGAAGGGTTTTCGGGCGTGTCCCAGGGACATGATGCCTCCTCGGGGGGAGGTCTCTTGCGGCGTTGTTCCGCCGCCCATGAAGCGCCTTGCAGAGCATACGACTTTTCCTCTATAGGCTGATCTTCTAGTTTCTGACCCCGTCCTTTTTTTGTCTTCTAGGCCCTCCCTTACCCAATTCCATGCCTAACTAACCTCTCACGGCTGTCCCCCTTTCTTCCCTTCATAGGCTCCCTTACTTTGATGGTTTCCAGGCCGGCCATGCATATTTGCCTGCCTACACAGTCATTCCCCAGGCCCCTCTCGTAATGGAATGCAACGCTAGCTGTCAGTGTGTCCATCATTTCAGCTTCACATTCCACGCCCGGCCATCACAACGAGTTAAAGCGCCTCCCAGGCGTCCTTCGCCTTTTGTCCTCCCATACCCCCAGCTCTGCGGCTGTCGGGGTGTATATTAGGCATTAATGCACTCCCACCCACGCCCGTCTTCGCATCCTCTCGGTTGTTCTCCTGGCCACCTCCCTGAATCCAGCCAGCCTATACACTACACCCCCTTCCCTCAGAGCAAAAGAGCCATGAGAGAGGGATGTGCAAGAAGGACCTTCACGGCAGGGCCATCGACGCAGTGGGCACCAATACATGCGTCGTCCAAGAAGGGATGAACCGCAATGGAGTCTCCTGGTTGGGTCAGAAAATTGCCATTCGACCCGACGCCGAATGCCTGTGGGCAGTACAGGTTGGCGCCCTTCATGCCTGCCTGGGTGCTCACCAGCCCTGCTCTATAGCCCCAACAGAAACACAGCAGCCGTAGTGAAAGACAGCGCCTTGGGCTACCGCCGTCATTTCTGGCCCGTTTGTAGCCTTGGGATATTTAGAGAGCAGAAGGGCAATAGGTACAACTGCCATACCATATCACGCTTTGAATCTGAAGAGCGCCCAATCCCTAATGCCTTCAAGGCGTTGTATGGCTGTAAGTGGTCCCGTGGTCTTATATATGCTGTCTCTATAGGTGGTGTGCGGTAGGCAAAGGTAAATGCAATGGTGTCTGACAGTAGTAGATATGGTGGTGTCTGTTTGTCGGTTGTGACCACCATGGCTGTTGGCCACAGCGTGAATCTCTATGAGCAGTGAAGTAGCAGCCTGTTGGCAGGCCGACCTTCAACGAGATCAACGACGGTGATGCCGACGAGGCTCGCCAACGGCCGTACAGCTTCGTCGTGTAACTCCTGGTGGGCTTCTGCTGCCGCATTGTGCGCAAACATCAGATCCTCCTGGCAGTGTACAGGCAGGCACTTTGGAACCTGTCAAGGAGGACTCGGATCCCAGATCGATCTGAGACCCCGCGTGCTTCCGTTCTGTCCTGCGGGCATCAGGTGCTCTAGCAATTCCTGTTGTTCAAGCGCTTCAAGCCATCAGCTTTGTCAATACTATGCGGCCGGGAAAGGCGTCAAGACCAAACTGAGCCAGACGATGCGCTTGGCAAAGTAAGAGTGCAAGGCGTCACAGCCCCGGAAGTCGTCAAGCGGTTAGCCTTGGTTCAGCATCGGTTTGTTATTGACGGTCTTTATACGATCAACCGTGGCACAGGAGCTATCAAGGGTCTGATATGTGAACCCACCTCCGGCCGGGGCCTTCCGTCAGGTAGTTTTCAGTTTCCGGAAATAGACCGCATCGGAGCACCAGCGATATGATGAATTCTAGTACGGCGGACTTCCTGGAATGGTTTTAGGATCAGCAACAACGACACACTTTGACTCCCCTGATGGTGGTATTCTGGGCCTCATTGCTGGGATGAAACCAAACTCGACGGTTCATCTGGTGTGCAGGGCATCTTCTACAAGCGGGAAAACCTGTGCCCAGCAACACCAGGCCAGCAGCCGGCCACGCCAGAGCCATTCCGACTGGTAAAGCAGGGAGGAAGCTCGCAAAACGACAGACTTATCCCTTTCCCGACGAGAGCTTGGAGGGGTGGACCGCCGCGGCGCACATGTGACATATATTGCCCACGCAAACGCAACTCGGCAGCGTGTCCGTCAAACACAACAAGTATCTATGGACTACCACGGCCGCCGCAACCCCTGCTACCACTCTTGCCAGATCGCGAATGCATCTTCCGGAAGAATGATGAATAAGCCAGGCCCAACCTGGCAGCCCATCGCTGTATGTATCTCGATGCCGACGTTATTCAAAGCTCAGTATGGTCTCCCCCGTTCTGCTCGGTCCACGCACGGTGGTCTGTTTCACAATCAGCATTAAGCAGATGCCGTGCACAAACCCGATGCGAAGTCGTTCCTGGACGTGGAAATGGGCTCATTTGAAGGTAGCATGTAGGATGGGTCCTGAGTCGAACAGGATCTCTTGAAGGCGCTCTTTCTGGGAAGCGCTAAAGGGAAGAGTTGCGCATCAAGATCCATGGAGATGATATATGTATCATTGAGCTCCTGGCCGTGAGAATCCAGAGTTTCGCACCGGATTCGAGGGACTTCCATAGTGTTCTGAAGCTCTGCTCTGACAATTCACCAGAACTTGTAACTGGGAGCTCTCCTGTTGTACAGATGCGTTTGTATGACTCATTTACTCGCCGAACGTTCTGCCTGATAAGTCGACAAATGACAAAAGGAACCAAGCATCGCCGCCATCGACCTGCTGAGCCTGGGCCATGCGCAGATGAGCGGACCGCGGCAGTGAGCCATCAAGAGCACGCACTGGCGACTGGGCGGAAAAGGGCTAAGGTGCTTGACTCAGTGGAGGGAGGGCTCGACCGAGTAAAGGCTCAAAAATATGAGCGACAAGATTGGTCTTCCAGGTTGTGGAAGGACGGGTATGAGTGACGCAGAGCAAGATGCCCGCTCAGACGCTGCAATGGCAGTGGCTAGGCTTGCCGGACACAAAGATTTCGATGACGTTTCGATTTGACGTGTGGTTTCGGTGTTGTTACTCCGTCATGGCTCCTTGATCCAGCGAAGCGTCAGCTGAGCTGGAATTTCATGCTTCAAACGACAAAAAGCCACGCTTCTTTCTGATTGGTCAGCCCTTGTCAGAGTTTATCGATTAGTCAAGTGACCCTGGCCGGATCTTAGTTATTCCGCTCCTATTCTGTTCTTACCACCTCCGATTCGCCGTCGCTGCCAACTCTGCTGACATCACAACTTCATCAACAACTCCATCAAATCTTCATCAAACCTTCATTAAACAGTCTCAATCTGTTTGTCTAGCAATATCTATTTGTCTTCGAAAAGCCTCTCTCCAAAAACCCTCTGTGAACGAAGTTGTGTAGCCCCAAGACTAATCGATTTGCAGGCCAGTCAAATCGCCCTTGGTAGTCTGAAACCCTCTCCTCCCTCTACACTCAATTACTTAGCCCTCGAAGGCCCTGGTGGCGTTGGCGTTAGTTAGATAAGGTGGAATTCGAGAGCCCTGCTGGCGTTAGTCAGAAAAGGTGGCACTGTGGTATCATAGACCTATGTCAGACTGGCAGTCAACGTAGACGTGGCAAGATCCCATGGGCGGTCATTCGTCCGGCCGGTCGAGCGTAGGTCTCTATAGTTGCCAGCAAAACATGCCTGCTTGGCGACAATACCTATACACTTTGTGGGCGGCAATGGTGACCTTCCTGATGCACAGCAGGTAATCGCCAGGCACAGGTGCGAGAACATCTCCAGGATGACATTCAAGACCACCCTCGGGTCCACCTCCTGGGAAACGTCGAGGACTGCGTGCAGGAGGACCTCTAGAACGACCCTCAGACCCATTGCACCCTTGGAAAGTCTCTCCTCGCTTCGCTGGCGCCTTGAGGATTCCGAGTGGGCTCACGCCTCACAGCCTATTTCAGTGGATAGCACCATGAAGTTGTTGTGTGCAGACAGATAGCTGTGGATGACATACGCTTGAAGTAGTCTGGTACCGAGTCAAGTACTCATTTCGTTGGTTCTGGGTTTTGTCATCTGTGATGTACCTCCCTGCACCGTGTGCTCAGTGCCACTATATTGTTACCCGATGTCTCCGTGTTCGGGATATTCGGTGGTATGGAGCCCATCGCACAATGGTTTATCTCCGAAAATTTGTGCCTTGAACTTGAACCCCCCGCCTCCAAATAGCTGGACAATCGTCTTTCGTCCGTCCACCGTGAATTGAACCGTGTCGTGGTAGCTGCTCATCCCACCCAGTAATATGGCCGGACAGGGAGGTGGCCGTGATGTGTTGACAAAACGAGAGTCAGGTATGGGAGGAGAAGGCGGCGGTCATGTTTGAGCACCACTCCCGGGTATCGGAACCGTGCCGTCGACTGTGCGCAGCAAGCTACAATGGACACGTCGCCAAAATAAGAAAATGACCCACGGTATTCCCTTTTTCGGGGTGCCGATAACAAGAACATAATGAAAGCAATAAGAAAAAAGCTCACTCCACAAGGAGAAGCAATGGACGCTATTACTAAACCGACTGAGTCTTAAACCGGGACGAAATCAGCCTCCCTGTCCTCTACGGCTGCAACAGATGCATGCCCACATGCGCTCGGCCGTGATAGAAGCCGATGCACCCGTGTCACCAGGACCTCACCAACGTATAGCTCTTTTGCTAGCGCTACTGGCTGGGGATGCTAGATCCCCTTCCAAGGCGATAGACTATTCGAACAATAACGGTTCACCGCCACAGGCAGAAGGTGACCACGACAAAGACGAAAGAGACATTAACGGTTGTGAGGGTCAAGCGTCCAACGGGATATGCAAGCCTTCTGAAAGTCTTTGCCGCGCTGCTCGTGATGCCTTCGTAGGCCGAGAACCAGCCAATCTCGATCGACGTTCAGTCCGCCTGGGCTTTTGTTGCATTCCGATGCTCTGATTTCAACCAGTACTTCTTTCTACAGCCTCGAGGATTGCCATGTTTGCCACGTTGACCCCTGGAGTGTACTGTAGTTGCTGAAGAACCCGATGGACAAGCAAATAATGACGTCCTTGGAGCCCAGCCATGCTCATCGTCAACTATCCTAGCATGATAACTCCCCAGCGAGCTGCACGCATTCTTGCAGACGATGGCCCGCGAAGGAATATGTAGATCAGGATATCCAGTGCCCTGCAAAGGCCAATGTCCAGAGCAGCGTGGAGTTGCGGACCGAGGACGAAGGACAAAGAAGAAGTACTGCGTATGGAGGGGGAGGATTCAGTTAAGGCTCATGATTCATGGGAGCGTGGGGAACACTTGTGAAACGCAGGCGACAAGAATGCGGAGCACCAGCGAAAATAGCACACAACAATCCCAAACGAGACTCGTGCTGTAAGGTAATGTCAGTGAACCAGGATTTCAGGCGAAAAAACCAGAGCTGCAACGCACTGTTGTTGTTGTTGTTGTTGTTGTTGTTGTCCTTATCCTTCTCACTTTTCTGAGCGTCGCCACTGACGCTGGCGCCGGCATCTTTCTTCATGATGTACGAGTGGGGTATTCTTGAGTCTCGCGATAGACAGAATAGATAGAGCATGCCCTTGGGCTCGTTGGATCGAGGTGTAGAGACTGGGACAATTGTATGCAGCAAAGAAAACGTCTGGCAATTCGCTCTTCGCTTTGTGAATGTCACGTGTAAGGTCTGGCAGGATGCCACAAAGATATATTTTATAGACCCAGAAATCCTCCAACAATTCCCAGGTCTATCCCGGGTTCCAGCCTCTGATGGCCACACCGAGTGGCAGACGGAGCTAGCTGGGGCGTGAGGGTGTGGCCACCAGATCTGGGACAGCTTCTCTTGAGAGTTACGAGATTACCTGAAGGTAACTGCTCTGACACTGATGGCACTACCTTCTGCAGGTAGCCCAGTTGTTCCGCGCCTTTCACGGCTCCCTAAGCGAGGGTTGACCGAGGCCGGAGAGAACCTGACGAAACGACGGAAAAAACTCCTTCCACAGCTGGGAGTTTTACCTCGATCCAACCTCAACTTCCACCGGGGAGTTGGGCTTGGGTTAGAGTTTTTGCATCTTGAGGAGAGCGGTGCCTCTTTTTTTGTGCACAAAAAGTAATTTATGGTGTGTTTTCGAACACAAGGCTGAGGCACCCGCTAAGGCAGGTGGATTCACTACCGTGAATGGGAAGAGGCAGTGAAATTGTGCCATCACTTGGTCTGTGGTTGAAACTACGTTAGACTGCTCTTCAGCTCGGTATTCACAAACCTGTCAACTCACCCACGGCCCAGTCAACCTACAACCACCTGCTTCTCTCCCACGATTGGTTGGCCCTTGAAGGTCCTGCTGGCCTTGGATAAAAAAGGCGGAACTGTGGCATCACAGACCCTTGTCAGACTTGCGGTCAAGGTCGAGCTCCAGTATAGGTCTCTGTGATTGCCAGAAAAGCATACCTGTTTGGCTATAAAACGATGCACTTTGTGGGCGGTGACGGCGACGCTCCTGGTGCGCAGTGAGCCTAACTTGGATCATCTTCAGGACCATTAGTCCCTTGAAAGACCCTACTCGCCGCGCTAGCGCCTTGGGGAGTTCCCAGCGCGTTCACCCCTCTCAGTCTGTTTTCATGATGACACATCTCCGGCTCGTGGAGCACTCGCATTTCCGCATTCATATTATGCTCTGTTTCCGGCGTCGATCGCACTCAATGAGCTGAAATATCCTTGGCTTATAGAGACCGAGAAGCCGAGGTCTGCCTGTAAAAAATGCCGACTACGCATCCGATGCCCGTGAGCGACAACAACGATTCCCTCTGGATCAATTTAGCGCCCTCATGGCACTGCAAGCTCGTCACTCTCAGCACTGTTGCAAGCCTGGAGGAGTCTCCACACTGACGTCTCATCGCCAATGTCACCCGCAACCGCCATGACGGGAAACCAGAGATAAACCTCCACCCACTTTGCTAAGGAAGACGATGAACAATCCTCCTTGGTGTTACCTCTGGACTATCTGATGTCCCCCTGGAGAATAGCGCGAGGCAGTGCACTTCGGCAAAACGAGCTACTCTCCAGGGCGAAGGGTGTCTCTCCGCTGGACTCGGCATCTATCTGACACACAAACGTCGTCACCGATGTCTCGACTTAGGGCTCTGGGCTCCGTGGCCGATAACAACGCCTCCACCTGGTGCTAAAAGATCTGGGAAGGTGGTTGAGAATGTCGTCTCCCACGACCTAGAGGTTTTCAATATTCATTCTCTGGAGAGGTCTCTTGGGTCGGTAAAGAGCCCCCAGATCTTTTCAACAATCAATCTCTCTCTTAGTATCTACCAGACCTATAAATACCTCTGAGGGTCTCTGCCATCTATAAAGACCCCCCGGAGTTACGACATTGGTGTATATCGTGTTGCCTGAGGTGAGATTCAAGCCAATCTCCTCATTATTGCGCAGGGCGTGCCTATCACAGCTAGGAGCGTTTGGCTCGCACAGTCGCATCTGGTGGCGTCTTGCTGAACATTGCTGGCTAGCGATCTCGTGGTTGGTATTGTGGTGGAGCAGCGCTGCGGTGAGCGTGCTGTGAGGTCGGAAGTATTGTACTGCGGCAGGGAGGATGAGAGGCATTCCACTATCCTCCGGTTATTGGGTTTGGGAGACACCCGTAGATTCTGGCACGCCGGGACAGCGCTGGAGGTGCATACTTCTGCGTTGGCTTACCGATTGCCTTCTACACAACAGTAAGGCTGAAAGAATTATTGATCCGTTCTTCAATCTATTCTATCTCATCCAAGCGTGACTCACGTTGCAATCTCCTTACTAGTCCTTCTACGCTAGTTGCTCTCCTCTGCGAGTCCGCCAAATCCTCAGGCACGTTGGGAGTCACTATGACGAACTATGATACTCGGGGGACGTGGTGTCATTCCCACCAGTTTGATCCTATTCCCCGTCGTCAAAGCCTTCATCACGGAAACCCTCGTCATGAGGATGCTCGTTATACGAACCATCTTCATAGAAGCCTTCGTCATAGAACATTGTGGGCTCGGGGTGATATGGCAGAGGTGACGTCCTATCGTGCCTGTGACAGTGGGACCTCGTCGACACGACAGAGCCGTCTCTTCTCAGCTTCATGGTAATATGAGCTTCGTCTCGTGGTGTATCAACCTGCGTCACGACCGCCACAGAATCTCCACTCCTTCTGCTGCTGCATTCGCTCTTTTCCCCCCTGCCTGTCTCTTCCTCTGTCAAGACTGTATCGTGGGCACAAGGAGGCGAGCAGGAGCAGGATGTAGACTCGTGAGGCATCCTCAACGGGGCCAGGACTGCCTATTGCGTCTGCAGGCCGCCTCTCCTGTCCCCTTCCCTTTGTCTTCACTGCGGCCGTGTGCAGAAGAGGAGGAGCACTTGCTTTGAGGATACGGGGGAGATAGGGGTTGGTTCACGGAGAGGAGACAAACAGAACGGGTTGGTCGGCTGGCTGTTCCCATGCGTTGAAGGCTTCCTACACATGTGAGTTAATGAGAACGCGCTGCATTCATTCACGTAATGCGCATTTGGTGAATTTGTGGTTTTGAAGCAGAATCCCAGTTCATCAGCGACAATGAGGATGATTGTCCCGGTTGGAGGCAGTTTTGCGCGGGCGCGTGGCGGTGCGGGTGACTGGGTCACTGCCTGCCTGCGCCTTCGTTGTCTCCAGTTGTGCGGCATGTCGGTATGCATCTGCCCACATCTGATCGTGTCTGATCTCGTCAGGGTGCGTCTCAGGCTGTGACGATGCGGCTGTGTCTTTAGGTTTGACGGGCCCATGATATCGATGTGTAAGAATGGCTGCTCGAGTGACGTGTATGTATGCATATTCCGTGCGAGCAACCACAAGGTGGTGCCGTTCAGGCGTTGCCTCCGGTTCCTTACCTAGACACTCATCAGGAGAAATGTTTCCAGCCTGGGAGAGTCGGGCGCGCGTGTCTGAGCATCTTCACAAGCACGAAGGGCGAAAGCAGGTCGGAAGTTTAATGCCACTTAATGTTATGTATGGCCTCCACGGCCTCGGCCTCGAAAATCGTCTCGACGAACCTTCGCCGCTCGAAAACACAATCCGATCCTGCTTGACCAACTGACTCACAATCGCACCCACTCACCCCTAGGGTGATCCGCATGGCTTGCCTGCCTGCCTCTCGTCTAGACGGTTGTCATCGTCGCAGCTTTGCCAACACCGTCTCACCGAATGATGACACCTTTCGTTCTACCGTCCTGCGCAGTTGCGCGATAACAGCTCCGCTCTCAGCGAGACGCGTCTCCAAGTTCTTCTTTTCCTCTTCCATCCGTTGTACCCTCGCCTTGAGAGCCTCGATCTCGGCGTCTTTCCTAACCTGCTCGGCCTGGAATTCCTTAGTCTTCTCCTCGATCTCGGCCTCTTTCCTGACCTGCTCGTCCTGGAATGCCTTGATCTTCTCCTCGTACTCGGCCACCAGTTCCTCTCTCTGCCCCCTGAACTCGATGCTCTGATTCTCTGCCTGGCTCTCCTGTAGCTTTAACTCGGCCTTCTCGGCGTCCGTCGACCCGCCATCATCGACGACGTGGTTATTCGCGGGAGGTTTTCCAAATAGAGCCGGCGCCAGAGTGGCCTCGTCAAGCTCAGAATTAGCTGAAGAAGGAGTCTTCCTGAAGCTGAATCGCTTCAGAGCCTTCTCAAAGCGACCAAGGTCGCCAGCCGCAGCAGCAAGAGCGAATAGGCTACTCTTATTAAGGTCGAGTTGGACGTGTGGCCATGCGGGTTCTCCGAATAACTTCTCATAGTCATCTCTCCAGCCTCGACAACCAAACCGCTTCCTGCGTAGCGCTGCTAGTACACAGGAGATGTAGAGGTATTCGGGTTGTGGTCGTGTTGAAATACCATCTGGGAATTCCAACTCTCTTCCCTCTAGGTCGCCCAGATCTTCATGGCCTGTCAAGGCTTCTGGGTCTAGAACAACCACTTTTAGGCAACCCACAGCCTGATCTTTTGAGTGGCCTGGTACGATCTGAATTGCCGCTTGGTCGAATAGTAATTCGATCTTTTTGTGGAGGATCAAGCCATTTCCTATATTCCAGATTCTTTGATAGCCTTTTTCAAGAGGATCTCCAAAAAAAAAAGAGACGTTAACATCACCGAGAGCGAAGGGTACGATATGCGCGGCTTTAACGTCGTAATACCTGACGTATTCCCTGCTGACGGGGCACCACTTAGGATCTTTCGGCTTTCGGTCCGGATTGTAACAATCATTCAAGCTCTGCCGAAAGTTGGCCTGGTCAACCTCTTCACGCCCTCCAGGCCATATATCTTTATCCTTAGCGGATAGCGGCAGACTTGACGTAATCGTAGCTAGAGCTTGTCCATAAGCATTAGCAAGATTATCCCAGCTTTGTGCAAGATTTCCACATTTAGAGAGAAGAGCGATTCCAATCAGGCGGTTCGACTGTTTCTGAAGAATATAAATCTCCCTCTCTAGCTCGTTAAGTAGCCTATTCTGATTTTCGACTTCTTTTGGAGTGAGATCTCGATCATTCTCAATAATCTCGCGCTCTAGCTGTAACTCTTGCTTCTTAGAGCGACATAGCTCTAGCCTAAGTTCGCAGTGCTTTCGTAGCTCGTCGCGGACTTCGTCTAAGTCACGACCCCGAACTTTATACTCCTCCGAGCTTTGTTGGCGTTGTCTAGCTGTAGCAAGGTTCTTTGCACGGAGCTCGCAGAGAGTGGGGTCCTCAGTGCACCTCGCGTCAGAAGTAATAGTAGAGTAGACAGCAGAATTTGACATGGTCGAGACTGCGGAGCTTTCTTGAAAATGTCTGGACTGTTCCTCCCGTCGATGCTTATAGCGCTCAAGAGGCGGTCGGTTCTGTGCCATTGCGGATGAAAAAAGGCTGTTGGATGAGAGGACAAACAAAGAAATGGCGCTGGCAAAAGGTCCTCAAAATTAGACTTATTGGGTGTGCGATCTTTTATGCTTGTTCCAGTGCTCGAACTCGGCGAGTGTGAATCAGGAAAGGGTGGTCCGTCAATCAGAACACTTGAACGACGATTTTCTGGTTGTCGCAGTGGCGCAGACTCGGTGAGGTGAATCAAGAAGTGGGGTTCCTGTTGCAAAACTTTAGTCCGGGCTTCAGCCAAGTCGCGGTCCAAGTCGCGGTTCAATTCGCAGTCTGAGTCTATCACGCTATGCGCTGGAAAGATGAGAATGTAGTACGAGAGCTATCTAAGTAGTTGCGTGGATGGCAACGAGGATGATGTGGTGGCTGCGGCGGTGCAGGCACGCTAGTGCTAGCGCCGTGTTGCCACGCCTTTTGCGCTGTCGCGTACCGTAGGGTATGCGCTCTTGGCACTTCCAAGAACTGTCTAGCAGCTCCCGTGACACAGTTATTGCCTACAAGTCCTTATTTCCATCTTTTCATCTCAGAAAATTTTCTTTCTTCTCTCCGACAACTCACACCGCTACAGGACACACACAAGATGGCACAGGCACAGGGACAGACACAGCGTGACGCGCACGAACTTCTCAGGTTTGATGAGCTATTTCTAACGGAGCAAGAACACTTCACCATTCGTACTCTATCACAAATCCTAAGGTGGACCGACTCCCTTGTTAGAGGCAGGGACGTTCCTCATAGCGGATATTTGGTAGTGAAGGACGACAACAAGGACCATGCAACAAGTTACAAGATCTTAAACAGCTTCTGCCAGACGATCAATCGCGGTGGCACTGAGGTCATCGCTCTATTGCCCGGGCCGTTCACTGGGACGGAGCTGACAGTATTCAGCACAGTGTCGACGGGTTGGTCGACCAGATGCATCCCCTGAATGTCCCATTCTAATCTGTCTTTAGGGAATATGAGCGACGACACACACGATCTATTCTTGACTCGAAATCCGCAACAGAGCGAATTCCCGAAACCAAGGGCCGAGCCCATCACATATTCAGTCGACTTCGACAGCTATAGTGTGCCACCAGGCTTTGCTAAAGATCCATTCGGCGGTTATCTCGGGTTACTTGAGACACACTCCTTCAAAATCCCCTTTGGTTTGGTGCCGCACTTGGCTTTAACGCTGCTCAAACACGCTCACGGCGAGCACTCCAAAGAAGCTCGTAAAGATGCTTTCGACACCTTTGGCCTCTTTACGATGTGTCTCGGCTTCACGCGATTATCTGCTCGGCTTGACTTGGGCATCAAGTCTCGAAATTTCTTCCAAGTCATCATGTTACTTGATGGCAGTCAGCCAACCAGCGAAGAATTCAGATTCCTTGCTGAGTGTTTACAGGATCAAGACGCAGATTCTTACGCACTCAAAAAAAGCATGAAAGACAAGCCTTTCACACACGTCCAAAATGACTTTATATCTGAGCTTAGACGTATCCAAGTTGTTCCTGCAGACACCCCGATACCGCAGAAGTTCGATGCTCAAGGTCGGCGATTCCTCGCCACTGTACTATGTTTGTTATTGAAGTTATTCCCGGTGAAAGTGAAGATGGCCAGGGGCCATCAGCCGTCAAGGGATCGGACAACACCATTCAACAAACGCAGCTATAAGAGAGCTATGGTATCCCTACTGAACGTCCACCAAGTTTTCTGGACCTTCTTCACCAGGTTCCGAGATCAAATCAAGGAAACACTGGCATGGGTCCAAAGTGTGTGCGGGCTTCGAAACGCAACCCTCTTCAACACCTATTCCGAACATAGCGGGCTGGATATTTTGTCTTCTAGTCCCGCACCGCCATCGACTCCAGATACCACTTCTGCTGCAGAACAAGTCTCACAGTCCTCTCCCTCTACTTCAGGAAGTGAGCACGGAGTCGCTTACGTTCGTACACCAACCCCGCCCGCAGACATTAACTCCTCGCCACCATCGATCAGAGCGCTCAGCCCATCGCTACCCGAGGACCAACAGCTTGAGTCAGCGGCTCTAGAGGACCTGACGGACGATGAAGCAAACGCAGAAGAAATAATTTCACTCTGTGCTATCGAAGAAAATCCCCAGTCGGGATGGCACGATGCATGCTTTCGATGGTTAGAGCTTATTATCACCCACTACGAGGCGATTCGAAAGGTCCACATTTGGTCACCCAGTCGGAGCTCCTCAATTACGAAGTCACTGAAGAGACTAGTGCCACGGGCAGAGATACACACTCTTGAGGTAAAGTCCTCATACGCAGACCAGCGTATGCGTAGTATCAACGAGGTGCTGAGAGAGCTGGAAGAAGAGCGCGTCGAACCCGAAGTCGCGGAATCACTTAGAGAGTGGCTTGAGCGCCATACACAGGAAGGAATCCAAGCTGCTAGACTCACCGGCATTCGGCCTCATGTTGACTCACAGTCTAAATGGGATGATCCGAAGTTCAAAGGCACCATGCATTGTGAAACAATTATGCTCACACTGCATGCTCTGTCAATCAATGGCCTTTTTCGCGCCTCCACCGCCAGTGCCAGAGCGATATCAGATTGTCTCAAGTCGCGCGACATTATCGTACCTCCGGATGTCATTGACAGATTCAAGCACATTGGCAATATACTTGCAGTCTCAAAGAGATGCTGTCCGGCCTGCAACTGCGTGGTGTCCACCATTCGAGACCATCAGCCTCCGCGCCACCAAATTACGTACCCCGGGTATCATACTGTGTGGTTTCCGATAGCATTACCGCCCTGGACCCCACGAAGGATTGGCGAAATCCTACTTGACACTCTTTGGGCAGCTGTACAGGAGCGCGCGGAACGTGTCCACTCCGTAGTAGAAGCGGGGAAGAGGGTTCGATGTAACACGCCGAGTGACGCATCCCCCGAGGATATTGAGAGCGAACAATGCGAAACTGATCAACTGCCATTGCTTTATGGCAACTGGGATGATGATGATGATGATCCGTCTCCGTCCGCTCGGAGTGAGGATCAGGATTCAGGGGATGAAACGCCGAGGCCGTTCAAGCGTACTCTACCCATTCTCCTGGCACCAACGGCGACAGAGCCACCGACCTCGCCCAAGCGCTCGAGGGATGCATCGCTGGGGGATTCAGAGATTGAGGGTTTATTGTCACCAACAAAGAAGACTCGCAAGTGACAGTTTGTGGCATTATGGATTGACACGAAGAGATCTTCACAAGGGACTGCAGGCCTACTATAGTTCAGATGTCACTTATTAGGCTCCTATGGAACCGGTTAAACGATACGGAGAGACGCTAAGATGTCAGCAAGGGGGGGCCAGCGTTGGACAATACCTCTGCCACCTCACGGAGAACTTTCTGTCACCGCGAACCAGTGGCTAGAGTCCGTGACGACAAACGGACCGACATAGGAGATTGCAAGAGACAGAACATGGTGCTACATGTGCAGACATATCAAAGGCAGGCTGGAATGGCTCACGAGAGCATAAATAATCACTCGTACTCGCACTAGAGAGGGAGCCCTTTTCCTTCTGTAGCAGTGCGAGGATCGATGTCTCAATGACAGCTTCACATACATACACAAGCGTTACGCATTCAACCCGCATTCCATCCGTACAACGACTCCACCCCAAATTCTCTGGCAGTCGCGGTGGGGCAGACTCGTTGAGGTGAATCAGCCAGCGGTTTGTTCTCCGCTCGAAAGAACTTGAAGATGCAGTCTGGAAGATGAAAAAAGGTTGAAAGCCCAAGACTCAGCACGGCCGATACCGACCCTGTACAATTTCATTCGTCGGTTTTTGTGTGACCCTGACCTGACCCCAAGTTAATCCCTTCATGCAATACTCCCATCGGTCAAGTTTAGACCCGTTAGAACTAACGAGTGGAAGGAGCCTCACACCGCTACTGCAGCCTCGGCTATAGGCAGTCTAAAATCTTCCTCTCCCCTCCGTCTTATCATCAGTTCCTTCCCCCCCTGGGAGGCTTGCTGGCACAATACCCCCCCGAAGGACTTGCTTTCTCCTACCTCGACAGCAGTGTCTGAAGGCTGTGTATCAAACTTGAAGCATATAGTTTATCTCGACGTTGCTTATACCACCACGTTTGCTTCCGGAAAAGCTTCCTGCAATCGCCTTTTCATTATGTTCCTGGAGCTTCGGTATCGTTGATAAACGCCACGTATGTGAATGAGCTATACCCGAATGCTATATGAAGAATGGCAGAGTAGGCGTTAAATGTCACTCAGAGTAGCCTTCGCTGACTTGGGGCTGTCTAACAATGCTATCGCTGAGCTTATGGAGTTCGAAGTCTGTTATATGATGGGGTTGGGATTATTGTATAATATCATGAACTGTGGTCTTTGGAATATTTGTAATGGTCTCGATTTTCCGCTCGGATTTACCAGCTGAGAACAGGTCATAAATTGTTCGTCTTTCAAAATCTCTGTGCTGACGTGGCTCAAGCACAGTTACAACAAGCCAAAGCTCAACTGGTTGGTTGATGGTAGAGTACTTAATGGATGGGCGTGGTGGAGAGGTATTTCAATGGTGGGTGGCCAAGACTAAACTGGTCGGTGACTTTTTTGAAACCTACTGTCCAGCGGCACTGAAGCCCAGAGCCTTCGGTGAGACTGCAACATCCCGACTTCCACGATAGTGTGGAATTTGCTGTCGTTGTCGCTCTCGGGCCAATTGATGCCCAGGACTGGTTGCCTTCGCGAGAATACGTGTTATGCTATAAAGTCGTCGATAGTTGGAACCTATATGACCGACATCTTGGACTTCGCAGAATATACTAAGTTGGATTGAACCTGGTCAACGAGATTCTCAAAGAATCTAATGACGCCATTGCGCCTATCGCTGGGGGGAGGTATGAGGGCGAGCAGAGAGCGCGACCTGTCACATGACACTCGAAATTAGGTGCTGAAATGTAAGTTAGCGCACGCCGCCGGAAGAGCCAATGGAACGGAGGGGTGACACAGCGTGTCGCTACAGCTCCAACCAAGCGTTTCGAAAGAAAGTGAATTCGACGGGGTCGTTTTCCGGCGACAGACGAAGCTTGCACGACGCGACGGCATCTTCGACTTGCCGAAAATTGCAGTAGTCTAAGGGGCCGGGTGGTGGTGGTGGTGGTTGCAGCGCGGCACCTGAGCGTGAAGACATGCTTTCTCAGGAGAGTGGCACAATATCTTCGCCTCGTCGATGGTGTGAGATGATGGAGGAAACATAAAGGCAAAACAAAAGATCTTGTGGTTTGTTTGACTTGGGCCAAGAGGGTAGTGGGCGGAGGTAAGTCTGAGTTCAGTCAATGCCCCCTATCGCCTGGGCACAGTCTCACCCTAGCCTGGGCACAGCCCCCTGATCTCTCCCTTCCAGGCGGAAGTTGGCCCTTGGGTGGGCCTGGTAGGCCTGCAAGGGATCTACAGCGCCCCCAAAACTCAATTCGTCCCAATGAGTCACCGGCCTCGTAATATTTTCTGTTTGCCTTTTAAATAGTGAAGTCTCTGCCCTCCTGCTAGCTAATACCTGCCTCCGCCTCGTTCTGAACGTCCTTCGGACGTTATGTACAACTTACAGTATATTCTTTCACCACAACCACCACCTCCTCACCAATCCTCATTGTAACATCCTGTGCGTCGAAAATTCCGCACAAATCTGTTACCGAAATTATCCACATTCCAGCCCCCAGCCAGTGCGCCAGTAGTCCTCGGACTTTGAGTGCCCACTCCAAGCCCAAAAGAAAATCTCAAGGCCCACCAACCGGCATCCCAACCCGCGTCTTATTGTGTGATCCTCACTTCCCGACTTCCTGAAACTCACCAAAAAGATGAAGAACCGACTTTGGGTGAGAATGAGATTATCTCTACAGCGTCGGTTTTCTGGCGCAATACGGAACACTAGTCCCTCTAAAACTGTGAGTCTGTCCTTTCGGCAGATCAGATATGCCCGAAAATATCCATGAACTAATAAAAGAAGCTTCAGCAGGACACACCCAACACAGTCGACACAGTCGACACAGTCGACACAGCCGGGACAGCCGGGATAGCGGGCACAGGAGAGCAACAAGATGCTTACAACCATTGTCTACTTCTCGATCTTCCCAATGAGCTACTCCTCGCCGTCACGAGCTCTCTGGACCGGGTGTCCAGACTCTTACTGAGCCTTTCATGTCGACAACTTCGTGCTCTTCTCGACTCGCACTTCGACTTGATAATCGAGAACAAGGTCACCAAGTTACGGTTTCTAGAACTTCTAGAACGCGACTATCCGGAATTTTTCACGTGTCGCTGCTGCGGCTTCCTATATTCCTGGCGGAAGTTCTTCGTGTACTGTTGTCCGCATAGATCTCATCTCCAGTGGGAGTTGAGAGGCCAAATATACGGTCAGTATTTGTACGGAGAATCAATTAATTCAGTCTACGTGACGCCTGAACACGTCGGCCTAATCTTACGAGCCCATCAATATGGTCCCAGCTACGGCCTCCCTGTATCTTTCTTGAACATCAGTGACTATGTTCGCTGGGATTTCTATGAAACGAACAGACCCATTGGCTGGGTTCGCCACGGTTTCTATCGAACGAACGAGGCACGGTTGGTAAAAGGTCAGCTTATACTGGCCACTCGAATAGAGCTAGAAATGGTTTCGAAACATGAGATAGGGCGTCTCTTCCATAAGTATATATGTTTCGATGTGGTGCTCGGACTGCAATTCATGCCTGTTAGTGACGCCATCAAGATCATGATGAGGCCAGGAGCTACGAGAAAATCCATGGTGTTTAAGTGCCACTTCTGCGAGACCGACCTTCAGATACTTATGCGGAAGTGTGAAGGAAAGCCGACAAGGGTTATTCTGAATATTTGGAGAAACTACGGAGAACGACACGGGAACCAATTATCGACTGATCAACTGGTGCGGCTTGATGACGCCACAGTCAGGCGGAGGGACCTACAGGCAGCGTTCGAGGCTGAAACGGGGTGCGATGGAAGAATGAGTTCGTGATCGTACCACGTGCGGAGGGGTCAAACTTGCCTTGGCTAGGATGAGACTGACTACTGGTCATAGGTGCTCCAAAGACATTGCTGCGGACCCAGAATGTAGTCCTGAAGAGGGAGCAAAGGAGAAGACGAGTTGGTGAGGCCCGGAGACATGTTTTGCTTTGTCACCTCACACACTGGCATCTTATCTGGAAATGGTTGCTTCTGTTTCTGGAGACAAAGGCAGGTGCACCAGAGCAACTGGTGCAACAGCAGCTGAGGCGGAAGGAGATTCACCAAAGGTCGAGTTATCTTCATGGTCTGGCATCGTTCGATTTGGTTTGGATTTGGGGAGACCATAGTCTTGGAATAGGGGGTCTGTGTGCCCGATTGTAAGAAAGTGGAAAGGTTCCACCCTGACGACTGTGGTGCGATTTCAGGAGAGAAGGTTGACTAAGATAGGAGAGGAATGCAGAGGAGATGGGAAGAAGAGACCAGCAGTGTGCAGGGACCTGCTGGGCCCCAGATCCATCCTCGTTCTGTCGGCGAATGGGGGCTTCATTGCGACGTGTCGTCGAAGAGGGAGAGTTGTCACCATACATTGGCTGACACAGAGCACAGCCCCCTGTAACTCACTTCCTTACTGTATCTTTCCCGTTTTCTGCTCCGAAATCCTTCCACTCTGCATCTCGCATCCGAATCCTTACTTCCTCCTTGCAGGGGCTAGAAGTCGAGGGTCACGATAAGGTTGGCACGTGCCCGCGCTGCTACCACATCATTCTCGCTGCCGACCCAGCCATCTTTTAGTGAGTCCTTCGTACTACAATTCTAACCGTTCAGACGCAAAGCGTGATAGCGGGAATATGGTCGAGTGTAAAGAACTGGGATGCAATGGGTAGCACTGCATTTGCTTGATATCTGTTCTCTCATATTCCCATGTTCAACTTCGGCCCTCACATTCCAGCCCGTCGCTTTCCAATCTCTCACATTACCACCCTCTGCCTATGCATGATGAAATGGCCCATTCTAGGCGGTCTAACTTTACGTGGCCTGCGCGGCTTCCGGATTCGCTTCTGAGCTGCGTAGACTCGGTCAGGTTATTCCCTTCTATTGGTATGTATCCCCTCCCTGTGTCTGGCAGGTTGCCCCCCTGTAGCGCATTGCAGAAGGAGTCTGGATTCCCATCAGCTGATACTCCTGGATGGCCAATGCTGTTGTGTGGTCAACGGACTGTACCTGGTGCCACCGAAGCTCACTTGCCGCGTGATCCGGTCGCGTTGTCGGCGAGGCAACGCTTGCCGCCAGCACCGATAGGGCACCACACGATGCCTCCAGCAGCGGTGCACCACGGGGAGCTTGGGCTCCTGCTGTCGCGGTTGCCGAAGGCACTCTTGCAGCGTCGACATCTGCGTCGAGCACTACACGCCTGGCGGCCGGGAGTCTTCCGTGGCCGGCTCTCCCAAGTTTATTGCATCCCGCTCCGGTATTGTGATGGATGCTATCCTGGAGGGAATATACCGGGCTTCTGGCCTCCTATCTACGGGCTCGTTGGCTTGAAGTTGCTCCTCTGGTCGAAGGCTACGGTATTCATTGATCAGAATCTCCAGGAACTCTCAATTTCGCACCCGGCGTCATCCAGCTACACTCGCCAGCCATTATCGCCTACTCTGGGACCAGAGAACTTCGCGGTTCATCTAACGACTCTGATGTCCCTGGTCAAGCGATCAGCATCTGGACTCACGTTTAAGAAAATCCTCAATGGTGATCTTCTCGCAACTAGCAGGGATTTCGAGGGGTACGTTGTTTGTCCGTTGGTCAAGAGCTTACCGACTGCGAGGCTCGGTATCACATATGTTATGCAGAGCGTGTTGCGGGACAGAGGAGAGCCGGACGGCAGTCTAAAGACAGCAGATTCGATCCCGGACACTCCGTATTTATACGTGCTTACCGCCAGACCGCTGATAACATCCCTTGGAAGGTCCTTTTCGCCACGACGCTGATGTCTTTGCTCCGGCATTGGAAGAAGGATATGTGCTGCTCCTCGTTCATGGTGAGCATCTCCCTTAGGCGGGACCGCGCGGTCCAGCCTTCACCTGGCAATGCCCACAGGGACTGCTTCAGGCTGCGCAGGTGTTTCAGTAGTTGTCAGCGGAGCTGCTGCCGAGCGGAGCTGCTGCCGGCGGATTCAGGACCGGTGGCCGGGGTGGACGTGGAAGAGGAGATGCACGAGGTCATTGCATCGGATCACTGACCGGAGTTCTAGCTGCTTTCCAACATAGAGAAATGGTTGTCGTCAGAGTGACGAAGGAGGGCTTTCGGGGACGGGATGTTGATTTACAAGGGGCTGGCAGCGAGAGAAAAAAGGGTTGGACTTGGTGTTGGCTAAGGAGCATGGCGATACTACTCCCTTCAGCATATTCACGAGACCGGCGATGTTGCCCGACGTGTTTGTTTTGAAACAAGAGCCGATAGGGTTAGAGCTAGGGGCTGCAGGATCCGATAAATCTCTGATACCAACCTCCTCGGAAGGGGTCAGGGGTCAATTGCGTAGGAGCATCGCTCCGGATCATATATCTTTCGCCAGTTCATCCTGTCCACATCATGCACCCACCGACACTTCTGGCGGACTCAGGCCTATTGTACAGCTGTACGGCTCCGTTCGAGATTTCAGAAACCCTATAGACTCGTAATTCGTCATGTTGTCTAGCCGCTCTCGGAGGTAGGCAGGCCAAGAAGACCAAAGGAAAGTTTTGATTCTTGATCAAATATTGCGGAGACGGATTTCCGTCTATACACGGACACGCGGAGAAGTGGCCGGAACAGAACACACCCGGCTATCACTGTTACGGACAAGGGGTGCCAAGACTCTCAGGGGCGGGATGTATATAAGCGTATGAGTCGCGGGCTACCTTCTAAAGCTCTCCAGCTTCGGAATCTCTGTCGTTCGCGCCTATAGATAGGCAATATACTTATTAGATAGCTTGCTGGCGAGCCATTCCTGACAATCACGATGCGTCGGACGAGGTGATCAAACAACTGTTCGCGCCGAAATATGACATGAATTCGAAGACGTCCAGGTTCAAGTTCCTGGGCGCTCTTCTATGAAAGAGATGATTACTGCTGCGCCTGTGGCGGTCTCTCCCGCCAATTAGGTTGCGCTGTTTGCGGTGTGCGTAAAGCACGCGTAGTGCCTCTTTAAGCTAGGCCCAGTTGGTCTAGCGCGTCAAAGCGCGTCACGTCTCGGTTACAGGTTTTCTCTATTGGCCACCCCATGCTTACGAGAAAGTCACGAGGTTAGCTTTGTTACTCTTGCTCTCAACGCACTCTGTACCCTTTACTCCCTGCTCTGTACTTACTCCATAGTCCCTAGTACTGAGTAGCTCACAATAAACACCTCATGATGGCCGATCGACTTGGATCAGTGATTCATCGACCGTTGGAATGGATGGTTCAGGCAGAAGGGCGTCAAGCAGAAGAAGACGGGCGTTCAACAGTTGCACAAAATCGTGCATTACAAGCACAAGAGCATGCATGGCAAGCAGAAGAGCGTGGAGGACAGACAATAGAGCGTGCAACAGAAGGAGAACTGCCGGTAGCACTGGCAGAAGACCGAGTAGCCTTTTTAGAAGATCGTGCAGCACGAGCAGAACAGCAGCAAGTTGACGTGGACCGCGGACGAACCACCCTTATAACATTCGAACAGCTCACGCAAAAGCTCTACGATCATCTCTACGGAGACTCGATATGTCACCATCAGGGGCATCCTCACTAGCACCCTACGAGACTGGATCTATCCTCCACGTCTTCCACCATGGATAGACTTGCCCCAAAGCTAATAACGTCTCTTCAACGCAGCCTATTTCTACTTCCTTCATCTGTCCATCCAGCTTCTATCCGTCTTTAGCCCTGTCATGTGTTGGACGAGCTAGGTTGACGGGTCTGTTTGTGCGGCTGGGATCCCGGGCATACGGGAGGAAATGAGAGAGCAGGAGGACGTCCAAACCATCGTGAGGGGTGCGTCCCGCGCCAGTCGGGATTTCCCATTCAGCATTGACAGAGCACATTCAAGTTCTCGTTCGGCAGGCCACTTTCTGAGGGGCTGGACGGGGCTCATGCGAGTTTTCCAAAGTTGCTAGAGAATTTCTTGCCAGTCCATGTTGGAAAGTTGACCCGATGGCCTTCTACAACGCTGTATTCCTCAGAAGCCCTTTAGGCTTGGGGTGCACCGTACACCATTATTGATTCACCTCTCTAATTCAATCTCTGACAGTCCTGAATGACAGTTCGAACGCATCCAGTCTTCTGTGTCTACCACAAGCAATCAGACTGAAAAGAGTAAGCCGCAGTGCCGACGCGAAGGCGTAAATACCTCCTGGTCGTGCCAAGCCCAGCTTTTGGGCGCCGACCAACCCGAGTGCACGCCAAGCCCTATTCTTAGTGTTCACCAATCAGGTGCTTGTTGAGCACCCTGATATTTGTCTAGGCAAGTTTGGTCGGGCCTGGTCCTTTTTTTTCATCCTTCAACTTTTCAGCGAAAACCTGCCACTTCTTGATTTGAGTCAGAGCCACTGAGACACAGAGACAACCGTTTCTTAAATGTTTTGATTGACAATCTACCCCTTCTCAATTCACCCCCAACGAGTCTGAGCCACTGGGGCAAGCGGAAAATCCCTGTCTAAGAGTTCTGATCGACGATCCACCACTTCTCCATTCGGCCGAACGAGTCTGAGTCACTGAGACAAGCAGAAAACCAATCGTCTGTCAAGTCCCTGATTGACCATCAACCACTTCTTGGTTGGTCCTGCCTGGTTTGAGTCACTGTGGCAAGCACACAAGGCCAAGATTCCAGGAGGTCTTCGCAAGAGTGAATTCTCACATAGTAGGCAGACGGGACTGCAAATTCAACAAATTCAATTTTGAGGACCTTTCGCTGGAGTCATCTCCTGGTTTTCTCCTCCAGCATCTTTCAGTTAAAATGGGGAAGAATAAAAAGGATCCCGCGGGTTACCCGTATCGCCGGAGAGAACAGTCTCGACATCTCCGAGAATCCTCTACACTATCCACCATGTCTAATACAGCATACTCTGCTGCGGCTTCTGACGCGGCATGCTCTACGAGTCCCGCTCTCCGCCAACTCCGGGATAAAAATGCTGCTATAGCTAGAAAGCGAAAAGAAAGCTCGGAGGAGTATATACTCAAAGATCATTCCCTGGAGGAGGTCCGTCGAGACCTACGAGAGCACTGCAGACTCAAGCTCGAATTATGCCGCTCTAAGAAGGAAGAACTAAGAATGGAACGGGAGGTGATTGAGGAACAACGGGATCTAACGACAGAAGATATTGAACATTACGAGACGCACATGCAGGAATTGGAGCAGGAGATGTACATTCTCCAGAAGGAACCAGATCGCCTTGTTGGAATCGCCCTCCTCGCCAACCGCCAGAATCTTGCACAAAGCTGGGTACATCTAGCTAATGCATACGGAATGGCCCTGGCTACCATTACATCAAGTATGGGCATCAGCGGAAAAGATGATAAAATATGGCCTCATGGAGGACGTGAAGAGGTTGACCAGACCAATTTTCGTCAGCTCTTAATTGCCCGTTATGAATCAGGCCAACAAACAGACCACAGATGGTGCCCCATCACAAAAAGACATCACCATTACAGCATGATACGAGCTGCGCACATTATACCATATGCTCTTGGTGAGACTAACGCTGCCTTTCTTTTTGGCTTACCTCTTGACAGAGGCTATGAGGCCATATGGAATCCAGAGAATGGCTTGTTTCTTCTGAAGGCTATCGAAGAAATGTTTGATCTTGCAGTCATTCAGATCGTACCAGGCTTGAAAGAAGACCACAAAACGCCATGTCTCAAAGTGGTCGTCCTGGATCAGTCATATCCTTTCGGCGAAGATATAGCAGGTAGCTTGGATGGAAGGGAATTGGAATTTCAGGATGGTAATCCAGCACAACCAGCAACTGAGTACCTCTATGTCTCGTGTTTGCTAGCAGCACTACGGAGGAAGCGGTGGGGCTGTCAGGGCTGGAAGGACGACTACAGGAAGCTGTTTGAGGAACCCTCATGGCCAAAAATTCCACTTAACCTTAGCCGCAGCAGTTTATTTGCTCTCGCCACTGCGTGCAACGATATCGGTCGCTTTGAGGAGATCCTGAAGCAGTTTAACTTCGAAGAGACCTCTTCTTCAGCCAGCTCCGAGTTTGACGAAGCCACTCTTACGCTGGCGCTCTTCAGCAAACTCCCCGAATTTGATGAGTTCGGTGAGGTGTGGTCGGAGGATAGTTTGACGGCCGAGTTGAAGGCACAGAGAGACGAGGCACAGGCCGAGTTGGCATTGCTAAAGGCGCAGAAAGACCAGGCAGAGGCTAAGCACAACAGAGAGAGACACATGGCACAGGCTGAGTTGGCCTTGCTAAGGGTGCAGAAAGAGCAGGCAGACGCCAAGCGCGATAGCGAGAGAGACCTGGCACAGGCTGGAATTGCCGTGCTGAGGGCGCAGAACGACCTGGCAGAGGCCGAGCGAGAGAGAGAGAGAGACCGCGCACAGGCTGAGATGGCCGTGCTGAGGACACAGAATGATCAGGCAGAGGCCGATCGCAAGAGAGAGAAGGAGCAGGCAGAGGCTGAGCTTGTGGTTTTGAGGAGAGAGAAAGCGGACTTGGAGACGCGCCTCGCTGAGTGCGAGTCTGAGAACGTACAGCTTCGCAGGCAGAAGGAACGAAAGCCCTCATCATTTGGTGAGACAATATTAGCGAAGCTACGACGATAGAGAATACGCACGTATTCTGAGTGGCCTCTCGCGAACATCTGAAAGCATACACGTCAAGCCCTCCCCAACGGGGACTCCCGTCACCGTGCCCGCCCTATGGTGGTTGACTGATAGGAAGGAAATGACATTGGAAAACGTGTGCACGAAGACGAAAGAGGGATGGAACTGAAATGGAAAGGATGAAAGGAATCAACATGGAGACCATGCGCACCCTTGGTGAAGGATGTGTCAGAAATGGTGGAACCGTTGAGCAAGCGGCCGTGAATGCGGCGACGTCGACAGCATGTATCCTACTCTCAGTTTGCTTTCAATTCACCTCGAAACTCAGAATTGGCTGTGAGAAAGGCATTGCCACGACCTTGTGGCAGCAACATCGTGCCTGGCTTACTACAAATATCTCTCTGTCGCCAATTCCTCCATTCCTGCGCACCTTTTACATACTCTTTTGTCCTCCACTTCATCAATTCAATTGCTCCAAAGCGTGGCAGCTGGGGCGGCAGCATTCTCCTTGCCACCAGCACAGAGACTGCGACTGTGTTGCTATCGTTGTCTCATTACCTCACCGACAACGACCTGTGAATTGCCTTTCCATCATTCATTTTCAATCATCCTTTGTTCTGCAATTCCTCCTCATCTCATAACTATCAGATATCTACAATCCCTTCTTATTTCACTATCACCCACTCTTTTCTAATCAGTGTCCCCTCCTGCCTACACAACCCTCTTATCTCGGAGCTCCTAACTCTTGGTCTGGAGGTGTTATGCTGTTGTGGGCAACAACACAGGTAACGAGCAACCGGGTGACGTGAAAATGAACCACGATGACTATGGGGATCAGGACCCCTAGCTCCCGCCTGCCATTGAGCACGGAGAAGATGGCAACCCAACCAGCCCCGACATGGCTCCGTTTCCATTCCCCACCAATCAAGCTTCTCTCATCATCGACTTGACGCAGACAGACACGGATCCAAAGGAAGCCACAAACGCACCGAATGCCATGGCAGGGAGGATTTCACCTTCCCGTGGACCCAAACACCCTGATGGCACTCTGTCAGAACGGAGGCGGCACTCTCTGCGTCTGCGCCGTCTGCCTCAGGGCTCACTCCAGCGTGATGTTGACCCGTCGCAACTCGGACCACGGCTTTCCGCCTCACTCGCTAATTTTCCGACTCGACAGAGACACGATGGTTTGAGAAGCTCTGCAAAGTCTAGGAACAGTATTTCTTCGACTATCGACGATAGCGGGATGGTTCACTGCGGAAGATCTAAAGATCTCCGCCCGTGGGCGAGAACCGGAGTCCATCTTCCTACTTCCGCCGACCCAGGGAGCTTGTAGGTGGAGCGACGAAAGATGAGGGCCGCTGTGAAGCCACCAACCGAAGGGAATGTGACAGACCATGGCGGCAGGGAAGTTTGCACAGGTGCATGGATATCCTTTGCCGAGGAGGCTCGGCGCTTGTGGACAATTTTGGAGGCCGGCATCTTCTTGAGACAGAAGGTCAGTTTAACTTGCGAAAATTAAGGGTCTCCATGGTGTCCTGGGGTTCATAGACACATCTGAGATGGAATGCCGAACGGGGCGTTTTGGAATGCTTGAAGCATTTTCTCAGCCTTTGCTTGGTTTGATCGGCAATATGCTCGCACAATGGTGAGTTCTTTTGGTCTCTGCCTTGTCTCTTCAACAATATGCCAGCACGACGGTGGAGCTAGTGGTGGGTACTGATGTTCCTCTTCGCTTGAGTTCGACTCGGTCACAGCATGGCAAACCGGTGATGGCAGCGAGTGACGCTCGCTTGTGCACTAGGCGCCATTGCTTCTACATAGACAGCATCACCAACCACCTCGTTCAATGTCTTCTCATCCAACCTTCTCTGTCTCTTCTCTCAGGTTGTGGGCCTTTGGGGGACGATGGCTGGAACCGACGACGACGTACACGTTCATTCATGCCCCAGAGCAGGACAATGTGCGTGATTCAAACTAATACAAACTAATGAAAACCTCGTGCCTGGTCGCCCGGAAGTTCTGATGGTGTTGGACCGTGTATGGTGGTCTAGAATGGGCTGTTCGACTCTCTCTGTGTATCTGTGTATCTGTCTGTCTCCCATCTCTCTGTCTCTCTCTCACACATTTACGCACATATTTTCTTCTCGTAGCATCTCATGGCCATCGCGTGGGTTCATGCCAATAGGTGGAGGGATGATTGGATGTTGGTCAATCGGTCAGTCTGAAGGCGAAACAAGCGAGCATAAAAGGAAAGGAGGGGTCGACCATTCATTCTTTCTTCCTCTCTGCCTTGCTCCAACCCGCCTGGACCATATTCATACACATACATATATGTAAACAAAGAGCCTACCTCACCTCTCCCCGCTAATTCTCCGCCATTTATTCGTGTGAATATATACATATTAAATCCGTCAATTTTCCTTCAACAATTCGGACGAAGCCAACCGGGTCCCGAATAGGGACTTAATCGGGTGCTTTGGATGATTGTTGAATAACAAAAAAAAACCACTCTGTCGCGAAAAATTGCCGACCGGAGCAAGGTTTTCACTTAGATCTCTCTCTCTCGAACACACCGCAGAAATAAATGTGGATGCGATCTTGGGAGAAAAAAGTGTTTTTTTTGCTCCGTTTCGAACCCCATAGAGAGAGGGCAGGGCAGGGCAGGGCAGGGCAGTCTTTGGCGGGGAACAAACACTGAGGGCCCGAGACGAGACCAGGGAAGGGAGATCGTCTTCAGTATTTAAATTGTTCCGCTTGGGGCGCAAGACTATCGAGTGTTTGTGTCTGTGTATGCCTTTCGCAGATAGACACTGTTACGCCAACCTGCTCTGGTGATCAACCAATTGACTCTGTTGGCTTGGCCGATAATTTTTGTTTGCTCACAGACAGCCCGCCAGCCACCCGAGGGGTTGCATTGGCAGGCTACAGTTTTCCTGGCGGTTTTTCGGGTCGTAGCGGTGCTGCTGGCCCCTAGAGCTCGCCCCGGAAGGGCCAAAGCCTCTGCGTATTTCCGCAACTAATCAAAGGCGTCGGCGGGAGAGTTGCGAATAAAACCGCAGAGCAAGATTCACCTGCGTGGTGACATGCGTACCTCACTATCTGGGTTTGCTAATCCTTGGTGTTCGTATACATTTCGTGTATCCATCTCATCTACTTCGTCATACCATTCTGGCACTCGGATCTATACGAGTGCTGCATACTGAGGAAACAGTTGCGAATATAGGCACTGCTACGCAGTCAAGACCAACAGATGTATGCTCATGCTATATGCACGACACTCCGACCCCTCGCCGGGACTGGGAGAATCCAGATCTCTTTAACTAATGGCAATCCTGCGTGTACTCCTCCCTCCGTCAATGGCCCTTTGACGTCCCCTCGGTACCTGCAATGTCCGCAGAGCTTGAATGCGTCTTTGTTGAAACTGGGACGGCAACAATATGCCGGTATATCCACGGAACGCCGATGTTTGAGGCCGAGTCAAACCGAATCGCATCATGGCAGCGCTGCCCCCACCGCCTGCAACCCACAAGCCCTTCGACTGCACGACGCGTGCTACTTCCTGGGGCGTTTTCTTTTCTTTTCCTTGGAAATGAGAGACGTGTTCTTCAAGGTTCCCTGCCCGCACATATCGGTAGCCTAGCTCGTCCGTGCCATTCGAGTACAGATCCGGAAAGCGTCGGTGCTCTGGAATACCGTACATTTGGGGAGAGAAGATTCGGCAGCTTTGGCCCTGCGGATGACAGCCTTTCGCGCGCAGCGTGAGTCCGAGTCCGGGAGGCCGTAGTGCGCACGCCTAGGGGGGCGACTGGTTGGCCCTCTTTCTCGCTGTCACTGTTGCAATGGCGGTTACCATAGTCAGCGGGATCGAGGTGGGGACGAGCAACCAGGTCCGATCGTCGGACGCATGGTATGAAGCACACATTTGAGACGTCCAAGCTCTTCGACGCGTCATTCGGTCCCGCGATCGAATGCATGCCGCTCAACCGTCGCGAGGAGAGCTAACGCGCTTATATTTTCTCGGTTGATGTCGGCGCCCTGAGTGTTCCGGCCACGGTCGCTCCCATGGAGTTTGTCAGAAGGACTGACGGAAGCAGGCTCGATGGTAGCATCCGCAAGGGCTCTATCGCTCTCCAACAGTGTTTTCTCCCAAGCTTCATCGTGGCCTTTATGTCGTTACGGGCGACCGTCTCGTCGTCGGTGATTTGGGGGCAGCACGCTCGATCTGCGGCGACTCTAGGACGCCTCATCTAGGCACAGCGGCGAGGGGGTTTTCACGGAGTGCTGTGCAGGGTTTAAGAGCCTGGACTTCGGCGTGGAGCAGAGGTGGGCTTTGGGGAGCACACAGGCGGTGACGCCCATGCCGGGAACTGGGTCGAGATGAGTCATTGGTGCAGGAAAGGGCCGATAAAAAAAAGTGGACAGAAGATACTCCTCACTATTTGCTTGAGCTGAGGGTGTCGTGGCTGGGGGTGAAATGAAGAAACAAATGATTAACATCAAGACGGCGCTGGACTCGATAGGATAAGACTCCGAAGAGGAGATACTATGGAGTCCAGATCAATGTGGCATGGCCCAGTCTATAGCGCGCTTTGTGTTTTTTTTCTGTGACGTACTAGGCAGCTCACCCGAGTGTGTGCCCTGGTCCTTCACGGGCAAAGTATGACGAGTCACTCAGCTACGCCTGTTTAACTCACACAGTTTTCTGACACACATTTCATACAAACAGTTAATTCCATCAATTGATTCTGTATACATGTCCCCCAATGCGATTAGCCGCGTGCCGCCCGACGAGCCTTTTGGTAGTATTCGTCGGCGTGGTGATCTACGCGGACACAGGCCCTGCTCTCCCAGTCTATTACCCCTCGATGTCCTGGCGGATGGGGGACATCGGTCCCACATGACCCGACTCTCTCTACGAAGCAGAAAGACGATGAACCAAAGGAGGTGCCCACCTCTTCAGGTCCAAACTTCCATGATAATGCACATCTGTGTGTTACGTGAGGAAGTCGCTTCAGAAATCCCATGACAACGCATATCTGTGTATTTTTGGAGGAGCCGTAGTAGATGACCAGGCATTGTAGCGTCCTCAATGCAGAACGAATGTGTGTTATTGGACATGTTGCATAGTTTCACTCGTTCCACGGAAACCGACACATGTGCGCCGTTAGTGATAAAAGAGTAGCAAAGATTCCCTATTCAGCTGAGGCTCAAAGGTTCATGACAATATACATCTATGTGTGGTTGGTGAAAGGGGGCAAGGTCTGTGTGTTTGCACATAGTGAGAGACTAGCCTCGGATTGAAAGACTTATTGCAATGGGCCATGGATTCTGGACACCAAGAGGCTTGCTGTGGTGGGCACTTTGGTCGCACACAGGTTCCGCTTGTCGCTCTACCAAAGCTATGGTGACAAAAGTTCCAAGGGGCTGATTTCCTCATTCGGACGCTCATGAACCAGCAAAGCAATTCGTTCCTTTTTTTTTTCCAGGAACTTTTGCAACCCTTGCTCCCATCCAGTTCATCCTCCAACCGACTCTACTCGCCATATTACCCCTTTAATGCCGGTGCAGTTAATTGTCCATATTCGCCACTGGGACCTTTGGTGATCGTGCCCTTTGGCAAAAAAGAGAGGTGCAGGGACATTCCCGTTACGAATGTACCTAATGCAAGGCCCTTTGTGTCCAGAATCCACTGTCAATATTAATTGACCCACTGGACCTTTTGAACTCAAGGGCGCTAGCACATCGGCTGAAAGCAGTTGTGTCCAAGGCCGTCGTCGAGGCACGCTGCGATGGCTCGACAGGGGGCCTTTGTGGGCCCTCTCACAAACGAACACAAGGGCGTTTTGATGGAACTTTCGCCGTCGTCAAGGGTCGCCGCCTCACCTGAACAGAGATCCATTGTGATCCCTCCCAACACTAATGCACGGGGTGTGCGTTGTCAGGGAAATTTTCCAAGCGACCCTCCACTAAACACAGAGATGTGCGTTGCCATTGGATTGTTGCCCGGTTAGACCTGTTTGCTCAAAGGTTGTTGTCAAGGTCTGTGGACCTTTTTTTTGACAGGGGTTCCAATTTCGATGATCACCCGCACGCTTCGACCGGGGACCCTTGTGAACTCCGCCCACAAACATGTAGGTGTGCGCTGTCAAGGGAATTTTGAACCCAGCGCGCCGACATGCCTGATCTACTATTCGTCCTCCACCAAAATACAGATTTTTATTTCTCGTGGCTACTCCTGCAGTGGAGCCAATGAGAGCCGCATCGGAACCAGCGATTGCCAATACCATTGACTCTTCCTTGTTACACAGAGACCCACCCGTGCGATTCTGGCCAGACACGTTATTTCCCACTGCTATTACCGGTCTCCTCTGTTTTCCTTGTGTCCACTTGGGCCCAGAGGGTCTCTGTGCCCCACCACACACTGGATGGGACATCGCGGGAGTCTTTGGGCTCGCAGAGGTTCCCCGATGCAGCAGAGTGAGGAGATCGGAGTATTGGGACACCTTACCGCGCCACGAGCGACAGAGATGAATGAGAAAGTTGAAGTCCACGAAATAGTATCCCGGCTACGACACGGCCGCATTTTTATCATCAGGCTGACCTTTGCCACGGCGACCCAGCACAAGGAGTTTCCCATGGAAGCGTTTGGCTGCACCCCCTGTTGCGCTACCTAGATCTGTGATTGAATGGATTGAGTCATAAATTACAAATAGGAACGTGTTTTCTTCCAGTCTGGGTTGTCTTTCACTCTTCTATCGATCCTATTGAGTTCGGAACCATCCACCAGGCTCGACTCTTCCAAATACCGAGTCACCCAAGTCTCCAGTCACGAGGCAATTGCCTCGAGCAAACTCTCTGCCCGCGGCCATGGACAGTTTCTATTTATCGCCAACAGCCATGCAAAGTTTCTATCCATTGCCTCCGACAACGGAGGTGGGCCGCACCCTACACACCAACGTAGCAGCCATGTCAGAATTGCATCATGGGAACAAGCATCCGGCCGTCGTCGCAGCCTCTCAACCCACCGCAGAGGCGCCGGCGAAGCAGTCGGTCCGGGAGAAGACAAAAAGATCCAGCAAGGCCTGTAACTACTGCCGCAAGTCCAAGCGGAAGTGCGATGCCAAAGGACCTCCGTGCGGACGCTGCATGCAGATCCAAGAGTCGAAGTGGAGAAAGAGCCTCAAGGGGCAAAAGGAGGCTGAGAGTTGCCTTTACGAGGACGCCGATGGTGGGAGTGCCGAGCGAGGAACAAAGAAGCCGCCATCCATGGAGTCTGCCCAGCCGCACCGTCCATTCGACGCCCCAGGAGAGCAGATGAATCCGACGTTGTTAGGCCATGGGCACTCACAACCCACCTACTGGTACGCCACTCACAACCATTTCTACCACTGCCCGGCACCAATACCTTTACCTATCACACATCGCGTATTACAGAATGATGTAGCAGACCAGTCACAGTCATACAACGCCTTTAGGTAAGGCGCCCGTCCCAACTGTTCTCGAGGTCTCGCCGACCGCGAACGGTGGCAGTTCCAGTTGCCGATCCGAAGGTGGTCCACCTCCTGGGTTTTTCCTGAAATGAGACGGTGGATTCGAGTACACGTCGGTGTCAGGCAATCGCGGCGGCATAGGGCCCATAGGTGGTGTGGGCGGCTTGGGGCAACAGCTGGTTGTACCCGCCGAACCAAGACTCGTTGGCATGGATGAGGGTGTTGGGGCGGTCTGGTGGTGGAATCTGAGAGATTGGGTTTGCCGCGTCTTTGACTTCGCCCCGGGCCATGAAGGGGAGCTTCACTTGTACCAGTCTTTACATTTGAGTCAATCCATCGGCCGCCTTCTTCCTGTGCTTGATTTGCATACTCCCTAATATGGTTGTGGCATGATGTGTATGGCGGTGTAGCACGCTTTATATCTGATCACGCTTCATGGCAAGTAAAGACCTTCCCGACGGGGCCAGCCGACCCTGTTGAGGCCTCCTGCTTCACGAAGACCCGTTCCCCCCCTTCTCGGCTGCCCTGTAGGCCAAAGTACTACAAGTAACGGTCAATCAAAATGTTTCTTTCATCCCGTGGTCAAACTCCCAGTATGCCGCTGTTTGAAAAGAAAAAAAGATTTCCACTGGCGGTTAGTTCTCTACGGCCGGACAAGAGAGAGAGCCTACTAAGTAATTATTACCGTCCGTAGTATTCGAACAGCTAATCGGCCTACCAGCCCCAGGTGCCGGCCAACGCCTAATAAATAACCTGGAACCTGGCAAACACCTAAGCCACTAGGCAAGCCCCCCAAAACACAAACACAAATACTGTACTCAGTACAGTCCCCCGGCGTTTCTCGGCCTTGCTTATTCGCCCTACGTAAATACGGCACGAAGGCTGCACCGGCTTGCGGCCTACGAGCACAGACCCAGCCCTATTCCCCTGCTACTGCTCGTCGTGCTGGCGTTCATAAAATGCGACAACAATTCATCAACGACGACGGCAACGACGGGTTACCTGAATCACCCGGTTCGGTGACGGGTTTTTGGTGCATGCACGCATGCTTGCATGGTGTTGCCGGACCTGTTCCTGCTCGACGGCCCCCTAGCTCTTTCTCGCATCCCTGTCGGACTGAAATTCCTCGCGGTCATCAAGCTCAACGACCCGTGCAAGTGTTCTCTTTCACCGTTTCTTTGGACCGAGGGTTAGTTATTGACCAAGATCGACTGAGGATGGTTATCAATCACTCAATCAATCAATCAATCAGTCAAGAGCAGCAAAGCCACAGAAGTAGCCCCAATTAATCTCTCTTTCTTCTCGTCTTCAGATACAGAACCGGGGAATTGGAGAAGGGACGGAGGGTTTCCTGTTACTTGCTGATCGGCTCCACAGGGGCCAACGTAAGTTTCCAGACGGCGGTAGGGATGCGTGAAGACAGATAGACTCAAGGTCGGAGGTGCTTCCCTACAAGTACTCTCAGCACCCAGCGGTCCGCAACCTCCCACATCCGCAGGCCGCACTAGAAGACTCTCTCACGGCATGAATTTTGGTTTCTATATTTCATTTCTCCGTTACTTCAATCCCTTCAGCGATGGCAGTGTGATTTAGCGCAGCTGGAGGGCATGGTGGGCCGAATTACAACAAGGCCATCATCGAGGGTGTGCTCAGGCAGGCCATTAGGGACGTGTTTACGCGCACATAGGACAGGTAGTGTGAGACAACGGCCATGCCCTCCTCTTGGTACAAAGAGGTCCGTATCTAGAAGATGTGAGATGTCTGGATCCTCTCTCGCTTCCTCTTCTTCCAGTCCCGTCCCCCTTTTCAAGTCAGACCGCGTCGAGTCGCTTCCGGAATCGAGAAAGCATCGTGAACAAGCCGCTCGGAATGACGCGATGCACTGCCGCCGTTCTATTCACGGAAAAGACCTCCAACCCCACAAAGGCAGGGCTGGCATAGACGCTCAGGACCCTGCAACCTGGCGCTTATGATGAAATTTGGCAAAAGGTCAGTTTGCCGTTCAATGTCCAAAACCCGCGTGGCCGATCTTTAGGGCGCAGCGCTCCCAGTTGGAGCGCGAGATGGTGCCTCCCAATCCCTTCGACGATAGACCACACCACCCACAACACCATCCGACAGTTGGCGTTGCCGCTGACATTCGAGGAGGAGAGCCCACGGGTCGCGGCCGGGGAGCGACGAAGAAGGGGAGTTGACTGCGAACAAGTCCAAGAACAGTGTTTCGACAAAGTTCAGCACAACTAGCTGCTGGCTGGTCTCGCACCCACCTGACACGGCACGCATAGATGGACCTTCGATCGCTGCCGTGTACGGGTCTTTGATGGCCGTCCATGTTTGACTGCTGATGGGAGGTCTTCACCCACCAAGAGCAACTTGGTTTTGACAGAGTCATCCACCAGGTTCATCGTGTCGATCAAATGAGCCGGCAACTGCGTGGGTTTGCTCTGTCGCATAAACAGCCGAACCAAGCAAAAGGCTCAGTCGCTGTGAAGCTCCCAGACGACCCGTGACTCGTGGTGGCACGCACGAACAGTCCTCCACATGCACCAGAATCGATACAAAAAACTGTCTTTGTTGACTGGTTGAAGTGTTCAAAGGAGCAAGTGAGAACTCAGGTTGTGAGACAGACAAAGACATGTCATGCCGTCATCGTGTCGCTGAGCAGCGCCCGCGTACTGAGCGTGACTCAGAGGTCCAGAGTCTTCAATCTGCTGAACTGACCGGGCAGGTCAGCCGGGTGTGCGCCCCAAACCTTTATCAGGAAGGAGTAGCGAGGTATAGTCGCGTGAGAGGTTCCTTGGAAAACAATCAATTCAATCATCGATCTAGTTCCGCAGTCTTCGTCTACCTACTGTCGCTGCATCCTCATTGCGTCGCCGCCTCCGACAGCAATGCAGAACCTTCCTCACCGTCGCTATGGCGATGCTGGACTTCAAGCCGCGTTACCACAAGCCGCATCTCATTCACAAGTACCATCATCACAAATCGCCCCCGTGAGTTTCAAGCCCATCGACTCAACAGAAACCGTGTCCTCGGAAACATGGATCAACAGCACCCACACGTCTTCTGACGATGCCCTCACCGCGTCCTTTATTGTTCGAGACGTACAAGCACGCCTATCTGGGCGAGTTCCTGGTCCAGAGTGGAGCGCACATGGAATGACCTCTTCTGGGTGGGACATCCTCCGAAGACTTCTCAAAGACAGTGTCAATCACGACAAATTGCGGTAAGTACAAAGGCTCATTATAAGCTGAGCTGAATCTGATGCGAATAGGTATGACTATTTCCCCGGGACCCAGACCTTTGTCCACCGAATGCCTTCCCACACCCACGACTTGGCCTGTAACGGCTTCGCTCAGATCGTCTTGAGAGAGCTCACCTGGATATGCCACGGTGCACCGGAAAAACAGCAGTTCCTGCGCAGTATTAAGAACTGTTGACTAGTGATGTGGATGGCAAACAAAACTGAGACGTTCATCAACCAGATGCTTTCCTCTGCTGTCGCGGCAATGGATTCTATGGACTTGTAATAGAGGTGGCATATGCGCAGAAATCCAAACAGCTCGAGAAACTGGCCCAGTTCTACCTCTTCGACGCCCATCTTAACACTCAAAAGGTTGTTGGTATTGCTATTGACTATGATCGCTCCAAGAGAGTCACTTTACACACTTGGCAACGCGATAATTCTAATGCAGCCACCAGTGGCCGAATTCAACACTATTCTCAAGTGAGTTCCTCATCCTGCCCACACCAAATCATATCGCCATTAACCTTGATACCTAGGAAGTGCGAACTGAGACTGGCGCGCGAGTCTCTGGCCCTCCTCTTCAGATTTCTGTGTTCGATATCGCACCACCGTCCTTGGTACCGTCCTCCCTCCATGGCGTAACTATTCCGATCTCGCTTGAAGGACTCTGTGATGATATCGAGCTAGGAGAGGACGCGACTACGCAGCGTGAGAGGTATGCTCTAGAGAAGGCACGAAGATTTCAGACCTTGGGTGGCTTGGACTGCAACGATTGTGACTCTTCTGAAGAAGGTGAAAATGAAACTAACGCAGGTACTCGGAGAGTTGATGAAGATTACGTTCTAAGCCGGGCCGGCCTTGAGAGCCCCGAGTCAGGTCTCCCCAATTCAAACCTGTAGCAGAATTGCCGACGCGGCCTACAACTGAAGGCAGAGGGGTCCACCGTCGGTATATGTTCTCTATTGAGGTGACTTTATCGAAGCAAGTGGTGGAATATCGGGCGCCTTATCGAGATCTGGTAGCGACGGAAAATCTTCTCACACTGCGGCAGACGTGCAGAATATGCAGAATCATGAGCGTGGTAAATGGCCAGGACCTCACAGCTAGAAGATAGACAGACAGGTAATCAGATGAAGGAAGAATCGATCTGTGGGGGAAGAGAGCAAAGCCGCAAAGCGTCAGCTGAGTGTAGGTATCCACGCTTACTCTTCAGCTGCCTCTATTACGGAATGTGAGCTTAACCATAACCGCACAGCCTGTCGTATCGCCAACACGGAAAGTGGCTCATCAATCCCCCTTGCTACTATCCAAAAGACCCCAGAATACCCCTGTCCGGCTGCCTCCTCCCGGCGCCTCGAGTCCAGCATGAAGGCTTGCTTCCATTTCCATCGCTCTGACTTCAGGGTAGGCCGGCGTGTATCTCGAGGCCACCCTCTAGAGTGCCACCACATTGTATTGTGTCTTCTCGTTATGCAGCATCAGACATACTAGGTTGTATCGAGTGCGTAATACGCGCGTAATGTACAAAGCCAGTTTTCATTTCCGTCGCTAATCCTGGGGCCCATGCTTTTGAGGAGCAGCCCTAATTATGTCATTCATCAATCCCGCCGTTGAGCCCCAAAGAAGCCTCGCTTTTACTCAGCACTTCCAGGTATCATCATCTTCTTCCCTACTTGGCCTTAGCGCTACATGCTTTTATAGCACTTATTCGTCCCACATGGGCATGTCTTATCACTCCCTCGTAGCTGTGCTATCCGTCCTCCATCTTTCCTTAACCTAAAGTAGCTATCGCTTAACTCCTTACTGGCGTCCATAGTGATCTTCACGAGGATACCGATATGATCTTCGCTATCGGCGCCGATATAGATCCACACTTCGCAGTTCAGATCGAAGGAATAATTAATACACCGCGCCTACGTGTCTGTTTTGCTCACGTCCAGGACTAATCCGTTACCTAAGGGAGTGGAGTAAAACGAGTGGGGTCCGTCAGAGGATTCTAGGATGGCGCGAATCTTCCCCTTATACTCGATCACGAACACGTCGGCTACCACGGGTTTGATAGTGCGTAGGTCCTGCCTGCGGAGGCCGGTGTCGAAGACTTCGAATCTGTGGCGCGGCGGGTTGCTGAAGGGTCGGTTGTGGCATCGCGGTAGGGCGCAGTTCCTGGAGTGACACTCCGTCTTTGTGAATCTGTTGAGGCACGTACTGCTGAGGTATTTCTCATCACATTGATATTGCTAGAATATACTCGAGTTCCTTGTCTGTGACGTGCGGGTACGGAGGATGCGTTGTGTCTCGGCGGCTTGCGAAGGAGAGTCTTGGGGCTAAATCGGTGCTTTGCTCTTGGCTGGCAGAGACAGTGTCGAGACTGGGGTGGCCGCTGTACGCCGGAGCAGTGTCGACTCCCGCCCTGATCGACGACGAGTTTGCGAACGCGTGTGTCTGGGACTGAGCTGGTCCATGGCGAGGAGAGGAGATGATTCGGGATCGAGCCGGGCGGGTGGGGGTAAGAGGCCCAGAGGGTGCGCTTGACGTGAATCCTCATCTGCCGCTGGCATGGAGCAACAGCAGCAGCGGCCTTCCACGAGAACGATTGGGATGCTCCTCATCCATTGACAACTAATCGTCAACGAGGTCGTCGGCAATCTTCCAGCAGTTGACAGGGGCCTGGTATGTCAATATGCACCCCTCGCACACGTTTCGGGCACGCTTACGGGACGGCAGTCGGCATGGCCGCGCTAGCAACGGGTGAATTTGGTTGTGATTTGAAAGGTGTCAGTGGCGACTGCGTCGCACATGGCAACGGTGACTCAGAGCAACCTCTGACACGCTTCGGGAGGGTGGCGAGGTGCAGATATATATTTAAATTGGAAGTGAAGACAAGGGGAGGATGGAGGGGATGAAGAGCGGGAAGAATTGTCGAGGAGGCAGAGATGACCTGAGATGTGCATGCTGAAAGAAACACGCACTCTCTGTTGGGAATATTTATGTATGTGTATGTCACTCACTGATCGGATGACATGTGTATCACTCATCCTCTGAGATGTATGTCACCTAGCTAGGTGATGCATGTGGGTGACAATAGACAGGAGTGAATATCCTCCTCCGCTATTGTTCGCATTCACCTCAGTGCCTTCACCGAAGTGACACACGCCTGATCAGCCTTCGCTTTCACAACACCGACGCATCTGTCACCCACCCTGGCACCCCAGCCACACAGGGAAAAAGACATGAATATTCGCATTGCCCCTCGTCCTGATTCCTCATCCTCTTCCCATCTCACATCATGCTGAGCGTGGAACCAAAGTAAAGAGGCAGCAGAAAGGTTGAATTTGACGATGCCGTTGACCATTTTCGTGAATTCTCCGAGGCCATGTCGCCGTGAATGGCCAGAAGCGAGAGACCGACGCTCGACAACCGCCACGGCAGGGTCCCGTGTTCGTGACCGTAGCTTGGATAGCGAAGAAGACCTCCTCCAACGACGACAGATTCGTCTTGATAACCCATATTACGATGCCGACCGACAGATGAGAGGCAGGAGAGAAATCGCAGAGAGAGCACCCGCTGCGACCACATCTCGCTCACACGATCGTCGTCAACCGAACGACTACGACGGGATGCAAGATTGGCAGCGTGCTTTCTTCGAGGGCCGATCACGCACACAGCAGCTTGCGGCACCGCGGGGGGTGCGGGAGCCAGTTGCGTTGCCCACCCACCAGTCCACAAGAGCTTCCCATGCAACAACACCGGTCTCTCATCCGAAGCCCAACACGACGAGGACCCAGGTGATCGTGACGACAACAACGAAGACCAAGAGAGGAAAGGAAGCGGGGCATGTCACGAAGATTGAAATTTCACGATGGAACGGGTCAGATTCGGCCAGATGCAGTCATCCGTCCTGCAGGTCAGTTCGTTAGCATCCAGGACTGGAGGACAGATGCGGTGAAACAGGGTTGAGGGAGTCAGTGCTGGAAATGGTTCAGCGTGCTGGAGTGGAAATGGCAGTGTGATGATAGCGAGTGGCCAGATGTGCAACTCCACAGAGAGGCATCATGTTGCACGACATGCATGACGTTGATAACTGCATCCAGAGGGTACAAAGCAAGCCATCAGAACTCGACTTGCCACCCTCACATTGCTGGAAGTGGGCGATGGGAATGAAAATGTGAGCCATTCACATGCGACAACTCAAGTGATCAGGCATAAGTACTGTAGGCTCAAATACAGGTCGAGCCAGGAAGGGTCTGAACCCACCCTCCCAGCCCACATTTCTTTCCCTTGCATCTCTTTAGAACATGTCAACTTTAGTATCGGCTTCGGTCTTTCCGCTCGGTGGATCGGTTGGTGGGTGCTGGGGATAGACAAGGATGTTCATCACAGCAGATGAAGTCGAGGAAACAGTAGACTTTACAACCCAGGCGACGACGACGAGGTCAGAAAGTCTCACGTCCAACTCTGGCGTCCCCTGATGGCGCCGTCGGCGGAGTCGACAAGAACCTGCAGCATGGCAAGCATATGTGCCGTGAGAACGACATTCGCGACTTTAATCGTGGCCCTGCCCTCTCACAGGCTGCTGAGCTTTGTGGAGCCTGTCCATGCCTGTCCGGTCGAGCTTGGTGGTTTGAGGTGCCTGGAAGGGCGATGGGCAGAGGACATGGTCTCCATGGTAATCTGGCACACATCCCAGGGAAGGTACTGGAGAACCGACTGGTTGAGTTGGCTGTCTTTGATGAAATCTGTTTGGTCAAACTAAGTCACTCACTGACTGTTTCTTCACTGGGCTGACGTCATGTGCCCATGTCGGCCATATTTTGATTTAAAAAGGTCCTCTCGATCTTTCTTGCCCTCTTATTTTCTCGACCGAGCAAAGACCTGTCTCTTCCATTTTTCTCGGTCACCGACTCATCTTCTACGCTTTTCCTTCCTGGCTTTGCACCGCCTAATCACCTCTCGCCTCTCGCCTGCTGGTGGCAACTTCAGTTCCTTCAATACCATCACGGAATCACCCTCGAGCTGGGCCGATTCTCACCACTCCCACATTGTCTGTACTCGCTACCGCACACAGCACAAGCTTCCCAACTCTTCTCCGTCATGGAATCTCTTGCATTATCGGATATATGCAGTGAGCCGTCGTCCACGTTTTCATCCCCAAAGAAACGAAACCGAGGCGACCTTTCTTCGAGCTCTGAAGAGTACGTCTTCGATAAGAATGTGGGCGACAGGATAAAAGGCCGTGTCCCCGGATCACCAATCCACTCCAGTGAGGGACTCGACATCGAGACCTATCGGGTGGGAGGTCCTGAACTCCCCATGCTCCCTATCAGACATCTTGAGACGCCCAAGGATACTAAAAAGCTGTTCGGCGATCATATCGGAAATGATTTAGCTCAGATTTTGAAAGAATATTCTCTTTGGCCAACAAATCCGTTCTTTGATATGATCACTCTGCTCAGTCTGGCTCGTCCCGATGCAGAACCGCATACCTATGTTTGGACCGAGCTACAATGGTATGATGGTTGTCAGCAACTGTGGACGCAAGCTGCGGATAAGATGCGCTCGAAGTTAAAACAGCTGGGACATCCCGAGATCAGGGTGCTATTAGCAGATCCGCGCGCGATGATTACACCATTTAGTAAAGCGATTCCTATTCGAGACCCTCTCCTCAAAACCTGGCCTTCAGTTGCCGACAAAATTCTCAAAGCTGTCTCCGTCAGACAAAGCTGGCTTACTTTGGATCTGTTGATCCGTGGAAAGGAATGGTATGGAGGAAAGGACGAGGAAAAGTTCAAAGCGGTCCTTCTGATACACTTCGACACCCAGGATGACTGGGAGGGTTCCTTTCTACAGGAAGCTAGAAGCGCCATCAGCAGCGACCCTGTCTACCAGCAGAGAGGTGTAGAGCTCGAGATCCTGCGAGGATATTTGGTAGGAGGTGCCAACAGAACATTCGATACCGATCAACCACCTGCAGTCGGGCACGGAGACGACCTCTTTAATACTATCCCATACATGGGAGCAAGCATCTGCCCGGATTCGTATGTCGGATCTGGTTCTTTTGGCTGCGCTATTACATTGGGAGACTCTGCTACCTATGGTCTTACCGCCTGTCATGTTGCACTGCCGACATCTGACGGTCAAGTTACCTATGCTGATCCCACAGCACAACGAAATATACCGCCTGGACTTGTGAAACTCTTACCTACCGGTGCGGCTTTCGGGAAGATTCCCAACCCCCCGGTGATAAAAATGCCATCCAAGAGCGATCTTGAAGCAGTGAAGAAATATCACCAGGATGAGATCGACGCAATGAATGAAATAGTCACCCGGGAGCTCAAATACGTGGAAGATCTGATAAAGGCAGAGGAGCCAGGAGAGGAGCCATTAATTTCTGGACAACAACGCGACAAATATGAAAGGTATATGCGCGAGATAGTAGGCCATAAGAGCTTACTATCGAAGGCCAATAAGCTTCTCGCAGACATCGATTCATCACGGTGCTCGCTTGGGCCTATCCGTGCGTTTTCCGGCTTCCGAAAGGACGAGAACACTGGAATGATCCTTGACTGGGCTCTCTTTCCAATGCATTCTTCGAAGGGACCGATCCAGAACAGACTACCTTCGCAACCTCCTCACCCTAAGGACCCTAAGCGGTTAATGGAAGAACATTTATTGGGGTTTTCAGCTCCTCTAGGTGGTGAGACTGTCTACAAGGTCGGAAGAACAACCGGATTCACCACTGGCATCGTCAACCCAGCTCCAACATTCATCCACAAGCTCGAGGCGCCAAGTACGAGGGTTTGGCCGGGGGAGCCCGGCAGCCAGAACCCGCAAAGTCCAGAACTTAGTAGGGCTTCGGTAGTAGGTGTCATTCCAATCAACGTGGATGGGAAGTTTCTTGGCCCAGGTGATCCCGGGGCTGTCGTTTTCGATGCTGATGGTATAATGAAAGGACTTATCGTGGCTGGTTGTTACCACCATAGGGTGGCCTATATAACACCCTCGCCCGACCTGCTGAAGGATATCAAGATGATGACTGGAGCGAAAGAGATTGCCTTCCCGAACCCTAGGTATCCGTCAAATCGACCGATGGGGAGTCAAATGCTGATCACAACGAGTGACTCGGTTCAGGGGTGAACAGGAGAGAGTCGACCCCGCTGAGGTGTCTTGTATGGGTATCGCAAGAGACAGAGAGTTTTGCTACTTTATTACAGTGGGACTAGAGCCTTGCAAACAGGCCAGGCTCCTACGAAAACTAATCAAACGAGGACATCGGAGGAAGCATTTGTCGCTGGGGCTTCGAATGCTGATATAGGCAGCGTTTTTGAGAGTCAGCCTTCTCCCAGTTAATACCAGAGCATGAGTAGAACTTGCGCCTCCAGATGTACAAGACTTTGAAGCAAAAAGAATCAGATGAGGCTATTCTACCAAACGTGCCAATGGAAACAGATGTCCACCCACGAAACTGCGGCTCAGGAGAACTTTTCAACAAATCGCAGAACAGGAAATGGGACTGCAAGCATGTTTGCCTCCTTCTTCGGCGGTCTGTGAACCCCACATCTGCCTGCCCAGAACCCAGACGTGCTTCGACGGTCGACTCACGAAGCTGAATGCTGGATGTTGGTCGCGTCCAGATAACCGGTTCTTCGGCCCCAGAAGGAGATGGTCGGTTGACCAGATGGGCTGCCGATGTCGCCGTCACAGATTGGTCGCTAACCGTCACCGCCAAATCCTCCTATTCCAGAATGTGACCCTGTCTTGTTTGACGGCCATGCTGGCTCGCACAATTTCTCACCTGGTAGATCACAGCAAGCCACAGCTCAACAGCACCATCCGCGGGGCTTTTGCAATGACGTGACGGGTTGGATCAAGTTGACGGGGCCCCTCATGTCGCAATTTTACCCAAGCAGGTCTTACTTCAGACCAGCTAACAAATCAAAGCTGGCATAGGCGCCCTTATCTCACCCTCCAGCTGCAGCAAGGCCAGTGGATGCGCCTGTTGCATATGGTTTGTTGTGGTAGAACTACCTTTTCCCTTGCTGAGTGTTTCTCGGGAAGAAAAGGGTAAGCCGCCGGCACGATGGGGTGGCTTGCATCTCTTGTCAGCTGTTGATGGGGTGGGGCCAGTTCCGTAAGGTATGATGCTCGTGTCAGGAGTTGAATCGTCGAACCGGAAGGGGTCGGAAGGGAAAGGAAGAGTACTATATTACTTCGATCCTGCCGGGTTGCATCCGTCCCGTACGTTGGCCATGTTAGTATCGTCCCTCTCCTGATCTTCCCTGCATCATCAGCAACCTCCTCTTGCCAGTGTGTATCGTCTCGGGCTTCATGTCGATGTGTATCGGGAATGCGCATTGACACATGCGTAAGAGTCTGAAGCTCTACTCATTCAGCATCTGATTGACATCCATCATAGCGGACACGTGGCGAAGCTGGGCTTCGAAGGACATCTCGGCGTCTTCTCCGGGGGAGAAAAGTTATGTCCAGCAGGCCAAAGCACTCGAGTAGAGGAGGGAGAAAGCGGGCCTCGGCTAGAGGCAAGACAGGCAGGAATCCTGTAACAGCGGTTAGCGTGCGAGTCGCATAAGAGAAGGTCGCGAACAGATCGGGACACACGGCGCGCAGAGCGCTTGAATTGATGACCATGTTGGACGGTTGCTTTGGCAGCTTAACCATGCCAGGACCAGCGGCGCCACATGCGAACATAGTCGTGACGTCATCAAAAGAAAGGCGCATGTAACAAACTCTAGACAGGCGCAGGCGCAGGAGACAACACGCCTGAACAACCTAGGCTACTCGACACCCCCATCCACCCACGAGCTCTTGAGGAGTGCATTTGAGCAGAACGAAGTCAGATATCCGCAGATTCAGCAACTCGAAATGCTCATCCGCCACCTCATGGGGTGGGACAATCACGAACATTCATCTCTGGCACGTTTCCCCCTTGGCTGTTGTGACATGATTGTCATTCTGTTTGTTAGTCGAAATGGACTGAATTGTCGGGCACAGCTACTCCTACCGTGCATCCAGCCTCGCACCAAAGGTCGTGTTGCCGACACGGAGGAACATTCTGCATGCCCTCACGCAGATGGCACAGTTGAGGGTTCAGCTGGGTGACTCGGACGAGGTGCGCCGCCTGGTTACCACGCCACACGTACATTCGAGGGCAACTCCAGAAAAAAGACTTGATGGCCTGCGTATTTCCAAGAACGAATCGACTCCGATATATGCCGCTCGAACTTACTCTCTGGCCGACTTTGATGATCACCAGACTGGCAACTTTGACATCCCGTTGTTCATGATCTATCATGTTCAATTTTAAGAGTTGGTTTAAATTTTCGGCCTCATCAATTATGTGGTCTGGCGGACGAAGGGTCGTCTCCTGTACGTCGAGTCTCCTTCCTGGTGTGAGGGTCCCAAAGGTCTTCATAAGAAGCCACCGTCCTCTTCGACGGGTCAGACACACAGAGAACAAATCAGACATCATAGCTCCTGCCTGCATATCCTCCACTTCGCAGCCGGGGGCTTGCAAGCATTCCAAGAGTCACACATATCTCGCATACCAATCGCAAGTGTCCGCTACAGAACCAGGCTATGCTGGTGGCACACCGTCACGCAAGCGAGCCCCATGGACCTTCTCAACTTCACCACACCACATATCAACGAGCCTAACAAGCCATGAGAGGATCGAGGCAAAGAAGAGTAACGGGAGCTAATGCACTGCGTTCTCCACCCTTAGTCGGTGAGAAGTTCCAACTCCTACGCGACACTAATGGGAGCACAGAGACAACACCCGTCGAGTAACACCTACTATAGCAAGCTTAAGGAGGCGGTCGGGCCTAACGAACCCTTGGCTGTGGCGATTCCTCTCGCTACACGCCCTTAATCAGTCACAAAACGCGTCCCTACACCTACCACGATTCTTAGTCACCACTTTCGTGTCCTGCGTGTACAGCAGATTCTGGCGCAGATGGTATCTAAACAGGGTATGGAGCTCAAAATCACACCCCTCCGGCCTCGGACGTCTGATTTGGTGGATTACGCTGCACATGCCCTGGGACAACCACAGTCGATTGACTATCTAAGCCAGCACCAGCTTGACACGACGGCAGTGGACTCGGAACCGTCGTTTGAATCCGTTGTCGGCTTTCACACACCGGACAACATCTACATCACCAGCTATTATATATCATATGCTTTGAATAAATGAACCGGGCAGGCGACGCAGGAATCGTGACAGATCTGAATGCTCGGAGCTCGGGGAGTTCTTCCTCCTGTTGACTTCTGATGGATATACTGATGCGTCCTCCGTGCCTGCCACAGGCGTAATCCCCCGGATGGGGCAGACTGAGCACCAGAGCCCGTATCCCCGTTCCAGAGAATTGTCCGCGGGAACCATATTTGAACATCAGCTATGACGAGTATAGGCAGCCCGGAGCATCCTCGAAACATAGCCAATCGTGTGGCTGGGTGGTGGGGTTCTGGCGGTCGAAAGGATTGAACTGCAGATGTATTTCACTGTGCCTTTCGCGGGCGCCCTCGCCGAGATCTCCCCGCCGAGCGTCAAGCTCACATCATAGCTTATTGGGATCAGCGCTGCGGGCGTGTCCCGACACAGCCCGTACTCCAGAAGGAGACAGCATCTGGCCGATCTGGCATATTCGAAGACCTCAGAACAGTTCCCTTTCTCGACAATCTGGCTGATCAAATGCAACACCATATCAGGGTCACATGACGGGTCATGTTCTCTCATTGTCTTGTAGGCAATCTCGATAAATCTATATCCATAAATCAAACTCTTTATACCGCCAGATCCTTCGCTATTACAGCCTCGGGCAGCTTCTCGGGGTGATGGACCATTGTTCGCGTGGTAGTGCGGTGGTCAGCTGATATCGGGAAGAGGAATTGGTCGAGACGGGAGTCGGCGAGAGGCCAGTGGCCACCGGGAACATATCAAACAAAGGAACCCGCGAGCTCTATATGCCAGTCAGCGAATATTAACGCCAGGAATCTGAACAAATGCGGCATCAAGCGACAGCCATGAGTAAGAAACTAGCTTTTTGCTGGTTGGCACACAAAGGAGAGTATTCGCTGGCGTATTGCGTCAACTCACCTTCATCTCTGATGGTGCAAAAAACGCAATGGAGTTTTTGAAGGGCGCAGTTGCCGGGGTACGGTCGGCACGTGACGGCGCCAGCACAACTACGTCATTGTTGCCTGACGACCCTGTCACTTTCACAGAGTGCTTTGTCCTCGTCACTTCAATAGCATTGCGTGACAAGAGTCAGGCTTTGTCCGGCAGGTGAGCCGAGTGGTGCTGCCTAAACCCTACTGGGAAGGTGTTGCGAGTGGCATTTCCAACTAAATTACCCCTTCAACTCTTGTTGTCCCTCTCATTTGCCTCTCACTCTCCAACCCACTTTCACTACCCCTGCAACTTATTCCCCTGGTTTCACAACTAGTTTCACAATCCAACCAATCATGCCACGTGTGCTCTCAAGGAGACCCCCGCCGGTGATCAAGAAAGCCCCCACCGTAAGACTCCCCCTCTAGACAGTCAGGACGCATCAGACTAACAGCTTCACAGAAAAGACCCAAGCTAGCGACTATCTTCGACTGCCTCTTCTGTCCGGGCCAAGACTGTGTCCACGTGAAACTGGACAAGAAGAATCGTGTGGGCTCGCTCAGATGCGGGAACTGTCGCGTGACCTTCGACACCGTTATCCACCACCTCGCGGAGAACGTCGACGTCTACTCTGACTGGGTGGATGCTGCTGGTACGTATATCTACGCTACAGGGTTGCCGAGATTGAAAATTGCTAACGTAAGCAAACCAAATTGTGTAGAGTTCGTCGCCCAGGAAGCCAAGGATAAGAACAAGAACATGTCGTCCTCCGGGCAGGCCACGATGTCGAAGAAGGCATCAGCGGAACCACCAAAGCGCGCGAAAGGGGTGTCAGTCAATCAAGAGCATACGGAAATGGTGAATGTCAATCAAGAGCCCATAGCTCTCTCGCAGACCACGATGTCGAAGAAGGTGTTAGCAAAACAACCAAAGCGTGCGAAAACGGTGTCGGTCAATCAAGAGCATACGGAAACGGTGTCAGTCAATCAACAGCATACGGAAATAGTGAAGGTCAATCAAGAGCCGGTGGTTCCCTCGCAGGCCATGAGATCGAAGAAGACGTCGACGAAACCACGAAAGCGTGCGAGAACGTCAATCGATCAGGAGCATCCGGCGAAACCACCAAAGCGTACGAAAACGATGTCAGTCGATCTGGAATATACGGAAATGGTGAAGGTCAGCGAAGAACCAGGGGCCCCCGCGCAGGCTATGACGTCGGAAGAGACGTCGGCTAAAACACCAGAGCTCGCGGAAACGACGTCAGTCAATCAAGAGCTTATTGAAACAGTCCAGATCAACCAGGAGCGTGCTGAACTAGTCAAAATCATTCAAGAATCCGGAATCCCCTCGCAGGCCACGATGTCGCAGGAGATGTCGGCCAAAGTACCAGAGCCCGCGGAAACGGTGTCGGTCAATCAAGAGCCTGTTGAAACGGTCCAGATCAGCCAGGAACCCATGTCTCCCAAATCACGCAAGAGCCCATGTGATCCTGATCGACACCCACACTAAGGGAAAGAAGAGGACATTGGCTGATCAACAGGCACAGGCGGGATGTACAGCTAGACACTTGTCCGGCATGCGAGAAATGCGTGTGGACAACCTCCAGAGTTTGAAATAAATGGGTCCGGTTGTGCTTATGGGGAACAAACAATGAATATCACAGCGAAGACTTTTCGGTTAGCTGCATGTGCTTACGGGGGATAATATGAATCAGAGTGAATACTCACCGGCTAGCTGCATGTGAATGGGGGACTTCTGTGGGAACTCTCCTCGATGAATAAAATAATCATTGAAAAGCCTCTTTCCTCCCAATTTCTTTGCTCGCCGGCCTCTGCACATGTGCAAATTGTTCGAGAGGCTTGCAACTGGAGAGCTGCCATGCCACAAACTGACCAGCCAGCAGCATGACGGTCAGCAGCAGGCCGAGTCTGCCTCACCCCACCTCACCAGATTGCCAGCGGCCCGAACCTGCTCTCGACAATCTCCACGACTTCAAAAGCTCCATTATGAACTTGTCGGAACACAAGAGAAGTCGATCAGATGGATTCATCTGGGTGAGCAGAGACCAAAAGTCGGTTGGTCGCAAAGACAGAGATACAAAGAACACACCCGGATCATGATTTCTTTGTATCGTCGCCGGTCCGTGTGGCTCACGTGATCTCGCGCCCGGCTCAACTTCAGATCAGGGCCACTCAGCCTCCTCTGAGGACGCTACTTGCTACACCTCTCCATTCACTTTCACAGCTGTCTCAACAATATATCGAACGGCTTCGGAGTAATCTGGGTGTGCCCGCCAGTAGAAGGGTTGCGGGGGCTGTTGATGTCATATTGAAACGTCGCCAAGCACCAAGGAGTGGCTGCACAAAGAGGCGACGGCGAGATCTATCTCGAACAAAGTGCACCAGTACAAAGCTTTATGTGCTCATAATTGCCAAGGCTGGTGTCAGCTGGTGTCGGCCGGCAACGGAATAATTTGCTGCGACCCAGGAATGAATGTTGCCAGGAATGAAAACATTCCGCCACGCGCACGGACCCGTTCCAGAGCTATCAGTAGCTCACCGAGCACTTTCTTTGTCCTTTTAATCCCCTCTACTCCTGTTTTACCCTCTCCACTCCATCTCTGAGCATCCCGTTTGTCTCTTGTCTCTCTCTGTCGTCCAAGTTTGAGACTTCCATCTTGTCTGAAGACGAGACTTTCAGTTCACCTCATCTTTCAGCTTCATTCATTGTCTCAAAACATGACTCCAGAAGGCGGTCTGAATGGTTCGGGCTCGCCTATATCTCAGCGCCATGGTCAGAATACCTTCACGCTCTTCTGTTCCAGCCGTTAACAACTCTCAGATCATCCTTCCGTTTCCCGACCTGAGCAGAGCGCAGCAGCTACACGAAAACCTCCAGCCGGACTTGAGCAAGCGCGTACATATCTACAGCAACTCTACGACGCGCGATTAAGAGACAGAGACTACGATTTCAAGAAGGTCTTCACCTGCAGGATATCTCAGTCTGAGTGGTCAGGTCTATGTTCAGAGCTCGACCTTGAAAGCCCGTGGTCAGAAAGGTACAAGTACGTTCATGTTCATATTCATCTCCCTCTTCTGGCGTCCTTTATTGGTTTCAGATCATCTTACTGAGTCCTTTCCATAGGGGGCCTCGATTTTCATACAACAGCGCTACATCAACTCTCAAAATTTACGCCATGACTTCCTGGATACACGAAACCGTGGTCAGCTTTTTCAGTGAACACTTTCATGTTCTATTCGCTCGTGCCCTCCCAAAACGTCTTCGACAGAAGATTCAAGTTTTCACAGGTCTGAAGGTGGATGGATTTCACCCGCCCTTTGAAGATTCAAGCAAAGTCCCAGATCTCGGAATTTTTATGGACAACGACAATACTGAAGAAATAGACCTTAAATGGGCTCTTGAGGTTGGCTTCTCCGAAAGATATGACGACCTTCTGGAAGACATTCCCATGTTTCTTATCGGCAAAGCGACATGTTCCATGGCTATTCTCGTCAAAATCACGGAAAGTCCAACATATCGATGCCCGCTTGATTTCGACTTGGATATCTGTGAAGGACTCAATATACCTCAGGATGTGGGACAGATTGTTCGAAAGGATTTCTCTCTAGAAGGAGACTACGGCCCGGTGAAGTTCAAAGGACATCAGTGGGCGGGACAGATCTCAGCATTTCTAGAGGTTTGGACTTGCAACCCTCGCACTGGAGAACCAAGACGAAAGAGACTTTCTCGAATGGATATTATTCCTGCAAAAAACTCGTCTCTTCAATTCCAACTCCGCGATTTTCTCTACATGAACGATGATCAAGAGACATCCTTGGATTGGGACGAACTCCGAACGCGACTCAAGGTCTGCCTTCAATCCGAGGCTGTGTCGAGGTGCCGCGCCTGGCTTCACGAAAGTAGAAAGCGTGCAGGTTTGGACGACACTGAGCGACATTTCTGACCGGGGACTTGATCAATGGAGGTATGGTTGTGGTTGGCGATGAATTTCACAGTGTTTTCTTTTGTGACGGGCGTTCGATAAATGCGGGTATGGGCAATGGGGAGGGGGGCTTACTGGGTTGGAGTAGCAGCAGCAGCCAAGGTCGAGCCAGCTTGCTTGGGATATCGGTGACCGCTTTACAATTGGATGGGAATATGTCATGTCATCCGCACCAAAAGGTTCCAACGAAAGGGGTCCGGTTGCATACCTTGCTTCGCGCAGATCCCCTATCACCGGCTTGCCTGATCACACCGGTGTATGAGCTGCATAATTGTGTGAAGATGCCAGCAAGGTATTCATATAGCAAAGAAGCTCTTGTTAGACAATGCCAGAAGTGATCTAAACGTCAACAGGATGTCACTGTCGGCCCACCTTCCTTTATACCTCTGGGCAATCGGTAATAAAAGGTCCGATGGCATGACGTCACCATATATGTGTGGCGCGTCCTCTTCTGTTCTTGCTCAGCCTCGCAAGCGGCTGCATCCTTGTTTTTTTCTTGTCACACGTTGGTTGCAATAGCAACACAGCCGCGCCGCACAGCATCTTGCGGCCGCGTAACATCTCTCCGTGCAAATGTGTCTAAATGACAAAATGGCCCTTCCACAAGATCCTGCTGCTCGGTTTCTACCTCCAACAGGCCCCCAGTGCCCGTGGCCTCTTGCCCTGACTCTCAACTCAATCCTCCTATCCGCACGCACGAGACCTTCAATCCTGTCCAGGTAATCACACCACTATAAGAGAAGGATACACCGCGACAGCATAAACTGTAGCTCGCAGACAAAGTTCGGGAAGATCTGAAAGTTTACATGATCGGGAAGTGTCTTCGGCTCTCAGACGAGCCCTTCGAGTACATATTCAACCTCATCTCCTCCTCCAGATCCCTTGGTCCACGCGCAACGAAGAGCCTGAGAGATTATCACAGTCACCTCTGCAATATTGATAGCTAATTATCCGCTTGCGGCCGTTGGAACGACGACGGACCTGAGCCTCGGCCTTTTTGGCGTTCTGCCAGCGAGGGGGGTTGGACACAGAGCCCTCGGTTTGGATGGCTGAAAGAGACGGCTTCGAGCGAGAGAGGGATTCAGGACATGGCTTTCATGAGATGCATGGCTTCAAGAGACAGTGTTATATTGTTCGCACGTCTTCGCCGCACCACGTGTATCGGAGGGAGCTTGAAAGCCTGGACCTTGGCCTGTGACAAGTGAAACAAAATCTGTGGCAACATAGGGAGGGCCAACTCTTGGGACGGCTCAGGATCGTACAGGCACAGTTCAGAGTGGCTGATACATGACTCGGGTCAAAGCCCAGGAATGGCAACCGAAATGGACTTTTGGAAAGATCAATATTCACCGCCGAGCAAAGTGGGATCATAAGCAAGAACATTTACCTAGCGTTTGCCCTTGATCTGATTTGAGCCGGGTCCTGGGGACTAATCACCCAGGTCAGGGTGGGATACCGAATTTGCTCACCCGATACTTTGAGATTGAGTGGCATCCCAGAAGTATTAGCACCGCTTTGCAATATTCATCACTTGCTATGCGTCTATCGAACTATGTGCCCTTGCTCACTCGTTGCTATGGTCGATCGAGAATGGGACTGCTAAAGCGTAGTACACCTTTGATCGACAGCTGTTGCTCCAACGGTCTTTGTGCACAAGTTCCAAGTAGAGCAGCCCCATGGTAAATGTGTCTCTGCTGACAAGGAAAAGTTCAGCTTTTGCAAGCAGACCCCGTCTGAATACAGACCCTATGCGATTTCAACCTCGTACCCGCAATCGTTCATGTCTTTCTGCAGCCACGCCATCGGGGTCACGTACGTAACATCCATCGACTCCCTACCACACGGCCCTTCGGCACCGCCAACGATGATTCCAACAACCCTGCCGGCGAGATCGAAGACAGCTGACCCGGAATCCCCCCTAACGGAGAAAGGGGTCATGTGGGTGCCAGTAACCACGCAGTATTCCGTCGATTTTGAGTCGTCGTCGTGCCACAAAACCGATTTGAGCCCGTTGAGGTGTCCCCATGTCAAATCGCTTATTCCGCCTCTCTTGGCCACGATTAGGCAAGGGTCCTCTTGCGGGTGAAGCATTTTGGGCGTTCGTAGCTCATCGATTGGTACTACCAATCCAAACCGGAGCAGTTTATCCTCGGATAGCAGCTCCTCGAAGGATGGACTCGTTGGATAAGTCGTCAAGTGACGGGCCAACATTTCTGTATAGTTGGGCGCTCCCGGGCCGAGCCCTGCCTCAACATCGATGATATTTGCCACCGGTCCTGAATGTTTGTCTTCATTGACTCCTATCAGAGCCCAGTCGCGGCGTGGCCAAAACAAATCCGTTGATGGGTTCATGGACTGAGCCGTCTCAAGAGGAGGGGCAATTCTGACATGGCCGAATATACGATCTCTTGTGCTTTGCCATTTGGGTAGTGTTTTGTCCACAAGGTCTCTACTTTCTGCGAGACGGATACGTGCTTCATCCAGCTTCTGCGTTTGTTCGAGTGTGCCCAGCGCCAACTTCTTCTCGAGAGCTGCTAGTCGCATAGAACTCCCGGCCAGGAGAATCGCAGCGCTCTTTGTGACTTTCTCGAGAGTTTTGTCTGAAGGTAACAGGATATCGATACGCGGTTGGCTGGTGTGCTTGTACTGATATTTTTCATCTTTGTCCTTTGTAGGAAAGACGACGTGTCTGGCATGTAACAGCCCATATGCTCCCTCGATGGGGATTGTTCTTGCCGGGTTGGAGGTAGAGACCGAAAGTGCCCTCAGTGCTGGATCCTACAGGGTGGATTAAGTGACCCGGAGTAGCGGTGAGGGAAAGGTGGTGTCCAGCCAGCGCGGAGGGAGGAGATTCGAGAGACAGATGTTTGGGAGATGATCCTGCAGATGCAAGAAATTCCGACTCTCTGATTTCGCAGTGAACGTCGAGGAGCTTACGACCTATTAGAATTGCGACCTGTCAATCTCCGTCAGCACAGAAATCAATCAATTAACGAACGGTAAAGCTGTCTCTGGCGAAAAGTACTTACGCAGGCTTCGACAATAGTCATCCCATCATCCCAGGTTAGGCTTCCTGGGCGAACACCGATCCAGAGCACCACGGGGAGAGGACCCTCTTCTTCACCTACACCAGTGTAGCCGATCCGCAGGATATCGATGGAGGTCCATCTAGTGGTCTCCAGAGCCTCGATTACCTCTGCCTGAAATTCTGCATCCCACGCGTCCCGAATAGGATGCTCGCCTACAGTTCTGAGGCTCTTCGTCCGGTTGAAAGTATGTCCGGGCAGCCAGCCACACTATGACTGTCCACTGGATCGAGCAACCAAGGGAGGACGAGAAGGAAGGCCACTGTAATAACCTTGAATCTCCTGCTCATCCGGCTTATAAGGTCGTGGCTCAACGGAGGTTGGCGTGGGGGCAGGTAGATTAAGGACGGGTGGTGCCAGGGCGGGTGGCTCAGGACCGGTTGAAGTCATCGCTGGTGCCATGGAGGAAGACCTCACTGAGGGCCCAAGCACATTACTGTTGGTACTGTTGCGGCCGTCGCTAGGGGAGGATGCTGCTGTCTGAAGATGATCAAAGTCGGGCGCAGGCACTTCTGGGAGTTCACAGCTGGGACTGGAGCGAATTTCTGGGAGATTGTCATCGAAGCGGTCGCGGGAGTGAGGTACGTGTGAATCTTGCGGGGATTGATCCGTGACCGCATCGTTCTCTGCGACCACTCCGTTCTCCGCGGCGCCATCATTCGTCTTTGAAGAGGTCATTTTCACGGTGCGAGTATAAAGGTGTGATCATTGTTGCTACAAAGGACGACAACATTTCATTCAAGTTTTTGATGGATATGACTATGGTGGCGTAGACGACCTGGAGGCGTCTTTATTAGAGCGGCGACTACTAATGAAAGGCGTGGTCCTTAAGGCGGCGAGATACAATGAACCCTCTATCCAGGACACTGCGTTCGCTCAATCTTAGTGATCACCCATCTTTGTCCCGGACACTCAACGACGCGCAAAGAGTCACTGAAACGGGTTTGTGCGGCGGGCAGATCCCCAAAGCATCGAGCAAGATAGCTTTCGTTATAATCCGAACCATGTATGCGGGAGACGAGATGTTATTCGACTAATTTGAGGACGACTACAGAGAGTTTGATTCCATTGCTACTCCTCTTCTCACACGCAAGAGACATTCTCAAGGATGAACGTCTGCTCTGGCTTACACTCAGGGGTTGCTGTTCCTTACAGGCTGGATCACTCAATGGCGGTGTCTCGGAGGTCCGACTGTTCGTAGTCAGCTTGTCGATATGTCTTTCGCTGCAGAAGGTTAGGAAGGCGCAGGAAACGCTGATACCTGGGCTCGAAGTTGTCACAGCATTCAAGTGGAAGAGGAGGCTTGCATTAGCCCACGTCCTCGGCGTTGCCATGATATTGGATACCCTCGGAAATATGTGCTCTCATTCGTGAGGGCGCCATCAACTGGGAGGCCAAATTGCTGAGAGTCACAGTATTGTGGCCGCCCATCCGACGAAACAGGACGGGCTAACACTCAAGATTCCAGAGGACTATTGCAGGGCGTGACCTAGATGTTCTACAACAAGACTGAATAAGGACCGTCAGAAGTGAGAAAAATGCCCAGCCAGGATTGGTTGTCGGTAGAGGATTTATAACTTTCACATTATCATGCCCCTGGCTGGGGGCCATGTTCGAGCCCTGTCTAAACAAAAATGCTGCTCAAGAGATCCCTGGGGCCGTTGCTTCCAGAAAGAAAAAGTTCATTTGTTGGGGTTCATTTCAATATGTGCAGCCATTCCAAGGCCTCCAGGCTCGCTTCAGCTTTGATGTCTGCTCATTGGATCGTCGAACAGCTGCGCCGTCTGTTTTGCAGTATTCTCTTCGTGGATGAAATTCCAAAAGGTCAATGTCGGCTTTGAGCTCGAGAAATTCTGGAAGGGGACAAACGCCGGTTATCTCCGACTCGGCCGAAGTCCTCGGCCGAAGGTATAACGGACAGTGTTCCCTGCTCAGCAACATGAACACGTACCTGAACACACAAAAAGGGACTCGGAGTGGACAATAGGGGTTGGAGGCGCCGTCGTAAGTGCGCACAGCGGCACGAGAGTTCAGTATGTGCTGCCACAACTGAGTTATCATTGCGAGTGCTGCAACTCTTCGATGATCCTTCTCCTACAATTCATCGATGTCGCGGCCCAAAGCGCGGTAGGTGCCACAACCGCACCGTAGGTTTTTATCTTTGCGTGATGGTCCCCCGAACCGTGGTTTGAGGTACCTGAGCCGCTCCTTGGGTCGCTGTAGTCGTTCCCGTGGCTCACCAAAGGCGTGCATGGGACGTGGGGCGGCCACTGTCTGGCTGAGATAACTCGCGGACGCCAATGCCGCAGCAGGACCAAATCATTGATTCTGAGGCTGAAGAGAGAATTCACTTACAGATTTCCCCGGGGAGAACGGAAGGCAAAGGAAGGGAATTCTTTTGGCCTCTGACACTGCCATCACCACCACTGCCTGTTGGCGAGGGAAAATTCTCTTCGCCACCTACAGCCTTTTTCGAGCAGACTCTTGTACCCGATGTGACATGGTCCCAGAACTTGGTCTTTTGCTCGAAGGTGGATGTGCAGGCATTGCAGAACACGGCAAATCGATGCTGCCTGCTGTTTCTGCCTGAGCCATGAAGCTTGGAAATCTTGCTTTTTCGGTCGTCGGCAATCTTCCTCGACTATTACCAGCTTCGGCGCCATCCATACAGGGTCTTCTGTGGACAGGAGTGGTGATGCGGCGGATAATAGATAGCGAGTCCATCGATGGGGAATCTCGAACTCGAATAAACCCTTGTCAGCCAGCAGGTAGCATGCGCGGCGGAACTTTGAATTTTCGAGTGGTTGGAGCCGCTAAGAGACACTGGAGAAGATCAACGGAGACAGAAATGATATAGGTTAAGGGCACCCAGATAGACGAACTTAACAGAGGGATTGCCCCGGCGCTGGAGACTGTCGAAGTCCAGGTACCGACGAGTTCACGTCCTCCAAGTGATGGACCATCCTCAACCGATGGCTACCATCTTTGCACGCATTGTCGCCCAAAGTCTCATTGAATCGACTGTATAAGACGATTCGAAGGTTGGAGATCAAGTCTGCAGGCACATCGGCTTCATCCCAAAGTCACTCAGCAGGCATGGACAGGCTCAACTTGTCAATGGACCAGGTCTCTTGCTACGAGGAGCAAGGGCTTGCTCAGGTTGTGCTTCGGTGAGATCTTGCTGCTCTGGGTACAACTCTGTGCAAGATGCCATGCCAAAGGATTGCAATGCGCCTATCCCGCGAGAGTCATTTCGATGTCTTCTGTATGATAACAGTCACAGTCAGACCATTTTTCTAACGTTTCTCTCGCGGGGCGGCAGATGACAACTCTTTTGTCCAGGGCACAGCCTCCGTTTCGCAAGGCTTCCTTGCTTCATACCCCTGGTTTGACCAAGACAGCGCCCACAGACAGGTGCTCCGTATTGGACTTTCAAGATGGTTGAGAGTGTAGTTATTCTCAAACTGCCTGGAAACCTGCACAACGTTGTTGTCTCCACTGTTATACTTCTCTTTCGCCCCATTTCTCTTCTCTTCTGCCTCGTCGTGGCTCGTCGTCATCCACACTGCTCACATACCATTTCGACATGCCATTTCGAATGTCGTTCCACGTACGGAACCTTAGCGCCTGTCAGGCACTCCTCGTGCTGCAGACCATCGGACCTGTCACTTGTAGAGGCTGATGATATCGATTTGATTTGTCGCTACAATCTCGCGTCAGGGACGGCACCTCGGATCGATCATGTCTCTGATGCCGGTCACGCCGGTTTATCAGCAGCCTCGGCGCCAAGCCGGATTCTCGCAATTTGATTCGCTCAAGTCCTTTCCACGTCAATGCCTTCATCTGCCTGCATCACGCCGAAAGCTCCATATAACCTCGCAAACCTGGTACTGTGAGATGGGCCATGACTAGCATAACTTGCCATGAGAGTCGGAAGTGGATAGAGCAAGTGCTTCAAAAGTTATAGGCGAACAACCTGATCTTTCTGCTGTCTTGGCGGATGAGTCATCCAGCAAATCCGATAAGTCGGCGTGACCGGAACAAATATCCGGCGCTCCGGTGCGGCACGCCGGCTGCGCACGCAAAAACATCTTGGGGAGAGGGAAGCGGCTGCACTCTCCTGCGCAAAATCCATGTTTTGTTCTTAAGTGGCTTCGTCTGGGAGCTGCCTTGCACGCTTTGCCGGATTCAATTGATTCAGGGTGTGCTCATGACTCCAGGTTCCTCTGACCTGGCAGAAACATTCCCTCCCCCGAAGGTGCAGATCGAACTCAACACCAACGATGGATCCAGCTGCGTGTCGACTGGGACTTTGGCACGACAAATCTCCCACCCTCCGCTTCGAAGCCGCCGCGAATATCGACTCCTCGATCGGAAAAGGCTGACGTCTATCCTGCAGCAGCTCTGCACCACGGTGCTCTGCGCCCATTTCTGACAAGCACATCGATCGCCTCAAGATGTCGGGCGCATCCCACACAAAGGAAAGCAGACTCGCTCTCTCCGCAGGTTTGAACAATAGATGAATGAGGGTGGCCTATGACAGGCGAAGACGCTTAAAAGGCTGTTATCGAGAAAAGACGACGAGAAAGCGGGATCCTGGCCCGATAGACGAGCAACACCATCCAAGTCTCTTTTCGAGGTCCTCGCTGTACTCCTGTTCCACAGCCGGTTCTTACCGAGCCGGGAGATATGTGGAACACGTCCAAGAGAGCCTCATCGTCCTCATGGACAGTCTGCTAACGGCCGAATGAAGAGACGGGCGGGGAGTAGGAGGCCCCGACAAGAGACGAGAACATGCTCAGCTCTGACGTGTCTCTCATTAAAAACAGCGTCCGCCAAGTGGCATTGAAAAAGAGGTCCGTCGGACGGTCATATCTCGTAGTTCGTCTCAGTTGCTGCTTGTAACCCTTCTTGGGTCCATTCACGTTTGGCGCCACCTTGGGGCAAGAGGCTCGATCGATGTCTTTCCTCGTCTTCGTGGGAGTCCTGGCAGGTTCTCTTTTCTTTTCGACAAGTCTCTGGTTTGACTCCGCCGGAAACCCAACTCCAAACAATACTGGAGAGGGTGCTCGTCGAGTGCTTGTTGTTCAGGCGCAGCTCGGAGAGAAAAGGCTCACGAGAAGTGCTAACGCCATGCGGTGATCGCCCCGTGCTGTGCACTGGGGGTGGTAGAGTGGCTGATCTCTTTCTTCGTAGTTGTGGGAGCGTCGAGCTGTTGATAATAAGTTGCTTCAACACTGTTCAGAGGAGAATGGTCGCCGGTGCCATCCACTGATGACCAAGATTGCTCCGACGCTATTGACATCGACGCCCGTTCATTCTCCAATTCTCATGAGCACTCCGCCGGTCCCTAAGTCTTGATATCTCGGAAGTCGGGGACCTTGTTTGAGACGTCCTCTCCTGCAACGAAAACTTGTGAGTGAATTGCCGGTGAGATGCTCTTCTCACAGGAGGATATCTCAGACAAGGTCATCAGGGCATCGAGGTGGATGGACCGGCGCATTGCGTGCGGCGGAAGCCCATGAGGCGGCAGGTTGAAGTAAGAAGTACTCGTGGGGATTGGCGACAGAGTCAACGCCTATACCAGTAGCGTAGATAGCCACCGTTAGCGACCAGCAGGTGACCATCGTGTATGTATCCTTGCCCTTCGACCGAGTAGGGTTGGCTCTGACACCGGCCACACAGTCTTTGTGTTGTTCCATCATGCTTTGATTGTCAACCTCCTCCCGGATGCCATTTGCCTCATGGCCGTCTGCCGCCTGCGGTCCGCCGGTCCCTGCGCCTGGGTGCCCTGACGATCTTATTTGAGATCTCATCTCGAGAGCCCTGTGAGAAGACAGGGCTGGCGTCCTGGTCGCCGTTGTTAATCTCGACCGCGTGCTACATATCGGGCGTGCGACCAAACCGTATCCTCCGGTTCCATCGTGATGCACTCGCGCAGGCGCAGGTGCAGGTGCGACAATGGGCTCGGCAGTTGGCTGTCGTCCCGGAAAGTGTCCAGGAACCATGGGCTCTCGTCGTTGAAGATCCACTTGCTGGCATCCACAATGTCCTCCCTCTCGGAGTCGGGTGGTTGAAAGAACGGCCGCAGCAGGTACGCGACCGTCCACTTGACCTTGGGGTAAAGCGAAGTTGACCTTGATTGTGGCGAATTTGACTGAATGTGTGAGCTCTGAGGTAGGAATTACCTACGCGTGAGAGAGAGCCGGCATGCAGATAGCTCTGAGAGTTATCACTGTGTCGGATCGACATGTTCACCGAGTATTCGTTCTTCTTTCATGTCCCCTCAGTGACCGTGATTCGTTTCGCAGGCAACCACCCGCAGTGTACCCGGATCCATATTGGACTTGCAGTATTGTCGAGAGCTTTGAGCTGCTGCGTCAAGAGTTCACACTTCATTTTCGAATCTCGTTGTTCCGTCTAGGGACTGGCGCTCCATATTGCCTGCGCACGCAGTGCCTCAGGAGACATGTCTTTTAGCACCTCCAGGGGTGGCGAAGAGCTGAAACCTCCCGTCGAATTTGTGCTCATGCTGGCATCGCGGCAAAGGGAATGCTGGCTATACCCTGCACGAGGCTCGGTATAGATATACCGCATGTTGCCTGCATCATGATCTCGTCTCAGAGTTGATATGACAATTGCACGCGAGAAGTAGGGTATTCCCTGTTCGAGGGCAGGCGGTGGATAGAAAGTTCCGCATTTTATGCCTGACGTTGAAATACTGTGCCAAATGCCCTCCATGACTGCGGCAATGTCATCTCGTGCCCCCTCGACGCAGTAGCTTCTGTATGTGTCTCATTGATATTTGCTCCACGACAGAGGGCCGTGCCCATTTCAAATTGCGCAACAGAAAGTCTGCCTGTCTCTGCCTGTCGGCGTCTCGAGATGTGAGAATTGCTGCTGCGGAGTCAACTCATCATCATCATGCAGAACACTTGGCCAATCTGCTTCGGGATCGTCGAAACAGCCAGGATGGCGCTGTGACCGCTCGTGCCATGCAGGCCCTGAGTCGTCCATCGGGATTCTGACGAAACATGGCAGTTTGGATTCCGGCGGGACGCTCTCTGAAGTGGACAGCCTGGTTTGCAGATGCGCGCCTTCTTGCTATCTCGCTGTTGTCACAGTGGCTTGTCGGAGACTCGAGTGATCCGCCATAGAGAAGAATTGTAAGATCGGTGGATTGAACTGCGCAGGTGGCAGGGTGACTGCCACAGAACAATAGCCCTGGATCCGCGGCGTCGATGAAGCCATTGTGCACGAAACGTTCACTGGGATTGCACGGTCTCACAGCCACCATCTGCATACTCCTGCAAATTGCAAGCCTAGCTTTCGGTATGCCGCCGCCGACCTTCTCAAAGCTCAGTGCTCACGCCGGCTTGAGTCGTTGCCGCCGATACTTTGTACCATGCGTCCTTGTCCGCCTCTTTCTGAATCAAGTTCATGCCTGGCGGCACCCCCGAGAGGCACCCGTATTCAACCAATGTGAATACTCGCTTCCGGGAGGCAAATTTGGCCGCAAGGGTATCCATTGACTTGAAAATGCGATTGGGTCGTGTCACAGCGACCAGACAGCCTGACGACGCCTCAGTTGCGGGGACATCAACTGCTCTTGTAGAGCGCGACAACAGTGCTTTGCATATAATCGTGATGACCACCTGAGGGCAAGAGACGTCGCTGAAGACGTGCTGAGGGGTTCATGGCCAGCGTACACATTGTATGCTTGATGTAGTCCTGCTCTTCCTTGGTATGATCCCATTGGACATTGTCCTGCTCTTTCTCAAATCAAACATCTCCGACTCTGGAGGCTAGAGGATCGGCCGCTTCGAGGCGCTCAAGCTCACGCTGGGAAGGATACGGAGGTAGGAAAGTGACTCGTTGGGATATGCTTTCAATCATTGCGTCTCCGCCGAAAGGCCGTAGAAGTGTAGGAGGGTTGGGACGAGATCCGAGATTCCGGTCGGAAGGACTTGGAGGTTGCTGTGCCATCTCGAAGAGTTGAACCAGCAGCAGCGCTGTCAGGACTAACATGAGATACCCGGTCAGCCGCCTGCAACAATATCAAAGATGTGAATACCGCCCTGGCTGAGAAACAGAAGTTGTGTGACGGTGCAGTTGATTGATTGTTGCAGTTTGGGCGGGCAGGCTGTCGGGAGAGGTTGGTCGGCAATTTTGTTGGCTCTGAAGAAGCACAAGAGGAGCTTGATGCTACTTAGAATGTGTATGCGCTTCTCACTATCGCAGTCGCAGATCGAATCGAAGTCTTGAAACCCTTCAGCAGGCAATGAAAGCGAAGACAGAATGGATGCGAGGATAACACAAAGGTTTCACAAAGGGTTCGAGAAATGTTTTGGCACGTGAACGTGATGTAGGGCGAGCCAGTTTCCGATATCGGCTGACGAAGACCGGCACGTGATCTCCGTACCGCTCACCCCATCAAAATCAACCTTTCTTTCCCACAGCTCAGTGGCAGCAATGCACTGCCCAACATCATGCTGCCGTATTGATAATGGAGGCCTTTGCCAACTCAAGTGTGAATAACGTCAACCACGTTGGTGTCCCTGCCATGTAGAGCTAGAATAGAGCGTAGGGTATTGAGAGCGCCGACAATGTTCACGTCGGGAAGGCCAACTTGAATTATTTATTATATTGATAGCTGTTGGTGGCATGAACATCAAAATGTCATGTCTTGTTGGCGGGAGTGAGCAAAAACAGCAGGACCCCATTTTATTGGCGATTGCCAGATGCTGAAAAGCGCGGTGAGCGCGATTTGGTCACGTGCGGCTTGGGTCTTGGCAAAGTGACGAATGACTGTTGTTGCGCCACCACCACAACGATGTTTGTATGGAGCGCCATATCCAACCAGAGTCGGGTCGGGATCAGGTTTAATTCGAGAGGCCCTGTAGCAACTTTTGCAAGAATCAAAAAAGTTGCGAGCTCTCAGAAGTGTTGCAGTCCGGAGAGTGCCCGGGGGAGTAAGCACTAATGCAGGGTTATGCCCCACACTCTTGCAGATGTAAGCACTAATGCAGAACTAGGCACAAGTTTGACGGAGATGTGGGAGCAAACACTAATACATGGATAAGCACTAATGAAGCCATACTCACCACCTTGGAGTGATATCCAATGGAAAGACTCAGAGATATGCGCTAAGGCAGAGAGTAACCACTAACTTCTTCACTCTTTCGAATCGCCAGCAGAACGACCGTCAAGAGAGCAGAAAGCAACTCGACCTGCGAGAAAGATTTTGGCCGGAATGTGTGAGCCTGGAAAGATGTGGCGCGACAGTTTTGATTGGCAATACATGGCTCGGAATCACGTGAAGCTGTGGCTTTGCCTTGTGTGTAATGAAGGCGTCCAGTCATACATGGGCTGTGCACCAAATATGAGCCTTTAATTGGTCACACGGCAAACTGTGCAGCCTCGAATAATTTCAACCCGGTCTCCATGGCAATGTACGAGGTACCATCTGCCGGGTGACTACCACAACCGAAGCTCTGTTGTTTCCACAACACATCAGCTAAGTGAATGTAGGTCGACCTCTGGGTGACCTCTAGCGTCATCCCATATTATGCTCGTCGATGCTTTCTTTCTCTTCACAACCCACATCAAATAATACAACAAGCCATTATCGAACAAGCAGTGCGATAAAAAGTCTTCAGAATAAGAATCGATCCGTCGCAGAGGTTTTCTATGCGGCAAATTCACAGAAAATGTTCGCAGGAGTATCAAAGTGACAAGAGTGGATGAATTGCGGCAGCATTCACGGACTGTCCGAAAGATTGGAGGATTTCCGTGTAAATGGCACGTGACAAGGCGAAAACAGATCTGCGACAGGGAAAGGGTTGATGGGAAATCGCAGGACTTGGCGGGCGCACACCGAGACGGCTTTCCGGTTTTTGCCGAGGGAAAGCGCAAAAGAGGACGACCAAGTCATGTTGGCGGGAAAAAATTGGGTGCACAACGAAAACTCACGTGAACCCACGTGATATCAGTCCGACCGCTGCCACACAGTATGGCTCCTGCGTCAAACGCAACATCAACAACTCTTATACTCTCCGAGAACCTTGCCTTCACGCGGAACTGGCTTTCTGCGCGCTGAAATATCCCCGAATATCCCTCGAGGCTTCAAATTCACTTAGCAGCAGATGGCAGGCTCGCCGGCGCCGAGTTTCTACCTTCGGGCACCACCTTTGTCGCTAATATAGGGTCATTGATCGTCGAAGCGACTGTACAGCGGCCGTCCGTGCTGCGGATAGTCTACGCCATCTCTGTTATGCTATTCTGGGACCGCTGGCTGTCTTCAAACGTGAGCTACGCGACGCCAAGCCCATCCAGCTCCCTCATCGTGCAAGCTACGACGATGGGGTTCGAGAAGTCTTACGATTTTTGGCCGCTCTGAGGCTTATGGAGGCTGTCTCGGAACCACCAAGCCCGAGATGACGCTCAGAGACTTGTCAGTTCCTTGGCAAACGCTCGTCGCCGCCGCCGAGATTCGCCGCTCCAAATGTGACGCCGACGACCCCCTGTCAACGCCATGAATCTTTCATCTTTCCACACCATACTTTATGGGCTATAAAACCGTCCCGTTCTGGATCTCGACAGCTAAAAATCTTCGATCCAAGCCTTCGAATGACTGCAAACGAGGCTGAAAGCAAATATCGGCCGATATTCCGAGCAGATTTCTCAAGTTTTCTCGCCGCCGCAGGCCGGGAGTGCTACAAGTCTACACTGCCAATGGAGAGCTCGGGGAGACGCATCGAACGATATCATCTGGGACACTCCAGAGCTTGAATTGCGTGAATGCGAGACTCAAACGGATCTCCCATACAAATTTGGGGCCAAAACTTGGAAATTTCGAAAATTCTAAAACTAGTCAAAAGCAGTCAAGAATAGTCCCAGAAGAAAGAGCGGCTTACAAAATGCACGGGGCTGTGCTTTGGAACCGTGCAAGACGCGTGGTGCTCGCGCTAGAGCGGGTTTTGTCGACGCCAAGTGCGATTTTCGTCGTCGGCGCGACGCTGGGGTATCGCCATATCAGGTCCACAGCGCACTTGATGCATCCTCCGAGGATGTTCAACATCAAACCTGACTCGGAGGCTATTCATTGACCACGCAATTCGCTTCAGGCGCGAATGGCAGCTCGCTGTCGAATCGGATTTTTCACGTCCGGGGGGGGGCGACCTTGGGATTTCGCAAAATCAGGTCTACAGTGCGTTCACTATATTGTCCAAGGATGTTTTACACGAAATGAAACCCAGAGGGTACTCGCCGAACGTGGAACTTGCTCCAACCGCGAATGGTAGCTCGCTGTCAAAATGGATTTTTCACGCCAGCGAACCGACCTGGGATATCGCCAAATCAGCTCCACAGCGCATTCAACACATTATCCGAGGATGTTCAACACGCTATGAGACTTGGCAATCTCTTGTTAAGCACGGAAGTTGCTTCTGCCGCGAATGGTAGTTCGCTGACGACCCCGGATTTTTTGCGTATTTCCCCCCAACGAACCGATTCTGGCATATCTCCAAATCAACCCCATGGCGCGTTTAAGGTATTATCCGAGGATATTCGAATCCGAATCAGACTCAGAGGCTACTTGCGGACGATTGGAGCCGCTTTGGCCGCGAATGGGAGCTCGCTGCCGACCCCGATTTTTTTACGATTTTCTCCGTCGACGAGCTGACGCCGCAAATCAGGTCAATAGCATACGCAATGCCTCGTCTGAGGATGTTCGACACGCAATGAGACTCCGCAGCTGCTTATTGAGCCTGCAGGCCGCGTCAAGGGTGATTGGTAGCTTGCTGTCGAACCGGTTTTTCCGCGACTTTTTTGCGTCGGCATTGGACGGTGTTGGAGTTCAGAATGCGGTCAGGGGACTTGAATCTGGAAGGTTCCAGCCATTATTTCTTTCACGACCTTGCTCCGGTTCGGGTTTGACGCCGATTCGTCCGAAAGCCGCTCGGAAAAAGTCGTCCTCGCCAACGTCACCGATATCTTTCGCCTCTATACCAAACTGTCAGCTTCGATCGCACGGCAATACCATCTCTCTGGATATCGAGTCCATCTTCGATTCCTCCATGCAATTGGGGTGTTCAGTTCAGCCCCAAAGACATATGCCGGGTAACTGGACGATGGGCGAAACATGATGCTGCATTTATGGCATTGTCCTCTGGCATGATCGTACACGGCACCATGACGATTGTCCAAGGAACCTGTCCGCGTGCACCCACTGGTTGGCAGGAAATGAGAAATTCATTCATCCTGAACAAGAGTGGGTGATGATGGGATGCTCTACCGACCCGTGAAGGAGGGGCCCAGGCTCTCATCCCAGCCTGTGGTGGGAGAACTGTGTTGAGACTTTGGTCCACCTCTCCGGACGCTCGCCCTGCAAGAACGGCGAGAGAAAACAATCAAAGGTCCCAGGCACCCAGCGTTGTGCAGGCGAATTCGGGCCGATCAAGTCGTGGAAGGGTCACATCCATCACGTGATACTTGTCTCCCGAGCAGTGCCGTTGGTTTAGCCTTTTTCTCCAGCTTGGTGTCCCGGATATCTTTTCCGTCCCCAGGGCGAGGAACCAAATGCCTTTGCATTGTCGGCGCTTGCACTCAGACATTATCGATACGTTTCCGGAAGATATTGTGCAACCACACCTGTAAGAAATATCCAGCAAACACACCATCAAAGGGTGCCGACGTCATGGGGACTCCTTACCTTGTCTGGATACTTGATGTGTCAAGGCTCCAGCCCTTCTGATGTCATCTATGAAGCCCTCCTCGAGGTTTGCTTTGGACTCCTCTGCAGATCCATCTACTAGGTCCTCTTCGAAGTCGTTCCTGGGGTGCGTTTTGAACATTCTGTCGAGGCCTTCCTGTCTAGTCCCCGACTCTTCGAGTATCGTTTGGTGAAGACAAAGAAGGTCTCTGATCCAACCGTGAAGTCTTCTCTCGCCACAACGACACCGCCGGCTGTGCTTGAATTCATCGCACATGTCTTGGAGCTCTTTGCACCTGACCTCAGCTTCTCCGTCAACTTGACAATGGGCCCTCACGAACCGATCACATCGAGGAGATGGCATTGCACGACATTCGGCTGCCAGGTGCAACGGCGACGACGACCTTGGTCTGGACGGAACAGTACCCTCGGCTTCAATAAAGTGGACACTGAGTTAGACCGAAGCGGCGACCTGCGTCAGAATAGCGCTGGCTGCACTGGGCCCAGATCATCATGAGATCCCGTTCCTGGTGAGACTGCCGCACCTCAACAAAGATATATATCGGTAGACCCTCTGTCTTCACCCGTCAACCGCACCGGCAGTTCGGCTACGGATTCGAGTTGGGGCCGACCTTACTCAGGGCTCACACGGCCGGCTTGGCTCTGAACGTAATCTTTACCAACCCTCCCAGGACCTGCGTTGTCTTCATCTTCATCTTCCTGGGAAGAGTCGCTATCATTGCGGTCCAGGTCGCCTAAGCTGTGAGATCTTCGTGGTAGTTCACAGTCTTTGTCCTGCCGTCGGACTCAAGATGAGCCGACCGACGTCTTGATACGTGACGTGCGACGCCAGTCTCCAGATCAATGTGAACTTCATAAGGTGGTTGAAGACGAGGAGATAAAGATTATGTTGTCGAAGGAGTTCTGGGAGGATTGTCTTGTCAGGTGAGTTTTCAGACTCGGGAGCCCGCCCTTTGGTGCGTTTGATGCCAATCTCCCGGTCAACGTGAACTTCGTGGAGCGACTTATGAGCGGGGGACTCGGATTGTCGATGGAGGAGCTCCGGTTCTAGGCCAAGATAGCTGAGACTGCACCGCGGCCGCGACCAATCGGGTGTTGCGCAGGGATAGGGATGCGGACCAAGTCAAACTCAATGTCGGAGGGGGGTCTTTGGTTACGTTACGTTATAAATTTGACCAAGATGCTCCAAATTTAAACTGCGACGACAGTCAAAGACGCGTGCGAGGCCCAACCAGGGGAAAAAATCGTGGCTTGAGACTTCTTCCTTCTGGAAGCATGTTGGCGAAATGTTGCCAGTTTGCACATAATTCTCCAGAGAGAGATTCTACGTTTGTGATTGGTGGATGGCGGCCAAGTATGACGTCGCCCGTGCACTGATTGGCGGAGCTCATTCGGACCGAGGCTGTTGTGATATAAACCCTCTGGTCTCTATCGTTTCGCAACAAAACACCCTGATAATTCTCGGAGTGGCCGAGACCATTGCATAACCCGCCGTCCTTGCTTGGTGGGTGTCGAGCTGCATTTGGCGTCGAACGCATCCAACATCCGAGCAAGTCCGAAGTCCGAACACAGGTTTGGATGTACCCCTTGGCATTCAAAGTGCAATGCGGCGCAGGTCCTTACCCGCATCATTCCTTTCGTTTCGATTTTCTGACGATGGGCAGCCAAAAAGGCCCAAACACCTTGATCACACGATGGATTTCGGTATGGCTGGAGCGTGGACGACTCTCGGCTATTAGTCGGCTAAATGCGAGGTTTCCGCCGCAGGGTTTCCGCATGCATATATAGCTGAAGCAGATTCTGTCGGCCTCTTGGATCATCTCCAAGTGACAAAATCTTGTATCAGTGGGCTGATCATTCTATCTGTTTGAGATCTGGTATCGTATTGACCCTTCTTCGGTGGTGGCAATGAGCCTGATACAAACAATAAACGCGGTCGGTGCAAAGCGCTCGGGCTTTCCTGGGGAGAGATGGGAATACCAGTGCAATATGGTAGTGAGAGGAATGACAATCTGAAAGGGAGGAAGGAAGGAAGGTAGGGTGGAAGGCAAGGGTAGAGTAGGATGAGATGTTGGAATAGGTTCAACCGCAACAGTCACAGACACCAGGCTCTGATACGAGGAATATGTAGTACAAGGACTGGCTGGTCTCCCAAGCCAGAAGCTGACGTCCCGTCGTTGCCTCCACAAGCCTTCCGAGCAGGGCCGCGATCCTCAATCACGGTTTCCATATTGTGGCATGCAGGCTATCCTAGTCCTTCTCCTCCTCCCACCAGCTGCTCTCTGCTTCTGGGGACGCGTGCACATGCATGGCCGGCCATTGACGACTGTTTTTCAAAGAAATAGCCTTTACCGTGGTTTGTCTGAGAGGCACAAAATCTGAACGCACTTTGTTCAGGAGGCTGGAGAGACACTAAGATGCACGTTATTCGGATGTGTAGGAATCACTTGAGACGCACTTTGTTGGGGGTGCGCACAGGCATTTAAGTGCACTTCCTTTGGATACGCACAGATTCCCTGAGATGCATATATGCCCTTCGGAGCAGCAGAAGGCCTTTGAGATGCAGACTTCCCCGGCGTTTCACTCCTGCTATATCATATAGACCGGGCTTGGAACACTACGTGTTTACACGGATCCATGAACAGGTGATGGAATGTGCGCATTGTTCCAGTTGATCGTGGAGTGGAGTTGGAGCTGGAGCTGAACCTGAATATAAAGCTGCCGGTGAGATTCAGGCTATTCCGCGGTGCTCCAGCTACCACCCACCCCCATTGAGGTCATTGGAATCCACCGCAATGAGTGACCCTGACCTGTTCGAGAGGTTGCAGAGTTTGGTGTTGGTCGCGGCATTGAGCTCACTACCCTCAACCCAAGGGCGGATGGGATACTAGGGATCAAATAGATGGAATAACTGGTCTATTGATTCAAGCTGTCGAACGTCTCCAAGCATAGATAGAGTCTGCCTCTGCTGAGTATGCCTGCAGAAACCTCGCTCTTATCCGGTTGTTGAGTCAGAGCAGCCTGGATCAGGTGGCGATTTCGTGACATGTGGCCTGAGACGTAGCTGTCGTCGATAGGGGTGGAAGAGATAATTCCTCCACGGGGATTTCAGCGGACTGGACGTGGTGAAATGAAAGCCCACCACCTGCCTACATCCGGCAATTTCTTCAACTCTGCTGGCCGTCTGGCTGACTGGCTGGCTCGGTCAAAGCCATCCGTACACCAGAACTCGCGGTCGTCCATCATCCTCCAGCCAAAGCTGTGGGCTTCCCCGCGACGATGAGAAGGACCATATCCACATCCACATCCACACCCACAACCACATCACACCATACCACACTACATTACACCAGATGGAGACATCTCATAGCACCTGGATGACCCGCTCGCGTCCTGTCCACCATAGGGAGCGATAAATACCGTCTCACGGTGTCCCGCCACGGAGGTGTGGTGTCACAAGCATACCTCGACTCTACTCCCGAGATCAAAAACTGCGCTTTGTTGATCTGTCCATCCGACTGCGGAATGCGAGCGATACTCGTAAGATAAGATGATCGGACTGCTGATGTTGGGCTCGTTCCCCTGCCCCTGCCTAGCCTGGCCGTCTTGGTATGTATATGATGTGCAAAGAAAGTCGGAGTGCGGTTACGCTCGGGTGGGCCATGTAAAAAGCGCCAAAATGCCATTCGTAATAAGTTTCCCAGTAACGATTCGATTTTTGGAACTAACTAATAACATCTAAATAGTAAAAACGACTGGCTGTGGTGCGGTGGCCATTACTATAGGATGCAAACTCGATAGCATGCTCGACTCTTACGTCCTAGGCGTCATGTCTAATTTGGTGGGGCTCATCACGGCACTGAATGTGCTGGTGTTTCGGTACGGGTGGTACATGGTGCTCATCCTGGTCGAGATGACCACCTTTTCCTCTTGCTGAAGAAACGGGAGACGCTGGTGCTGACCCTTGGGTTAGAGAAATTCATCAGCGTCAAGAACGACAACGACACTCGGGTGCGGGATAGCATAAATGGATGGATGACCGTGTTCAGCTATAGCCAATTCCCACGCTAGATCGCACCCTTCGACACCGGGACCGACTTCTGGGTGAAGCTGAAGACGAGCCGGGCGGCAACGACCTGCCTTTTTGAAGCCGCCGACACTCTGGTGCTCTACTGCGGGCGCACCCTGGCCTGGAGCTTCATCGTGTATCGAGGTCGTGCTGGACAGGCCACTGTGGGTGACGTCATTGCCTTCACAGGTCGCCGGGGGCTTCTCATGTACCCTGTCATGTTTCTCAGCCCCGACACCAGCTCCAAAATCGACATGCTCATCAACGCCAATCAGCTGAGACGGATCATTGCCATAGAGTCCGGCATGAATGAAGCCGGTTCCAGGCTCGAGGTCAGGCGGGATGGCGACATTGACTTGCGTAACGTCAGTTACTCATACCCCGGGGCGGAGCCGGATAGTCCTCCATTCATCAGAGAAATGAGCTTGGTAGTCAGAAAATGAAACACGATCGCCATCGTCGGGCCAAGCGGTGCAGGGAAGACCACAATCCTGAATTTCATCGCGCGCCGAGCCGTGCCAACCACTGGTCAGGTTCTCATCCATGGCCAGGATATCCAGACGGTGAAGATCAGCTCGTACGTTTTGCTGCCATCCCAGGCTTTGTTCTTACTGACATGTATGTCGTCCGTAGCGTCCTCGAACGCACCGGGTTGATTCCTCAAAGCCTGTTTGTGTTTAACGCCACGGTCAGGCACAATGTCGCATATGGAAACCAGGGTGCCACAGATGAACAAGTCCACGAGGCCTTTCAATGCGCCGACATTCACGACATTATCATGTCGCGTACGAACGAGGACCAGGCGGCCATGGGGAACAACGGGACGTGAGTAGACCATATGCTCTCTTCTGAAGCCAGCTAGCTGACGATCTCTGGTCTCGCAGGAATTTCTCGGGTGGGGAGCACCAGCGCCTCAAGCTCGGCCGTCTGTTCCTCAAGGACCCTCGTCCGGACATCGTGTTGATCGACGATGCAACGAGCGCACTGGACGCCGAGTCCGAGGCTTTCACTCGTGAGAGCATGCGAAAGGAGTTTTCAGGCAAGACCGTCATCATTATAGCGTAGGTTCCTTCCTCAATCAGTTAGTCATTCAGACAGTCCCAGAACCTTTCTGTCCCCGTGGAAGTATAGAGACGTACTGTTCATGTTGTTCTCTCTATTTGTTTCCATTTCTCTTCCCGCCGGTGATCGACCCTCCCATGTGGACCTCTCCCTGAAGGAGCCCCCCTTCCTCTTCTCTTGTCTTTCCGGGTTGTTTCCCCCGTCTCTTGCACCCTTCTCTTTCCTTCTGCCACTTCCCACTTCCTTCTATCGGCAGAAGCAGAAGAAGAAAAGAAGAAGAGAAGGAGTAGAGAGAGTTCGTTGTGACGGTAGCCGGCACGGTCCGCATGCGGAGAGGAAAAAGAAGAGAGAGGATGGGTGTGGGTATCGGGATGGGAGAGGCGGAGAAGGAAATAGAAAGGAAACAAGGTGTGAACGGCGTAAGGAGTGCCACTGACTCGATTCAAATGCCTCAATAGCGTCTATATCGTGTAAATGGACCATCTCTCTCTGAGCATGTGGGATAGACAGGCACCTTAGAAGGATGCAGGCAGATGATACCCGAAACCGGGAGGAAAGTATGCCGACAATGTCACGTGCTCACAGCAGCCGGGCGGTGACGGGACCAAGTTGATCAGATCCATATTCTTTCCAGGGCATTTTCAATCGGTGACCTGAGGGCGCCTCGTGTTACGAGATGGTTGGTCGAACAACTGACTAGCTGTCCCAGAGAGCAGATCAATTGGCTGTGCCTTGAACCGCCTGTCTCGACATGGACGTATTGAATCCTTGGGATCCGTTCATCATCCGAGTCCCTTGTGACAACCATGGGGCAGCTGGTTGTCGAACGAACGCCACCACAATTTCCGATGGTAATAGGCTCTGGGAGCACCAACGCCCTGGTGGAGCCGAACAGGGCCCAGGCCGAGAGCTCTCCTTGGGCTATAAAGTCCGCGGCTCGCACAGCAAAGCTCAATCCTCCCTGTTCACGCTCCTCCCACACAGCAATTCTGGAAATGTCTTATCACTCCTGGCCTGGCTCACTACCGTATCACCCGTACCATCTCATGCCTCAACCTGCACCAGCAACGGTGATGACTAGCTTTCAGCAGCCCGGCCCCTCGGTCCCCCCCTCGGACGCTGCTCTTTTCTCCTCGGCGTCTCACAGTGGCATCCCAACAATGGTCAGCCATGGCACAGCCCTCTCCCCCCAGGGCGGCCACGCTATACCTAATCCCTTTTTCCCCTCCAGATGGGATGCACATTTCTACCCCCCAGCATTCGGAGACCCCTTCACCATGCAGCAGCCCCCACTGCCCGGCCCCCCTACTGGGCTCTATCCGCCCCAGCTCCAAGGGCTTCCTCGTATGTCGCAGCCGGGGCTGAGACCTGGTCTGAACGGCAGCGAGATATCGATCCCAAGTTCGGCACACCGTCTTCAACTGCTCCCCGAGGTAGAGCGCCTCAACTTTGCCCCGGAGATGTCATCGCATACAGGGACTCTGTTCTTCCAGGACGACAAATCCCGCATTCATTTCGACTTCACTGGGCGAGTTGTAGCCCGCCCACAAGACGGACGCTCGTACATAAACATCGATGGCACACTGGCTTGCTTTCTCCGAAACAACTTTGAGGTCAACAGCTGTCGTTTCTGGCTGCCGACATTCTCTGCCGGTAGGGTGGTTTGCTTCGAAGGACGCCGCAACTCCGGAAAGCCGCTCCAGGGTCAAGTTATGGGCTTTAGCATCGTTGTCTCGGCCGTGGCGAGCACGCGGGACGTCGTGGACCTGGTCCAGGATACGCGCATGGGCGACAAAGTCACCTTCACAAAGCCAGAGGCAGCAAAGCTGCTTCCAGGCAAACCCGAGGAGCCTGTCGGTCAGGCGAACAGGTACAAGGGGGTACCCGCAATTCCTTTTCAGACACTGGAGGGCTGCGACTCACTCCACGACTTCAAGCGCCTGCGGTTCGGGAGGGCCACGATGAACAACACGAAGCGTCGCCCGAGGCGCCAGGAGTACTTCAAGATCCGCCTCGAGCTCCAGATCCGAGTCAAGGACGACAAAACCCAGGTGGTGTACCAGCTCGCGCTCGCCCACAAGGACACGAACGAGTTCATCGTGCTGAGGGGGGCCCCACGGTCGGGGGGACGACGTGCTGACGAGAACCCTCCAGTGTCGACACCTTTGGCTGTTCCCATTACGACGGCGCAACGGCCGGGGACGCGGCGCCTTGCCCCTCGACCACCGAGGTGACTGGCGGAAGGGTCTTTCTTCTGGTTTTTTCCTTTGGTTTCTGTTTATCCGCGGAACTGGAGGATGGTGCAGCAGTGTGTGTGTGTGTGTGAGTGTGTGAGAGAGAGAGGGGATACGCACTGGCTATACAGGTTGACCCCTTGTGCTTGATTTTGTTTATCTGCTTATTTATTTCCTGGCCTGCAGATTGGTTCGTGGCGGGTGAGGCTGGACAGCAACTCAGCCCGAAAAAAGAGTCTCCCTCCCCGTCAACACTGACCTCTCTTTGAAGGGCCAGAACTTATCGTCGCGGTAATCTTGATAGCTGAATACATCTTTTCCTGAAGTATATTGCCTGTCAATCAGATAGATTGGTGTGTTTCAACTCGTAACGGCCCTCACCTGCTGACTACGAGGCCAACGCCCGTCCAGGGATATACACCTTCATAGGTACTATAGCCTAAGTCAGAGCCCTGTTCGTCCTGCCTGATCCTGGCCCCTTCGACCAGCCAGAACACGCCTGGACGATACGGGTCGTCCGTCCGGTATTATCGTAACGGAGAGCGAGACAGCGGCGCTCCAACGGCTTACCCATTGACCACTCTGTGGCACGGGGTGTCGATAATAGATAGGTCACATATCTCGCGAGCGAAGCAAAAACGGTGAAGTCTCCGCCTAAAAGAAGGCAGAGCCCAAGAGTTACTCTAGCATCTGCCAGGATAACAATCATGGGGGAGAGCACACGCATTTCAAGTTTTCCGAGCTCCCTGCCCCAGAGCAAGCAAGTTTCGGGCGTGAAGAAACGAACGTAGTCGACATCATTTTTCCTGCCAGCCTCAAGCTAACATGTTTTGTAGGAGAGGCTCTGTGACATTGCACGAACGGTTTTCTTTGTCTGCCGGTCGGCTTCCCTTTTCCTGGAAGCACAGAGAAGATGAACAAGCTGCTCTCTCACGCAGACGGCCACCTCCCTCGCTGTGCCCAAGGCCCCGGTGTTGCGCTCCTACTCTTCAAACGTGAATTTAGTCGGTGTTTCGGACGGAGAAGCTCTGCCTGTTGCCGACTGGGGACTCCTTGGCCTGCCTCTATTCATCACTGTCCTCGGTCGAAATCCGCGACATGTCCGTGCTGGCCTCAGGGGCTGCCCCGGAAGACGTTCCCTGTGTGTGCACAGCGCTCGATAGCGGGCTGGATAATAGCTTCAGTGATGTCTGCTCGGACTTATTCTTACATAACGGGTCAAAGTCGAGGGCCCTGGAGAATGGTAGACAATTTCACCCTCATGAATAACCACTCGCTCCTGGGTCGTGGGCATCTCATGGTCAACAGAAAACGGCGTGCCGGGCACAGACCTCAGCCTGTCCTCGCTGACAAGTCCCTGGAGAGAGGTAACGGCCGTGGCCGCCTCGGAAGCTCCCTTGCACGTCGTCGGCGCGCTAAGCACAGGGATCCCATCCCCGTTCGAGAACGAACTGCCATTTTCTGAACCTCAAATGCCGCTGTTGGAGTCAACATCGTCGCGACCAACACTTCCGCCGTCCATCTCGTCTCCCTTGTTCCCCACCAGAGTCATTACGACTGATCACATGTACCATGAACACAGTGCGGAATCCGCCTGCGGCTGTTATCTCGCCCCTCCCCATCGCAACAGACCGTTAACCGCAGTTGGCAAGAACGACGATGACTATGACGGTGAGGGCGAGGTAGACAGGTGCGTAGAGGGGCCCAAAGCCTACTTACCAATGGGAAAGATCGAGAGGAGGGTACACCGAAAAACCTGAATCATTCATTCATAAGCTGACTGTATATCTTGCTGACTATCTCAGCAGGGCAAACAACATGAATGGTCTCTACCGCAGTGCCACATCCAAGCCTGTCATCGATACTCTACAGAATTCCTATGAAGACGACCCAGAATGCCCTTCCAACAGCACCACCAGCAACCCCATCCCCGCGCCTTGACGAGGGCCAGCTCCGGTTCGCTGTCGGCTTCAGCGAGAAAGTCTGGTTGCCTCGCCACGAGGTAAAGGACGCCGATCAATTAAAAGAGAGCGTCGACGGCCTCACCCAGTGGGATTGGGAGGTTATCCTCAGTACCGTCGACGGTGAAGGCGAGGGTATAGACGTTAGCACTCGGTGCCTCCACCCCTCGACGCAGCCTTGGAGGTCAACACGATCAACACGATTCACCAGGTGAAGTATTGGAAGGACGGCCTCATCTTCGAGGCTTCGTTATTTCCTCTTGAGATAAAGTCCGAAGTACGTCAAGAGGCTGGAACTCTCGAATGAGGCTTGCGCGCTCTGCTCCAAGACGCTCAGGGACAGCAAGGGGATCACGAAAATGTGGTAGCGGTGGGTTGTCTGGTAACTGGCACAGAAGATTTCAGGCTGTCTATATTTTGTATTGGTCCTTGGATAGACGTAATCGAATTGGTTCAGGATCCCCATCACTACCTTAGACTCGTGTCCTATCCCTCCATGAGGTGACAGCTGTTGCCGCTGACCGAAGGGCGTAGTAGACCCGTCAACGACGTCTGAAGCGCAGGAGAACTTTGGAGTCAAACGCAGCGAGAGGGGGATTTCGGGAGTTGTTGAGCGGTCTCGAAGCCTCGATGGTTCTCTCCTCCGCTTCTTCGCAGTCGTCGAGCACGACACGCACGCTCATCAATGTCTTCGACGTAGGAGTGAAGAAAGGACTCGGAATCTCTTGTTGGAGTTGGCGTGGACAGTGGGATGGGCATCATGCAGGTAACTAGAGGGTGCGTGTGAGCGAAAGGGTCAGTGGGCAGCTGGATGGTGTCGCACTCACAGGTTTTACCAGTATGAGGGTGTGTAACTTGCAAAACGAAGGACTCCTGGTGCGCCGTCAATATCTCAGATGGGATGTGATAGTACCAAAGACCAGGTCCGTCGCAGGTAGAGCGGCCCTGTAACTTCTACCTACAGTAGCCTGCCTGTGGGAATCGAGTTTGTGCCGGCAGTGTGCGCAACCGCCTAATATAGTACAATATTTGGGCGTCCTGGGGCACCAGTGGTGGAGCTGGAGTGCCTCCCGAAAAATGCTGCCAGGGGTGAACAAAGCCAATGGAGAGGGGATGGAGACCGTGTCCGCCCGTCCGTCTCTTGGTGCAGCCCCCTTCAGCGGTGAGGACCGTCGCATTACCCGAAAGGCCTCGTCTTAGGCGGTTCTCCACAGTTGACCGCCCCCGAATCAATTTCAAAGTGCCTAATGCAGGCCTAACGTCTAGGGGCTCCGGGGGCTACCCGTCGATATCGACGCCTAATTCTCACCCTCCCTACATTCATCCGGTCCGGGCTCCAGGTACATTACATGTAGAGAGTCTTGGGCTCTCCGTGCATACCATCCCTCTTCTCCAACCTCTTCATTTCCACCCTCTACAGTATTTCTCACCATATTCCACGCCAGCCCCCAGCGTGTCTACCTGTCACCACTCCACCGGTGCATTGCATTCCCCGGCGCCACTCTTGCCCATTCCCTCTGTGCGTTGTATCAGGTACGTATCCCGAGGCGCCTGCCGATCTAGCTTCCAGTTTCAATAGTCCTAGGGCTCCTGGTAGCTCTGTACCCCGGTGCCCCTGTAGCGTAGGTAGATCAGTATGAGATGGGCTTCCAAGTAAATGGGGGAGGAAAGGTGACTCGCCTTCAACCGTACGTGCCCTACGGCTGATGATTGTGGCCTTGGAAATCGAAATTTTCACGTTACCTCCGAGTTAGCCGGGGCTCATGTCGTACGCGCGCTCTGTTCTGGTAGCCCTTGAAGATGCGGCCAAATTTTTACCGTTGCATCACATGCATCCATGCTCCCCGACACCAAAGTCCAGGCTTACTGATGTAGAATAATCCATCAGATCCACCAGCAGTCGAAATTTCTGCCAAAAAATCGGCTGTGTTCTAATGCTCGTCGGGGTTTGGCTGAATAGGTATTATGGTAGACTGTGCCGCCCGGTACAGGTATAGACATGTCATGCCGAGGTGTGCGGCTTAAGGACGGGCTACTGATATTGTCCGAAGGTGTTTGCGTCCCATGGTGGAATGGAACAGACAGAGGGAGATGATCTCAAGTTGCCCAGCCAGAGGGTTCAGTAATGAAATTCAAGGTATTTCGTGCATATCTGCCATGGAAAAGAAAGTGATATAGAAGCCAAAAGATACTCCAAAGCGCCAACAAGCAAGTCCAGCACACGTTATCATGGCCTAGCAACTGTGACGTGACAGACACAACACCGAAACAGTGATAGCCTCTGTCTTTCTTTCGAGTGTCCAACTCTCCAATCTACTCACGCCCTTCTTTATATCGCTTGATGCTCTCCGGTTTCTGGTCCAGGCCGACAACTTCAGCACCACTTCCTGGCTGCTTTGAATTTCGTTGGGATTTTGTCGACATGATCGGCTCCTCCACGCTTAATCAGTGTCCAAAACGAACTTCTGCTGGTGGCGTAGCTTAGGCCGGCGGATCGCATCATGGTTCAGGCCAAGACATTCGAGACCAATCCACAGACAACGACAGCTGCCCAGAATCGTGCTTTGATGTGACAGTTTCCACTTCCTTGAATACATAGTTTGTAGATATCGGGATGTCGAAAGAGCTCCTCCCCAACGTCGACGATGTTGAGATCCGAGTTTGAAGAAGCCTTGCGGACGCCTATCCCGGAGCGCGACCAGGAGTCTGCAGGCGGAAGCGGGTTTTTGGATATTCTGGTCTTGAAACAGATTTGTCGTGACGTCCCAATCAGCGTTGGTATAGGCTTGTACCTCCCACATCTCTGTCGAGAGAGAAATAGGAGAATGTCGGGACAGAGGAGAGGAGGAGGATAAGTGGCAAGCTGCAATCTCCAGCCATGGTGCCTCGATGTGGCGTGCGGCATTGGTTGTTGGTTTCTCGATAGAATTTTGGTTTGCACTCACAAGATAAGCTGCGTTTGAGCTATCTCTGCCTGTGAAGTCCAGCTGAAATTGTGATATATCGTTGTGCTCGACATGTAAGTCGTATCCTTCTCCTCCCTGTTGCCCATGCCACTCTTCCGCTCTCCTCCATCATTTTGACGGCACCAAGAGACGCAGCAGCAGTTCCACATCTGACGCTCATCCACGTAGCCAGTGCTGAGAATAGCCTGCATTTCTGCTCTCATTGATGGTTCAACGAGAAGCTTGCCAAGTTGAAGCTGTGAACAAAGGCCAGAGAGTCGCCGGTCTGTGTTGGCAGCGGCGGCCTCATCTCCACACATAATGTCCTTGACCACGATATCTCCCGCCCAACCATGACGCGGGCGAAGAGCTGGGGCCGGCACCAGCACAACTCCGCTCGAAATGTAACACTCTAACAATTCATAGTTCATGGAGCTCACAAACGATGTCCAGTCTGGACATTCACAGGAATGGTGATCAAAATCATACTAGTCCAGCAGAAGCAGTTGTTCCCGAGGGCGAAGACACCTGGTCTTCGACTGAGGCCATTTCACCAGTGGGATTTGGGGCTCGGCAGGGATGTTGAATAGTGCCGGCACGAAAGGTTGTCAGGCGAAGGGTGTCATCGCTCCGTTGAAGCCCCCGTTCCAGCTCGGCGGCATTCTGGCTTGACAGCGACAAAGGCCTTTTCTTACTGCCGCCCGTCGCTTGAATATCATGCTCCTGTAACCACTTGTCACAGACCGCGGCGGACCATCGATCCGCGGCAGTCTTGCATAGTAACCCCAGGAGCAACTCTTTGGCCTCGTGTGGCGCGTCTGCTGCACGAGGCCAGAGGACTTCCTGGATCCAGTTATGGTGCTGATCCCGGGTCGGTGGAAACACTCCACACCATCCATGTAATCTCGTTTCCATAGAGGTAAGTAATTCGACTGCCATAACTCCCAAGGACCACATGTCGACTGCGTTGGAGTAAGCCAGCCTCGACTCCCAGAATTCAGGCGCCATGTAGACACTTGTCCCGGTATAGGTCTGCATCTGTCCAGAAGGGTCATACTTTGTCGTCCCAAAGTCGGCGATCTTGGCGGCCAGCAGTCTATGATTTTTTAGTTGAACGAGAACATTTTCTGGTTTCAGATCCCGATGAGTGAAGCCTTTGGCGTGGATATAGGCCAGTCCCTTACTGACGTGAGTTAAGACGGTGTGCGAGTCGCGATTATCGAGTTCGATTGAGCTAAGGTCATCCTCAATCCACTCCATAATCAGCCAAGGAGGATCCGATGCCTTTTCCCCGGTCAAAACCTCAATGGCCTGTACAATGTATGGCTGGTGGATGGATCAGCGCTGGAGTGAATGTAAACTGGTCAGAAAACCCACATGCTGTAGCTCGACAATATTCTGAAATTCTGCAGTCAAAGACTCCCATCGTTTTCGGGCTGTGCTTGCAGGATCGCTGAGTTTATGGTGCGGCACCTTCGCTGCGAAGATCTTTTTGGAACCTAATTCCTTCACCTTCATGACCGATGCGAAGCTGCCGGTGCCCACAGCTGCTTCGTCTTCTCGCCTGTACACGGTATTGTTGCTTCCGAACCTGACGATGACTGTTGAGGTCTGTGTAGCGTTGGGGCCAATGGCCCTCGGAAGGGAGTCGAGGATTTCCGCACTAAACCTCTCTGCGTTCCGGCGATAGCAGATCTCTTCTTGATGTGACAATGTTGGCCGCCATGCCTTCATTGTAACCTCTCCTACATGGATGGTGACAGATGAAGGGATATCCTCGGATTGTCCCTTGGCCCGAGGTAGCTCCATGCCATCGACATATAGCTTAATGAGCTTATTGGACAAGTTTGTGAGTCTTGGGCAGTTTGAACTTGGGCTAATATCGATCCGAAAGTGCTGCCTGCTAATACCTGTTGTGTTATCTTTCGCGAGCTGAACGTCGCACACGTCTGTGTCATCCGACGAACCAAACACCCAACCCTGCGGAGAGTACATGTGCTTTCCAAACACCAGTGCAAGAAAGGGCGGAGTAGGCTCTTCGGGTTGGTTTCTGCTCCAGTTCGCTAGGGTATTTTCGTTACCCTTGGAAGGGCTAAACTCATATCTTGCGTTCTCAGACAGCTCAGGGATCTCGTCTGGGCCCACAATATCTGAAAATAGCAGAACAATGTTAGGGAGATCTTCATCTGAGTTGGTCGCCATGATGCCGAAGTAACACGAGTTGATTTATTTGCGCAGTACCAACTTCTGGTTGGGAGGTTGGTGGAAAACAATCAGCCTGCCGGCATTGTATGTATGCATTGCGAGTGCGGGAGGAAGCCTGCTTAGAAGGCCACATAGAATGCGGCACTGAATTTGCTCTCCATTAGCTCACACCGCGTGATCATGAGACGAGGTGCGGAGGAAAGTTATTTAGCGGGAGCAAAAGACTGGATATAAATGATCTGGCGCTTCTATTTCTGTGCAAGGGGGACACATACAAACCAGGGGCAGCTTAGCGCCGACCTTTGCAGCCTTTACGCCGGCGCTTCGTAATCTTGGGGGGTGGGACGTTGCGCAACCCCGGCTCTCGCTCACCCAACACTTTATCACCCTGTCGCTTTCTGAGGTTTGATTGGAGCCGTTGCGAACGTCGTGTGGGCTGCCGAGCGGTCGTACGGCTTCGAGTTCTGGGCACCTTCTGTAGCTCGTTGTGCTCTATCTCCCTCGCCTCCGAGGGGGTGATACCTTGGACGTTGGATATCCTTGCCCAATAAGCCTCCAAATACGCCTCCTGTGCTTCGTGCTCACGAAGAGCGGCCATCCCTTGGAGACGACTTGCTTCCTCTTCCCAATATCTCTTGTCCGTGATTGTGAGCCGGCCCTCTCGTATTCGTTGCGCAGAGCATCCATGCCTCAACAAACGGTTTCTGTAGGCCTTTGCGACATCCCGCCAGCTATCCAGTTTTGCCCGGCCATTCACGCACTTGGTCTGCAATATGTTTTGCCATATCACCTCAGATAGCAAGTCTTTGAATTTTTTGGCTTCACACTCCCAATAAGCAGGATCAAGGATGCCGCTTCGATATAACTCGACCTCCTCTGGTGAGAATCTTGAGTATTCCTGTTCGCACAAACGTTGGTACCCTTGATGGCCCATTGGTGAACCAAAGAGGACTTCTGGAGTCTCTTCTTGCTGGCGTCGCACCTCTTGTTCCAGGGCTTCAATGATCTCTTCGGCGGTGGGCGGAGGCATGAAGAAGGTCAGCGGCGTCGACATAGTTTGGTGAGAACAAGAGGTGTCTCAGAAGTTAAAGAGATGTGGAAATATGGAGGCAGATTATTGAATTGTTGGATCGGTGTCGAGCCTTTCTATTTCTCACCGAAGGGGGAAGAGAAGAGATGTGTCGGAACCCTGCGCAGGTGTACTATTTCCATGTCGGCATAGGTGCCTGATAGAGAACCTGCCAAGCTTTCCCAAATAACCCAGCACCTTTGCCTGTTGCCCAGCAAATTAATGACATTTTGCAGGAAACATGAAAAGCCGCGGTATTTGACGTCATCTTGGGAAGGCTAGTCGATGACAGCAAACACACGAAGCCACTGTCTGTCTCGACAAAATCATCCCCATTGCCAAATAACCTCCCTCCCCTTTAACCAGTGAACACATCCCTCAAATAAAGGATGCAGGTCTCAACCAGTCAGGCACATTATCCCATGTCCCCTTCCTTCGTGACCATCATGTGCCAACAATGATCCCTTGTTTGGGCCTCTTTGACATGATCTCAAATGCAAGAAATACCACATGTTGCCTCTCAGCAACAGGAAAAAGATCCCAGGGTACGCGATTTCTCATGGCCGTGCACTTGGGCGACCTGTTAATTGTCGTCACATCTTTAGGAGGGATGTTCGTTGCTGTTTCACTTCATTGGATAGCTTCTTTGTCGGTGATCCGGAGAGGCCGACACGATGCTCTCCAGCGCCAATTGAAGATCCTTTCTGGCATCTCAGAGCGTAAGGATGCTCAGGGCCATAGCTTATCACCAAGGCTTCGAGGGTACGATCGAGCAGCTACACGCCGACCTAAAATCGCCTATCGCAAATATCATGCGGACCAAGTCGTCCAGACTCGACAACGTGAGATCGTGGTATTTGCTCCGACTCTTTTCGAAGGCCTCCAGCGCTTGCCAAATCCATTTCTTTGTGTGCTCATATTTTCCTCCGTCGAGGAGCAATCGACCTAGAGTACGGGTGGTAGTGGTGAATTCGGAGTGGTCCTCTCCAAGAGCGAATTCAAGTTTCGGCAACGCATCTCGTACCATCCGCTCGGCCTCCTAGTGTTCTGGAGCATGACGGTGCTCAGGAGCTTGATCCTGCGGTGTGTTGGCGAGTGGTTTAACATCATCACTTTATCGGAGATGTCATCTCCAGATGCCCGGTAGCTCGCATTCAGCGCTTGCCAGTACATCTCCTCTGCTTGTTATTTCTTCTCCTGCTGTCCCAGTGCCGTAGCAAGGCCGCAGGAACCCCCAATTGAAGCAGGGTCGTGTGGTCCAAGAATCATCTCTCTCCCTGTAAGCACGGGTCGGAAGAGTATACCTGCCTGGTCGGTAGTAGTCCCAAAGTCTCGAGCGAAGGGTGATTCCCTCTCAGGCGTGTACGTCCTCAATACTTCGACATGCGACAGCAATGCTTGATATAGGGGTGAGTCGGTATAGTCAATTCCGGACTCAGAACTTGTGCATACAGTTCGTCTCGCCGCTCCAACCAGGCCCGTACTATCCCGGGGATACCTGGCTGAGGCTCTGTACAATCACTCAGTCTACACGCTGTGCAATGTCCCTGTGGCTATCCTCGAAATCAGCGGCGCTGTGCGCATGCACCCAGAAGGTGGATATTCCGGATGCGCATCTTGATACTGGCATGCGTACTCGACTACCATTCAAATCGAATTTTCTTTTGGGGGCTACACTTCCTCGCTCCATTCCCGCGAAAAGAGGTTCTTCTGTTCCTAATCGGACCTCCTGAGGATGTCGACCGGTCTGAAGTATCACGAGAGGAATCATCTACTGCAGCACACCAAGCTCGAGTAAAGCAATTCCACCTCGGTTGTCACCACGTCTTTCCCAGAAGAGTCCAGATATCGTCAAGACACCATCCAGATCCATAGATGTCAGCGATATCTGCGTTACTGGTTTGGTCCTCGATCTTCGGTTGCGAGATCTCTGGAACGGTATCTGCAATGATTCGGCACGAAGTGCACAGTGAGACTTCCTGTCTTTCTTCCCACCATTATGACAGTTTCATATCGTGGTTTCGAAGAAGGGGGAGGTGAGGCTCTGGACCTCTGACCTGATGAGCAGCCACACGCTTTGCAATTCGACATCGAGGAATTGGCTCGCCGCTATGGTTGTTCCTGGCCAGCCGCATCTCGCTTTCATCACGGCGCGCCACCAGGGCCAGTCAACCCGGTTGTCAACATCTGCCTGGTCCCGTAGCTCGCGATGCACTCTCTCCGAAGCGCTTCCTTCAATTTGAAGTCAAAAGGGAACTCTTCGTTCGGGCAGGGAAACTCAGAAATCTCAGCCCAGTAGCTTGTGATTTGGATGGTGTTACTCCGTAGAGGTGACGGTCCGCTACGGTAGAGGCAGAAGAAGAACTTGAAGGGCGCTGTTGGTTCAAGGAAGGACGCAAGGCTAGCTTGTGGGGACCGGAGGAGCATTCGGTACTGGATGGAGAGATGGGCAATCTGTCAGCACAGGTGTTCGTTGGTCACTTACGTGACGCCCAGGGAAAAGAAAAGCGCCTTGAAATTGAAAAGCTTCATTCAGCCTTCGGAAATGTGATGATAATGGCATGATCCCATCCCGGAACAAGACCAACCAGCTCTCTTCGTCAATGGATTGATTAATGGATTGACCGACTCTTCCGAAAAGGGCCTTCCAAGCCTCCGAGCACGAATCCACGGCGCAGGCTACCTACTACGGAAGCACAATACTGTGCACAAACTGGCGACAGCGGGCTTCAGTTGATATCAAACGTGGATATGCGTGGCCAGAATGACAGAGAACCACTCATCAAAGACCAAGGAATGTTTGTGAACGAGCTGAGGATGTACAATAGGATCAGCATGGGAATGGGATGACATGCATTCTCACTGTGGCATGTGCCTGCGGGATTACGACTGACGGAGCTTGAAGTGCCTCTGGCGGGAGTGAAAGAAGAGGATCAAACCGGAAGGATTCATTCATTCCGTTTCCCGTCTGGTTACTTATCAAACCATACATGCTTAGAAGCTAGAGCCTTTGCAATCGACAACCGTGGGTAGCAACGCGGAGTCAACCGGTGGCCCCTTGTGTCTTTCCATCAAGGTCTCACATGTTCTGGTGTCTGCCCTTCCATCTTTCAAGGGCCTATATCAACAGGGGACCATTGTGCTGGGAATCCCTTGACCACAACAAGAACAATATTCCTTATCTTATAGTGTAGGGTGTCCAGGGATACATGAGCTGCATGGTACATATTCCATCTCTTACAGATGCCTCCTCTTGAGAAAGGGATCGTCTGCTCATATAGCACGGAAGCCTTGTCGCTTCGAAGTGCGACGGAGAGGTAGGTTGTTCCGTAGGCCGTCTGGGAGACTTGCGAGATAGGTAAACACTTCGAGGAGGTGCTCTGGAGAATCGATTCTGATGGATTTATGTGGTAGGAATCATGACCACTTTGCTGTGTCCGCGGCATTATCCCTATAGCGCGGTCAACGAGGCAATTGTGTCCCCGTGTCTCGGGGTCAGAGCTTATTGAGGGAGAACAGCAAACGGTTCTGTCGACATCAACTACTGCCATGATTGATGTCGGATAACATTAGGATCCGGCCTGGTTGTTGTTCGGTGGCCACAACGCGCCCCCTATCTTTTGTCCCCTGGGCGTGAGTGCATTACTTTTGCCGGGGATTAGCAGCAATGCCGCCTGATAAATAGGCCGGCCGCACAGGGCTCAACTCTCCCCCGTCCTCCTCATCAACCCTTTGCCTGCTGAGGCAGTGACAGTGATAAGGTGAGTTGAACCCCTGGTGTTTATCATAACATGCTTTTAACGCCACCTACAGTGCACAGCGTGTTGCTACATTTCCTGTGGCCATTGTCGAATTCAGCCTTCCCGCCTATGCCACGGGCATCATCTGCGATGGATAAGCCAGGGCAGGAAAATACACAGCTGCCTCCAAAGGACACCGTCAGGGAGACGCAGAGCGATGAAGCCATCGTGAAGTCGGAGCCAGGGGAAAGCGACTCTGGCATACAAGAGCTTCCCTCTCAGCCTGACATCCCGTGCGGAGACCAACCCAGCTCCCGTTTTCCAGACCATCACGCCTTCGCCCAAGGGGTTAGAAGTTCGAGGCGACTCGTGGTGAGGGAACCGGATAAGTGGGAACTGGGACGCTGTTGTCGATGCTACGCGGACGGGCTGATTGTGAGGTGGCCACGATGCAAATACTGCCTCCACAACATTTGCTCAGGCTGCGACACCTTGGATGGCAATGCACCCAGCGACAGCCCTGAGACGCAGATCGGCAGGCTGAATGAGTTGTTGGGGGAGATTATGTTGGTGTTGGAATCGCTCACCTTGACACCTGCGCAACAAGAACGCCTTGCCAGAGCCTGGGAGAGCCTCAGGTTCTTGGATGAGAGTGTTGACGAGATGGAAGCGGCTGGGGGTCAGGTCGACTGACAATCTCCGGGCTAGGCTTACAGCGGACAGATAGGTTGTTTCAATGAGATACTTGGACAAGTCATTACCACATCCTCGGAGCTTTAAAGCAAAGGAAACGGCGCCACGCCTTCCTCTACAAACACGGTATAGCCATCTCCATTCAATCTGCTTACAGCTACAATGAGCATTGCCCCAGCTTGAAGATGGTCGGAGCAAGGGAACGGGCTTGACACGACGGAGGGCGCCCTTGTGGCCATCTCGGACCAGGAGGCTGGTATTCTTGTTGCTGCCTCCCCCCGGAGTCCGTCGATACCGAAAGCTGCTAGCCAATCTAGACCGCCCATCACGCAGCTATCCGACCAAGTATTTCTGTGACGATGCATTACCTGGATGCAAGAAGATTACGATTACGGACGTGGCGAGGAAGAGGGGGGATACGAAGTCCTAGTTTCGAACCAGCCATTCATTCAATTTCGCCCAAATCCACTGTTTGACTAAACTCCCGGCCAGTGCTGCGGACTGAAAACCTGAATGGCACACTCCTGGTCGCAGTCCGGACTAGCGGTGAGGTCGCACAACAGGACAAGGTTGCACGAGAAGTGCCCATCGTCGATCGGCACCATCAGACAATTCTCCTGGACCGAGACGAGCCCACAAAACGCCATCGTGCCACACTGTCTCAGCCAGGAAGACAAGGATATTGTCAGCAGACAACAAAAGGTCCCTAGGGAAGAGCCACGCTGGGCTAGTCGGTTGCCATAGGTTTCCTTGGGACAGGGAGCAGGGCCGGCGAGTTTCTCCTAACCCCCCTTGAACAGTCGATTGACTACAGGGATCACGTCTATATCACCACTCGCCACTGCGCTCCGCGAGTCCCACTGCGCTTGTTCTAGGCTCCCATGGCCATGCTATACCTATACGAGGATCGGATGTACTTAGCGACCATTCTACCTCCGAGGATGGTGTTTGTGCGAGGCTAGTCGCCGCGAACAGAGCTGATGGCCGGACGGTGGGGGTTGATCTCTCTGGAAATGAGCCTTGACTGGTTGACGTACTCTGATCACACCCGTTCCTCCAATTCCCTGAAGGGGCGACAGGCAAGGGGTGTCTATCTCTCGAATAGTTCAAGGTGTGACGATGGATGGTGCCCGAAAACCGGTTGAGGGGGGAGGAGCGGGAAGGGGAGGAGGGCACCCAGCGCAGTAGAGATGCGTCAGGTGGCTGGACACACATCAGGCTCCGTATTCCGAGATGCCTCCGCTCAATGCTGCACTGGGAGCTGGGTGTACATGGAGAGGTGCATTGCACTGGGAAGACAACAGGGTTTCATCAACTCTCTGCCCCACGAGCCCATTTCCGTCAATGTGAGTATGTGACGCCCAACGAGAGACAGAGAAGGAAGGATGGCGAAGTGAAGGTGGGACCGGCATGAAGGGTGACGGACGGAGGGAATTCGCGTCCAAATCCAGCTCTTCGCCGCCTGTTTCGGGAGCATGATTTGACGGGGGAAGGTTGTCAGGTGGAGAACAGTGACTGAGATGTAAGGAAGGTCTGCCCCAAACACCCTTGTGCATATCCCAAAACATTCTTGTACATATTGTGGCGGAAACTGGATCATGCGGCGACGAGCAATGGCACAGACGTTATGGATGGACGGATGCAGACGCCACATCGAGAAAGCGACCTGGCCAGGCCTTCGTGACTGGGTTAAGTCTTGTGCCATTCGTGATCATCTGGGTAGTCTTCTTACGTGACCCTCTCAGCAGCCTGGGGCCAGCTGTACTCTTGCGATATGGACCGTGTTCTGGCCGCATTGGTGCCCGCTTTCCCAGGGGCGTTTTGTGGTCCTTCTTCGTCGTAGGCCTACGGGGATTTCTACCTCTTTCCGCTTAAGGCGCCAATGAGCGAGCGAGCAGCCTCCCTCCTCCTTTCTTCGATGATTGGACTCAAGCGTCTTGACGGACACAACTCCTTCAAGCCTGCAGGGAGGTTAGGGAGCACCATGAGTGTGTGACAGGCTATGGTGAGGGCGGTGTGATCGAACGCAGCTAACGTCATTGTCGTACGAGGTATCAGACAAGCTATCTCGCTGAAGGGTGAGTGCGGTGCCTGGGAACAATAGTTAACCGGCTCGCTGATCCGGTGGCACATGAGAAGGTGTTTGTGGCACCAAGGACTCAACGACTCCCTCAGAAGTTGATTACTGGTGTCAGGGAAGGCACTGCCAAGGGCTTGGCACCCAACGGCTTAGATTCGTTCGTGGGATTCACCACCCATATAGCTAGCCATCATCAATCAATTAATCAATTAATTAATCAATCAATCAATCAATCAATCAATCATCTCATTGAGCATGCAATTGCTTGCCAACTGGGCTGCTGCTCTCCTCGAATGACCCACCTTCATGGGTGCAGAATGTGACTCGTCCTTTTCTAGGTCAGAGTGACCGGGATGCAGATTCAGCCCGTGCTGCCTATGTCTCCGACCCACCGGTGTTGCCCTCCCTTCTCCTAACAAGGACAAGGCTCACACCTCCGACCCTGAATTTGTTTCCAAGCCAGTGCTTCTCCCTCCTCGCCAAGGAGCTAGTGTGCATAATCCCCACTTACTCGCTGTCATATTGCTTAGTACTCATTGTGGAAACAACAATCTTCCATACAATTGGTCGCTGAGAAGGAAAAGCTCCGACGGCCCTCGAGCTATCACTCGATATGCTCGGGGCAGCTCCCTGGTCCACCGGTGTACCCCTGCTAGAAAGTCACGTGTATGTGTTAAACCAACACAGTTTCTTATCATCACACTAAGGCACAATTGTATCTGTGACAGTCCAGGTGTTCATGAAAGGCAGCTGGTCAGGATACACCCAGATCTTGCGATCGCCTCCTTGTCGTTTCTTCTGTTTGATCTTAACCGTAGACGGATTCACGGCGACTGGGTCATCGGGGCTCTGCATTCCCTCTCCCTCGCTCTTCCCACTCTCAGTGTCTTCGACTAGTGGCGGGGCCTTTTCATATTTTTTCCGTCCTCGCTGTTCACATTGGCGCCCGGAGTCCTCGCAACGTCTGCAGGTTGGCTGAGCTCGATCACATCTCACTTTTCTCGTGTAACAAGCCTGGCATGGCTAGCGTGCGGTGTCAGCGCCGAAGGCGGGAAGAGTAAGGTCAGCAGGCTACTTGCCTTGGGCTCCCTAGTTTCATGCCTGCGATGCAGGCGCGGGTTCTCAAACATGACGCGCAAGAAGCCTTCTTTTGCGACCGCCTCCTTGGTGAGCTTTTCACATTTCAGTCCCTTTCTTTGGCACGTATCGCAGACGGGCACAGCCAGGTCACATATTTCATGCGTTGCGTCACAAGCTAAACATGGGAGGAAGCCCAGGCATGGGTGGTAGTCCTGACAAGTCAGCATGGAATTGCTGTTCTTACATAGAGTATTGCTCACCAGCTCTGACCCAGTATCCGAGCAGGTTGACATTTCGCTCTTGATAGGAGTTTTAGACGATTCCCGTGTCTGACCGGGCTCGGCGGACGCGGATGAAGAGGGGGACAGGAGTTGTAATGTTCAAGTCAACATGCGAAGAATCTTGTGGTCGGAGAAACTTTTGTACGTAAAATCCCGAACTTGATAGACAGTCTAAACTTGCAGAGAAGGGAAAAATCAGCAACCGTCGAGAGTGAAAAGGAGAAGGATTAAATATGCGTTGGAAGTGGAAGGAGGGCGTGGGAGGTGGGGCCTGACGAAAATCCGCCATGAATGACGAGTTTGCGTCAGCTGATCCTTTGTGTAACATAGAGCTGGCGTGTGAGTCGGGATCGACGATACAGATACAAGGATTTCGAAGGCCTGATTGACAAACTCTCAGTAGCTCGATTCACAAAGTCAATTGCTACCGGGGGGTGGCCTCAGGGGACACTCGTCCCACCGGAGAGTGACTTCGTTCCTCGGCCCAGGGTGGGGGAGGATATCGCGCTTCCTGGGACGGTTTAGCTTGCGTATTCATCGGACCACTCCAAGACACCGGTAGCTGTGTTAATCATAAGATAGGTTTCGTGTAGAATTCGACGAAGTCTTAACCTTCTGGCTGGCCCCTGCCTAGTCTGAGCCGGTGGCAACATCCGTCCATAGAGTCCTTGGCCGTCACGGCAGGTAATGGCAGCGGCAGAAAGTGTAAATAGAATGTTCGGCGTCTTGTGTGTGGGTCTCCAGGTATATCCTTCCGGCCACTTCAATCCGAACGAGGAAGCCTAATCTGTTCTTGTACGTTGGTGCTTGCTTGGTTTCGCGTCTTGCGACCTGGACGCCTTGACCTTTGGTGGAGAGTCACAGAGGATCGTCCAGCCTCCTAACCAATCATATAGTACTCATATGTTCCATGACATTTTTGTAAATATATTTCATGCTGTCGCCAGTGTGTGGACGCACACCATCGCCTTTGAAGTTTAGATCGCAGCACCGTCGTAAGGCCGATGGCGCCCGAGAGGGGACCAATGAGGGGTATTGCGGCTGGCTGCGTCCTCCCGTGGATTGGGAGACACGAGGAGGACAGCATCTCAGACTCAGCAACGACATAAAGAATTCGATCTGCTGATAAGAACCCTAGAGAACCCTAGCCCATCTCTGAGGCGTCAGACCATGAAATGAGAAACGCACCTGGGAATATGCCATGCTTCCTGAACGACCGAGCCTCGGATATTTCGCAATAGTGTGCCTGTTATTCCTGAGCCTAATCAACCAACGTGTGACAACATGCTGAATGTTCTCCTATCCGGGCGAACTCCTTATGTGTAAACTTCAAACCTCCACGTGCCGGTACCACGGGATGAGATGTGCCATATGATCTGTACGATGCAGATTGCGTTGCTTCAAGCTCCTAACAATTGTAATGTAGCCACCTCTTTAACAGCCGCAGGGACTCAGTCTTCTCCTCGAATTTTCAAGGGCAAGCCGTTAACGGGATATGAAGAGGGAGAGAAAGTTGAGTACTGATTCCCCCGGCGATAAGCTGGTGGTGCAAACAATGTGTTGGTAAATGGGATAGAGCAAAGACAACGTAGAACAACTCGGGTTCGATCTACCGCTGCGAGGACAAAGAGCAGGGCGCCGGCATAGGCGTAGACCATAGTGTTGACGGCGTTGAATGTGGCGGAGATACTGGGAGATTGCTGTTGGTACTCGTCCGATGTATGCCGGCAAAGACTTTGACGGGCTGGATGATCTGGATAAGCGTAGACTTTGTGATGGCAGGGTAATGGTGCGAAGTGTGAGGCAGCGACCATAATGCGGTAAGGCTGGTCAATAAACTAGTTAGGAAGCGAATGGGGAAAAACACTCAGTAGATGATGAAGTTGACAATGTTCATCCGCACTTCGGCATTCGAGTTTCATTCGATATTCTACGAGCTTCGAGTGAACCCTCCAAGCATCCGGACAACCATGATGACAACCATCATAGCCACCAAGCACACGCTCGAGTGGGCGATCTGCTCAATGTTCAAAGCCTTGCTGAAGATCAACATTGCTGACGCGTGGCCCAAAAATAGAAAAGTTCACGCTTCTTTGGGACAACAAGTTGAAGGCATATCGAAACTAGGTCTATCGTCTCAGAGTGCAGAACAAGATATATTCAGGGATCGAAACTCAAGACCAAGACTGACAATGTCAATACCACCGTCTTCATTTCCGAGTCACTCGTGTACGTTTCGAATCGGGGATGAACAGCTCGTCGAGCTTCTCGTACCACCGACCCGCCGTCTCGAGCCTGATGCATTGCTGGTACAGGTGGCGGAGGAAGATGCTATATTGCGGCAGGAGAGGGAAGGAGGCATTTGAGCACTTCCATGTCTTCATTTGGCATACAGGGGCAATGGACCATTTATGTTATCCGTGGGAGCGTGTTATCAAAGCCATGCGATATGCTGGCTTGCAGGATGCGTTGCTCGGAGTCTCTGGCTGGAAAACGTGTTGAAGGGCCACGAACCTCAAATAGTGTTGTCCTTTTCCACTCTCTAGCCATCTCTTCATCTTCTTGCAGCAATCTGGTGAGAGACTGCTGCTGCATGTAACGTCGTCGACAGGAGGCGGTGCCAGCAGGATGATGAGCCTCCGGGTGTCCTTGTGCGAAATCTGTGCTTTGTGCTTCATTGTTCCTTGTAGATTGCCTGTCAGCTGTATCACAAGAGGGCATCGAGGATCTCGTCTCGTCCTGGAAAGAGCATCTTTCCAAGGATGGTCCTGCGAATAGTCTCATGAAGATGCCCCAAGCTCTTTGCCCAAAGTGTTATATTGCTTTCTCACAGAATGAAATTGGTTGAAGGATGGGTGGAGCGGTCGGTATCCCGTGGATCGTTTCCACCAGGTATGTCACAATCGGGGATATGAAGCTATGCTTGCCGCTGGTGGAAACAGGGCTCAAGCTATACGGCTTGAAATTCAGTTCAGAAGATGGCAGCCAGGCATAAGCTGTCAGCATGGTTCACCTGGAAGAACAAAGAAATTGCTCGGTTTTCTGCATGTGTGGCCAGGTCGCGGTCTTCCATCTTCTCGGCCAGCATTGAAGCGATTGGCATGTCTCCATATTTGCTATAGCAAGCTCAAATGTACCAAAGCAATTGCAACGGCTGAGAAAAACAAATAGACCTATCGAAGGGCAATTCTGGGAGGACAAAGAGCCAGCACAGGCAGCAGGACATTCATGATAGGATTAGGTGAGACTTACAAAATAACAATTCCAGAAACCTGAAAAGAAATCAAAGTCGTGTCATGGTAATGGCAACGCACGGTGTGGCTTTACACCGCCAGTGAGAGCCGCCAGAGAGAGCCGCAAGAGCATATCCAGCGCTGGGGAATCATTTGAGGTCCCACAAGCGTCTTGGAATATTTAACAATAGTTATCTTCCCTGGACTGGGCAGCTACTCGACGGGTATCCGAAAAATTACGCTGCAGGGCGGCGTTTTACCGCGTGACTCCCTAAGGCGACCTGTTAAGCGTGGTGAAAACACTGCAGGTGAAAAAAAGACTAGCACTGGTACTGGCACTGGGCTCCGGGCTCTGGGCACTGGCCACTGGGTACTGGCCACTGGCAGTAGTAGTGGTGGTGGCAGTGGTAGAGGTAGAGGCAAGTGAGTCCGTAGACAGACTCTACATAGAGGAATAATGATTGCTATACAATTTTGGTGAGATTCTGCCGAGCTTTAGGCGAAGTCGCCGTCGTATCAAGGCGCTTTCAAAACCGCCGCCCCGACACATTCCCACGTTATTGGTTAAAGGACGAGTGGCACGTGACGTTACAAAAAGTTGCCAGTCGGATTTCAATACTTTTCCGCACCAAACAAATCCGCGGCTGTTTTGACGAGGCTGCCTGTAATTATTGTTTTCGCTTCGCTCAACAGAATGAACAACCGATTTCGTTGTCACCAAAGTCCTCTTTCATTACCACGGCAGGCTGTTATGGAGGAGTTCATCGTTGAAAGAGTGAGCACTGTGCCTCGCCGCTGGACAATGTGCAGGTACTGTGGAGTAACGCGTCCGTGTCGCGGCGAGGCTGACAATAGGAACCATTTCCGCTTGACCAGCCTTCTTCCCGTCCAAAGGCGAGCACCCCCTCAGGACAAATGGATCGATCAGCAATCCTCGAGAAGAGCGGTGTCCAATCTACCTATGTTTGGGAGAAGGATTCCCTCAAATACACCTTCACCACGTTGACGCAGCAAACGATGTCTTGTACCATGACAAGGAGCGCTTCTTGTTGTCTCGAAATTCTTTCAAGAGGGTGAACAAATATTTGTGATCGTTACACCTGGAATGAGAAAGAGTTGGAAGACTAGGATCATGTTCCTGTCTAAGAGAGGGCGAAAATGATAATGCAGCATCTGCTCGCTTCGAGGCAATATGCGCATTCTAGGAAAATATGCACACTCTAGGGTGAGATGACCGAGCACATGGTCATTCGTTTCTTTGTGAAGCACTGACACTGTCACATAGCCCGAGCTCTTCCTTGCCACAATCACGCCACGCCACAGCGTGAATTTGAGATCGTCGGAATCGACGATCTCCGACGATCTCCAAAGCGGTCTATCGTCGATTCCAGTGAAATGGATTTCTCCTCTGATTCCCCCAGGAGTATAAGAGAGAATAGGTTCAAGATCTGGCACATGCAGACAAACCTGGTGGGGAAATTCATCAACGTACTGTGTACTATATCCGGAGGTCTCCGCTTCACATTAGTAGCAAGCTTGACTACTTGTTTGAATTCAGACCCAAGAGACGGGAGTCCGGGGATGAGCAGGTCTTGACACATGCGACCGCATGCACACGCTGCCCTGTATGTCCTGACGAAAGCTGCCGCGATTGGCATGACATATTGATAGGCCTGTGCCAACCTGTCCATCCAACGCGACATTCAAGGCAGAAGGGTATTCCTTGACTTTACGTCCAACATGCATAAGCTCAACCTTCTGACAAGACACCATTCCATTGACAGATCAAGGTGTCGAGTGCTCATATTCTTTCACTTATGTTACCAGGAAGCGTCTTTTCCATCCGCGGTTTATCTCAAGGCTGACAATCCCCTGTTGATACTCTCCAGCCCCCAGAGTTATACGGTCTTTGTGACTCAAAAGCACGTGTGGCTATTCACCTTTACCCACATACCAGCAGAATATGTTGCAGTCGTCAAAGCAGACCTCAGATTCATCCTAGCCCGCGGATTCCAACCCCAGCACGTCCCCTTATATGTCGCGCTGGTAAAGCTCGAGTCCTTGGGAGCCAAAGGAAGCCATATTGATAACGGGTCAGACACAGGTTGCGAGGATCGTTTGAGGCCTCGAGCCTTCCTCCGGCCTTGGTGTTCGCCTGCCTTTCTGTTCTTCCCACAACTTCGATTTCTTTCTTGTATATGCTCCAATGGTCAAAGGGGTCCGATGTGCTGACGTTCATACGTTGCTCGTGCAATGGTATCAATATTATGAATGGAAACGTCTCCCTCAAAGGCATCGTCCAGCCCGAATCACCAAGTACTCTTGATTGTCTCGTCCAGTCTCATGTTCTCCAAGCCAAATTGTCTCTTGTTTCGACAACTCCCGCTTGTCGAACGGCTTGCTCTAACGTGTGGCTAGTGACGCTGATCGAATGCCTCAGCACGCGGACGTCATCGTGCTGACCTTCAGGAGAACTTCTTGGATCAAAATCTGGCCTCAAGGCCAGAAAGTCTCCTGTTTAGTGTTACAGGAACTCAACTGGTTGGAAACCATTCTCGAAGCTCATCCTCGGCCAACCATGTTGGAACCAGCGGTGACTGTGGTGTCCTGCTGAGGATCTGCCATTATGACCTGCAATGGTTTTACTTCAAACACTTGCTGACGATGCGCTCATCCTTAGAGAGACCGCTTGACTGCCAGCCTGAGAGGATGGACCGGTTTCTCCTGGCACTGAACTCGGGGCCAAGAGAGATAAAGCCAGCTATTGACCAGCGGACTATATGCCCCAAGGTTTCGCAAGACTATTCTCTTGGAGCATACACACGAAGCAACCATCCTCTCCTGAGCGGTCAGAGACAGACAACTCAGTTCCTGTGCGGTTGATGTTTACTTTCAACACTTGCTGACCATACGTTCGCAGCCAGAGAATACAGAATAACCTATCCCGAGATTTGAAGCAAAACTTTCTTCACTGCATTAGCCTTCCCTCAAACACAGGCCAGCCACAGAGGTTCATCCGCTCAAGAACAGGATATATGCGCGTTAAGCGATGGAACCTCCCATCTGGAAAGTGGTGTAGGTAGTGGTGGGCTTGCTGCCACACTCCCATCCAATTATGTGAGTCCACCCGACAACGATATCCCGGGCCCATGGGCATGAATCAGTGCATCTTCGGACCTCTCATGCGATTCTGCAATTGGCTTGTCGCAGCCAGCAACAATGCAATCCAAACCGACATCGAGACCATCAACTTGCTTGGGCTGGTCTATTCTGGCCGTGAAGGATTTTGTGTGAGACTTTTGTGTGTTCTTCTGCAAGTTCGATATTTACTCGGTGTATCTCTGATGGCTACTAGGTCAATGTCAGAATCTCTCGCGATGATCCTTTTGGCACAATGAACAATCCCTTCATCGCCTACCTGAGCCTGGACCTGGACCTACGACTGTATCTGTGAAAGTGGGAGCCACAAATCCACTTACACTGACTATTTATTTAGGACCAGCTTCCCAGGCTACTCGTAGCTATGGACATGTTTTCCCAATTGGTCGAGCGTCGAGCAGTCGGAGTACGGAAAGGCAGAACGCCCGTGAGATCCATTGCCCGACACAGATCCCAGAGCATGTCCCCCGCGGAGACTCATGCTCAAACGGTTATACTTGACACGGAGGGACTCTTGTTTTCAGGACCCATCTGCGACACGACGCAAGATGATCATTGGGGAATTCTACATGATACGCAACCGCATGATCTACCTGAGTTTGCGCCGCTTCAATAGCTTGGAGAGGCGACCGGAAGACTGAGTGCCGGAGCTGATTGACTTCGCAGAAGAGGGCTCGGAAGGCCACTTGATATCGCTCGACTCAGAACTCTACTTCCCTCAGGCATTCATCCTCCGCAAGCTCACCATAATCATGGTGAACTCGGTGCGGTTGAAATACCACGACTATAACTCGACTCGGGATTTCCTGTTCGACATTCTGGAGCGTATCGGCCAGCGAGCAAGCGGTTGAAGACCTGGGGCGTCAACTTCGTTCACCTTTACGCTACAGGTCTGGATTCGAGTGTTCCGAGCACTGATGTCGTCAGAAGTCTTGGAAGGTACCCTTCGTCAGCTGCCGACACCACCGAGCGCTGGGCTATGGACGTTCCATGTACGAGCCTCGACACTTTGCCTCCGAGATCCTTCTCTCTGCTGGGGATACATATACAATTCTCGAACTAGGCAGGTCCTCTTGTGGCCGTACTGCTAGTCCCGCTGCAGAATCCCCCACCTGGATGTCGATTTACGTAACTTGTGTTCTCCCCGAAGTCCAAGCTCAATGTGTACATATCTAAAACTATTATCAGGCATAAAGTTGTGTTAGATATAGGTTCGAGCTTCGAGTTGCCATCCAGGTAGGGTGACAGTGAATAGGAGGAGCCGACTGCTAACGAGGCTTTGCAGCCCACGCCATCCCATGCTCGGTTGAACACCATGGCTAGACTAGTGGAGAGACCTTGGCTGTCGGAGCTGGAGGGTAACGAAAGGACGTTTCAGAAGGAGCTCCTGGCAGCGTAGACACTGCTCAAGGATGCCGCCGAACTCGAAACGCGATCCTCACGAGAGTGGGAGGGCTACCCCTTGTCAAACATCCCTCGATCCTTGGACACGGCCCTAGGCGCCAGTACCTCGACCTTGCAACGCTCACCAGAAAAGCATGCTTCCCAAACCGGTGAGAGGCAAGGCGACTGTACTTTCGAACCTGCGGTGGAAAGCCAACCCGGACTGTCTGGGTGAATAGATGGGCATTCGTTCGCGACTGAGTATCCCCCTGGCTGCTTCAAAGCACGAGAACATGGAGAGGACAGATCCGTTTTGTTTCGTGCCAGGGAGACTCGAAGTCGTCCGATCGAAGGCTATCGGCACCGGGCGGCACGAAGGACTTATTAGAAGTCAATGACGGGTTATTGCTACGTTTTTCAAGCAGCCTGTGCTCACCGTATTTCCAACGTTTGTTGCTAGCCGTAGATGCTATGGGAAAATCCCACCGCGTCCTTTGAGTTCTTCATTGAGACCGTCCCCATGCAGAGGAGCAGGTTGTACGACGATGTCCAAGGCGCATGCATCTACCATTCCGGACGTGTACCCAACCCGACGCCAGAAGGAAGTTCTCAAGAGCCAGGGGGGCGGTCCCGAAGCCATCGAGAGCTAGCTCTTACGATGACGACGAGACGCTTTTGCTATCGGCGTCTAATCAGGCAACAAAGAAGACGTGTCGGCAACTCAAAGGTCAAGCCCACGGAGCGTGTGGAGATGAGATTCCCTCAATGGTTCGACCCTCAGGCGTCCCACCCACTCTAGCTAATGCTTCTTTGTCACGACCTGGGGGCACAATGCTGGCTTCTTCGTCGACAAGGATGAGAACTGCCATCATCAGTCCACAAGAACAACGTCTTTGGTGACAGTGTCTGCATCATGAGGCGGATCGGAAGGATCCCTGGGTCTCTGGAAGACCAGCCGAATTCGAGAACTCCAGGCCGCCGATCAATGGTGCATCCGTCTGAGCTAGAGCTGAGAGGGTCCTCCCAGAGGTGGTGCTTTCTTGGACCGGGCGGGAATCGTGCGAGTCGACGGCGCTGTGTACATCTCAAGTGACTCCGCCTTATAGAACGAGATCCTGAGGGTCATTCAGGACGACCCAAGGCAAGGGCCCCATTTTGGCCATGGCAGAGCGCGAGAGACGGACGATTCAGCGATTTTACCTGTGACTAGGAATGGTTGAAGAGATCAGGGAATACGTTACAACATGTGATATCTGTCAGAGAATGGAGGATTTAAGGGAGGCACAAGCCGTGTGGACTGTTGGCAACGCTGCCGCAGCCAGATCGACACCAGTAGGACTTGACCATGGATTGGGGGGGCTTCCCACCATCTATGAGCAGATGAAAAGCACAGATCCAGTCTTGATGGTAGTCGACAGGTAATTCAAACATGGTCTGATATATTCCATACTACTTAACTATTTAACCACGAAGTCGTGTCAAAATGCAGTGTCCCTCCCTTACTATAGGCAGAGTGCTTATCCACGTCCTACCACACACCCACAGATAGACGGGCCAGACGGCACGGACAAGTCCCAACGCTTGAGACTTACCTGCGCTGCTATACCAGCTCTAATCCCAGCGATTGGGCTTCGAGACCAAAGAAAACGACAGAAAATATAGTCCAGGTGAACATGGGAGAACGAAGAGTTGGAAAAATTGTCAAGTTCAAAAACCCACCAGTCTTACGAAGTCGTCCGACTACCTCACATCACAAAAGACCAGCCACCGCAAGGAATATCAAGTGTCCTGTTCGGTGGAGGACGGCAAACAGCGGACAGTAATGCTCAGACCATAATAGCGCCATTCCCAGAAGTGCATGCACGGATCCTTATATATACCCACCGACAAGAGATTCAAGGCATATTCGAGAGCGACGTTGTGTCTTTGCACGACATGGCTGTCCTTAGCACGTACCTTGATTGTTTAGAACTTGGGATAATAGTTCAAACCCTCATCTCGCGAGCATTGCAAGACGAGCAGACGATCTTTTCCGTTGAGCCGTTATGCACAATGCCTCATTCAAAACAAGTTTCGCCAGAGGCCAAGTGACACCTGTTTTGGAATAGAAAACAAAGACACCTACTTGCCTTGACCGGCCGGCGCGAATGCTCTACAACATCCAGCATCGGGTTTCTCACCCCCGAGTCATAATATTTCACCGAGCAAATGCAGACGCCTTGTGGGTCTGGAGCGCAAGAAAGACGACACTGTCTACCCCAGCAGGGCATTTGGGTCGGATGCGTCGACTCAGTCACAATGCAGTCATTGTATGTCTCCCTTCAGAGGTTGTTCAGCTTGCCACAAGATTGAGGGACACCTGTGAAATAGTCGATATTCTACCTGAGACACCGAAGAACTCTTCTCAGAAGAAACTAGGGAAGGGAGAGTGCAAGCGAACCCGATATGACAGGCGATGTGATGCTATGTTGGCGTACCGAGATCACCTATCCCCTACCAGGAACGCATTCAGCGTTGTGGGTTGGCAGTTACATCCCGTGCAGAGCAGTTGATGCATGAGATAGAATCAGAGCTCATTACCCAACCACTTCAGCCCGCGAGGAGAAGGAAACATTGCCTCGGTGAGAGGCTTTCACATCAAGGGATTGCAACAGCCCGCGGTGTATGATCTCAATATTAGGCAAGCAGTTCTCGTGATACTGACAGGGTGGGAAGCAATGATTTGTCGCCGGGAGATGGCACATTGCTGGCTGGCGGGGATGAATTCTTCTGATATTTATCTGCTTCTGTTCAAGGTTCTGTCGCCCGGGGTGGTGTTCATCACGGTTGTGATCTCAGTTTTGTCACTGCGCAGACAATCCCCTTCCTTGGTATTAGCTCCTTCTCTATCCAGGAAAGGATGACAAACATAGAAAGCCGCAAAACCACTTAAGGCATCTTAGCCAGCAGTACGTCGGCTGGAGGCGATCAACCACTATCAACGGAACCCCGACCTATGCTTCTCGTGGAGCAACATGTCAGCAACATGTCCCCCGGCGTGGAAAGTTGTTTGCGGAGATATCCCAGCAGGTGCAGGGAGGGTGGTGATTCAAGCTTGGGTCATGCTCCCATTGCTCTTCGCACTCGAGCTGTGCACGATTCGCAGCCATGGACAACGAGAAGGCGCCTCACAGCGATGTCTCAGGGGCTGTCAGGGAAGTGGCCGGCCTGTGGTCTCCAGACCGACTGTTTGTCGGGAGACAATTCCAACCGATGAGCACACAAATCATGTGCCTGAGTCAAGCCCTCAGAGGGCTAGCGGCCTCTGCTGCTCCTCTGTGTCACCTTCAGCCAGGACAACAAGACCAGGAATATTCAGTGTACCATTGAGGAGGCCAGAAAGAGCCAGAACCAGAAATAGAACACCAAGCGTGGCCTGATGATCTCACCAACGCACGCAGACACAAAATTAAATGAGATGTGGAACCACGATGGGGCAACCCATCACGAGTAACAGCGGTCGGCGTTGGAGAGAGAATTCCTGTGCTTCACCACTTAAAAATAGGAGAATACGGACTTTGTCAGTTCACAGCAACAAAATGAAGGCAAAAAGGCACTCTAGGTGTAATTTGGGATGATACCCACCCCGCCCTAGAGACAGAAGCTCTCAGTTGTGTTCTATGTAACACAAAGAAAGAGCTGGCATCATCGCATGAGCGTTACAAGGCAACAAAATCTGGGCTCCTGGGTGTGGCGCTGAGCCGCCCGTAGCTGAGTCTCACATCCATTACATACACGATTGGCCTAGGGAGAGACTTAGCGCCGCCCTCAGGACGGTCTGTGGGTGTGGGTACAATCCTCCACTGGCGGCGACGTGAGACTGTAATAGGCGCTAAGTGGTGGGTAAAATTGATGGTGTCTGACGGAGGTCTCCCGGCTCCCAACGGCTGCGCAACCAAGGCCAGGATATCCCTTCTCTCTCCCCATGCTACGTTCAGTGTGGATAACAAGAGCTTCACCTCCTGTCTCAGCACTTCCAGAGACGCCCTCCCCTCGCAGCGGGTTCGTGTCTGCTTTCAGCAATCGTTCTCCAAGCTCGTCGTCACAAGACTGACAGCCATGCAGGTCGTTCTCGCCCATGATTCGACCTCCGAAGAACCCTCTCTCCCAGCCGCCTTCTTGACCCGACACGGCTCGCTTGGCGAGTGCCTCAGAAGAGGGGGATCACGGGAAATTGCAGGCCCATAAGAGGAATAAGCACCCTCTCAACTCTCCCGAAGTCGTACATGGCATGGGCACTACTCGCCTATCTACTCTGTATTGGAAAGACCCAAGCTCATAAGTTCACACTTTGGGCCCTACGCTCGTTCGAACATCCTGCCACTGCCAGAAATCCATTCCAACCGAGGCAGAGATGGCCAGCTCCTCCCACCTCAACGTCAATGATGCCCAAGCTGTTGTCGCAGGCTTCCCACACTGCATCGAGCACATGTCCTCCAACTTCAAACGCCTGCTCTCCAACAAGAAGCACCTGGCCTCCGACATCAAACGTGCCCATCGCCTCATTTGCGAGTATGACCAAATCTACAAGAACTTCGCCGATGCTCTTATCGACCTCATCAAGCCGTTTGGTCTACCTCCTGCTCTGCCAAATCAGTCTCAACCCGATCACAAAGACATCCGCATCCTACTATCAGCCCTTATGCACCGCGCCCCAGGTGTTCCAGAGCAGGAGTATGCGGCAGCCAGCCGCCTATTCAACGTTGTGTACACGTACCACAACAAGGTGCGCATCATCACTGCCAAATTGAAAGCTGTCGAGTCATCTCTAAAAGAGGCCATCCCTAAACCTTCTCCCTCTACACAGGGTAGTGGCTCGCGCCGGGAGAAGAAGCTCAAATTCAGAGCCCCTGCAAGGGGTACACATTGAGGGAACTTGGGAGAGATCCTCCGGGCATATCGCACATGGGTGCAAAGAGTGTCAATTTCTATACTAGTGCAAGTCCCTCCAGCAACTGCTGTCAGTTGTTTCCAGAATTGGACCGTCCTGATATGCGTCTCGCTTCCATTGTTCGTAGGCATTCCCACAGTTCGCGTGTCAGCAGATCCTGGTACCGTTGCGTTCGCTCTCTTTCTTTCCAGTCGAATAGCACATGTCGATCGGGATTTGGAGCCGGCGGTGGGGGTTGCGAGAGACTAGCGTAGGAAGAGAACGGAAGAGGAATAGGATGGCGTTCGAAAAGGTGGAAGAGGGGGTGGGGAAATGGTGTTTGGGCGCTTCGGACAGAGTAGAGAGAGGAGAGAAGCGGGTAGAGATGTCCGGTACTCGTTCCCTGGGCTGCAACATGTCGTGCTCTTACTGGTCGATTGAATCACTTCCTCCTTGCATGCACTGCCAACCAGGCCCTACCTCATCTCCGAAGTTGATTGACTGGAAACCAGACTTCGCTTCGACCAAGTGTTTTCAATCCCGGCATGGTGTATTTTTCTCGGTTACGCAGTAAATGGGGCCCACGAACAATGACTAGAGCGCGTAGTGCCACAAGACCATTGGGGGTCCATGTGCACGGACCATGGACCCTCCCTATTGTGGACGGACGAGCATGGATCATTTCAACGTCCTGATTTGGGGAACCCGAAAAGATCCATTTTCGTGAAGCCAGCGTCTTGTGTGGGTATGTCCTCCGGCAAAATCATCTCTTCAACCCTGTTTTCGAGATGGTTGTCAGCTGTCAACAGGGAAGAGAGACACACGTGACCGGTAATTGAAATCTCAGAAGGGGGACGCAGCAGCAAGCATCAGCAGCACATTGGCCCACAGGCCACAATGTATCCTCAGGGTCTTTCTCCTCTCCAGAGAGCTCCAAGGTCGATTTCCCTGGAACACAACATGGGCTTCGCGGTCCAGGTCGACAGGAGTCCCAGGATTGGACTCAGTCAGTTCTCTCCCGGAACAGTTTCCGGCTCATCTGTGTCTATCCACTCCTCTACGCAGCCACTAGAAGGTATCTAGGCTCTATGCACCTGTTCCTTTCCAGCCTCTGCTTTCTACAACTGCCAGTTGCAGTTGTGGTGTTCGTGTGGTCGAGATATGGCCCATCCCCACTGTTTGCTTTCGCGCCTGACCACGTTGTGGTTGCCCCGTCTGCTCCAGTTACATCCCAAATGCGTGGGTCGCTTTTGCGCCCGGACTCTCCCAGCAAATTATACCAGAGAGCTCGGTCATTCTCTCCGTGGGCGCTTCAGGGCAAGCGAGACTTGACCAATGGAGCCCCTATCTCTCCCTTCCCTTCAGGCCGCTGATTGGCGGTCTCTAGGTGAAGTGGTAGAGAATGGTGGCATTCCAACAACTGGATGGTGGCGGAGTGGTACTCAGTTCTTGGAATGGGTTCCAGGAGCTCTATAGGCTTCGACGCAAAAGTCTGGGGTCTATCAGGGCTCTTCACAAGACCAATCGACCTGGAGAACACCGGGGTGCGTGCCGCCCAACATACACCATGCAATCTCCATTATGACATCTCCATCTTTTCCGACTGGGACTGTCTTTTGTCTAGCATCGAAAATGTTATAAACCAGCAAGCAGGGCGCCTCACTGGTGACATGCAAGCACAGCTACACTGCAGTCGTGAGTGACAGAGACCTCCACCCACCATGCCTTCCATGTTCTCGACCATCCTGTATACCTTTGCATCCACGTTTGTTTATCCCTCCTCCGCCATGCCGTTCACTCTAACGGACATATTTACATCACCTTTCAACTTCATGTAACGTCTCCCCTCACACCTCCTTTTCACGTGCGGGCGTGGGAAGCTAATACGCACTACAGAATGACTCGCCCTCAGGACGGTGCCCTCATCTTGGTTACCAGAGACACCTGGTTCGAGGTCTTCCCGGGAGACCCTGTCATCACCCGTATCAGCGGGCCCTGGGTCAACTACGTGCTCAGCCGTCTCGACCCAGATGCACGGAGGCATCTGCTCCTGGCCCCTGAAGAAGGCAGCGGGCGATCCGAGCTCTGTGGCACGCTCGATGACCTGCGACTGGTACTGCGACTGCCCGAAATAAAGGGTCTAACCGACGAACATCCCATCAGGGCTGCTTTGAGCAGCCTTTCTCTCATCGAGCGAATGGGCGTCGGGGAGCATAATCTATACGTCTGACGAGCCGCCCTTGGACTTGGGCGGCCTTTATGCCGACACCAACATGCACGGGGACAGGGAATCACGACAAACAAACAGTGAAAGGACTGCGTGTCCATCTATTCATGAGGATATGGGTCCTGAAATCTGCATATCGCTCTTCCACCAGTCCTCTTAGTGTGTATATGGTCATTCTGCGAGTTTGTGACTAGTTAGCTCTAATTGCTACAATGGCGCCGGGTCCAACACCCTGTGGAACCCAGAACCCCCTTGATGGTCTTCCGACTTTGTAGTCTCTCGCACGGACAGGACGGATACAATGTTGGCCGCCGTCCGGGGAGGCCACGTGAATCCCCTGCAGCATGACGGCATATGGAATTGTGGATATAGGCAAGAGGTCGTCACCTGCAGTAGCCACTCAGTCTACCAAGAAGCCTTCGAGGAGTGGAGAGTAGCGGAGTGCGCCGTTTGGAGTGCAAAAGCGCCTAGGCTATGTACGTGCATTCCACGCCTGAGGACCTCATCTTCTGTCCAGAGTCTTCAGTCTTCGAGTCTTTCTGGCTATTTCATTCTGTCTATGGTATTGATAAGAGTCTACTTAGCATCTAGAGGATGATGTTGAGGCTCCTGGCCGGATTGCTGCTGGCGAAGAGTGCAGGAGTCGTGGTGGTGGTCGTGGTGGGGGTTGACTGCGCATGGATGTTTTGGCGCATGACACTTCTCAACGAAGCAGGATGGGCGCACTGGCTAGCTGTGATACTCACTTGGGGCGCCAAAAGGACAGCCTACCGGACAGGGACATCAGGAAATCCAATCATGAGAAGAGTCCAAGAAGGTGAAACCCGTGATTTGCCTTCGTTGCAAAGGGCGATGTGACTCGGTTAGCCCAACCAGCTCCCCGATGAGGCGCAGGACGAGTCCAGTGTCCAGATCATGTCAATGCTTGCCTCAGTTGCCTCTCTCTCTAAAACCACCCATCCTTCACACTTCCCTCATCCTGCTCTTTCGTTTGCTCTCACTGTCCCAGTCTCGATACACAGCTGTGCAAGCCACTTCCTGCGCTATCTGCGCTACCCTTGTCATTCTTGTCAATTCCTACAGCCTTCAGGACAATCATTTGTGTCTCCCTGTCCCGTCCATCAGCACCTCACCCATCCCTCTCCAGAAAACACACAGCCGCGGAACTCCGACCCGGAACGCAGTGTTTTAAGCATGCCTTCCAGCTCCAGCAAAGGCAACAAGCGTGCGCGCACGGACGACCGTCCAACCCCGCGCAAGCGTGTAGCAACATCGAGTCCCGCGCCAGAGATGCCGACCAATGACAGGAACAACAACCAGTGGGAAGCGACCCAGCCGGAATACGGTACGGACGCCTTCATCGTGCAGAGGGTCTATCAAAACAAGATTGCGAGGCTCCTTGTTGAAAATCGCAAGACGATCGAGCGCCTTGAAGATGAACATGAACTGAATATCAGAGTGATCACAAGAAAGCACGAGCATGTGGCGGCTGCGCTGGAAGATGCAAAGGACGAACAGTGGATCAGGATCCAGATGCAAGGCAAACATATCAAGGAACTCCGAGAGGAAATAACCCGGTGGGAGAGCCGGGTTGAAAATATGACCAACATGTTGAAAGCGGCGCGAGCAAAAGTGAAACAGGGCGAGGCTCTTGAGTGCTCAGTGTGCACGTATGCCGTGATCGACCATATCACCAACTGTGGCCATGGCTTTTGCGGGTTGTGCATCACATCATGGAAACGGGAATGCCATACTCCGCTCCCTCAGTGCCCATCATGCAGGAAGTACCTGGACGAGTCTCAGATCAGGAAGGTCTTCCTCAGTGCCGGCAAGGATGACCCAAAGCTCGTCGTTCTTGACGGCGAGTGAGACGATGACAAAATGCAGAATGGATCAACCCAGCCTTGCCTGTACGTGGCTGGCCGTTCAAGTGTCACGAATGGAGACTGGGTCGGGAATTCAGACAGGAAATGGCGGCGGTGCAGTTGACGAACAGTTTCAAGTGCTTCGGTATCATTTCAGTTTACGTGGTCGACGGCGTGTTCTATCTAGTCATAGTCAGCTAGTCGGTAACAAGTTTGACAACATACACCACATACATGGCTGTTCCTTTTTCCGTCTCCGCTGTTTGTTCCTCGGGCTCACAACCCCTGCTTCGCTTTTAAAAGAGGCCATGACGACGTCGCCGTTTTGCCTTGACATCTCTCCGAAGAAGATTTGAGCCGACTTTTTTTCCTTCCCGGCATGTTTTGGGTCATGCTATCGCCCAACCAAGCAGGAAGGGAGTTGGCTCGGGTGGAAGAATGACGCCGCTTTAGGTGCCAGTTTACGCGTTGGGGAGACCAGACAGAAAAATGAATTCCCAACTTTTTCCCATTCGTGAACATCATAACCAACCCTCTCATGTCCTGTATCTTGGATATATGTGTTTTCCCATTACAAAATGCTCCCCGAGCACGCTCCCTCGACTCTTTCGAGTGGGCACACACCCATGCTACGGCCTGAGGAGACTTGCACCGTGAAGCTCTCTCTGGTTGACTCAGAGAGAAACGATAGCCTACATGCATGTTCTCTGCTCGGACCGTCGCTGATTCCGAAGTTGGCAGACTGGGGAATTATCCTGCAGGTCCCAAAACGAAGTCGAGACGCTTTCCTGCCGACTCCCGCCGTCCGGGTGACCCTCCATCCTCCCCCTCCTCCACCTCCTGCGTCGTAACTCTAGGCAATGCGACCACCAAGAGACGGGTTGAGAACGAATTGGCGTCGAGACACTACATGTGGAGACCCTCCGCCGGGGACTCGCAAAATCATACCCTAGTGCTGCAAGCGATGACACGGTTCCATCAGACTGCGTCTTCTCGCCGGATCCGTGACGCGGACTCCCTCATCCTCTCTCTACACCCCTTCAGCCAGATCGCCGCTCATCCACCCTGCCCCACGACTGAGGGAGTGGTCGTCCTGGGAATACTCGGCAAAGAATACAAGAGGAATGTTTGGAATGCTTCCCATACAACGCCACCAATCCCTGTTACTAGCGCCCAGGCTCCGCCATTGATTGGTGTCTTGACACGGTGGTCGGCGCTACGCTGTCCTCCAGACTGACTGTTGCGGTGAAAGGTTTCCAGCGTCACCATTGTCGACAGTATCTGATCGTCCTCAATCTCCTGCTTCATCGAATTACCTCCGCGATGCCTTGGCTGGCAGGCACCGAGCTTGAGGCTTTTGACCGCGCGTGGCCACATTCAAACCAGAGGCCCAAACTGCTCATCGCCGTTGTCAAGCTATCCCGAGTATCAGAAGCGACGCAGCTTCCAACAGGCAATCACAAGGTCTGGGCAGCTTCCTCCATTCGGTCCTGGGAGATTGATACACACCCACTCAACTATTTGGATACAAGCCGACTACCCTTATCGAATGCAATCTCGCCTCTGTCCATTTGGCTCTAGGCCGCAAGGACCTCCTCCGTGCCCGATACCAGCTCGCCACCCTCCTCCCGCGCAGCCTCATCTTAGGGTCCTCTCTACCGGTGCTGCGAACGTTGTCGGAGGATATGATACTCGCGTGCCCCATCGCGGCCGTGCAGTGTGAGCTCCCCAGTGTCAAGAACCCCAGGTGTATCTGGAGGATCGCTCTATCTCACAGTGGAGCCCAGCGCACTCTCCAAGCCTGGTGTAACACCTTGGTCGCCGAGCATCTCATTGCAAACGTGTCTCGGGTGGTGGAAGCGAAAGGCCCTGTCCAGCACGTGTTCGCGCTGCTCGTGGCCAGCTGTGTCATTCACCGTCGACATTATCGCAGCGAGGCACAACTGGGCCTATTCTGTTGGTATCTCCATCGAGTTGCTCAAGGACATCTCATCTGAGGCATCGTTGAGTCTGGACAGCCCTTGTTCGCCATGTTGTCTTCCCCCCCTGCAAGACCTATCTGAGACGCTCGGTAGTAGCCTGTCGTTGGGTTCATGCCGGGGCATGGGGCGTGGTGGTGGGACTGGGAGCGACTACAGAGGTTCTAGCTTGCTCTTGCCACAGAGATGGACACGACGTCGTGGGGCCAGGCGGGAGATGCCCAGATGGCTCCAGACGATCGCCAGGCGTGGCGGCGGGACCACTGGATGAGCATGCGAGACAGAAAGGACACAGTGCTCATCATGTTTATGGCGAGAAAACTCTAAGCATTCGAGGCAGAAAAGGAACGGTGCTATGGTGCCCAAGATGAGAAAAGTCTACAAGCCGCTTTGGCTTGTTTCCGATCTTTGCCTTCTTTCCAATCTTCCCTTCCTATCGTTATCCCCTTCACGGCGACCGGCGCCTATGTTTGGATTCCAAGCACGCATGGCTCGTGCATCTGCGCCTGGTCGGAATCGCTTACCGGCAAAGTGAATCCTCGCCGTCCATCGACGTCATCGTCGTCCTCGTTGTCGAGATATCGCGGGGGAAGCTAGAGCCAGAGCCCGAGCCAAACAAACGAAACCCAGAGGAAGGAAGGGATGAAGGAAGGAAGAAGGATACTGGGCTCTTATCCCGTTCAATGTCCTGTGGCAGTACCCGCACCGGCACCGGCATCAGTAAGCAGCAAGTAGGCCCTGAGCGAACCGTCCGCCCATCCGTCCGTTCTATGGCTGTCCGCCGCTCCGTTCATTCGAAATGCTCTGTCTGCCCATATGCCCGAAGCCATTCGTCTATCCATCCATTCATTCTTCAGTCTTCAGTCTTCAGCCATTCAGTCAAGTATTGAGACGGGGCCCAGTGTCGAGCATTGGTCCTCGACGACAATCAATCAATCAATTGGAGCCCATGGGCAAGGGTGGGCGGGATCATGATTGTGATTCAGGCAGTGGAAGCTTTGGAGGCCAACCGAGTTCATTTCAGTCAAGAATATGGACTCGACTCGATGCGATGGACTCGATGGACTCGAAAGACTTGACTAACAATCACTCAATCACTCGGAGCCTTCTGGAGCGGAGAGGATGATTGGGCTCGCCAGAATAGGTCTCGTCTGGATGGATTGAATTGGTCCGGATTGGATCGGACCGGTTCAGAATGAAATGGTTTGGTTCCTGTTATATTTCATTGTATTTATTTCGTTTCGTGGCATACATGCGCGTGGTTCTAAGTGAGGATGACTTCATGGCGCGCGCACGCATTGGACCCGAACCCGAATTCAACCCAGCCCGACCCAACCCAGATCCATGTACAGAGGATGTGCTGAGAGAGAACCTGTGACACTCTTGCGAACGGCTCCACTGACCACCGGAGTCCAATGGAGTTGGGTTGGGTTGAGCTGGTTCTATCCATCAACCAATTAATCCAAGATCCAGCACACGAGCGCGAGCTCACTCGTGGGAGGAAAGGAAAGGAAGTGTGTTGAGACTGTCTGCCCGTGGCACGGTTCGTGCGTACGAAGGCCAGATGAGACGGAGACGGTGCCACGGGAACAGAACGGTTTGCTGGGTGTGTTGTGTGTTTTGGTGTTGGTAGTTGTGGTGACGGTGGTGGTCGTCGAATACTGCGAAGGGCGACGACGTGGGCCTGAGAGACAGCGATAGAGACAGTGTCGGTCCGCTCCCTGGGTGTTCTGAGTTCGTTTTCTTTCTCTCTCTCTTTGTTTCTCTCTTTCTTTGTTTCTTTCTCTTTGTGGATGTGTTATGTATCGTTCGTTAATCAGTCAATTCACGATACCCAGCGTACCTACCTACCGACCGACCGACCGACCGCCCGACATACCTGGCAAAGCCAAAGTGGAGGGCAATCGGTGAATGTCGGGTGTCAGATTTCAGGTTTCAGATTCATGAATGGAATCCAGTGCGGCATTGTATCGTCGTCGTCATGTTCACCATCACCAAACTACCTCTCTCTCCGCCTCAGACTCGCCGTCCCTGGATCTCAGCTCTTCTGAATAGTCCATGATTCATGATCCTCTCTCTGATCACGCAACCTGTGGTACATGAGATGGGGACCGGGCACAGACAGACGGGCCTTTAGAGGAGAGGAGAGGGAGGGGAGCCCAGCCGGCCGAGATGATTAGCTAGTAGTATCGAACTCGACCGCGCGGAGGATTCGGACTGAGGTGGACATGACTGGCCGTGTCAGACCCATGGAGAGAGTTGCCGTGGTGTGCCGAGGTCCTCAATCTCTCCTCCCTCCCCGTAGCGTAAAAGGCGTATCTCATCGCAAGGCTGAGATCAGAAAGATCGTGGATCTGCCGTGGTCTCAGTCATGTTTTTTGCTGTGTAATCCAGTGAATGAAGTGTCATTACGTTCGTTGTGCCCGCGTAATGTCGACGTTGTCGCACAAAGCCTCGCTGCGGGTCCGATCATACGCCGCGGTGCCGTATTGACGTCCATCCACATCCACCCGGCGTCACTGAACTCAGATCGCTGTCTCGCCCTTTCTTTTCCGCAACTTCGTTTTTCCTTTCTTTCTTTCTTTGTTTCTCTCTTTCTTTCTTCCTTCATCCATTCATTCTTCACCGCCTTCTGCAGGCTGCTCTGCTCTGACAGACCCTTCACTGAGCCCCGCCATTCACCAGCACCGGTACGGTGACCCACGACTACGCACTGCCTGGGCCGGCGCGCAGCAGATCCTCGCGGCCGTGGAACTGCCAACAGTCGGTCACTGATCACAGAAAAACCACAAAACCACACCTTCGTTTGGGCCATTCTTTTTTTACACCAACACCCAAACAGTCAGTCAATATCCTTAGTCCACGTGACTCCCTGTCTCGACACTTTGTGCTGTGCCATACAACAACACAACAGTCCTCTGCCTTTCTCCTTCCTCGTCCAAATCTCGACAAGACGTATTATTATCACCACAACTAACAGCTGTTGCCGCACCTCATCGTCCGTCATTTGAGGCCCCAACTGACGCGTGCGCCACACCGTGAACTCCTCCCCCCCGTCGCCAAGAACTGTTATTTTAGCGAGTGAGTGAGATCGCACAACCTCAAAGTGTCGCTTTGTACTGACTCGCGCAATCCAGGATGGCGACGACACAGAACGCCTTCGTGGCACTCCCGGCTGAAGTCCACGGCACGATCGGCGCGTACCTTCCGCTCGACAGCCTGATGTCCGTCCGCAGCACCTGCAAGACCCTGTACGCCAGCGCAGGCTACTGTAGAGAAACCGTCAAGGAGCTCCACCGTGTCGACGACGAAACTAAGGTGGCGACCCAGAAATGCGAAAATTGGTCCCCCCCCGGCTGCGGGATGATGCTCGCCATCGGTGACTACGCCCCGACTCGCAATCGCTTCCTGGTCGCTAACTGGCGGTCGTGGGCGGCGAGGAAGGGACTCTCTGCCTTAGCGGCGCACTGGGCCTCGGACCGCAAGTTTATGCGTTTGTGTTGCGACTCCTGTGCTACGATGAAGCTTCTCGCCGCCTTTCCCAGCGAAGAAGTCCGCTCCCGGAAACGCGATAAGCAGAGCGTGACCTGGATGGATATTCGGCGATGGAACCCAGATCCCAAGAACAAGCGAGCCGGCGCCGCCGAGACGGCCACGCAGGGAGTCTCCTTTGTCCGCCAATGTGGTGAGTGCAAGATCCACTTGGGGTACGAAGGCTGGGTGACCTTGGGCCCGTTCGAACTCGACAGGATCATCCGATGCGCGACGTGCCACGAGGACAAATGGATGGCCACCGATGATCCAAGGGGGACCAAGTGGCTGCTGGCCGGGAAAGAGTGTTTCGAGTGCCACATCAAACGTCCGGAGTACCAGGGCTTTTACGCGCTGGTGAAGCATGAGGAGACGCTGTATAAGCGACAAGTCAGACGCGTGATGCAGCGGCGCAACCGGCTACACATGCTGTTGAACCGCGACAAACCGATCAGCGTGGCCGAGGCGAAGAGGGTGATCCGGTCCAGGGCCATACGTACTAGCAGTCATCGTCGTCGCTAGGCTTAGCCTTATGTGGGAATTGTTGGGGGGAGTGGCTGTGGGCACTGATCACGACCTGATCATCAAATCTGTGTGGAATATCATTCATAGTCTGCCGCGTCGAGGATGTTGAGCCCGACCAGAAGTTGTAAGGGAAGAAGCAGGCAAGCGAGTATTAGTCAAGGAAGCAAGTAATTAAGTATGGAATCAATCAAGGAAGCAAATGGAGCCCTGTCTTCAGTCTCCTTCGTTGAGTGTCGTGATTCGTCTCACCCCCATCTGTCTAGAATACGCCAGCAAGCACACTCTGGCCAGCCACGTCGTTGTCCGACGGTGTACTAAGATTCAATCTGCTGAGGTCGAGTAAATTTAGCGATGCTGAGATACACCCGGGTAAGACCGTGGTGGCGTCCAGCAGCTTGATTGTGCAGAGAGAGAGAGATGCAGACCACAACATACAGGGTTCGTTCTCGGAGCCAGAAGCTCGTTGTAACACTATGGGTAGTCACGACCCATCTACACCTCCACCTCTGCCGTATGTACCACTGTCAGACACCCTTCCCTCTGCCAACCACACAGCGCTCATTACAGCATGATACCATGTTCCAGTTACAGTCATCCACTGTCAATACGGCAAGACACGATTGCCGCATTCTCCGGGCTTCAGCTCATGATTCGCTGGCAGACAGAGGAAGAACAGGAGAAAAAGCTCATGTTCAAGCTGGCGACGGTCGAATTACATGAACTACTATAGCAAGGCAGCGCCCGAGATTCAGGATTGCTGTTTCTAACGAGGTTCTCTCGCATTTCATCAATGGATGGATTGGCTGTGGACAAGTCGACTTGGATTCAGACTGATATAAGTTACGAGTACTATCGACCTACCGCCCTTTGGGGAACCTTTACAACCAACGACCGCCCGGATGAGAAACTCTTCATGTGATCCCTGCGGCGAAATAGGAATGGTGTGACAAGAATTCCAAGTCTGATTATACAAGTACCACTGCAACAGACAAGACGAAGCATGCGGAAAATACCGTTCGCCTTCGGAGCCCAATCCATATTGTCTTCCATGCTAAGGGAGTTGCCATCGTTCCCACTAGTCAGCGTCAATGTGTCACCAGGCTTTACCAAAGATCCATTCGACACTTACATCGAGTTGGCTAAGACGTACTCCTGGAAAATTCCCTTCGGTTTGGTGCCGAACTTAGCTATAACGCTGCTCAAACACGCTCACGCCGAGCGCTGCAAACAAGCTCGTAAAGATGCCTTCGACAACTTTGGCCTATGTACAGTCTCGGCTTCCCTTGATTAACTGCTCGACTTGACCTAGATATCAAATCTCGAAAGGAGTGCCAGTCCTGAAAAGAGATCGAGGGTGGAGGAAGGGGAAGAAACGGAGATCGACGATGTTAACTGGTCAGATGAAGAATCATTACGCGGTCGGAAGAGACGTCGGGCCAACGACTTCAACAACGGAGATCGTCTGCACCTTGACGTCCACCATGTCGCCGAGCCCGCTGTCCATGTCAGTGACGACTGCGGCAGACAGCCATTCATCGCGGTGCTCCCGCGCGTTGTTCCAGGCGGCATTCATGCAAGCAACCCGCCCTCCCTGTTGGAGATAGTGACCAAGGGCACCTGAGGGCTCAGCAACATGGTCACCTTCCCTTCTGCCTTCGTGCAACTGGGCTATCACTGGTTGGTAGCTTGCCACAAGATGCCTCGTCGCCTTACACCGCACATTGAGTCCGAGAATAGTGGAGAAAAGAAACGGTGCAGGTCCTGTGTCTCAGATCCGCTTCTCACCAATAGCGTATACATTGACCATGTAGAACACCTCTTGTAGCTTAACATCCGCACCTCCATGTTCGCAGTCGTGAGTTTCTTGGAGCTTTACTTTGGTAGTGGTCAGCATGACCATTGGTCCACTCAATTGAAAATTCCCACCAAAACAGGCTGCTGCCTCGGCCAGCGACACAGGCTGCGACTCCTTTCCCCATTGTGATATCGAGTTGTTCTGGCTTGGGAAGCTTGCTGTCGGCTTGACACTTCCAAATAGCTAAGGGCCATAGCCCCCGTAGCCACCACCAGCCGCTCGGACGGCGTGCATATTTTTGTTGTACTCGAGTCTCGACTGATTCTGTTGTTCCACACTCAATGGATTCGGGTCGGTCTAATTCGGGGCTATGTGACCTTTCTTTCCACAAGTGAAGAGAGTAGATGTGCATGTGGATTGCGACAGCGAGCTCCGCAACATGATAGATGTCGAAGTGCAGATGATGCACGAATCCTATACCCCGAGCGATCTACCAGGTCCGCTTTGGCGCCCACATATATATATAGAAAACCGCAGGGCTGGCAGTCGTAGTCGCCTTCCTGGCTCATTGGCGACGAGGATGTCTTCCTGAACAACAGAATCCAAGTTGCGCCGTGAAATCCCCAGTCATTCAGTCATGATAGACGTCGCGTAGCCGTTCTTCGCATCACCAAGCACACTCGAACATGTGTGGTACGCTTTCCAGTACGAGTTCGCGCTCGCGCTCGCGCTCGGCTGCATCGGGGCGCAGTGAGAACTGCGCCCGCTTCTGGTTTGGTTTCGGTCTCTGACTGGTGGTGGGTAGGCAGTTCGTGAAGCGCGACTCACTGACTGGCTGACCGCCCGCTCACCATCGATTTCGAGCGGTGCCCGGGTAAATAAAGCCACGCCGAGCTCGGGAACGAGTTTCGCTCGCTCATACCCTCTCCCCCTTGGCCCGACCGTTGCACGGGGGTTCGCGACGAGAAATTCTCGCCGCGTTTGGGTTACACATCGCGAGGAGGAATCGATCATTCGACCGGAGATCAAGCGCCGGCATAGAAGCCCTGCCGATAGAAGCCCTGCCGCCAGTGAATAGTACCCAAGCCCGCCGCCGTCTGAGCCTGGATTCAGCATCTGAGGCCGTGCAATCTCGATTCTGCGCTTGGTGCGCGATAAGAGTCTCACTCACTAGATTACGACTCGAACCCTCTGCCTGGCCCGAGCAACACCAGGTCTCTCATAGGTATTTCTCTGGACTGGAGCTGCACTTGAGAGACATCTTCTTTTGACCGTTTCTTCGAAGTTCGGAGAGACAGTTTCGATCGATTTGCTGCAAAGAGATTGTCTGCTTAGCTGAAAACTCTCGTCCCCCTCCTCCCAATCAACCCTCCCTCGCTCTCGCTCCGACTCGCCATTTCTTCTTCCTCACCTTCGCGGGCTGGAGATCGCGTACTCAAACTCCTGGGGTGGCCTTCGCCGGAAAGGCTCCGTACGTCAGGTCCATAGCTGTCCACAGTTGTGCTACCGCATATTTGCAGACGTTACCGGTGAGTGGTGTGTAGACTTCAAAATAAACCTGTTATATTTCAAGCTTGATACTTCCTGACATCACATCTGCTCGAGCTCTCGTTTCGGGGACAGACCGGCCGGCAGAAGGGGCAGCGGCAATAGACACCGGAGTATATCAGGCTCTCCAGGTGGGCTTCGACAGCCTTTCAAGAGTCGGTTTGGGCGTGTTCTCGCAGGAGCATTTCAGCTTCCTGGACCCTCGTGCGTTTTTCTTTCCTCCTTGCTAATGTCATTCAAAGGTAATTCCAGCGTGTTTGCAAAGGGGGAGCAATCTAGGAGCCCCAACCGCTTCTGTGAAGTTCGTCTCGGAACGCCCTTGATCCGCGGACGGCTGATACTGACTGGCTCTTCGACACGTCGAGGAGAGTCAAGCGCCAACTGGGAGACATCCGTCGCGTCGGGATACGAAGCCGGCTTTGCTCTGACGTCGTCTTTATCGCCAGTACCACAATGTCTTTGGTCCCGAGAGCCTCTGTCTTCAGGCCAATCTCCCAACTCCTCCAAGCGCTGCTGGTACTGGTGCTACTCCTGCATCCTCTTTGTTTTGATTTTCTGTTGTCAGATCATCATGGGCAGCATTCTCGAGGAACCATTACTCCCTCCCTGGAGCAGATTCACATCCCCCCACCCGTTGTCTCGCTCCTGCGTGAGCAGGGGAAACTCTACCTCGAACTGATCGGCCTCCCTCGTCCTGCGCATAGTCCACCTCGTCTCTTAATCACTCGAGAATGGGGTACGCAGGCTCTTCCGACGAAGTCCAGCGTCGCCTTGGTCGCGAGTTTGGTGGCGTGGAGGGAGTCTTGATGGGTAGATTGGGTCGAAACAAGGGCACTGGTCCAATCTCTGCTTCCAGAAAACATACATATGCCTGCACAATCTCAAGCAGAGGTATCTGAGGACGAAGGAACACTGCTGCACGCCGTCAGTCCGTAAGTTAGGAAGCGGCCCCTTGTCTTCATCGCCGTGTTCAGAGTCGTTTCTGAGCCAAATTGCCATGCCTTGCCTTGCCTGTGAAGGAATCGAAGGTGACAGACACCCTGGCTTGAACTGTTCTCTTTGCCAGCTTCACCAACAAGGCCGGCGCCGCCCTCAAGCTCCACGTAGAACAAAAAGTATACACGGCCCAGCCCGGCGTAAGTCTCCATGCAGACTGTGTGTCTGAGCTATACCATGAAGCGGATTTGTCAGCCATCCTTGAAAAAGGCCCCATCGGTCATACTGCTTAGGTCTCCGGAGTAGAGGAACCCGTGACTGAGGTAAAGGGGAAGCAGCGTCGTGAAGACAGTGTCTGTCGGAGGCCGGATGTCCAATCCAGCCTTCTCGACGCACATAGTGATTGGGCTTTTGGCCGCTACCCCTGAAGGTACAGAATGGCCTTCATTGTTGCCGGCCGCGAAGATGTGATCTGTCAGGACAGGGCGTCCTCGAGGAGGCTTAGCTTACTCTTTCTTGACACCGAGGAGGATCAGGTGATCTTGATCTTCTCTTGAGCTTCTTCTCGCATCTTACATGCCCTCGACCCAGGAGGTCTCCGTCGCAAGTGAGAGAAATCCTGAGAGTGGAGCAGCGTGCACAACAGAGGCCCCTCTTCTTCCTCGATCAGCGTGTGGCGGGTGACAGCAAGCTGTGTCGTCCCACGAACTCAATCACGGGAGAAATTCTCCAAAAATGAATCCAAGGCTGAAAAGACCTGGAATTGGAACCAGGGACAATCGCACAGGATTGATGCCAATGCTTCGTTGCTCGAGGTTTCCACAAGAAAGCTCCTGGCAGTTACGGCCACCTTTGTCACCGCGTAGGGGATCAATGGGTACAGCTGCTAGACAGGAAGGCGAAGCACCAACGCCGGGCTGGCTGGCCTCGTGCTCTCATACATTCCTTTCACATCAGTCACAGTGGAAGTCTTGACGCATGAGATCGGGCCACATGCCACGGGTGGACAATCAAATAGAACGGGACATTTAGTTTGGGTCGGAGAAGGTTGGGGATGTCTGTGTGTGTATCTGAAAAGGAACTTTGTTGTCAAGCCACCGTGCTCAAAATCGTTGATGCCCCCACACGGTATACTCTTCCTCTATATTCATCGCAATGCGCACAGCCACTTTGATACCATTTTGTGAAATGTGTTCTGCACTCTTTGGCACACAACCGATCCTCACTCGTTGTCAGTCGGATAGCAGAGCTATGTCGTTGTTTCGTATGCATCTCGCGCGCTGATCGTATGATAGCAGATTTCCGAGCAGAATCAGTGCGGTTGTCAGCCCCATGGCGCCGCCAGGCCGCTTGCGATGTCCGATGTCCTCCGAGAGACGAGGAAGATCGGATGGTGGATTCCCATGAATCGTCCGGGCACACTTCCGCGACGAGATAATGAATGTTGCTGAAGGGCATGTCTCGCATGAAGTCTTTCAAGCAGCGTTTCGAAGCGATTGTGATCCGTTCACGAGTCATGGTGAAGGTAGAGAAGGATCAGGGCAACCAATTCAGGGAGCCGGAAGGACTCGACGGTCAGCACCCTGTTCAACACTTGATCTTGGCTGGTATGCCCGTGATATCCCCGCCTGCTCCAGTGGATGACTAGCGAGTCCCTAACCCTGTCATCATCCTGGGCACTTTTTGTCTCGTGTTGAGACCCTTCAAAAGGTCACGTAGGCTGTTGACATGCCTCTGCAAGACGCCGCCAGACGCCGGGGCTGGTAATCCGCTATCACGTGGTGTGAGCACGGCTTCACCATGAACGACGACGGCTTGACAGAGAATGCGGTATTGTCATGAGATTCTCGGGTCGATGGGCCTTCCAGGTGGGGTATTGGCGTCGAATATAGGATAGAAACTGGCCTTTGGAGATAATTGAGGTTGAATCAATGATCGACCTTCTGGTAGATATATTGGTGGCAAACCTGCGAGGTGTGTGGATACAGTTCTGTGCGTTCCTGCATCTCAATTCCGACTCGGAAAGGGATCGCGTAAGAGCCCCTGACGCAGGGTCCAGAGAGAATGAGCAAGGTTGATGGCGCGATTGAGGAACTCTGCTGGCATAGAACAGGGGCCTGCTTCGTCGAACACCGCTCTCGCATTTCGCAGCGACCATCCGTGAGGATATACCTCGCCAGAGGGCCGTCAGTCCACGACTGCTCGCTGTCGTAACGCGCCTGAGTGGCTGAAAAGAGCGTCTGCGGAGGTCTTGCTGTTCGTAAAGGTGTAATACAGGTACAATTATTTGGCCGTGTCCAGTGCCCACAGTTGGATGGTCGAGGTAAAGGAGCTCATGAGGTCCCAGCTTTTGGCGAAGGGCTTGGAGGTCGCTGGTTGGCTGTGAAGCTCACTTGAAGTGACTGGAAGTCGTTTCCATTCGAGACCCGACAACCTGCTTATAGATCCATGAATGATAAAGACGATTCTCGAACCCGCTGGAGCTTGCGTCTTAATCCCAGGTTAGGTCATGGCTGGATGGCAGTGGATTTCTTCATCGGCTGTGTGACACGACCACAATAATGTAAACGCGTTGGCTCTTGCAGACATGGACTTCGATCGATGTACTTGGATCAGGCTCTTCGAGAAACTGTGGATGTACCACCACTGGGGCTCAACCCAAGCAGCGGTTCAGCTCGATACGAGTCAACCTGCGGCTTCCTCTGTCCAGGTGCTGGCAATTTATACCAGCGGTGCGCTCATGGGATGGCAGACAGGCCAATGTGTCGCCGTGGAAGGGGTGCATTGTGCGGTTTTTTTAGATGTCCTGGCAGGCTTGTCTGCGTATCTGTGCCCAGCTCTTGTGTGTCTCTTTCTCCACAGGGCGAAAGCCTTCAGGCATCCTTCTTTGTGGCACTGCTCTGAACGTCGTCAGAGGCCGCAGGTGAGAGCGCGGATAGCAAGGTGTATTCATGATCGTGGTGGTTTTCGGTGGAGGAATCGCCAGCGATTGAATGTCTTTGTGTTTGAGCCAGAAACCTGTCGTGACGGACGTGAGGGTGGATGTACCTGTAGGTTCCGAAGTCAGTAACCAGAGTCCAGTACAGATTTCTTATGTCGGTGTCGAGAGGGATAAACTTGCGTCTTTGTTTTGTTGGAATGAATGCATCTCGATCGGCTTTGCGTGTGTTGGGAATCTTAAGTGACTGTTCCCTTTGTGCCGGGAACAGGTTTCGAAATATGTCCAAGCTTGTCTTTGAAACGAGTCTCTGTTGGCTTCTCCACAACTATTTGATCTTTAGAAGCAGGCATTTATAGGAAGCTGGTAGTCAAGGTGTCCATGCAGAAGCTGCCCAAAGTCACCCCCATAAGCACTAATCACGATCGCAGCGCGCTTTGTCAGTGTCATACCATGGTCCAATACCGCTTTGACTGTCAATGTCAAGCCTCGATGGGTGATTCCAGTGTGCTTCTTCTTTTTCTGCTGCGGTTTGGAGATGTCCGTCGTGGGGACAAAGTGCCGATTTATCCCCATACACGATTGATTCCATCGACCTATAAGCCTGGTGTACTCCCAGAAGATCGGTCACAAGCTCATACGCCCATATTCGGTCTCTTCTGTTCTTGCAAAGCATACGTCGGAGAAGCTCCAAATGACGAGAAGGCGCCTTGTCGGCCTTGGCCAGAAGTTCGTCATGCCAGGCGCCCATCTTCTGCCTGTGAGGAGAGGCTTCCTCGAATACCTTGGTTAAGTCCCAGGTCTCTCTTGGGAGTTCGATCACTCTAAGAGTAAACATTATCATTACAGCCAGTGACCAGATGTCGCCAGCCTGGTGTCTCTCCCGATGCAAATACTCTGGGCTAATATAGCACGCAGTTCCCCCACTAACGAAATATGTACAGGTTTCCGAAGAGGCAAGACCAAAGTCGATCAAAACGGTGCGACGAGAACTGGGATCGTACATTGTGTTGTCGGGCTTGAGATCGTTGTAGAGAAAGCCATTTTGGTGTACCCATAGCAATCCCTGGGCGGCGCCGAGCCAGATATCCATGCACTGCATCTCGGTGAGGGTGGAGTGAAATTGGTTGTCAACGAATTTTTCGAGGCTCATCCCGGGGACCAACTCCATCGTTATCGAGTACTTTTCAACGTTACAGTCGAGAAACTGGACCACGTGTCGCTATATTCCGTTAGCTCTGTTCTCGTACTTCGAAAGGTAGCTTCAAAGACTTGCATGCCTACGAAGTGCCCGGAGGACGTAAGCCTCGGTCCGCCACATCTTTGCAGCTGTCGAAAGATAAGGGCGCCGATAAACCTTGATTGCAACACTCTTCCCTGACAATTTGCCTTCCGCAACCTGTGAATGGCCTGTTTCCCCAATGACCGCTCTCACCACCGATTGTCCAACCACCCTTACAGTCTGTTTGGGAAGGTTGCAAGTGTCGTCGATGGGGCTATCGTTCCTCTTTCCCGTACTGCTCTCGATACCGGCTCTTGTAGGCTGTGTTCGATATTGAAAACCCGCCGTTTGGGTGGAAACGGCCCCGGCGGCCATGAGGATCTCTGAAGGGTCTGAGAAGGAGTACATACAGGACTGAGACAAATCGCTCAAGGGATGTTATGCGAGAGGAGCTGAAGCCTGTTAGGGTCGGGCTGAAGTGAAGGAAACAAAGAAAGTGGAAGCCACGGTCATCTAAAGGTCCCACTGACTCAACTGTCTTAACGGTGTCTATATTGTGTTGAGATATCCCTAGGTTTTAGGAGAAGAGAGAGCAGAACTGCGTTGCGCGCAGGAGAGAAAGGTCCGAAGCCCATTCCGAAGGGAAGGTGTGCTTCAGGCATGTACTGTATCCACAACAGAAGCTTTTTCTTAGCCTGAGGACGCTCGACAGAGTGAGTATGGGATGAGAGCAGCCATTCGTGGACCATTTCTTGTGGGTAGATAAGCCTTGCAGCGATTGTAGAGAAGTCTTGATATTGATAGGGCAGACATGCGCCGAACTAGAAGCCGGGAACCCCCATTGTTCCGTTCCGTTAGCATGGCTAGGCACGGTTAGCGCAGGCTTAGCTGGATCTCACTCAGCTGTCGCCCACTCTACATCCTTCCCTTGTGATACTGCTAACCGCTTCTCATCCACATAATCAGGTCTAACATGCAAGTCACATGCTCTCCGCCTCCCCCGGACGTCTGGTCCTCCCAAACACCGAAGACCATCCTCTCCAAGAACATGTTGACCCGGTCCCGAACCTCCTGTCGAATACTGCCTTCACAACGGTGTCGAAAGCTTGATGTCAGTCAACTCCTATCCAGATACAACAGAGCACAATAACATGGAGGGAGACTTGAAACTGCTCAGTTGGACGAGGCCGAATGTGCAAGGGGCCGCTGCCAAAGATGCTGAAGAGGTGGTTCTCCCGCCACTGAAACATCTGGACAGTGGACGTTAAAGCCCAGAGGGAGGATTTGCTAGTGAAAAGATAAGCTACTTTCCCTCTGCAGGTTTCCGCCTAGAGAGCGAGAGATCCGGGCAGCATAGCAGAAATGACCTCCTCAACGGCTCGATGCCATCGCTTTTCACTTACCTCTCAGACCCCTAGATGCCAAAACATCTCAGTCGGGAACAATGCGTCCGAACACACCTACAAAGGAGATCACAAAACTGCTACAGGGTGCCAAATTGCAAAAGAGTGGGAGCCGCCAGCGGAATTGTACCAAGAAGCGTCGGCTATGAGATAATACGGACATTGGGCACAGGGAGGTCTCTACAGCAACCACCCTGCAATATAGGATCGCACTTGTCAGCGAGCGAGAGAGGCTCCTGAAGCTCTTGTTCCTTTCGCTGTCTAAGCTGCTACACGCCTGGCCAAAAGGATTGCGGCGCACAGACAGATTTGAGCCTGGCTAACCATTGTCAAGCTCGGAGGAAGCGCTCTGATCCTGACAGAGGCTAATGATAATACGGCCTGTCAAATACAATATACCGTTATCTAGATTTTCAAATCTGGAATGTCCTGCACGTTGTTGGCTTCGTCGAAGTGATGCTGCAGAGTCCGTTGAAGAGGCAGAGTCTCCGTAGTTCGTGCTTGTGCGTGTTTCCATATAATGAGTGTAACAAAGATGTACCCAGGCCCTCTTGCTCAGAACCCCAACACTCCGTACATTTTTGACCCTTCGAAAAAGTCAATCCACCGATGAATTCGTAGTCCAGTCATGCACGAAGCGTATTCTGTTGAACCTGAGCTGGCGGTCCCTGTAGTCAGGAGTCTAAGGACCTTGTACCATCCTTATCGACCGAACAAAGCGCTCGAAAGAAGGCCGTCTCTCCCAGGGGTTTTGCAGGTCGATCCGTTATCCATTCGGTCGTTGGTATCCGTTTCGGTACGACGGCGCCTGATTCTCATCTTTCGTTGACTTCAAGTGATATGGTAGCTCAGTGTGTTTTGTCCGTCCGTTGAAATCTAGATTCTTGGTCGTTGTGACGGCTCATTCGCTGTCGATGTTGAGTACAATCCCTCCTCGAGGAAGCACGTATTGAACACAAAGCTCACGACACAGTCCCCGCACGCCGATGCCCTCGTTGCAGAGCTCGGTAGCGTCCATATACTCTGCCCTCGGCGGTCGAAAGAGCGACCGTCTTCTGTGGTTTTGCTGAGCAGCCGATGGCTCCTCCAGCCGGTAATGGATCTTGCAAGATCCATCCTGACCGGCCAACCACTGTCGACAAATGCATCAAGGGTTCGAGATCCCCTTTCTGTCGAATTGAATCCCTTAGATCTGCACGTTCAGGGCTTTGAATGCTGCAGAATTGTGAAAGGTCCTAGTAAACGTGAATGCGATATCGAGTCTGGATATCACCGGCAGCGTATCTGAAGGATCCAATCTCAGATTTCTATTATCGTATGAAATCAAGGTCGTTGCCTTGATGCTGTCGTTTGCGTGGTTTCTTCTTCAACTACCATTGGGTTTTTGTAGGTTCGAATGTCTCTCTTTGCAAGTAGATCCCGAGTGAGCTCAATAACAGCTTCTAGTGCAGTCGCTCTTGAACGGGAAATCTGGTCTGCCGTCCGCCGCCAAAAGTCCGCTTTGTTTGATTCTGAAATTGCCAGGAGCACGGCAGATTATTCCGGACCGTGACCACGGGGGTAGGCAGCTCCGGCGCGTACCAATCTTAGTACAAGAGACCCACATTGAATCACACATATATTTTTATCTGTCTAAATTTTCTCCACACCAAGACCCCCTCAATACGACGAGGGCGAATTACGTCGACTCCGGGTCCTGTCAGGTCAAGACTACCACCGGGGTCAGTCGGCAGCAGGACCTGGGGTTCGAATCCCATCGACATCAACCTTATAAAGTAGCGAATTCGTAGTATAACCGGCCGAGAAAAACCAACCCGCAAGGGCGAGTTTCGCTTATCACAAACCAGGTTAAGGGTTGACCTGCTTTGTGATAAGTTTTTGCCATTTCGACCGATAGTTTCTGTTTTTATGTGCCCTTTCTTCTCGCCAAGGGCAGCTATGACCCTCCTCCGTTTTACAAGCCAACAGGTATCTATAACGTCTAAAGCTTTCTTTGGAGATCTGCACATGGTTGGACACCTTTTCAGAACCTTCAAAGATCCTCGATTTCGTCGAGGCGCATTAGTAATATGTGAGTCCCGTCAAGAATGACTGAGTGCCGCTGAATATCTTCAACCTTAGCTTCCACGGGAAGAAGATCAAAGACAATGTTCTGGATGTTCGAGGTGTATTCCTGGATACTCTTGTGCTTGGATGGATGGACTTCCCTTCAGTTGTCTGAAGAGAAGGGTTTGTGCCATTGTGTCTTGGATCCTGTAGAGGTCGTGAAGAGTCTCCCATACAACCGAAGGCAGACTTACAGCGATGTGAGAATGAATGCCTGGATCTGTATACTCGATGAGCATTCATTTGGCTTCGTGAATGCGTTCTTGCTTTTTTTTCATACCGTTTGAGCCGGGACTTGAAGTCGTTACAGGTGACTTTGCATTGCTTCTGGATTGCATCAGTAACTGTGTAGTCGTTTCGTTCGCGATACTTCTGGATGTTAGATGGAAGCTCAGGCATGTCTCCAGGGCCCGCGAGGTAGGTCTCGTATAGTTCGTAGAACATGCCTTCGTGGCCACCTGATTCGATATGGATCAATCAAGGCTGGATGAATGTGGCTAGTCTGACTTCTTGCCTAGATACCACTGAAGAAGTAGGCAGAGGATCGGAACGTGTCGGAAGAAGGGACAAAAGCTATAGGAAATCACTTCATTGCTCTGGCCACCCAATAGATTCCTATGTAGAGAAAGCAGAAGCCTGGAGTTCTCATCGCGGGGTAATCCTCTCCTACTGGGCAGAAGAGCTGGCTGAGGACAGTCCAGGCCAGTATTTGTGTGCTGCTCGGCGTGATCTTCGTTCACATAGCGCCTTCGATTGTGCCCCAGCTCTTCTTGGACGCTCTCGAGAGCAGTCTTATATGCTTGTGTGATATCATTGCATTGCTCTTCCCTGTATGCTTGAACGGCCATTCTTTTGATCAGATCTTTTCTTCCGCCCCCGGACTTTCTCTGCTTCGTAGGAGTCATGGGAAGATGACGCCGGCTTCGCTGCGACATGCTTCAGGCGTCTCGGCATGATCCCACAGCGAGTCAGGTTGTTGGATTTGCTGGGCCTGGGAGGCTCGGGTTTCGAATCCTCTTGATGATACAAACCTGGTGCCGCTGGTGAGCTTAATCCATTTTCATGGCGCAAGAGAAAGGCACCATCAACAGGCGTGTGGAAACTAGGGTAGAGCGGATCGTTGCAGATAAGTAGGTAGTCTTGTATAACCGAATGGCTTACAGAGAACGACGTTACCTCTTCGAAGGGGTACGCAAAGCCTAGAAAAGGCAGTTTGAGGAGGCGCAGGCGGCCTGTAAACCCAATCGACCCAACAGACTCCTCGGCGCAGCCCGCCCGCAATAATATGCCAAACTTCCGCATCTCTACTGTCGGAAGACCATTTGAACTAGACACGTAAGCTTCCCCTACTCCACGCCCCGGCCTTGTGGAATGGACTTGGACAGGAGGAGGTACGGGTGTCACACTGTAAGACAAAAGACAATTCTTGACCTCTCTGCCTTTTAAGCAACGCTTCGTGTGATGTTACCAACTCTTGAAGGGCCTTCTTACCTGCACTTTTGAACCAGTGTCATCCTCTACTTCAACCAAATCATTTGGGAGAGTCTTTGATTCTTGATTCCATACAGGAGGTGCTAATATGCGTCATGATTAAGCGGTCCATCTCGACTTCACAAACCCTCGAGCCGTGCTTGGCTGCTTCCCATACAACCGCAGCAACCTGCAGCACTCATACCAATGTCTCCGGGGCGTGTCTTTCAGTCGCGCTGTTTGCATCCAAGCATCCTCTATCTGATCGATGGCCGACAAGCGTGGACGAGCGTGGCAGGGGGCTCGAAGACCAAATGAAAATCATTCCGACACTGGTACAACTCGACATTCATGCACCAACTTATTGTGTTTGCAATACGTTCCATCTGCTCTATTAACAGGGCTACAAGGCAAAGCAGCTAAGATCCTTTACACCAATTTGATCAACCCAGATACTCGAGAGCAATAGCAATACAAGAAAGCACCCTCATTGTACCACTGTCAGGCTCCCATCGGATACACAAGGTGTTGCAAATGGCCCTTACAGGTGATTTTGAAGCTGAGTGGGAAGCGGTTCGTGAAGAGCTACCCGTTACATTACATTCAGCTGCAGCCTGATATCATGCCTTTGTGGAACATTTGGGGGATTCCGGCATCATCCCCAACAGGGTCAACCTACACGAATTTTGGACGGCACCACTGGTCGCCGACGACCTCCCTCTGCTCTTTGTACACGACTGCTGAATGGTAAGCTTTATAAATCGTCGTCCGCCTAAAACTACAGATGGTAACAGATAGTACACAGACACTCGAATAAAATATTAAGACTACTCTAAAATTGAAGATCAAGGTCGAGGTATATGGACTAAAGACGTGCCGAAAGGCATTCCTCGTTATTTCTGTGGCAGACCAGGAAGCGTCGCAAGAAGCCTCTCTCGAGACCTTCCAATTGAAAAAGATCGATTTTGACTGCAAACATCCAGAGCATGCTGGTAAAGATCGGCTCCGGCTTGGGGATGAGCGTGGAGCATCCCCGGTGATAAAACAACAGTGGCACTGAAACCTCTGAATGAAAACTGTAATTTGTGTCTAATGTCGTACTATCGATGAATGGATATCTCCTGCTACTTTCGTGTACGGTGTGACCTGGCATGCCCTCGTGACCCTCAGTCCGGGCTCCCATCAGGATGCCTGTCGCAGTGTTTCACTGCTGCAAGCCAGAAATCATCACAGCCCGCCACAGTCAAAGCAGGTGACCTAGGTAACACAAACCCTTTCGAGCTTAGCGCACAAATACATGTATATATTCTGCCTTGCCTCGTCAACTTGAACTTGGCTCCCTCAATTATCCAACCTTTGGTCAGGTTTTGGAAGAAAATGGCCCGGACCAGGCAGGAAGTGCCCGACGTCGTCCCCAAGCTTCTCGATAATACAAAGCGCCCGTTGGAGATAATTTTCGACTCGCGGGTCTCAGCAGCTTCAACCATCCTGTATGATCAGGCTCTGCAATGTGTTGAGTCTCATATCGCACCAAAGCTGCTCAGGCGACGACTCATTGCGATCTTCAACAGCCGAATTCCAAGCCGTGCAGCGAGCAACACGGACACGTGGAAGGAAAACAAGGACGATGCCCGATACGCCACTATTCGTCAGCTGCCGCCTGTGGTACTCTTATGGTGGGCAAAATCTTTCAACTCAATGAACTGGCGAGCACGTTCCATGTCCATTGATACCTTCAATGATCTCGTGGACAAAATGAGGACGCAGAGTCTTGTTGTTGCGGATTGGCAGTACGAGGATTTGGTCGCTTTTGCACAGGACTATCCCCTTGCCTCAAGTCCCGAGTACCACAATTTCATTCGAGGTGAGAAGAAGAATTCATTTCACACTACAGGGCAATCTAAAGGGAATATTTCAGATGTGGGGGCTTGGATATCCCCAGATCTTCGACCAATACCGGGAGGTGAGCAATTTCACACCTTGTTCCTAGGTGATGATTGATATTGACGCCGTGATAGGTTTAGCATTTCCACTGCCCGCGAACTATAGTTACTGGCCGGTGCAAGTTGATTCAGGTAGGCCGTCCGCTCCACCAAAGAGGGACAGTGATTAATATCAATGCCTTGTTAGATTTGCCAGTCCCATTTCCCGCGAACAACGATTATGTGGAGACTTGGCCAGGTCAAGTTGTTTCAGGTAAGCCCACCCACTCCATCACGTACCAGCAACCTGACAGCGGGCAGATCAGCTCTCAGGCCGAGCCTCCAGTCTTCCAGTCCCAGATCCTCAGGTGCTGGCGGCTTGGAACAATATCAATGATAGCCCAGGGTTCATAGATCCTGACTATATGAACAATGTCCCACTTCTCCCGTTTCTGACTCCATGGGGCCTCGACAGTCCGTATGCAACTGAGAGTCAACGGCAGATCTACAGGGAACAGGTATTTCGCGCCAGTCTTACATGATCAACGGTCACTTTTGACATGTTCAGTTCGAGCAGATCGCTTCTCGGAGTATCGCGAGTTGGTCTATCACCAGCCCATTGCCATCTGTGCCCTACCCGTTGAGCCAATCCCACCAACATCTTTGTCTCGAGGGGATGGAACACGATGAAAGGTCCCTTTATGGTTTCTATTGATTCCACGATTATCATCGCGGTCGTTTCGGGTTGTCAAATTTGGGAGTGCGTTGCGCTGTCACCTATTCCAATGGATTTTTTGGGGATTTTCCGACCATTTCTTCTTCATATGTGTCAGGTGAAATGTAGGCTGTTGCATGAGGATGAGTGTGCAAACGAGACCCTGACCCTGGGCACAAGTGTGCCTGGCTCTCAGAAGCAGGTCGGAATATGTGCGATGTAATCTGATCTGGACTATTTGTAGAAATGTGGATATAGCTATGGGGCCGTGCAAATCATGAGACGGAGCCAGAAGACGTACGTAGTCCTTGGATGAGTTTCCGCTACCGACCCGGATGTGCGCATTTCGATGACGTGTTGTACCACTGTCGCTAGTATCGTTATATTACAAACCCAATCTCATTCATTGGTGGACCAGAAAGCGGTAAGATTTACGCAGCAATGTCCTTAGCGCGGAATAAAAGTGTGATTTTGATTTCAACTCTCAAATCCACAGATTCCTCATATTATTCTCCTGCGTCCAAAGTGCTCCGGGTACGTTTCAGAAGTCATGGATTCCCTGCCGGATGAGATCGTACAAGACATCGCAGCGCGTCTGGCACAGGCACCGGACGCGCTTCGCCGTTTCGCCGCCTGCGGGAAGCGCTATTACTACATCAGCCAACCCATCCTCTATCGCGATATTCACCTATCAAGTCTGGAGAGTGCCAATCTTCTGACGAGGACTGTTAGACGTCACCAGCGACGCACGGGGTCAGGTGTTCCGAGCTCGCATCTACCAGGAATGATTCGCCGCCTTCAACTCGATTTTCCGGGTCTCTCGCTCGCCAAAAACGACATAAACATCCACGCGTTTCTCCGCATGCCGTCCCTAGAATCATTGGTTTTAGTGAACGTATCGATGTTTCCCTTGGAACAGATGCGTTTACCCGCCCTAAATCTCCAGCACCTGGAGGTTTGGGTGATGGGTACGCGTGAGGCGGACCTCTGCGCATTACTCTCAGCTTGCACTTCCCTTCAAAGCCTTCGACTGGGCCTCCTCGACATATTTGTGGGCGTGCGTCTGCTAAAGTTGGTCGAAAAATTTCAACAATCCCTGAAAGAGTTCCAGCTGGTGTCCCCGTGGTCCCGTTCTCTGCGTCGATTCAGATTGAAAGGATTCCACCAAATAACGACACTGCGCCTGACAGCATGGTTGATTCTCGAACGCACCCCAGATGCGGGTGGAGAGTGGCCCCTTCTCCGATCACTTCCACCCGGGCTACAGAACCTCGCATTGGACACAATACCCAAGTTCCGTCACAGAGGTATCTCGGTCAACGAGCTCAACATCGCTCTCCTGTTTTTCATTCAAACAGAAAGCATCTCACCGTCGCTTGTGACGTTGGCAATCGAGGTGGCCCCAGACGACGTCTCGTCTGCAGAAAAGCAATTTACGGCTGTTTCTGAAGCGGCGGAGAAGCGTGGATTGGAGTTTCGTGTCCTACCACGTCGATGGAGAATGGGCATCTGCCCGCAATCTCTCAAGTATGTAATGCAGGATTATCAAGACATTGCTCAGGCGATGGCTGCCAACGGAGACTGGGCATGATCTCTCTCTGAGGAGTGACCACCAATGGGCATGGGATTATGGCATGCATGCAACGGCATTGGCGCAGACGAGGAAGACGATGCCCGGTCGGCTTGGGAACAACGACAGCTATTATCGCACAGCAATCCTCCTCCAGCGTGGTTCCGGACACTTATTCCACAGACTAGAAAGAATGCAGCCCAATCGGACAGGAGATGACAAGAGGCGAATATTCGTTTCTGGTCGGGATGGGAATTGTTTAGGAAATCAAAAAAAAAAAAAAAACCTTCCACACTGCACATGGAGTCTTTCTGTCGATGTGACCTGTATTTGAGATTCGGGGCCTCTCCGCGGGAGTCGTTCAGAGAAAGTAAAGTAAAAGGAATGAGCACCCACATACATGGTGCTTTAAAAAGCTCTATTGCCCTTCCCCCGTCGCCCGGAAGCTACGCCAGTACCGACCACGTCCATGCACAGGAGGGGAGGCACAGGCTTTTTTCCAGCCAGCCCAACCACCAAGTTGTCGTGCCGAGGTCAGTCAGTCCCTCGTTCTGTGCAAACGAAGTCTCAAGCGCTGCGATACTGCGACGTCCAACTCCTCCGGCACCGGACGCCGGTGACCATGAACTACATAACTGGCTCCCATACATAATCTCACCACTAGACTAGAGCCAGGACCTGGATGGAGTTGCTGGGTAACCTCATTGGTTGGGAGCCTGCAACGAGTTGGTGAGGGAGGGCAGGCAATCTGTCCTCTGGTGTGGCATGGGTGATTATATCTACCGGATTGCAAAGGATTGTATGTATGTAGAATTGCATGAGACGGAGCGCAGGAGAGAAGAGAAGAGTGCCCAGTGTCCTCGACCGACATGAGACTCCAGCATCCCATCCCATCCCGTTCTCGGCCACATTTCATTCACTCTTGCGGATGGATCAATGAGGCCTGGCATGGCATGGCAGGGGAAGGGAATGGAATGGAATGGAATATCATTTGCTGGCTGCACCACAAGTGACAAACAGAACAGCAAATGCTGCGTACAGTACCACCGAGAAAGAAAGAAAGAAAGAAAGACAGGACCGTATCATAGGCTCATACATCTCACATCTTGTCTGCCCCGTGCAGCACTCACTCGCGCTTGATGCTGCTCCCTGAAACATCCACTAGTGGGCGTCAGATGATCGGTAGGGTTCGGGGTTAGAGAAAGAGATGAGAGGGACACATCTGCCATCTCTCATCTGCGCCGGGCGCACAAAGAGGTGTGTGTGTGTGTGTGTGTGTTCGAGGGCGGGAGAAGAGTCCAGAAGTGCGGCGACGACTCGGCTACTCGGACGGCACAGCACAGCGTAGTCAAATTACCTACATGTATAGATAGGCTGGAAAGGAAGCAAGTAAGCAAGCAAGCCATGAATGGTTACTACCATGTAATATGTACAAGCACTGCACTACCAAACACATGTAAACATAGATAAAAACACAAGACAATCGAGCAAACCTCTCCTAACAAACACTCGAAACAAGCGAGACACACACGAAAACCCACGTTTTTTCCCTTCTCACCCCTTTGGTAAAGCCAGCCTCAACCGTTTGTGATGAGATGCGTTTGTTGTTGTTGTTCCTGCGGAGGGTAGCCCAAGTTGTAGCCCCCTGAGTAGTTAGAGTAGTTGAAGCAGTTGGAGTAGTCGTAGTTATACGGAAAGGATGGCCACCCCTGGGAGGGAACCAGGGGCGGGACTAGAGCAGCCGATACGTGCGACAGAGCCGGAAGGATGGCAGCGCCGACAGGAGCCTGCGCATCCTGCTGCATCGCTTGCGTTACCCATACGTTTCTGCCTTGGTCCCCAACCAGCTCAGGGGTAGTTGCCGGCGTGTTAATGAGGGGATTCTGGTACTGCTCCTCGACGGCTGGAGGCGCGCTCTGGCTGCGAAGCTCTTCCTCGTCTGGCTCGATCTGCTCCTCTGTCCTCGTCGTCAGCGTGGTCTGGGTGGACTCGACCTGCCTCATCCTTTCGTCCAAGTGGTTCACTTGCTGGCTCATCTGGATTATCTTGCGTGTCTGTGCCATCTCGGTGAGGCTCCTAACCCTGATGCCGGCCACACCGGCCTCCACTTGAGTCTTGACCTCGGCCGATAACTCGCTCTTCCACTCCTGCACCGTCTTCCATACTTGCGCTTCATTTTGAGCCATCCCATTCTTGACATCTTCCTGAAGACCCTGTGCCATGTTGGTCAGCTCGGCCTCCTTTTTCTTGAGGGCCTTGATCATGGCCTGAAACTCTTCGCGTAAAGCGGTGAATTTGGAGGATCTCCCTGTCTCAAGGTCCACATGTAGGGCTTCGAAACGGGCACGCCGCTCCTTCGCAAGCTCGACATCCAGTTTCTCCAATCTGACACGCCTCTGTTCAGCGATAGTGACATCGATCTCGGCTAGGCGAGTAGCCCTGTACTTCTCGACGGAGTCCTCGACCTGCTTCACTGGCCCGGTGTCCTTGACGCCCTCGGGTGTTGGGAGCGGGGGGGATGCCTCCTTCTGTTGCAAATGTCCTTTCAACATGGCCTCCGCAAATGCCAGCTTAGCCATGCTATCCACCTCCCGCAGGGCGAGTCGTCTCGCCTTTTCGAGGTCTGTTTCACCTTTCTGAGCGCCCGCGACGAAACTGCATGGTAGACCCCTCGTCGCACAGGCCTGGCACTCTTCTCCGGCTTTGTCTGGAACAGGTGGTTCTCCACCAACACATGACAGGTCTGTCTTCTGTCTCAGCTCCATTGCTGCCTCAAGCCAGGCATGGCAGTGCACACAAATGGCCATCACGCCCGACACTGGTTTCTTTTTGTTGGCTTCTTTGTCGGAAGGCGCCACCGATGGTGACGTGTTGACGTCGTTGGACAAGGATTCGTTTGGCTGGGCATCCTGAGGCGTGAGGCGCGCGCGTTTTGTCGTTGCCGGCGTAACCGCGGATCCTTTTCTGGCCTTCTTCCCCCCGGGCGTCTTCGACATCGCGCCTGTCGCAGCTATCTTCTCTGTCTCATCTGGAACATAGGCCTCGAACCACCCTGCAACAGGGACAGAGGTTTTGTCAGCATAACAAAGCCCCGCCTCGCGAGACCATAGGGCGAAAACCGACACTTACAATGGGGCTGTTCGTCTGTGCTTCCGGAGGACTGTTTCCTTTGGGTACCCTGTGCGTGGGGAGTGCCTTTACCCGTTGTCGCTGCTGTGGGCATGGTGCGTGAGAAGCCTGTGACAGTCTTGCGACTGGACGAGCGAGGTTGATGAATGAAGCCTGGCATTGACAGCGTAGCAACGACAAAAGGAGAGGAAAGGTTATATGTAACTGTTCAAACGGGGGCACCGCCGAGTACCTCACTCTTCTTCTCTGGCCGAGAAAGCACGTCGCTGGCTTGGACACTGTTGGAGTAACTGGCGTCACTGCTACAGGACCTCCTTACCTCGTAGCTAGCCAACGATAGCCCAAAGTATAAAACCAGCGATACTGTTGATTGGAGGAATTGCGGCATCCAACTCGTGGCGTGTGGCACGGCATCACGAGGCCTCAAATGAAACCTGTCAGATGTAATTGCCGAAGAAATGCATTGTCCAATTAGAGTCTTAGCGAGTAATAAGTCCGGGAGACGGTTTTGTACTGGCCGGTCGGGGGGTGGTGATCGTTCCCTAAAACAGGGGCTCTATCTCACTGCCAGGGCCAGTCTCTAGCGAGACGTTACCGCTGGTCGTAGGGATCACACGCACCTGAAGTTCCCAGTTGTCAATTGATGTTGTGGAGCTCCAAATGCCTCTCGCTTATCGCATTTCCGTGTCCTCGAACTGGCAGCTTTTGCATGTGCTTGATCCTGACTCTCCAAGCCAGGTCGGATCCGAATATAGACCGCAGAGCAGTGTATCGGGGTGGTCATGCAGTCGGCGAGAAGAACAACAGACTTCAGGGACTGTCCTGGATTGTGTCATGGCACCGACGTAGCAGGGGAGGGTCAGGTGCAACGAGCTTCGTCGATGAACATCCTGTTGACCGTTGTGCTTCCCTTGATCGCCCGAGAGAACAGCATAGAAAACCGGAAACTGTCTCCATCTCCCTCATTTTTCAGGGTTTTGCGTCGTGTTGCCGGCGTGTGCGTCAGACTTGCCTGGCTCCCTTCTGGCATCCTCTCTCTTTCAGTTCTTGAAAAATGTATGTATTGGTATTGTCAGTTGGATCCGCTCCGCACGTGAGATGTTGTCGCCAACCTGACCACGGTAGAGGATTTCGTTTGACGATGGAGAGATAATGAGTAGAAAGAGGTGTGTAAAGCACTTCTTGAGGAGGAGAACTACAGATGGCCAACCATTCTATTTCATTGTTCATGATGAGGTATCAACACATCTGGAGGAAGCTACGTGGGCGCACAAAGGGCCCATTCGGTGAGTGGTGCAGTAATAGGCGCGGTCTGGCGGGCTGTAAGCCTAAGCCTAGCTCTGCTTGGGGCCCTCACACCTAGGAACGTTGGGGGCGATGTGCCTAGCCACGCCCGCCAATCTCTGGGCCGTGGGACTCGAGCGTCGGCCCCTAAGCTTCCTCGCTGCCATGACACTTCTTGGGGCTCAGCCGCTGAAGGAATTGGGGCTGAGATGGAAATGCTGCTCTCCCTTGGATATTCCTTTGTGCTGGATAGAAGAGCCATATGATGGTACGATATCGTCTTCTCTCAGTGTCTGCCACCAGAGCCAATCCACTTATTTCATGTGTTCATGGTCAAGCTGGGCCACTTTGGTTCGTGTTATCGGCAGGGTGAACTAAACATGATATAAGATTGCTGCAGTTAACTCTCCCAGGCGCTATGCTATGCTATACATGCAGCGTGGACTGGGGGAGGCAATGCAATGCACTCCTTTTTTTCCCCAGTCCGCTCTAGATCCGTACCCACGAGCTCAGCGTGCGTTGCTTTTGCTTCCTCGAACCTGCGAGCATCGTTCTTGATCAAGAATGAAGAGCTGAGCTCCATCGAGTGTGTGTGGACTGCTTCACCACCTGTTCTGGAACTGCAAAACTGTGGGATCGATCCGTTCATCCGTCCATCCGGGATTGCAAGGTAGGCAGCCAGCAGCCACCATGTCAACCAGCCAGCAGGGATTTTCCGGGCGTCACAACGCCCCTAGACACGGATGCAACGGCAATGCAACCCCCCACCCCCACCCCCCAACATTTGATTGTTTCAGCTAACGCCCCTCCCCAATAGCCCGCAGCCACTCGAAGACAGACAGTTAGCCACATCCTGTAGTCTGGACGCACGCGACCTTTTTGAGGGAACGGACGGAGCCCCAAACCTCCCGCCCGCCGCCTCCTCTACCCTACTCGACCCTTCCTGGTGGCCTCGGTTACTGCACCTGCGTCTTCCGTAGGTGCTGGGGTCAAGTTGCGTCGTGTTGCCCAGATTCACCGTCCGCCTGCTGTGCCATGCCCCTGATCTCAATCCCGGCTGGTATGGGCTCGGTCATGTTACTCCGGCAGAGATAGCAAGAGACCAGGAGGCGCGGGCCCATCGAGCAGTGCCTGAGCGGGATCAGGGGGGTCCAGTAAATCAGCTTCAGTAATTAAGGGCTTGGGAGAGGGATATGATTCTGTCTTTCTGTGTGTTTGTCTGTCTCAGCCACTGTTACAGTATACTAGTTTCTCTGGTGACCAATGGACTCTGTTGTCCACAGAACGTCCATCGGTGTGGTACGTACGTACAGCTTTAGTGGTCGTGGTTCACCTCCTCTGGGAGCTCCCCCTAGAACCCGTCCCCGAGACGACAGGTCCATACGTCTTTTTGCAGCAGCCTCTAAGAACATTTCTTCCCACACCCTCAGCAGCCCAAAGAGAGATGTTCTGCGATATCCTTCCGCAACAACCACAGAGGAGGAGTCATGCGTTGCCTTTCCGCAGCAGCCTCCCACTCCCCCAGAAACCACTAAGAAGATATCCTGCGATTCCTGCCGAGATGAGTAAGTTCTACGAGAGAACAGCGAGAGAGAGAGGTGAGGGGGAAAGGGTGGTGCCCGGTCAGTTCAGGCCTAGTCTGGTCTTGTCAGATCAGGTCCCGGGGCGGCCAAGTGTTGCGTGGGCACCTTGCCTGCCCGCCCTGAACGGGGGGGCAGTTCTTCGTTAGATCTCTCCCGGCACAGGTCATGACCACGACCACGACCGCTCTTCCACATGCAAAGCAGCACAATCATAGTTTCACTGTGAGAGCAAGCAAGCAAACAAGCAAGGAAGAACCAACGTTCCGCAAGAAAAAAGAAAAAGGGAGAGAGACGCTACTTACTCCTTCCTCTACCACATAGGTGGAGAATAGGGAATAAACAGTCGTTGAACCCCAGCAAAACCGCAGAGATCGATGATTCATTTTTCTTTTCCACCAATAGACAAGAAAGAAATAGCAGAGATAGAGATGAGGATAGGGACGGGTAGAGAACTCGGATGGACCGTTGCCACTACTACTACTACTACCTCTCTACATAGCTAGCTGGTTGGTAACAGATAGACAGACAGATAGGTAGATAGATAGACAACGGGAAATCACCATCCCGTAATGTACGATGACGACAACGACAACAAAGGAAAATTAAAAGAGCCCAAGAACGAGTGTATTGTCCCAGAGATATTCCCGTATTGACAGTGTTGGTGCACGAACCATCGTCGCCCCTATGGCAAAACTCGAAAGTCACTCCCGCGCGTTTCTGGTCTTCCTCATCTTCTTCATCTTCATCTTCGTCTCTCCTCGTCGTCGTTCAAACCAACCAATCTTGGTGGTTCCAATCATCGCCATCGCCATCACCAGGCGTCAGAACAATGAAATCGCCAAGAATGTCGTCATTCGTCGAAGCCGAGGAAGGAGAGGCGCACGATGACGGATACGGACGAGGAGGCGGAATGCAATCTGGAGCATCCTTCAGAAACGGAATGATCTCGTGGGTGTCGATGGTGGGGAGGCCCGGGAGACACGCGCGCGGACGGTGCCTGTTCTTGTCAAGCTGCTCCAAGAAATCGAAAGTCCGTCCCCAAACGAAACAGTTAGTATGACGCCACAAGGAGGCCGAACTTGCGGACGGCAGAGGGATGAGCATCCCAGCCTTGATAGGTGGGCATTGAGGCGCACGTGTTTGCCTGACCCGGGAGGAGATCCGTCTCTCACCAGTCTTCAGGTCATTAATCACGGTGGTGCTGTCGATACTGGTCACGTAGAGGAGGTGTTTGAGCTTGTAGAGGTTGCCGCGCCGCAGGATCCACAACTCGATATACAATGTGTATCCGCCCGGGAACCAGGTTGGCCCCCACAGACTGCAGATTTCAATCATGTCTCGAGGTTCGTCAGGTTTGATCTCCTCCTGCCTCTCCTCAACTACGTGAAAGGGATCATCTATAGGCGCAAAGGTCACGAAGCGGCCATTGACGCGTTCGACATAAGTGTCGTTATAATAGATGATATCCAGGCACACTCCATATTCGTACTTGCGAGCATCAGGGTCTGATGGACCCGGAGACAGCCGTATCAATTCGACGGACCCGCGCGTGAACCTGTCGCGGTGGAAGTAGTACCCATGTGCCGCGCGAGGAGCCTCAGGCCTGGCCTCCATGGACGGGTTTGGGATAAGGATGGGCTGAATTGTGCTAGCTCTTTTATCGTCTTCGCTTTGTGAGAGTAGAGATGAGGAAGCAGGATTTTCCTCTTTGTCATTGCGCAGGTCGAATTGCTCCACAATCTCTGCGAGGCTTCGCTTAAAGATTGTGCGCGGGAAGCCGACTCCAAATCTCAAAATTCGAATTTGCGTGGTGTCCAAAGGGACATTCGGAACCCAGAGATCACAGTACCAACCCCGGATCAATCTCAATACTTGCCATCTTTGGACATTGGCATTATCCGCATACTTGGGAGACATGAGCGGCCCTTGCCAATCATAGTTTTCGTTGTATATGTTGTAGGTGCACTTGACCCAGAGCTCAAGGTCAGGACAGCCATCTTTCTTTATGGCGCTCATTATGTCGTCGAGTAGGATACGAAGCTTCCCACCCTCCGTATATGTCCGAGAAGCTTCTTCGAATTCGTGGTCGTCGTCGCGCGTCCACTTGACCAATGGTCGAGGAACTCCAGCGCCAATACATTTCTTAGGCCCGGGATAGAATCTAGACAAGCCGTTTTCTTCTCTAGGAGCATTTCTGTGGACTTGGGTTGTCGCATCAGCGCCTATGTAGATTAGCAATCTGTGTAAATGGTCTATCGAGAGCAGTCATACCATCAGGTGGAGAAGCACTCGCATGTAGCAGTAGCGGGACGTCCATGGCTAGAGGTTTGGTGTCGATCTTATACTCTGACATATTTCGAAGGAGGATGTGAACTGAACCGACGTGCCTGTGACGGTAGGGCACATATGCGATGGATAACGCTCCAAGAATGTGTATTCCTATGTAACAAGAGCCTAGGCTGAGGAGAGAGAAGGACGAAAGAAGAGAATGCGCTGGTGCCACTTTGTGTGGTGAACGCTTCTGCCAAGCCTCCACCTGCCATAGTAGCCAATCAGGGCCGCCCGCTAGTCCCGTACCAGCGGCACCTTGTACAGGCTTTCAGCTAGCCAATCATAGCACTGTCTTCCTATGGTCAGGTGTGGATAGATCTGGATGGCTCTATCCTTCGCTTTCACGGCCGTGACGGAGTATTCCAGGTCCTTTTATACACAGGGCACACCAAGTGCCAGGCGAGAAAGGTGCGTCGTCAACTTTCAAACTGGTGACACCTTTTCCCACGGGACTCAAGGAAAGCTGGCTCCAACCAAGTCGGTCACAAACGCGCATGGTGAGCCCGACAAAGGAGGGGGGCATATCGACAGCTTTCGAATGCGCCACCAATCTTACATAGGGCCCACCACGGCAAGGCAGTGATGGAAGAGGGTTGGGGGATAAACAGAGCCAAGGCCACCGTCACAGACACTGGAGGAGGGTACCGGGCATCCATCATCGGAATTTCGTGGACAGGGATTGACGATCGATCGGTCCGAACGCAGCAGCTCGGCCTACACAAGAGTGCCAGCCCCATACGATGTGCCCGGGGCTGACGCATCTCGCACTAAACAGGCTGTGGAGGATCCAAGGAACGGTTGAAATTGTTGAGATGCATTGTAATGCAGAGGGCGGGTTGAGGACCGATCGAGCAGGGCGCAAGCAGACTCTCCGGCCCCGATCGGAGAGGCAGTTCACACTCGCTCACCGCCATTCAACGCCCATATGATGTCAAACAGCGTGCATAATGAGGCCCAGCGTGTCTGGATGTCAATACGCCTTGTCGACACGACCCTTCTTTCACTGCTGGCCCAGTTGAAAGAGGGGAACTCGCAAGGCAGACATTCATTACATCGACGACTGTAACACAACACTAGCGCAATTCCGCGCTCTCAGTGGCTGCCTACCACAGACCATCGCCGATGGTATGCATGAATCTCCTTTCCACTTGTTGGCGGCAGTTCGATGACTCTTTGGTCCGGCGGAACTACTGGAGTCGCCTCAGCGTTTGCCTTGAACGGAGCCGCATGTGGTAACCAGGGCATGTCTGCGACGAGGAAGGATCGCCTCAGGGATATACGGGGGAACTCGGTGACCGGGTGAATTCACCACTCCTTCAATGTGCTTGTGAACGTAGACATTGGGGATGCTTCCCTGAATTCATGACGCTGGCTTAACGCCATTCTGATTCCGCCGTTGTCACACCGGGTTCCGACGAGCCAGGGGACTGAGGGCACTGGATTCTGCAATTATGACGGCGTTTAGTAAATGCGAGTACCACTCGAATCGAGGCGCGTTGAATTCTCCCGGGCGAGACGTCGACAGTCGTGATGTGGAAGGACCAGATAGCCCTCCTGGGCGACTGAGGGCGTTCCAGGCCCCGTTGTGCTTCAGGAGTCATGAACGGTGGGTCACCAGCGGAGGTCAGTGGCATTTTCTTGCATCGCACATTTGCCAAAACTGGCCAGTTGAAACGTGGCTTGCGTGCTGTTCACTGCCGTGTAGAGGATGTTATCGCACCTGATATTTCGGTGGCATAGCCGTCTATTCGGGCTTCCCGCATCTGTTTGAGAAGTTTGCGAACAAGTTCTGGCCCGGAACTTAGGTCGGGATCCGTATCGAGCAAACTGGTGACATTTCCAGCCTGGAGACCCGTGTGAATCTGCACAATCTCTGTCCCCCTGCCACGGAAGCCCAGGAATTCGACGACGCTTTTCTGCATGAGGCGCCAGTGTCTTGGAAATTGCTTTGCCAGGCGCTCTCCGGACTATATTCTTCCTCCCTTGTTGATACATGGCGAGTAGAGGCGGTGAGTCGCACCACGCTCCAAGTGCTGCCCCTCTCGGGCGACTCACCTTCTTGGTCCAGCCACATCTCTTCTCTCTCTACTCATCTATGTTCCTATATTCGCCATCTGCAGCCCACCGCTTATATGGCAAGCACGTGAACGATATCCAGGAGTAAGTCTGTGAGTGACATGAGCAGAAAGAGAATTCAATTTTGCACAAGCTGTATCATTCTTTGTCTTTGTCTCGAGACAATCAGTTTCGTTTGATTGTAAGCTCTTTATCCATCGTCGACATGGTCGGATTTGTGTGATCATTATCACCACCACAAAGGACCTGTGGCTGTGGTACATGGCATGTGTAACACTGTAAGTAGGAGGAGGAGAGAACATAATGGTATTGTTGGATTGGGTTAAACCTCCTCGCTCAAAATTGGTGCAATCGTCATCTCGTCTCCTATTCACTCTGGGTAGACGCCAGCAGCCACGGGACTCTTAGTTGCTCACTTACTTCCCCTTCCTCTCCCACTCCACAAAGAATGGGTGTCGCTGGTCAGATCACGCAAGGAAGACAGTCAAGATGTGGTGACAAGGCGGAAATGCCGGTGCAGGCAGGCAGCAGAGAAACGTCCTTCGTCTTTCTCGTTATCAGTCACACTGAACTTCCCCCGACACAACACGCCACATCACATTGCTACACAACTCACAAAACACAAAACACAAACAACCCATTCCACAACATGACCCTCCCATCCCCCGAGGTGCACCTCAACATAACAGACCCCTTCATTCCGAAGTTCGCCTCTCCCTTATCGTCAGCTGGTGAGGACCAAGCCACCGGTCTCACACGCGAAGAATACAAGATCAAATCCATTGACGGCACCGAATTGTCTCTTGTGGAGAATTGCTACTCGCACCGCAGCTGACCCCAAGACTCCGCAGCCGGCCCTGATCTACCTCCATGACTATGGCATTCGCGGCTCACCCATCGACGTCGGTACCGAGGATCTGAACGAGCTCAACCGCATTCCTATCGCCCGACTCGGACCAGAGCCATTGCACGACGTCGGCTGCGTTTTCCTGTGGGTGGAATACCGTATGGAGCAGAAGTCGGCATTCTGGGCTCAGTGGCTGACGTGTATGCGGCCTACGAATATGCACTCACTCATGGCGATGACCTCCGCGTCCAGCCTCGCAACATTGCCATGCTGGTACGGATCGCGGCTGGCAGTTCGCATGGTCAGCCACCCACATCGCCATCGACCTCGGCTTGCAGAGTCCCTGCGGTATCATGGCCCTCCACGCGATGTTTGATCCGAAGATGTACCGGGAGACGAAAGGTGGATTTGAGCCGCAGTTGCTCTGTCCTCCTCATAAGCCGTTTCTCTCAGTGTTTGATCCGAGGACGACCAGAGTTGGATTTGAGCCGCAGTCGTTTCCTCGCTTCGACGAACAGCGTGAGCAGGTCGTCCGGCGCGGGCTGCGCGAGGGTTGGGATGTTTTCTTGCGTCGGGTCGACTTCACCTGGTTTCCTGCAATTGTGCGAAAGTACACAGGACATTTGCGGTTGTCACGCGAGGATCTTGCTCGACTGCCCCCCATACTCCTGGACGTCAACTCAGGTGCCCTCTTCGGTGATACGATACACAACGCGCGCGAGGTGTTGGCGAAAGCCGGCGTCGTGGTGTTTGGGGGTGAGTATGTGCCGTCAGCCCCCGGTACCATGTGGATCTGGACCAAAAACAACAAAGAGCAGCGCAGGACGGAGGGGAAGATGTGGGAGGGTCGGCGCCAGTTCTTGGAGAATATTTGGAAGAATTGACATCCGGCGCGAAAAGCAGAAGTATGGTCCGGGAGGGGAGGGAGCACCCAGGGGTGGACGGTGGAAGACGGACAGAGAAGTGTCAGAGAGCAGCGGTGAAGTCAGAGGGAGGAGAGCGGACGAGGGAACGGGGACAGGAGACAGCGAGAACATGTGAGAGAGTGGTAGCATAAGGGGGTTACTTCCAGAGGCAGTACCAGATACCGATGAAATGAGGCAATCAGTCAGAAAAAAGCCATTATTAATGAGTCTGTCCCGTGATGGGCAGGTGATGAGATGCATGGCCATCCATCGCCGGCGAGAGTCCACTGTCATGAACCCGATATTCCTGTCCTGTTGTACCGTGTCAGTCCGTCCATCCGCTGACTGGGAGGAGAGGAAGAAGGGCATTCCGCACAATACAACGCAACACAACGCATATACACATATATCCGTGTGGTGTGGTGTGGCGTTGCTGCTGTTTTGTTCTATTCTCTTTTCAGCATTTTCCGCCTTTTCCATCTTTGTTTCCGGGTCTCAAAGCCTTGGCCGTGATTGATTGCCTACCGAGCCGTCCAACCTATTTGCCAGGAGCCGGTTGGTGCGTCGCAAGTTGGAACCCAATTAAATCACCACTTCTGGATCTGGCCTCCTGGCTCTGTTTACCAATTACCACCACCACCACTACCACTACCATCACCACCACCACTTCCTTTTCCTTTTCGCAGACCATCTCTCTTCCCCTACCTCTACCTTCAGCTTCCAGCCAGCCAGCGAGATGGATGGGTTTTGTTCAAAACCTGCGACTGTTTCTCTAAAGGGCCCGGCCGGGTCGAGACAATTCAACGGAAGTGAACGGAATGATGCGACGACGATAAAGGTTGCGAGCTCGGCAATCGACGATGCTGACCAGGCGAGGCACAGAATATTCTATGGATTTTCTGGATTTTCTGTCTATTCGGGTGTTTTTCTTTTTGTTGTATCAAGGCTGTGTATGTGTGTGTGTGTGTGTGTGTGTGTGTGGAATTGGGTCCAACCCGCCATATCCCCTGGGTTCACGATCACTTGGGGCCACTCACTTCGCGCTTCCCCTCACTGCCTCCTGACTGACTAAACTTGAATAGTGAATGAATGAAAATGATCTCTGTCTGTATGATGGATGAGTTTGTAAACGGAATCTGTCTCCCTTGTTTGTCCAAGTGACCAAGCTCGTTTTCGTTATTTGTATATTGTGAAATCTTCGTGATCTGACCCATATCATTTCCAAAAAAAAAAGGTGTATCGAGACTCCTAGCTCAGACCCCCGGCCCCAGCCAAGATAGATAGATAGATGGATAGATAGATGTAATTACATCCATCTCTTTCTCTCGATCCACCCTTGTCCACTCGACACAGCGTTGTTGTTCAGTTGATCAACTGTTGAAGCGGCAGTGATCGTCGGGATCCACCACCACGTTGAGAGACAGAAGGGCTGTTCCAGAATATCGTTATTTAATGCAGTCGAGAAACTCGGTCCAACGTAGTCGGGGGGCGCCCGGCTCCATTGCACAGTTGCGTCGCGCGGCCAGACCTTTACTTTTCCTTTCATTGGCTTCGTCTTCTGTTTGACAATCGAAGGGAGGATCGGAGGTTATTGTTTCATGAAGAACTAGAGAGAGATGGAGAGAGAGAGAGAGAGAGCGAGAGAGGACGAGGAAGCCGGAATTAGTGCATGGACTCTTGATCGAGATCATGTACTCCTTCCTCCATTCCCGAGCCCCGACGGAGAGACCACGCGCGCGGGCGCGGCTCCTCCCCGTTCCCCTCGAGCCGACAAAACCCGGTGTGCTTCATGCTATGCGAGGCGATGATGCATCTTTCCCCATCACGATCCACACCGCGAATAACCTGGGTGGTGCGTCAGTATCAGTATCTCGCGTGCCAACAGCAGGAGTGCCCGCCGTGCGTACAGCAGTGCCACCAGGATAACAACTCCCAGCGTGCGGAGGACGAAGTAGGATATGGAGAGGGTGAGAATGGCAAAGAGCAGCGTGTCTGAGGAGTCGTCGTCGTCGTTGCGACCGGGATTGTCCATCCAGTCGCTATTGATGTTGGTGCCGTGCTGATGATCCATTCCGCGGGAGAACTAGAATGCGTTACGCTGCTGCGCTGGAGCTTGTCGTCGAGGTGGTTTGGGAATGTCCACAGTATGTGTGAGGGTCGTCTGTTGGTGTGTTGGTGGAGAAAAAGGCGAGTTGCGAAGACTTGCAAATTTTATTCAGGGACCGACCGGCCGGACGCGGGAAGATCTGGCGGCGGGTGGCACGGCGACAATTAGTTTCAGCCGTTTCCAACTCTGACCAGGGTCGTAATGTGGGCATCGTATCCATTCATTTTCCTCAACTCAAGACGCGCCCATTGCACGGCTCGTTCTTCGTGCTCCACTGGTAGCAATCAAACATCGTCCGGGAGATAGGCATAAAGACACCATCCGAACAAAGACTCGAGTGGGAGAACGTAGAGATCGCCAGACGACATGCATGACCCCTATCTTTTCGATTACAGCGACCAGCTCAGGACTCTCTATCTGGTTCAAAAATCCTCGAGGCTTCGGCGAGCGTGGCCAACGGTGAGTCCATGTGGCAGCATCTCTGCCAACAAATCTGGTCCAATTCCATCATCAGGTTGGTGTCTGTGGACAGGACTGTGAACAGCGAGTCTCCGGCAAAGAACAACAACCAGCAACCAGCTCAGTCTTGCAGTACTGAACTCAGAAGCGTAACGTGACCTCTGTCTGCGTGAGGGTCATTGGCCTCCAGAAGGACTGCGGATTTACCTCCGCCACCGCGGCAGACCAGTGTTCAGGTGTCCAGGACCTCCGTGCGAGACGGCGTCCGCCACAGCAACAGAAATCTCAAGGCGAACCTTTCCATGGGGCCGGCTGACTGCCTCTTTTCTGCCCACAGCACGGCGTCTTGATACAAAAACAGCCATAAAGAGGGTTTGTCCTCTTGCTTTCTGAGACGCACCCATTGATCCCCATGTGAAGACCACAGCAGTCATTTGAGAACCACCGTCCATGCTTGAAGTTCGCGGTCGTCCCTGCGTTCAAAACCAGGGTCCAGCGTCCAGCGTCGTGAGCGCAGCTTTTATCCATCGCGCCATACCTTCGAGGAGTCCTGTAATTGTCTTTTTCCATGGTGAGCGTGGTGAGGCCGGTATGTAAACCATAACTGCGTCGGCCATCTCCTCCTGCTGAGGGGGGACGGGGGCTGAAGTAGATCAGGGAAGTCCGGTCGTGGGATGTCCTGGCTGATGCCTGTCATGCGACAAGATGGCGCGGTGCGAGTCGGTGGTATCTGCCAGGCTGCCCCTGGGTTTGTGATCCGTCCGATCGCCCTGTGATGGGCAGAAGAGTATCTGCTGCTCTCTATATCTCTGAAAAGGGTTGGCTGACTGGTCCATCCAACGTCTGCAGGGAGGACAGGCGGGCCTATCGACAGTTCTTTTGGTTCTTTCTGCCTGGGCCGGATCGTCCAGACCTCCTGGTCGTAGACGGACGAAGACCATTTCCAGAAAGCCCACCCATTGCAGACACAGCAAGATTACCAACTCCTCATGTCACGGCAACGCCAACAAACTGAAACCCTATCAGCGGGAGAACTGACTGCATATGCCACAGGGAGAAAAGTTCAACGCCTGGCCGACTGGAAACAGTCCGACCGAGCACCGGAGCGCATCGACGGACCGCTTCTTTGTTGGCGGCCCTATCGAGACAAACAAATTCTACGAAAACTTCGTGCTGTCAATGAGGCAGAGGATGAAGCCTACCACTCTTGAAAAGACGCGAACCGACCTCTGGCTCGCGAGCTGTACGTCTTGACTGAAGACCGCCTCCCCCCTATGAGACCAAGGAGCTCCAGTTGCTTGGGAAAATGCAAGAACAGGAGCCAAGGAAGGCGGTCACTTTACCGTTCAACACAAATCAGGGGTCAACTGGTCGACCGACCGATTGACGGGTTTGCTTGGTCCTACCTGGTGGAAATCGGCAGAGGGTTTTCCAAAACCAAACAGAACGCACCTTCAAGGAAAAAGAGCATCCGTCTGGCGGATATTAAGCATTTCAGATAGCTGGTGCCGGGTCCAAAGGTACGGCCCCTTTTCTGGGTGTTTCATCTATATCTTCTTAGCAGACAATGTGTCTTGCGATCGTAGACTGTCTCGACCAACCGACACATGTGGAAGGGTAGATATGGGTGATATCTGGTGGAATAGATGCGGGATAGCTCAGTGGCTTATGTGGCTTTCAAATGAACTTGCCTGATGTTGGCCATTACACTGCTTTGGGGACACTGACCACACTAACCTACTTCCATGGGACCTCGCGGTCTCGGTTGGTCTTGGGTGTGGGAGCATCCTGAGCGTCGACATCCTCGACCTGCCACGACTCCTCCCAACCACCGAACACCCGGGCAACGAGGACACGGCGTAGGACCGGGGGGTGGGCGCCAAAAGTGGTCAAGAAGAGATTGGTTGTGGACTGAAGGTGACAAGGCTTGAGCCGCCTGCCTGAGCACGGCCTGCTCGAAGGCGTGCTTTATCAACGCGTGGATGAAGTCTGCATTGATTGAACGGGCCACGCCGTGGATGCACCTCTCCACAATATGCCATTGACGCCGGGGGCCGTGCCACTGAGTACTGGGTGTGTCGAGATGAGAGTGTGCATGTGGTTCCGCCATATCGAATGCGATGACGAATCGCAGAACACCCACCGTATCTGGTACCACGAGATGTGTACGTGGGCGCCTGGGGGCTGTCTCCTGAGCGAGCCAACGAGTCAACATATTACCTAGAGAACCCTCAAGTCCACTGCTGTGGGACTTGACAACCGCGACGGGGAAGGCCACCTAGCATGGGTGGCCTTCCCAAGGCGCAGGACATGCATATGCAATTGGCAGGATCGTTTGGGTGTCCGAGAGGATCAACGTGACGATAAGCGGCCCCAGCAACTGTTTGACGTGATAGGAACACTTGAAATATGCAGTCCCGGAAAGCCAACAGACAGTGGGCTGTCGCCGGACACTGGACGTGGGTAAAGGTCGCCTGCGTCCAAGTTCGACTCTGTTAAGATAGGGTACGCTCGCGCATGAGATGTCTTCACGGGAATGAACAAAGCCGTTTGGATCGAGATTGGGATGCGAGCAGAGTTGCGCCCGAGAGACGTGTATTATCTGGCAAGGTAAGCAGGAATGGCTTCATCACCTTGTATGGTATTCTGGTTGTCACAAGTCGACCCTGTGGGCCTTTCAACAGGGCTGGCCTGCGCACACCGTTTTGCCGCGTTCTCGCATGGATCATGTCACCCCAAGGAGCACACCTGACGAGCCATTCCAAGTTGATGGGCAGAGCCAGGAATGTCTGCCTGGCCGCGAAGCAGGACCTAACATCAGACATGGGAACATCTTCATCGATACCCTCTGAGCGAAGAACGTCCACGAGTCCCCAGGGCTCTAACAACGTGGACCTTGAGTGACGCAGATGCGCATCCGTCCATGGCGAGACGCGATTGACGGCCCAGGATCGCATCAAGCAACATTGGAACCAACAACGGGCTCCCAGTGCAGCGGCCAGGAGCCTTGGGTACTGGCCGGCCGTGCAACGCAAGGGTGATCGTCATGGATCGCCGGGAGTCAGGTAGAGCGCTCCCATCAGGGTTGCCTTCCTTACATCCCCTCACCCCTTCCGCAGACACATACACCAAGGACATCGCAGTGTGCATTGCTGGTTGCAAGAAAATCTCGCAACCATACAGTGCACGCCGGACTGTTTTGATAATGTGTGTAGGTTGCCGGCGACGCAGCCGGAAGAAATCCCAGTAATGGTATATGTATGTCGATCTCTTTCTCTTTATACGAGGCCATCGGTATGTGTATAATCCATCTCTTCCTCCTTTGTAGGAATTCTTGATCGGAGGGTCTCGCGCGAGGGTCAGGCTTCGGCCGACTCGAAGAAGGGATGAGCAATTGCAGACTTTTGCTCGGCTTGACAGGACGTAGTTGGATCTCGGCATGACAGGATGCGGTTGTCGTAGGACGAACGAGATGCTGTGAGCAGAGATCAGTTCAACTCCTATATTAAGCGACCAAGCCTTTTGAGATGGATGGGGCGGGAAAAGCAGATGAGATAGAGGCAGCAAGCCGACCGGTGATTGGGGCACGGGCTTTCTCTTGCACCAATGTCTGGGGCTCGGCATGTAGGAGGCAATGGAGGCGTGCTTTGTGAACTGACTGCCTCTGTAAGCCTTCATGCTTTGCCCTCTGAATGGGGCAATGCCGTGCTGCGAATGATACCATGGCCTGCATCAATCTTTGCACACAGTAACGTAACAACGAAGTCGTTGCAGGCTGCACCACGATGGAGATCCACAGAGAACACGACGAGAGAGGGACTATGATCAAGGTCCTGCTCGGATCTGATGCAATTCTTCAGAACCTTCCAGCCACATAATTTGGTTCGTCTCTCAAGTGCCCGGTCATCTCTCAGGCCGGATTGCTTTCGATCTCATCAGAGCACAAGGCCACACGCGGGAGAAGGTGGAAGGAGGCTTGGTTGGAATAGATCCCACACGGAGCACACGGAGTTTTGACGTTGACCAAGCATCCACGCTCTGCAGACAGCTCGGATTCCCCAGGTGAATGTATTGTTTGACCAGGACTGCGGATCTCTTGGATGTCGATCGGAGCCAGGTGTAAACATGAGCAATTCGATGCGGGAGTTGGTAGTGGCCCGTTCTCGACGTGGTAATAACGGGTTCCCTTGCAATCCGGTGGACCGCAAATCAGACAATATGCTCATATCACCGCTCTGTGTAAGATTGGTGGCAGAAATGACGCCATCAGCAGTCAAGAGGAGAGGCGAGACCATGTCCGAGACCATGTACACGCTTCGCCTATGTGTATACAGGCCCAACTCTTGTTTGAATCGATGTGACTTGATTCCGTCTTTGTCCACGATCACTTCATTTGCGTCCATTGACCCATGGCAGATGGAGCATAACACCTTCGGACTCTTCGACAAGGACGAGCTGGAGGCTTGCAGTTACGGCCACAGGGCCCTTCAACGGCTGCAACGCTGGAAACACCGGACCTTGCATCGTACATACAGCAATTGCGTAGATTCTTGTACCCAGTGTCTCCTCGCTCAGGCTTTATGAGGTTTTGCTACCCGGTGCTCCCAAAGCCGACGGGTGTGTTCCACAACGCTTGAGTAGCGGCCAACAGTCACAATGCGGTAAACAGGGAGCAATATTGAAACTCCTTCTCTTTGTCTCGCAACTGTATAGATTCCTCGAGCCAGCCCCCAATCACCCAAGCCGAGTGAGATTTTTCTGATTCAAGTTCAAGAGGCAGAGGAGTGGATGGGCCACGACAACTTGGTTGCTGGCTGTGGTAGGCAAGTGCGACGCACATGTTTTGGTTTCGAGCAGGAGAGTAAGTGCCACCGTGGTCTGGCCTTCGGTTACTGTGATGCCTGCGGCGACGCGGCTCGCGGTGGAAGGTGTTCTTGAATTGATCTTTTAGCACAATACGCCGGCCACCAAAAGCTCTCTTGGAGATCGATCACGTGCAGCACCTCTCCATTCTGTCCGATTCTCCTCTGTACCGTAATCTCAATCGATGGAGTGCCAGTCGAGACCGAGTCGATCTGTCTAGACGCTTCACTGCCGTTGTCGAAGCGATACAGTGTGCCTTGCGCGTCGGCGACGTATTTGGCACTGATTGAATAGGGCTCTTGAAAGCATGTTCTTCTTCGGTATTGTACAGTGTGGTGGAATTTGGAGAGGATGAATTTACATCCTGGTGCGATATGTGGTAGATGTTGTTTGTGAGTGATTCTGGCTGCGCAAACTTCCGTGGCCTTGTGTTGGCGTGGTGATTGGGCGTGGGGGTTGGCGTGGGGACACCTATTGGACAGAGCTTCAACCTCGGCCTTCGCAACTTTTGCCAACAACAAAATTTGCCTAGTGCTGATAAGGTCCGCCAGCGACTTGGATTCTGACACGCTCCCAACTGACTCGGGCTCGCAACCGGGCACCCACCTCCTGCCCTCCCTCCAACCTTTCGTCCTCTTGACAGGCCACTCCGCAATGCCCCTCTCACCCTTCCCATTTGATGGATATCAAACCTCTTCTCTCACCATTTCTCTCTACACTCCTCCTTCCTTTTCGCAACGAACTTTTAACGTCAAATCTTCACCCCTCACAATTATATCTGGGTCGGATTGCGACCAAGGAATGAGATAAGGGCAGAGACAAAAAAAGGTGGATCACATGCAGCATTCAGCAAGCGACAACTATCGCCCAAAGTTCACAGTGATATCCGTGATGACATGCCATTATCGGCAGGTCTTAGGCTCTGCTGATGGATGAGCACCCAAATGCTTTGTGGCTCGATGAAAATCTGACACTGACATGGTGACAAACCCGCCAAGAGATGGGCAAAATGAGCGTTATCTGCCTCTAACTTTTGATCTACGCGGCCGGAGATCGTGTAACCTTCAGACTTTGATCTCCTATGCAAGGGCTGCGAACTGACACTAAATTAATGGAATTATATCAAGGTTTGGGCGAGATGCGGGCAGATAAAGATCTTGGGATTTTTGATGGGGTGAACTCTGTGGCGAATCAAGTCCCGGCGCTCTGGCTTGGCAATAGAACTTGCACCGCTTTCATGACACCTGGCAATATCATCGCCAGAGAATCGATTGAGAAGACCATGCACCCAGTAGACGCGGCTCAGCCATGGTACGAATACGTCCAGACGCGCCAATCAGGTTACTCGATGCAAGGGCAGTCAAGAGGCCTGTCTTGAAGGTATCTGGTGGGGTTGACTATTGAGTCCTTCGCTTCATCCTTCGCGAAAGACCGTGGGGCCAAAACCGCCTCATTTGAAGTGACAGGCGCTCTTGACGCGAAGGTGGAAGTACATTCCACCTGTGATGACCAATGGAATGGCCTCTTGCACTCGGAGTCCGGATTGCCATTTACTCCAAGGGGGCAGCAGAAGCTCAAGGTCTTGCTGTGCCAACTTTTTGGTTGGTGAAATGAGGAGGCGTTTACTAGCCTGCTATGTCGTCCAATGGTCGGCGGGCCTGGCGTGACGTGGGTCTCGGCTTCGTAGCAAGGAGAAGACCCGAAAACTTCGGATGCGCCAAAACGGCGATGCGTAAACCTGCTGGAAGCAAGGAGACGATCTTCGGGTAACAGGCCTCCGAAGTTCGATCCAGTCTGTCGATCCGCTCCTTGGATTCGATCCCGTGGCGTGGGCCTCGTATTCTGCTGTCTGGGGAGCATCATTGATATGGTTGGTCGCATATGGAACAGCTTATGGCTGGTTACTTCATATGCTAGCCTGCGCCCTTGCTTCCCATATTACTTTCAGGCCTGCCCTGCGTTCAGAACCCGCGACCTGCCTTCGTCGTCTAGAAAAACCGTCTCGGCGGTCCACATGGACAATAACAAACCTTCTTCCTCTTGAGCTACGCTCGCCTTTCCAGAGTTCGTCCCTTCGAGTGCCGTCTGTCCGTGTTCGAGTCCGTCCTCCTCCCGCCCGTCCGAACCCTCTCACCAGGACCTTCAGCGCACACAGCGCACAGGCACGCAGGCCGACGGTCACGTATCACGATGCTGTTCCCCGGCGATCCGAGACTAGCACCTGTGCTGCTATTTTCAAACAAGGCCGGGGGACTGCCGTACGTCTGGCTTAAATCTCAGTACTGGGTCGATTTCCTTGCCATGGAACTCCCGCACCTCACCGCGGAGGATAAGAAAATCCTCATAGAAGGCGGTCGTGTTGACCGCTTCCTCAGTATTGTCGGGCCATCCGGTGCTTGGGCACAGAATGCCCTTTCACAGACGAATAATATGAGGCTGCTTGTGGTGATTTGGGGCGATCAGCAGCGCAAGACTCCCGCGGGAAACAATCAGCGAATTTGGTGGGAAGCCGTACCCACCGCGTATCGTGGGCCCGTCACCATCTGGGCAAGAGAAGGACACATCACCGCGGGCGGAGAGAAGATCGAGGGACATCTTGGGAGCTGGGTAGTGCAATCGAATGGCAGTGGCAGGTGCAGTCTAAAGGACGACAAGCGGCTATTTACATTTCAAGTGGAGGATTTGATCTCGGGCGAACTGGTGCAGCTTCATAAGATGAAAGAGACAGTGTGAATGGTTGCCGACACTGGCTATAAGCCATGGAAGGGTGGTCAGGTGTTGAGAGTAAGTTCGAGTCGCCAAATCTTACAGTCGCGAGGGTCCAAAGCTTATCGGTCGCCTAGATTTGCGGAGGCGGGGATGGGATGGCAAAACTTTGTTTGGCGTAGCGGCTGTGTAAAGTAAGGATGGTAATTGTGTTGGCGGTTCGCAGTCTCAGCGATGAATACATGGATGATGGGTGACGGGTCGTTGATAGGCGCAAGAAGGGGCCGTGCCATGCGTAACGGTAGGACGAGGGGTCGGCTGGATGGCGACGATAACCCCATCGCGGCAGTTGACCATTCGGCTGCGTTTTGCTTGTAGCTGGGTACGGGCTACAGTTAGGGCTTATGATTGTTATTGTTTCCCCATCAGAAGTCTCCCTCGACCTTTCTCGTGACTGTCCTCTGGTCCAATTTCCTGTGTCCACGTGGCCTCCGGAGAAATGCTGATCCGCATCCGCACGCTCAGCCTGAAGCTTCCTCGGCCGGGCTTTTGATTTGCTGAGCGCCTTGCGCTCTTCTCCGCCGCTCCCCTCACCGTTACTCCACTCCCATATAACTAATTGCATTGGATTTTAGCATCCCGTTGTACCCCCTCGCGCTCCTCTCAGCCAGACACTCTAATTTTCTACCCAGGCAGGCAAGATAAATAATTCCCATATAGAGAGATTACATATTCTAGGCAAAGATGATACAGATTTCTGTCATCCCCAATCTACTCCGTATTGCCTCAGTATTCATACCCCCTTCTCAGCTGCAGAAGCTGCCCTTTCTCCCACCCGGTCAAAGGCCCCGGTCTGGCAGCTTTTCAAGACATACGTCACCTTCTGGGCCGCCTTACCACAAATGCCCTGATCATATCTTCTTTCATTTTGTTTTTGTTTCAATCAGCTGCAAGCCTCGTCGTCAAGCGTCAATCTCGCTTTTGCTCGAATCTTGATTCCAGGGGAGTTGCTTGCGCGGAAGTCAGTTCCTGCGGCAAGCGATGTAACCTCAACCACCGCTAGGAGGGCGCTACTCGACGCTACCGATCCGTCTCGGCTATTCTACCTCTTCATTGATTGTTAGGCAGCAAGCTCGACCAGAACCCTATTGCCCCGGATTCCCCGGTATCCAGGTCTTGTCGTCCTGCGGCTCGATCAGAATTATAAAGTTATCTCTCTCCGCAATATCACTAACGCCCGGAACCGCTGAACAGATATTGATTATTCACGCCATTGTCCCAACCTTTGTTGTAGGAGGATTTTTACTGAGGATCTAGCAATCTAAAGATCATCAAAATGTCGTCCCGGTATGAGGGGTTATACCACAACAATGCGGATCCATACATCCGCGGTACATCGGTCCTTCTATTCAGACAGAAGTTATTTTGTTGACGTGTCGGCAGAGCAAAACGCGTTGGCTCGCGCCCGCTACTACGGTACAGTGCTGTCCTACGCTCCTTGTCGCTGGTCTAACCTCTCACTACAGAACAAGCCTCTTCTGCATCTGATCCTCCTCACTGCTACGAAACCGTGCCGGCTACTGCAGGGGACAGCTCTCCGTCTGTCCCTCAATCTCATTCCCACCCTCCCTACGCCTCACATACCACCCCGGTTACCACCAGAGGTGAAAGCTTCTCGTCTGTCGCTCACTATACCGCCGACCCCTCCAGCACCCGCGCCCAAGTCACAGCCTCAACTGCCCCAGGGCTAAGAAATGAGGCTGGACCTTCATCTGCGGCCGGTCAGTGTCTTACTTGACAACGTACAAGACGGGTTTGCCGCACCTTACAAATCACAATCAGCATCGCCGGCGAAAGTGTTGGTGGTAAAGAGTCTGGAAGATTGTTCTGCTGACATGCCAGGCCTGCAGAACAGAGTGGCCCACTCCACAACGAAAATGGCCTGCTTAACTCCGTGTCGGCGACCGATGCGGTTTTCGGGGCGGGATACGATAGTCTGGGAAGAAGCCTGGCCGAATGCAAAGACAAAATCAACGGTGTTACCGAGATTCTGGAGCGGATTCGGAGCCAGTTGAACGCGCAGTATGCACTCTCCCCACCTTTCCCATCTCCCATCGGTGTTCCTTGTCTATTTATGCCTACAGCACACGCAACACCAACGCAAGACGCCTCAATGTGAACAAAAGGGGAGACGACATTCTGAGCATGTTGTACGACGAGTTCGACCGACCAATCCCTAACTTTCCGCGGACGCCGGCCGCGATTGACACCTTGGAGCTCCATGAAGTCGACGCAATAATCTGCGCCTTGGGTACGCAGTTGGCGCATATTCAAGGGGATCACCGACAGGCTCTTCGACTCTTGATAGGAATATAAAGGCAAAGAGCACATGATACATACAGGTAGGCAGGGAGTGACGAAAGAATGCCCATAGCGCAATGCACAATTACCCGTGAAAAGCAATGAGTGAACCGTGAAGGACCTTTCTTCCGGCAACAGAAAATGAGGGCCGTGGATGTAGTTGGCCAGGTGAGTGCTCGATCATCCATCAAAAACGCGAGTTGGCTGGGCTAGGCGCCTGGTTGTCCGCGTTGGTTGACATGTTTCGATTTGCTTTGTCTTGTTGTCCCAACCAACAAGGACCTTTATGACCTGGCTGTATTGTAATCTGTCAATAATGATTCTTTTGTATGAAATGATTTCTTTCTTTGACTCCCTGATCGATGACCTTGTGTCTATCTCTCCTTCCCTATTCCCCAACCATTCTTCTGAGCTCAATGCTCCGCACTCTCTGGCTTGGTCAGGATCCAATTTCGGGTTTCCCCTGAAACTCCCCGCATTTCGGCAATCTGACGATTACCGAACTAGCGACGTCCGGGAGATCTTGTCTTGCCAACGGGAACCTGGCTCTGTTGACCGAGAGTGACTATTCCGGCTAGGCAGACTCTTGTCTGGGGGCTATGCTGCGATCGGGTCGATATTACATAGGCAAACCAAATGGCACCCTTTATTCTGGCGCCGTGGGGGTCAGGTATGTGGTTCCGGATGTGTTCTCCGAGTGTGTTCTCCGCCTCCTGCCTGCTCTCGGAACGTCAGGGATCTACCAGGATGGATGATGGCGCGACCGCGTACTTTCAAAGATGAGCTGCCTCCGTACACGCACCAGCCAGAACGGATCTGGGCTCTGACAAGATCGGGTTTTGCTCAATGGGTTTGGAGCTGGACCGGATTAACCATATTCCGACCCGGACCAGCCCGCCGAGCAAAACCCGACCACATGCGAGAGCCTACACTCACTCCCGCTTCTGTCCTTCGTCCTTTAGCCATGAGAGCCAGCCTCCGGGCGTGATCAGGTATATGAAGTGTTATGCTTGGTTTTGTATGGGGAGTATTTGTTGACAACACATGCAAGAGAGTGTCAGTGCTGCTGACGCAGTCTACCTATCTGGCCAAGCGGCATAATTTTCTCCCATCAAAACACACCTCAACCCGTTTTAAATGGGCTGGGGAGTCCATTTCATCATTGCCACTTTGAAATGCATGCTGCTGACATTGGCCAGCCCTTGAGGAGGTCGCAATGCTGGTCACATGTCCACCGCTCAATCATCCTTTCACTTCTTTCGCAGCCTACCCATGTCAGTTCAACATAGCTGTCGACATTCCTCGCAGGGTCTTTCTAGTGTGTATCCGCCTGTACTGCTCAACCGAGATGGGAGCATTTCACTACACCAGTTCGTGTGATCTCAACAACCATGGTGAGCGGAATACAGGTTTTGTGTCAAAACCTAACAATGGGAGGGAAATCTCAGGCAATTTTTGAAAAGAATAACCGCTATGAGATGCGAGGAGTCTTTCTGGATAGAAGGTCCTACATATGGTCGTCTGGTGAGTGCCGCAGCGGAGCACTTCATCTACAGCAAAAGCTCAGCTAATCTATTCCCCGAGCAATTAATCTACAAAGTCCAGCTACCCCAGCCTTCACCTTGATTGAACAAGTGGCCAAGTTTTCAACGGCTCAGATATGCCCACAGTCTTACGGGCTAGATGGCTAATGGCAGGCATCTGCCGCTGGACAGGGAAATAACCTGCAGCAGACTCGCTATCCGTCCTGGATAGCTCTAAAGTCACGCGACGAGCCCCAAGCACCTGGGTCCCTCAACACACGCTTGAGTCGTTGTTATGACTACAACACGGATTCAGGCAGTACGGATAGTACAGAAGGCATAACAAAGACTCTATCCTAAGCCCTAGTAACACTTACTGTTACACTATGGAGGTTCTTCACCCTTTCTCTTTGTCGACTGCCTCTGCTCGCCCGACTGCCTGCCCCACAGAACTGCCTTGGGCTGACTTCTGACGGTGCTTTTGTTTTGATACAAATGACTACCAGCTCCTCACCACTCTGAGGCTTTCTTCTCTACACACCGAAAACATCACCGGTGACATTATTATCATCATGAAGTCGAAGCAATCTCCAAAACCAGCTCTCGTGGCACCACGTCGGTCTGCAAGACTGGCTGGCATTGCCAATCCTCCAAATTACAAGGTTACCAAAACCAGCAAGAAGCAAGCCAAACCCTTCACACGTAAAGGGAAGCACGGTACTCACCAGGGCGTCAATGTCACGAAGGATCAAATGAAAGAGTCTGTTGAGCCAATGGATATGTCTCCGGTGTCAGCCCTCGAGCTTCCCTCCGAAGTCTGGCAGACAATCGTTGGGTATGTAGACGACACGGACGCCCCAGGCGACCTTCGGAATCTCCGAAGCACATGCAAGAGAGTCTCCGAGTTGTGCGAGCCAGCATTTTGTGAGACCCTCCACGGCAACGCGCTCGCGACCCATGAACTCATTCTCGCAAAACATCAGGAACGACAAGACCTTGTGCAGAGATTCATTACACATAGGCAACATTTGCTGGACCGCTCTTGGGTGCAAATGTTCACGTGTATCCCCCGGCTTCGCAACCTCAAAGTCCTACACGTATGTGACAGAAGGTATTGCAGACTTCCGTGCACATTCAATGAGCAACCAGAGGGAGATTTCTATGAGAGGCTGATGCCGTTTCTCCAGCAATCAGCTTTTACCGAGCTACGTGAATGCACACTGTCCCCGGTAGACTACCATCCGATCAGAGTTGCTCATGTTCTGAAGGCGCCGAAACTGACAAGCCTAACAGTTGCTCATCCTCTTCTAGACGAGCAAGGCGAACGATTACCAGCACCCGGCTCTCTGCCGTTGAAACACCTCACGCTGCTGGTAAATCCTCGAAAGGCTCTCCAGACTGTTCTCTCTCTCCTGAAACTTCCCAAAGCGCTGGAGACTCTGTCGTTTGACGACAGCCGAGCGCCAATGGTGCGGGCCGGGGAAGGAATACTGCATGAGGTACTACCAACCCTGGCGGAGTATCAAGGCAACCTAACGACTCTCAAGGTGTTTGCAACTACCCCTCAAGTGCTATCGGAAGACAGTCTCAATGGTCTGCTTGATTTCACTGTACTAAAGCGCCTCAAGGTGCTTAGCTTCTGTGGCCATGACAATTACCCGGTCAATTGTTTCTTCAAGCTACCAGAAGGGCTCAGAAGTCTTCGGTTCAATGGGATGTTGGCAATGTCATCGCTTACTGAGAAGTTGTTGAGTCAGTCTTCTGCCCCAGGCTTCACGTGTCCTCGTCACGTCGATGTCAATATTGATTACAACGTCTTCGAAGATTTTATGTTCGACGGAGGGCTCTTGCTACGACCACTTTCGAAAAATGGCCAAGAGGACCTTGACAGACATCTGCATGGTATTAACTTGTTCATGACCAATCTCCCTTGTGAACAGTTCACTTGGGTCGAGAGATTCTGCTCGATTGAGAGACAGTTACAAGCAACCAAGACAGGCTCAGAAGCCATGCCGCCATATGCATACGTACTACGGGAAGAGATCCGCGAGGTTTCGTTCGAACGGGATGATCGGGTGAACAGGTACGGGCACAACGACCTTTCGCTATTCCACGGATGCTGTGCTCACCACTATCGGAATTTTTAGGCTGAGATTGAAATCTTGGTCGGGACGGAAGGGGGTGGAGAGTGAGGGGTTGAGATGAGGAAGTCAGAGATGGGAGGTCGGACCGAGCCTGCAGTTTTCTGTGTCATGGGCATTGCATACCAGCTATCCGGGCTGGCAGCTAAATGGCTTAAGCACGAAAGAATGAGGGACGGAGGGACCTTTGCGAGTGTTGGAGATATTGGAAGCCGCCTTGATGTGGCTGGACCGCACACGGGGTAAGGAGAAAGCTCTGGAGCTTGTGTATTTCCTATGTACAAGGATGTGAGAGAGAGCGAGTCGCAGTGTCGACGCGATGGTGTAATAGTTTGCATGTATGCCAAGCGAAGCCTTTAGGCGCTGGCCAACCAGAGTGTGCGCAAAGCCACTAGTCATTTTACCGAGATTCTGTTGACCAGTCAGATATTCTATTTATTGTACAGAGCGAGGCCCACCAATTAGATCACACCATGCAGCTGTGGGGCCTATATGCTTACTGTTACGGCAGTGCCAAGAGCACGCGCTCTACTCCTACTTATCGCTTGCTGGAAGCTGAGCAAGTGACCCCTTCGACTCTGTGGATAATCTTCTGTGCGAGATAAACCTCTTGTAGCTGCCATCTAGCTGTTAAACTGCAGTCCGTGTCATTATATCTACCGGTGGCCTCTCCGGAGCCCTTCGTAATGGATCCCAGCTGCACATATTGATCCGTCGACCCAGGCCGTCCAAGTAAATAACAGGGCCGAACACGCGTGGACGCTTTTTATGAACACTTCGAATGCTGTAGGTCTGGTTCGTCTACGTTCCAGGTCCGCTTGCTGCTGCTCTGCCGGTGCTGCACGTTTTTCTGCTTCTGTCTGGCTTATTCATTCTAACAGTCGGTGAACCTCTAATTCGCGTCGATGGGCCATCATGAGGTGGTTATTGTGAACCGTTCAGTACTAAGGAGTAGGGAGCAAGAGGCAGAGACCAGGAAGTAAGCTAAAAACAAAGCTGACAAACTTGACCTTCTCCGTTGCTGCAGCACAAAGCCCGATGATCATCTCCCTCTGGCACGCATCAACAATCACAAAGACGGAAAGTACAGTGTGTGAATCCCACGAGCACTCTCATAAGGGTGTACATTCGAATAGTCCTTCGTGCCTCAGTTTCATTAATCCTAGAAGTGCACAGCGCGTAAGGATTGTCCGGAAGGCGTCAATTATGCCGCAAAGCACCAGTCGACGTCACTGGTGCTGCGATAGAGAAGGGCTCTTTGACGACAGCTGCGACGGACTGGTGTACCCGTGTGATTCGGAACCCAAGTCATTCTCATTGCTCCGTGGCGAAGACAGTCCCAGAGACAATGCCAACGGCGACACGGAGGAATGGGAGCCTTCCACCGCCGTCCGACCATTCGCAGACTTGTTGAAACACAATCATCTCTCCAGCACACATTCTTCCATGAGTGCCCAGTCTCCCACTTTCGGAGACAACATTCAGTTCTCTTTTGTTATCCAGCAGCTTTTTCCCACAGAGAGTCCAGCAACTAACTGTGTGGCGCAATGGCGCCGACATTCTCTAAGCTGGCTTTCGAATTTGGTTTCCTCGTCTGCACTATCAGCTGCGTATCGTCTACCGGTGGACGGAACGAGCGAAGTATCCGTTCCTCGCCACCCCACAGCAAACAGAAGTGTTGGCGGCGAGAGAATACTATCCGTACCCACGGCCAGAACAGGATCATCCACCTGGTTGCACTACTGCCACCGTCGATAGCTTATGTCAATGACATCCCTCAACCAACCAAACTGATGACAAAGGAATGGGATGCGACCATCATTTAATCTGCTGCTTCTACCTACGCTCTCGGGCGTCTCAGTGTCACCAATGAGAATATGCATCGTCGACTCGTAACACCGACTTTGAGTAGACAGTCACCGCGTGGCTGGCAAATGACCGATCGAACAGGATGACGGCTGGAAGGGTCAATAAGAGGGAGTTCAGCTTCGGGATCGAGGTTCAGGACTTCTTATCCAGAGACGTATTCCGAGGCGAAAGCCTCGAGGAAAAGTTTCGTGATCACTTTCTTGAGAGCCCGTGGAATCAGCTAAGCTTGTGAGTAAGCGAGCAACAAGGCGACCTTTGCATCGTGTCGTGCGTGACAACGAAACAACAGGCACTAACCCACCTTTTCGATCCGCAAAGCTGTATTTCGAAAAGCACAGCAGACCAGACAAGCAGCATCGCCGCCGAGTTCAATTCTCCCAGCAGGGGATTGACAAAGAGGAGACACACAGCGGCAAGCAAGTCCACTACCTCCCACTCCGACCATCAATCCGGCTACGCGAAAGACCCAAAAACCAAATCGCTGCTGCAATCAATCACCAAGCTGAACGCAGCTAATGGCGCTAGAGTGGTGGAGCAGTCACGGAGTCTCAAGAGGTAGATGATGGACCTATACATCCATACACCTGTAAATAGAAAAGCTGCTGGCCAAGAGAGTCAACGGCGCAGGCCAAGCAGACTTTGGGGAATAAGGTGATGGATTCAGTAAGCGAATATTGCCTCATCCGAGCAGCATTCTGGCAAGCTCTCCAATTGCCGCGATCCGAGACCAAGCTTAGTCCGCAGCCCAGATGTCGCTTTGCAGTTCGCAAAGACGAAAACAGGCCTTTGTTCCTTCTGCAGTGTCTTCAGTATACCCGTTGAGCATTCCACCGTCGGGGAGGTCAGCTGGTGCAGTCAGCCTGCCATTCCAACTTTCATTCTCCACACCTGTTTGGTCGGGAGATAGCATCCCGCGCTGGTGGGACTCGAGCAATTGTGCCACGGAAATTGCGGAAATCATATATCCACGGGAGCGTGTCTGCAGACTCAGTCAATCCGTCTCCTCGCATGCTCTGTGACGGTGCGGATCTCGGCGTACTCACCTCTCACCATCGTACTTCGGCATGCATTGCAGACTGCCCTTGTAGCTTTCCAGATCCCCTTGAGCATTAGCGTCACATGTGTGATAGCTTTCAGGCCGTACGTCGTTTCACGCACTACCCTGTCCGACACCATGATCTCTGCAATGGGCTTCGAGGACCTTCAAGACAGCAGCAGCTCTGCCTCCGCAATGATGATCAGGACTCTGTATGCGGATATGGTCGCCTTCCTTAAATGAAGTCAGAGAGATTTCCTGGTCGGAACCACGTTCGGATGCCCCTTCCCGGTGCCAATTCTCTTCTCGGTGGCAGGAAGCCAGAAGCAGGCACCTGTACTCTCTCCGTACAAATCCCCATTCTTCTTGCGTGTCTAATGTGACCCTTGTTTCGTGCATTTCATATTGCGCAATGCCGCACCGGATGTGTCAGGATATCTCCCCACTTCTGTTCTGAAATCTGTCCGTCTCGGTCAATCTCTCTTCTTCGTGGTATACCGGCATCAGCGCCATGGGGTGCAGGTAAGTTCCAATGCCTGCTCTTTCTCTTGCGGTGACAACTGATCAGGCGGCAATGCATACGATATCTCCGCACTCTTTTCACTTTGGCGAAGTGACAGGCCGTGATCGACATGGCAGATGACGCGAGGCAGGATCAGGAGGGTCGCAGGACTATCGGTCACGTTGTGAGCTATGATATTTCATGAGCCACTTCCAGCAAAATTCTTGGCAGTGAGAGAAGGGATCGTTCACAACTCAGCTGGGCAATGCCCTCTGAAGGAGAGGGAGAGGTGTCGACATCTTGTCTCGCCGGATAGCCCGAGTTTGGTGTCCGAAAACATTCAGTTGCGGATGCGTGGCTTGTGCCTAAGAACATGGTAAGAACATTGGATGGGAACAGAACCCCCAGGTTTTCCCTTGGCACACGGCCTGCGCCTCGCTAGTGCCGAGACAACAGTCTAGCCGTCAGTGTCTGACAGCTCTTTGTGCTGTAATGCAAGATCAGGTTGCGCATTGCGAGATGGACTTTGCCCTTTCGCCCTGCGCCGTGCGCAGTTCTATGCAGGATGAGACGCTGGAAGTACCGTCAAAGGCCGCAGCAGAAAGGCCGGTAAACATCCTCTCCGCCTCTATACACGTTGACCAACGAATTGTAACTGAAGCATAGGTGTGCGGATGCTGCTGCATCCAGTCGGAGTGTGCTCCTGTTCTTCTTATCTCTCCTTGTCTTAATGATCCCGATCAGCGGCCTGTTCAAACAGACGGAACCCCCTGATGCTCGAACTCCCGCTTCTCTATGGCGATAGGCCACCGTTCGAACAATCTCTGCAACTTCCCTGCTCACCAAGTCCTGCCCCCGAGGGGGAAAGAATGAGCACCGCCCTGTTGAGACTTAATTCAACATCTCGGCCAGCTCTATTCCATCAAGACTACGATTCGGTACCTGGCGGGCGGACGAGGACAAGCCTGAAGGATATTCCATTGGCACCCACCGATCATCCTCACCGCGGAACAAGACGAGGTATAAGGCAAGCAGTCTCTGAAGACTAGGTTGGCAGTAAGAACAACGGAAAGTCCGGATTTACTAGGAGCCTTGCGCGGGACTCGGTCAACGCCACACCACCACCTCAGCGAGACCTGCCCTACTTCTCCATGCACACTGCCCTGCTGTACCTTTCGAGGCGACTTTTGATCCTCTTTTGTGAATTATGAACTAGAGGGGTTCAAGATTTCTGCAACAGGCCCCACAGTGGAATGAGGGAAAGACTTCTCAGTGGATGAGAGGCGTTTCAACGAATTTCTGGAGAATCTTGATTTTGCAGGAGGCGGATGGAGATTTCGTTAGGTTCCCGAAACCGACAAGGATGGATGACCGGCTGCTCTATAGGAACTGGCCAGGATCGAAAAGATGCGATACTGAAGGAACTGGGACTGATGCAGGAATCCCATACGGACAAACACAACCTCGTACTCCACATCGTCCGCAGCCACGGAGACCATGTTAATATACATTTAGGAAACCTTGTCATGGACCTGCAATGAGATGGGCAAAGGTTGGGCATAACCAGTGTTGGAAGCTGTGACCGAGGGAAGATTACACCAAAGAAAAGCCCGTCGTTGATGAAGTCTTCTTCTCATCGATCAGGCACACCCGGCACGACACCCTGAATGATGCTGCCGTTAGCGTGTCCTGGATCATTACAGGCCTCACGACTGGAGCAAGGAGTGAGGTCAACGATATATTTCACTGGCGATGATTGGCACGTACAAAGATTGCTTGAGGCACAGGTGTCAGTATGGAGTGAGCCATAGGATGCGTATGGGGGTTATTGTTGGTAACGTTCCTCTCGCATGCGACTTATTTACCAATCCGTACGGCCATCTGGCCGATCTAGCGATCCACGCTCCTGCACAAGGCCTTTGACCCTCTTCAGTCCCCCTTTGGAACTTCTGTTTTGCCCGTCCGATAACCCGCCCGATGGCGCTCCGGTTCGTCCAGACGCCTACACCTTTGAACTTCTCCAGCCCTTCAATCCCTCCCCCTATATTCGTTCACGTAACTTTGGGAGCTACGTGATAGTTTTCTTTTCCTGGTCTCCGGATCTGAGATTGACCGTTTCCACCAAACACCCATGGACCCGCCAGTGCCAATGCTCCTGTCCATCCGCTGCCAGTAGCGGTAGGTCACAAGTATCTCTGCGGTGTGATTGGCGTGCTGAGGCTGATCGTTGTGCGTATATGCAAAAGTCGCCCAGGGTTCGGCTGCGGCTCCATAGCTTCCCATCAGTCCAACGTCGGATGCCAGGCTTTTCCTCCTCGAATCTGAAGACGTGTCCCCTCTGTACAGCGCCATCTCGTTGTGTCGGAGTACTGAGTCTGGGCCCATTGAGCCACCGGCGAGTGATGTACCTCTCGACCTCAGCGAGGGTAACCGCCGCGAGGACCTCTCGGTTGACGCCGTTGCGAACAGGCCAGCCCTTCCGATGCTTTCCGGGAGGCTACCAGGGAATTTTCATCTTTCTCGGGGCTCTGCTTCCTCGTCCATAATGGTCGACCCGGCCTTCAAAGTCTCCCAAGAGAGACCAGCCTCGAAGGGCCTCTGCTACCGCGTACTCAGGAGGACTTCCAACGCTGGAAACAACAGATGAAGGCCGGTGGCGCCGCACTGTACCACTTGACACAGTTGGAGCAGCTGCCACCAGGGGTCGGAGAAGGGCGAGATGACATTCCTCCACCGTGTGGACAAAGCTCGCGGGACGAGGATGTCCCGTTGCTCTCCGGGGGTGTTTGGTAGCTAGCTAATGCCTGTCAATATCGTCGGGGCACTCCAGCGATAACCCTTGAATGAGTTTGTGCTCATCTTTTGTAACCAGGTTTCAGTTTCATCATCACGCGTAGTTCGGACAGCCTCCTTGGGGATTCTTTCTCGGGACTCTCTAGCACAGACTAGATGTATTGGCAGTGTTTGTCAGCGATAGAAACGTCCCGAGCACCCCTGCCACTCCATGATGGTCATCCATGGTGGGGACCTCGCCTGCCGTTTCTCAACTGTCGCTGCCGCACCGTGTAAAGGTTGTGTGATCTCAATCAGTAGAGGCGCCGGCTAGACCCTAGGCGCGAGGCGTTCCCAGTGGCAAGGCCTGTTGGTTGGCATTGAGGAGTGCGCCTGGGACAAGCAGGATATTCGCCTTTTCCTTGTCGATGGGTCCTTATCGAGGGAACAGAAAGCGGAAATGTAAGTATATAGCCTTATGCTACTCCCGTCGACAGGGAGTGTTGTGGGCTGGAAGAGATGGTGGCCAGAGGGATGGGAAGAAAGGAAGAATGAAAATGAGGATGATCACGGCCAAGAAGACAGCGTATATGTATGTAGAGGAAGTGTGTTGTTATTATTCCTGTTACTGTTGTTGTATTGTATACGGCGTGTATGGTATCAATGTATACTCTCTGCCAGATGCTGATGGTTCTACCAGTGACACGATGTCTCGCTCGTAATCTTTGTTTGTATATTTTGTCCTCGTAACTTATTCTGCTCCAACTGGCCCGTCTGGTCAGCTTCCCGGGTGGCAAAGCCATGAAAAACGACAATACAAGGAGAAGGAGTAAGGAAGAGTCCCCAGACAGCGGGCACCTGCTTGTGGAAGAATCCGAGGCATGGAATAGTCAGGATAGTGAGGATATTGAGATTGACTGACTATCCCATCATCCATGTTCGGCGTCGCTCTCGTTGTCTCGAGCATCCTCATGGAGAAGGTACGGCACCCACGGCGCCATGGCAGTTTGCAGGTCATTCGTGCGGACAGATGAGTCGACAGGTGTGGTAACTTCTCCATGAGGACGCAGAGGACAGAATGGACGTGAGCCCCATCGGTTGGGGATGTCGATATCGCGATTAGGTTGGCACGATGCTCGCTGCCGACCCAGCGACCTTTTTAGATAGTCCTTTGCACAATTCATCAATTCAAACGCACAGCGTGATAGCTTTCATGACAGTGGTGGCACCTTTGACGTTGCCTGTGTTCTTTGTTCCCTGTCTATCTTTCTGGTATTTTTGGGCATATGAGGTCTTTGCCGTCGTCATTCCATTTGGCTTATTTTGATCGTTTGGAGACATGGGGAAGGCTGAAAAGTCTGCAGTGGTGTGATCCAACACTACCTAGAAGTGACTTGCAGGACTGAGTGGTGGTCTTGTGGTAGAAGAAGCCATGGGGGTGGTGGGGACTGTCGAGAGGATGTTTATAGTCGCAGCCGTGCGAGATTCATCGTGTGGATCTTCAGTAGGCGGTGTTGATTCATCTGATGGTGTCAGCGCAAGGAAGCTAGGTGCGTGACTTGAAGGCATTGTCGCGCAGTGTATTGTCAGTGATTGAGGTCGAGAGGTGAATAGATTGTTGAGGGCTTACTCTATACATGATGAATGCAGAAGGCTGGAAATGCCACTTTGATATTCACGTGCTTGTATGTTTGTCGCGAACCACCATCACAAACAAACAATAGGAAACAATCAATCAATAAGAGTCTTTGGCGCGTCAATCATTTAGACACAGCCCAGATTCGCGGCTGACAATACGCGTGAAGAGGCCAGACACGTAATTCACCGACACTATTATTGACGCCAAGGGAATGAGGTTGAATGACGTCATGCGGATGGTTGGGTATATAACCCTCCACCGTCCCCCCCCTCAATTTCCCTTCTCTCCATCTCACTCCGACAACTTCCTCCTGTCAAACAGAAGGGAAGTTGGTGATTTCAACCAGCACAGCGTCAACATGTGCTGCAAAACTCGACACATACTCATTCTTTGAGCTCTGCTCTATATAAACATACCTCTTCTTTGGTGGTCATACCCTTCCACTCCTCGCAGCGATCCAGATCATGATCGAAGCCAACATTCTGATCCGCAACACAAAAACACATCCACCTTTGTTTCGCTCTGCGAAACGACAAGACCATCCAAGTGCATACTGCACTACAAAAGACACTCCTGCGGCCACACAACCACTTCCGTTGCATATTGCAAACGCCACAATGGCCCTGAGCCACGCCAGGCCCTTTCGAGAATTTAAAACTTCGCTGAAATCCCCAATCACACTCGACCACACCACAACAAACTAAATATATACAAAAAGTGTCAGGTGTGACCCACCCGACCAGATCAGGACTAGCCCGTCCTCTAGACAGAACACCCTCAACTCACTGAACACTGCCATTGTGGCGACCCTTCTTTCCTAGTTGTGGGCTGGTGCTCGACCCATTCGATTGTCGTCTTGCAGCAAAAAGGCTGCTGCTGCTGCCTTAGCCTCCCGATGACATCAACAAGAGGGTCCCTCTAGAGGGAAGTTGAAAAGGCAAAAGGCGAGATTGCCTCGATGAGGAATAAGCTACGGGAGGCAGAGACCGAAAATTCCCACCTCCGAAAGGAACGAACTGAGCACCAGCAGCTTAAGAGGTTCCTCAGGCCACTTCGGAGCTCATGGAGTGGGCCACGTCTCGCCCGTAGGCCTTTTTTGGCTCAGCACGCAGTCTCGACCGCCAACTACTCGAGACCCAGAATCTCTACAAACGAAAGCAAGAGGAATCTGAAGAGCGCAAAAAAGAGAATGCCTTGATGGAAATCAGATTGAACAAGGCGGACACGGAGAATCGCCAACTCCGTAAAAGGGTCGAGGACATGACCAAGGTACTGGAAACCGCCCCCGGACGACCCGCAGATGTTGAAGATAAAGAGAAACAGTGCGCTCCACGAGGGGATGGTGATTCAAGCTACGCCCCAGAGGCTACTACTGATCAAACATGGCTGGAGGACGCGCATTGGCGCGAATTTTCGACATGGGTTCGCAGAGTGGTGGCGACCATCTGAACCGAGTCGAAATCCTATCAGCGCAACACAGTCACAGAAATCAGGTACGTCTCGTCCCGTGTGAAGGAGTTGCTCTCAAGTCTGTACTGCCCGACATACTTGGTAGAGAAGTGCTTCACCAGCTAACTAACTCAACAGAAGCACGATCGACGTCAAGGGAACGAGGTCGAGTTGAGTTTGAGGGGATTTGCGAGGATCCAATACCGTATTTTAGGAGTCCTTCACAAAGGATCAGACTTGATGTGATTGAGAATGGTGTGTCGTCATGGCATAGACCAATATTTGATGGCGAGAAAAGTTCAGGGAGTTTCGGGGGCCAAAAAAGACGGGTTTTGAGGGCAGAGAAAAGAGTTAGAGCGGGCGATGTCACTGACATGGTTGTTACTGATCCTGCACCTTTTTCAGATAGCAGTGGAAAGAGAGGACACGATGGAGGAGGAATACGACGTGGAGGATATCTATAACGCCAGGTTCTTTGGAAGAGCCCGACAATTACAGTACTTGGTGAAATGGGTAGGATATATAAAGAAGCAATAGTGCTACTGGGTGGAGGTGTTACCAGGATGCGACGAGCTGGTACAAGAATTCCACGCTAGGTAAATAAATAAAGCTAGTCCTCCCGCATACTACGACTTCAACACCAAAACGAAAAGGAAGACGAAACGAAAGGATGAGTCCGTTACGAGAACGGTCCGGCTGATCTGATTGTCCTATGACATTTTGGACCTACCCGAACGGCATGAGATTATATCAAACCCAGGAGAGTTAGTCCAGAGGTCGTCGACATTGGTTAGGCCAATCAGCACGGTTAGGTTCACGCTTCAGAATGGAGGAGTTATTAGTATATTATCGATTATCCTCAGAGACGAAGGACTGGCTATGAGAGGAGTTGATATCACGTCCAGCATGACGGACTACCGCGCATAAGGCTGCGCGTACCTTTTATCTTTCGTGCCGCTATCGCCACCACTAGTTAGACTCCTTCCGTGTCAGAATTCCATATCATAATTGCACCCTAACAGCGATTGATTGCTCCTGTTCCAGGTTGCTCCACGATAGCCGTGGTTCTGCAGGAACCACTGGAAATGACAGTCTGATCCTCCACTCCGATGCCTGTCCTCGTCCGAAGACCTCAATTACACCTATTTCTCTCACGACGCCGACACCGACGCCGTCAAGCTTCCCCATACACGATCTGCACATGGTGTTCAATCCTTGCTTGTCTCTCCATCTCTCGCCTTACTCCCCCAAAGCTCACGCGCTGTTCCATCAGCTCGCTCGGAGCGCTCCACGTCCATTTCGGGCATGAGAGTCCGCCAATGCCTGACTGCTGTCGTGGGTTCTGTTCTGCCGTCTGCTTGGAATTGTACCTTGCATGCCAGCTTGCCTGATCCTCGCTCCTGACCAACGGTGAGCCTGTACGCATGGCAGGCTTTGCACACTGCTTCCACTCCCTCCCATCTTGTGCCCGTGCCTAATCCCTGGTTTTGCGGTGATCGTGTCGACAGCGGTCGGTCGCCCTTTGTCTGACCGCAGCAAACGTCTCAGCGACAATTCTGTGTAGCCCCTGACGCAGATCTCCAGTGTGGAGGTATCAGCAGGCTAGTTCCTCCAACTGAAGGGTGAATGCGTTATCAAGAGATCAAAGCGATGGAACAAGTGGTCTATTGATACAAGATGTCGACTCTTGGAGATTTGGAGATGGCCCAAAGGTTGACAAAGCCTGCGTCAGCTATATGTACCTACGAGAATCGGCTCTTCTAGCTGGCTACCAGCGGGCTGTCGAGCCAGAATGGTCTAACTCGATGGCAATTGCGGACCGAGAGGGCATATATTCCCGTGGATCGTGCAGCCGTGAGCCTCTGCACCAACCAATGAAGATGCCATAGCGGCATTAACTGCCGCAGCAAAGTCCATAGCCAGCAAGGACGCAACACAACATTCAACACAATATGCAAATTCTCCCCATCCCGTCCTCCCCATACCGCTCGGAGGGGGAATGTAGCTCTTTTGTGAATCTGGGCTGGGAGTTGGATCTTCTTTGTTGACTGGGTGCTTACTCAATGTGCTACTTCGTCAATGGACAATTGACATGGCTTGTGGTGAAACGACTGAGACTTCACAAGATTTTTGTTTGCTTGTTGTCTGAGATAGCTGCAACCAACTTCGATTTGATTCTGTCGGCATTCCTGATCCCTCGAAGGCGCTCTTGTCCTTCTCTCACGTGCAGTTGAGTAGATGTCAAATGAACTGTGGCTGTTCATTAAGAGATTTTAGGATAGTGTCCGAGCTGTAAGCTTCGAAGTCCATCAGATGACGCCTCGCTTACGACTCGTAGGCAAGCACCGGGATTCAAATCTAGCGTCGTAGCATAGTCATAAGTCTAATGGATATGCTCAGCCTTAACCGGCAATAAATCGATGAATTCTAGGATGAGTCAGTATCTGCATGAGCTGTCAAGCTGGCCTCAGTACCCGGACGACTGCCTCCGAACGCTTAACAAGCTCAGCAGGCGGTCTATGCTCAGCTCGTCGACTAGAGGGTGAGCGACGCGAGCGTGGTGCGACATCCTGAAGGAGCGAAGATGGAAAGGAAGAACATTCGTGCGCATCAAAGACGTCCAACTGTGCCAGGATATACACCGGGAGCGGGCCCGAGAGATCAAGGGAGCAGGTACCGGAACATGCAGTAGCAATGACCACCGATCGGGAAGGACAGGTGGCACAGACAGGTTCGTCAGAGGGTTGAACCCATTGCCAAATCTAGCGACAGGTGTATCTCCCGGTGGAAGCTTTGGCATGAAAGACCAAGCTGAAACCGATACTTGCACACAATGTAAATGAACGAAGACTTTGCAGCTCTGAATGGCTCAGAGTCCCTATGAATAACTTAGTTGCTCACCTCCTAAGTACTGATAGACAGACGCACTATGTCCGTCGAGATCACCAGGAATAACGTCCTAGGCGGTCCTCACATCTCGAAACGCCGTGCGTGTATCTTACTGGTTCGATCGAGCGGTCCACGATAATTCAACTGAGAGAGGCTACGCTGCAATCCCTTTCGGTATGGAGAACTCGGCCAGACTCCCTTGTGTGCTCCAGTTGCCTGATCGTGATATCTCCACGCGCTTGATGTCTTCCCACTGCTTCTTGTATGGAACAGTGCGGTCACGGAGGTCTCTGTGCCGGCTTATTTGTCAAACCTCCATTTTCCAGAGTCACCACCTGGTGACCACCTGGATGCTGAGCGGTTCAGGGCGAGGTAGCAGGAAGGCCCAATAACATAACGTCGAGTAGAATGTGCGCTGGAATAGTCGGTTTGTAGGTGCTGCCCAGGTCGCAGATAATAATGTTGGATCTCTTCTCTGCTTGCGAGAGTGTGGTATGTGATAGAAAAGTATAGGATAAACAGGATATGAGGTGCCGAGTTCGACAGTTAGACTAGTGAGGGAGCGCAATAGTTCAGGAGGTGAAGTAAAGGACCCACAATAAATTAGCCATATATTTTATTCTGTCCGAATTTTCCCCACACCAAGACCCCCTCAACACGACGAGGGCGAATCACATCGACACCCGGTCCTGTCAGGTCAAGACTACCACCGGGGTCAGTCGGCAGCAGGACCTGGGGTTCGAATCCCACCGACATCAACCTATAAAGTAGCGAATTCGTAGTATAACCGGCCGGCCGAGAAAAACCAACCCGCAAGGGCGAGTTTCGCTTATCACAAACCAGGTTGGTTGACCTGCTTTGTGATAAGTTTTTGCCATTTTGTCTGTTGATGTTTTGTTTGGTTGGTGTGCCCTCCCTACATTGGTCAAGGACAGATGTGATGTACCTGTCACAGACCTGTTACTTGAAACTGTGACGCTCAGTGGTGAATATCACCACGCTATGTGACTTGCCAATCCAGTTCTGGCGTCTATAGATCATCCTTTCCGTTGAACCTCATGCAGTTGTGATGTCTCGAGCTGTACGCACACTGTTTGCACCCTAAGATCTACGTTGTTTAAGAGCCTTTCTGGTGGGAGATACAGTGTTCTTGCTGAGAGACTATGTGATAGTGTGATAGGTGCATAGGCATCAGTATATGCTTTGTCCACTGCGGCCGTGACAACCAGGTCTGGCCAACTCGAACCGTAAGGCTCCGTGGTAACGGGATCGAGGGAACCGTAACGTCCACGGGGGTTTGGGAATTTACACAATCCATGGAAGATGAGTCTGTGTGACTTATGTTACATATACAGTGTCGATACCTTCTTGATCTACCGCCTTTTGATCTTCCTACTTCAGTTGCGCACGTACTGTGTTTGTATCTTCAGCCGCAATATAGAGCTTCAAGCCTCCGACAAACATCCACCAGCCTTCTCCACTATCTCCGAGGATCTCACTGAATCGAGGCTCCCTCGTTGCCTTGGGCTATTGCGAACGGTGAATCCGCTCATTGTCTGTTTGTCTGTCCGCACGGTCCCGAGCTGCATGGCGACATTCTCCCACTGCCTAACATGTCACAGTCTCTCGCTCACGTATTACACTGTACACTATATCACTCCGCAGAAACATCTGAGACATAAAAATAGATATTTTATCAATCTCGACCGCTTCATCAAATCTGACAGCATCCTCCTTTTTGTCCAGTATCTCGTCGATAACTAGTGTGTAGCTCTCGCCAAGGCCTTTGAGAAATACCGATACCCAAAAGGCATCCTGTAGTGGGAATTTCGAGACGTTCAGAGGGTCGTGCAATGGTTTGATCCCACTCCTGCTATTGAGCTGCGCATCAAATACCTGGACGTGTCACCGCGATTGTGTACCGTCCTGATGCCACAAGCGTGGAGAGTGCCGACACCACCGTGACAAAGCAGACAATCCAGCTCGTAGACAAGATAAAGGCCCCTGCTGCACTATCAAAGCTGTGAGCCCAGCCTGACAATGTGACTGGTTTGTTTCGACAAAGGACTGCGAGGGAGTTAGATGTAGACTGAGTAGAGCTGGCAGGCCAAAGCATTGAGCGAAGATAGTCCGTCTACCGAATCGGCATCATCGAATGCTAGGGGATTAAGGCCAGCGGGTCGCGAGTGATGGTCTTGGTCGGGCGCGAACCTGCACCACCAAGTCTGATGAAGGGTATTCGTAGCACTACTGAAAGTCTCACCGGTAACCACCTGTTGTACAAGCACAATACCTGTTGCCGGCAAAACTCCTTCCGCGCCCTTGTCGTTGAAGCTGATTCTGCTGGGATTGTTGAATTCGTTGAAATTGCGTGATGTGGAGCGAGGGACCTGAGATCATCCTTCATCCTCTTCGAGATCCTCAACTCCATGCTCGAGGCTCCAATTGCATCAATCAACGTTTTCAACCGCGGCCATGTCTGGTCATTGCGCACGGCACGGATAAGGCATGCGGGCTTGTGTGACCGACCATGACGTACATCGTCACTTGCATAACCGGGCCCCATCCCGCGCTCCCAAGAGCTGCGAGGACTGCGCCTAAGCGGCCAGAGGGTAGCAATGTGAAGAGCCTTGCCAGAGCTACCACGTCCCAAAGCCTCTGGAAGACGATAACTGTGTGAAGGCACGGTGACCAGTCCTGTTCTTCACTCCGTTTCCTTTGCCAATTACCATTCCCGGATTTGGAGAGAGGGTTCAAGGTAGGACGCAGCTTGAAAGGGCGTTTTGACTGGGCGTGGATGTGGGACAAAACTTGGTGAGCTGCCGCCAACGCTTTGAGTCGTGGAGTGAGGTCTCCTGAACGGGGATACGGTTGGTGGTCTTGGACGCCAGGTTTGGCAATGCCACGCCGTGAACCAACCTGGATGGCGGTGTGTCGTGCTATTGAGTAGTCAAGGTAATTCTCCGCAGAATTGAGGCTTTCTGCCAGGCCAAATACTATCCCATGTAAACACGTAGTTGAGCGATAGAGCTTACCAGCCATCGTTTTGTGTCCTGATCTCTCATTCCTAGAGCGGTATGAACTGTCCCGTTCAAGCGACGCCCCGTATCATCGTTGGAAAAAGAGGCCTTCAACGACCTGGTGGGTAGCGAGAGTACCAAAATCGTCCTGCTCATAAGTCAACACTTCGTCCATACTGTTGACGGTCGCAGATCATGCAGGCTCTTTTCGGGCATGTTCTCGGAGGTCTGCAGCGTGATGGTACAGCCTTCTGTACCTCATGCCGTCTGATTCCGAAACTCCTTTGTCCGGGCATTTGCTCTTCTGCGGCTTTGTTTCATGGCCTCCTGTTCACCAATGCTCGGCTGCTAAAAGGTCCATACTCATACAGCCTCTTGTCATCCGGCATGGAAAGAGGCGTGGATAGGGAAGTGCTGGGCTCGGAACTCGGGCGGAGGGGAACAGAGAAGGCCGCAGGCGCAGGAAAGGGATTGATCTCGACTGGAAAGCAGGCGCGTGGGATTCCTTCTTGCGGCTGGCGTTGATGGAAGAAAGACAAAAAAGCCAGCAGGGTCCCAGCATGAGCTGGAAGACCTAGGGGTAGCGAGAGACATGTCGCTAACATTGACACAGGGACAAGAAGGTGGAGATATACCGCCTCGAAGATGAGCAGCATGCATGCATTTCCGGGTCTTTACTATGGCTCCTGCATGGTATAATCAAAAGACAGGTTGGGGCGACGGGACTCCCCACACTGCTCCCTACTCCCCGGTCAGCTTCCCTACATGGGCCCTTGTGGCAGGCCCTTGGACTGATTGCTGGGAGCAACCAGCACCAGGATATCCAACAACATTCAGAGATGTCATCCAGGTTGGTGGCAGTGCCACCAGCACGCTGTGTACGATCCAGGATGAGCATCCGTCAGAGGCTGAGCATCAGGAGCGAGGAATGTGAATACGAGGTGTACATTCATCTAAGTACCGTACACTACCTAAGTTTGGTCGTCGATAGCCCTGACGCCATCGCCCCCAAGTCCTATCAAATGATGATAGCAGACCCCTCCTCCTCAACAGAGCCATCCACTACATTTGTTGGAGGTGGTTACTTGAATAGAGAGCCACCAGCCCCCCTCTTCCTCCCTTCCGCCTCAACGGCATCAATGAACTGCTGTGGCATGCCACTCGCAATGAACGCCGCGCTGGTATCCAGGTAGCACTCCTTGAAGGTATTCCACAAGGCGACATCCTTTGGGTCCGTGGAGACCGGACGGGGGTAGTAGGGGTCATTGAAATAGAAGCCCCTTTCGAGTTGCTTGACACCGCCCTGATCATGAGCAAACTCTTTGCATTGGTCGAAGTCCAAGACCCAAATGCCGATGGATCGATGATTGAAGTCGATTTCAGTCACCAGTTTTTGCACGTCCTTAGGGTTTGTAGCCTTGAGCTCTGCGGCGGTAGGTCGTCCCTTTACAGCTGGTGCGCTGCCAAACACAAACTCCACATCATTGGCATCGAGGTTTGCCTTCCAGTGGATGATTGCCAACATCTGTGCAAGAGTCTCGGCGTAGAGGCTTGTGTCGAGTCGCAGGAATTCCATCTCGTTCACTGTCATGTCGAAGTTGCGGAGTCTGAAAGTATTGGTCGCTGGTCGAGTTTGCCTCCGTCCAAGATAGATGCGAATCAAGCAGTCCTTGTTCTCCGGCTGCGATAGGAAGCTCTCCTTATTCTTTTTGACCTCTCTGGGTGCGAAGGCGTCAACGAGGGCAGCGCGAACTGGTAATGGGACAGGAAAGATTCGTTCAGAGAGGAAGCCAGACGTAGGCTTGATTGAGGATGCTTCAGGAAACAGGCCGCGATGTTCTTCCCAGAACATTTCATTGTCGGGTCCGACCCAGGCGCTGACTCTGGGCAGACTGATATTGCGTCTGTAGCCTGAATAAGTTGCGAGAAAAGCTTCTTCGATAGAGGCATGCTGGCAGTAGTCATTCCACAGCTGACCCTGCTTGCCCTCGTTCATAATCTTGAAGACTTGGGTCGTGCCAGTCAAAGCCCAAACAGTACCACATTGACCCTTCCCTACTTGAGTGAAGGCTTGCCGCCCGGGTTTGTCATGTGCTGCCTGATTTTTGGCAGCGAGGGAAGAGCTGGTGGAGATGTAAGACTTGGTGGACAGCATCCGATGGAGGACTTGTTCAGGGCCGTATTGTCGGAGCGCAGTGTCATCAAGGAAGGTTAGACCGGACATCTCGCCGGCGTAGCGAAGGGTAGAAGCCATGAGTGACTTGAGAGAATCAGTAACAGAGATGACGGATGCGTCCGTACGTGCGTTGTCCCTTCGAGACATGATGACCTTTAGTCCGTCAGCTTTATAGACAGAATAAAGAGGAGTGGAGACGAGGAGGTCCTCACGTTCAACTCGGTAGCTTTGGCACAAGAAGGTCCTCACGGTCAACGCGGTCGGTGATTTTCGCAGAAGAAGGTCCTCAGGTTCAACACTGTAACTTTCACACAAGGAGGACGGTAAATCCAGAGGCCTCTGAGGACCTAGAAGAATCCGCACGTTGTAAGCTTGGCGAGCAGGCATCGCTGTTGGGCCATTGCAATCACGACCCAGTTTACATGCTAGGCATCCACCGTCAATATCAGGTACCAGTGGTACAGTCATCCGCGCCTTCATCCTCAATCACGCCTAAATCTTGGACAGGTCCTCTACGGCCATGTGCTCAATGATGGCACGAAGGACTTCTGACGGTGTCGAGGGAGAGATCTACGTAGTAGCTATCGGACAATCCATCTTCCAAGATGCACAATACTGAGGATGATACAAGATAATACAGACGACCCAAATTGGGAACTTTGGAAAGCAGTGATTCGCCTTTCTTACTTCCCACCAGCCTCATTCTTTTCCCGCTTATGTTTGTCCCGATCATATCACTATGCCGGCGTGGCCATAGGAATTGAGAACAGCTCTAGCAGTGAAAAGGAGTCTTCCGTCGAAGCTGTGGTACCATCACCTTTGTCGGAGCACATGCTAGAAGGGGATATTCCGTTGTCTTTGACGCCACTAAGCGCCGAGAAGGAAGGACTCCCGTCATCAAACAGATTGACTTTTCTCAAGTTATCGCGGTCCGCCGGCGTGTAAGGCTCCAGATAAATAAGCCGCATACTGTTTCATTGGATGGGCGTGTATCTTTCCATGTGTGTCATTGTCTCTGTCGACTTTACCACGGGGCCGGTGCGTGCTAGCAAGTTCTTTTTTGAGAATCTGCATTGGTCTCGTGCCAACGGACGGCTGATCAACACCGCCGACGGGGCTGTGGCAGGCTGCCTTGTGTGCCTGACCGAGGAAGAAGGCCGAGAAGTTGTAGTGGCAGTCGATCCGGGGGCAGAAGCCCAGATTGCCGTGGACGGCAAGCCCTTGGATCTGCTGTAGGCATCAAGGGCTTCGTCGACCTGCTACGACGTCCCTGGACCTGTGGTTCCCGGCCCGCCGTCAGACATATAAAGCAGCGTTGAGCCAAGCTGATGGAAAACGAACTACCTTGTCGGGCTCTAATTGCCATTTCTCTGGGTATTATTGTGTAGCTGTGGGATAGCCTCTCCCAAAGCTCCGTTCTCGGTGGAGATGTCCAGTTCGGAGGCGGCTCCGGTACCTCTGGGCTATCTGACGAGAGGATGAGGTAGGACTGAAGGTGCAGTGGAAACGGGGTGGAGGGAAATAGGATCATCGCCCACCATGTGTTTCTAGTCCATAGAGTGGGCTGAGCGTGTGCAGGAAGACTCTCACTTTGAATTGTGGATATGGGGAAAAGGAGTTAGTCACCAGGGGTATCCAAGCTACAGAACACATGGCAGGACATTGACTACCAGGCCCAGACAACTCCACTTCGTGCTTGAGAAGCTTTTCTCTGCCTGGGCCTGGGCGCTAACAATCGCCCTGCTAATGAAGCCTTTCAAGAGAACAAAGGCTTTGAGTTGGGTCTGCTGGAGTCCCTCGGTTTCCAAGATAATGTCATACAAAGAACATGAATTCACCTTGTCCACAACAAGGCGTATACTGGAGTTGCTATGAGCCCTACTCCTGGAGATGCCCATGTCTAGAGTCGCGATTGACGTTGGAAAAAGGTCCGAGCATGTCACTGTAGAGCTTTGGCTTAGCCCGCCCTCAACGCGGGGCGTCCGGGCGCCTATTTTTCTGCTACAGACAGCCCACAGCAAACTCGAGACATGGTCGAGGGGTCTCTTACAACTGTACCCTTGGGGTGATTTCAAGGCGCAGACGGCGATCGGCGAGCTGAATGCTAAAGTCGGCTCACTCTCCGGGCGGTACTTGATCTCGAATTAGTGAGACACACCAAGCAGGAGGGTGACGTGGAGATGGTCAAGGCCAGCTCATTGACCAAGCGGTAACACAATCTCTCGTCCCTCCTCGTCGCATGAGGCTGCAAACCCGATTGCCCTTGGGAGGGCCAAGGTCCGAATCCGTAAGACAAGAGAGGACTCGACATACGTGAGCTCACCCGCAGCCTTATAAAGACTGAGCACTTTGAGGACGGCAACATGTACTGGTATCCCGCTTGGTAGCTCTGGGCCGCCCTCGTCTAGCAAGCTCATAGGCAATCCCCCTGTTTCTCAGGTGTATCCTTTTCGTTGCTGTGACGATTAAAGGGGCCCGTGTGAAGATGGGGTGCCGGGTGCTGGTAGGGCAATTGGTAGTCCATCATATCAGGGGTGTTTGTGGTAGAGTTTCATGGAGGATTGCACTGCGAGCGATATCAGTGTGGTGAAAGGGCATTGTTCAAATTGGTAAATTCGCGCCGGGCGTACGACTTCCATCAGTACGACCTGCGGCTATTTATGCGGCCTTTCTTTCTCGTATGGTGCTTGTAGATCTGCCATTCCATGCCGAAGTCTTTCGTCCCTCCCAAGATTGTCTCAATGAGTTTCACGTGCTGCCTCAACGTCCTCGTAGGTCTCCGAATTGTTTTCCTTGTGGATATTTTGATCATTCGTCCTTTTCCGCCAACCTGGATCTGAGTCTTCGGCCTTTGATTGCGCCCTGGGGAGTCGCGAGCCTACCAGTACCGACGTAACTGTGCAGCTCTCGATTGAGATCGGGTTGAGATTGCCGTTGCAATCCAAGACACGCTTGAAGGTGGATATTCGAGTGCAGCGACCGAGTTCTGCCGTATTCTCAATGATCTCGTTCTGGGTGTCGAAGATCCGGGTAATCCTCCTGTTGCTCCCCTCTGTCTTCTTCCGGCCACGCCAGTCTTGTGGCAAATCGTGTCATGGAGGTATTTTGGGGGTAGTCTCGGGAACAGTTGTTAGGAGGTCACAGCAGGCTGAGGGTAACCCTGAGTTAGATGATCTTCATCACCGCATTCGGGGGAAGATACCTACTCACCATTTGAGCAATCACTCGCCAGTGAGCTTTCATCACTGCAGATGGTGCAAGTCATCATCCGGGGCAAGATCTCTGATGACTTGGTTCGTGTGAAGACAAATTCTGTCCGACTGCACCCTTCTGAGTCAATGTGCACACAAAGAGCCCTCCGACTGTCTTTATCCTCAATCCAAAATCTGACGGTTCAAGCCTATACCTTGTGACCTTCTCTTGTAACGCACTGGCCCTTGCAAAGGATAGGGGGGCGGACCTCCAGACGAGGGTGATGATCCTGCCTCTTAGCGGGCTCACAGGTGGACAGATAGTACGAAACTCACGCCCTGGCTCTATGTAAGAACTGGATGTTCTCCACAAGACCTTACCGTGGTGTCACGATTCACAGACTCTTCTTCCTAAGTGATTTCGGACTGGTGCCAAACCATCTCATTCCATCGTTTTCTCTCTTCGTGGAACAACGAATACTAGTACAAAGGATCAGCCTAAAGAGCTGCAGGGTTGACACTCAACATGGTTTACAGATGATGCTGCTCACATCTTCTCCAGCGCCAAAGGAATAGGCGACAGCTTTCAAAGGCCATCCGCTGGAACGGGCCAAGGACCGCTTCTTGCGGTTCGGGTTGGGTGGACACTTGATTTTACACAGGCCGCTGATTGTGCCTGTGCGTACGTGTGAACGTGTGCTCGTAAGAATACGGCGTTTGTCACAGATTCACAGGACACGAGGAGTGGAATAAGGAAACACAAGGCAATGAACGAAGGTAGAAGGGGACGCAGACAAACAGCACCGGGAAGACGGGCTTGATAACGGCGGCGCAGGCTGCGCTACTGAAACTGCGCAAGTGCCACTCCTGCGCGCCTAACTGCCTACGTCAGTATTCAAAAAAAAAGGGTGCGGACCTCTGAGAGCTGCGGCATTTCTCGCCTATCTTTCTTCCACGCCCATCTTTTCTTTCACACCTATCTTCATCCTCATCTTCACATCGCAGAACATTCTTTGCCTCCTTACACAACTATTGTCAGAATCTTGCGTGTGTTGCTGTCACGACTTCCACCTGCCAGCCATGCGTGCCACGGCGACCAGCGACATTCTCCCTGATGATGTCTTGGTTGAAATCTCAAGAGTCCTCGCAGTTCAGTGCCAGGAGAGTCTCTCCAACCTCTCGCGCTGTAGCAAACACCTGCATCATATCACCACACCATATCTGTACCGAGATGTACGTCTATCTCGCGTCCAAGCTGTACCGCTCTTTTTCCAAGCGCTGTGTTACCACCCGGATCGGGCACATCGCATTCGGTCACTGAACGTTACCGGGGAGAATTACCCTACCGAATCCGAGAATTTAATGCCTAACCTCGATGTCGGTGAAATTTTCACCCACATTAGCCATAGCGTCCCTATTAGGCAGTTTATGGAATATCTCCAAGCACCGATCGACCCAGTGTGGCATTATACTAACCGGTATGAATTGGGGGATCAAGGTTTCTGGCTGGCGCTTCTAGTCCTACAGCTCCCGGGATTAAGAGAAATCACAGTGGAACTAAATCGAAACGCTTTCGACTTTGAGGTTCTCTTCAGATGGGCTGCTATGAATACGGACGGTCGAAACTTCTTTCCTTCTCTGACGACGGTGAAAATCGACGTTAACCGGAACCAGCCGTGGGCGGGAGTGGAATTGGTTCCATTGCTTAACGTACCGTCCTTGAGAAACGTTACGCTAGTGAGAGTTCACAGGCTTAATTATTTAGGTCAGTCGGTCGTGTCGCAAATCCGAAGTCTAGATCTGGATGAGAGCTTGACATATAGCGGCGACGTGTTACGTTTACTTGAAGGTTGCTCTCATCTTCAGACCCTGCGAATAAGACAACCTCCATCGCTTCGCCATAGAGAAGGTCTCGAGTACGACATCTTGAGAGTCCTATCGGATACTGCTGCTACCTCTCTTGAAGACCTTGACTATTACGGGTGTGGTCTGTCTAGAGACCACCAGGTGGTTAACATGGCCGACTTTATCAACTTGAAGAAGCTCAAGATAGCTTCACCAATGATCTTACCGCGACCGACTGAAGGACCAGGTTCCGCTGGAGCACCAGGCTCAAGTGGAGAGTCAGATTCAGGTTGTGGTCTTCTTCCACTACGCAATATTCGCGAGCTTACTCTCTACATTTCGAGTGACTGGGGCCCGCTTGAGCCGGTCTGGCCGGCTGTGGTAGATCTCATCACAACTAAAAGGCTCCCGCCGACGCTTATGACGCTGTACCTCCAATGGCTTCCTGACCATGTTGTGGTGAGGGAAGAAATGACGGGCCTGAAGACCGTGGTACAAGCGGCTCATAAATGTGGCTTGAGACTACACTTGATCGAAGAAGACGTCTGGTGGCCTGGCTCTACAAGAGAAATCGTGGTGTCGGAGGATGCAGATGTGGAGGACTTAGGTCCGATGTATGCAGATATGGAGGACCTAGGTGCGATGTATGCAGATGTGGAAGACCTAGGTGCGATGGATTTAGATACGGAGCAACAATCAGTCGGGGAAATAAGACAAGGGATCTTGGGTCGGTTGTGGGAAACAGGGAGACGGTGGATGGCTGTGTGTTTCAAGAGACTCAAGTCATTGTGGGAAGTGTGAGTTTGCGACGACTGCGTTGTGCAGCGGAGAGACACATTTGTCGGCGGTTTCGTGATTTTCATTCGGATGAGAACCAAAAAGGGGAAGGAAACCACAACGGAGCTCTCAGCAAGGCGGCCCCCTGCTTCTATTTGATTGTGGTAGCTCGGTGCGAGAACATCATAGTTGAATGGACACTGCTGTCGAAGCGCGAGAAACCGTCTCACTCCGCCTTCAGAGTCGGCTGGGCGTGTCTATCCGCAGATCTCGCCGTGAATTCCCCATGACATGATCAACGGCCGAGAGAAATAGGAGTGAAAGGGGCGTGAAGGGATGTTGAACAGCGCTAGGCAGGTCGGCTAAGGGGACTGTGCAAGGCAGGGCAAATCCGGATGCGGTTTGTTTCGCAAATGAAGACATGAACTTCAACTCTGCTCAGTCAGGAAATGGTTTCCCTCCCAGGGATAAATGCATTTTCCTTCTTCCACCACGCGGAAAACTTTCATTGTCCACTAACTTCCAAACAATCAAAGCGTACCAACGCCTCTCATCTCAGAGAAGACCGCCATTGTTTGAAAGATCAAAAATCAAGTTGGGCTTCATGTCTGATATGGACGTGTCTGACATCGTGGGCCCATTCCTCTTTTCTAGGAGCCATCAGAGGACGTTCCTTTGATCGGACCATCATTGTTGTGAAAAGCGTTGCCGCGTGCGACTGACGGACGGGCCAGTCAGTGCGGGCTCCGTGTTGAGGAAGCTGGATAGTACCTCAAGCACATAAAGATGATATGGGTCGAGTGATTCCTGTGCCCTCCTCATGAAGCGGACGATGAAACCGCCCAAGCTGTGGGATGTAAATGTGGTAAGCAAGAGAAGGCCTGAGTATGCAAGTCCACATCGACAAAGGACAAATTCTAACATGATCGTCCGTACGGATGAGGTCGAGTAAGACATATGAACTGTCATTGAGAGACGACTCTTGTCCCATGTCCTCTCTTCAACCTTTGCGTGCGTATTGTTCTATGTTGCAGTTATATCACACTGGGCATTATATTCGTTATGACTAAAGAACCCTTGTGAATGTGGCCAACCTCCGATGCGCCAGGAGCCGTTGATCCAGGGCTGATATTGCAGATCGGAGGACAGGCCACGGCTCGAAATTGCCCAGCATGGCAGTGTGGATTGACGAGAGCTCGGAAAAACATAGAGTATGATGATAAAGTGTGAGTTCGACATGTTGCGCATTGCAGAGGCCGTCCTCTTTGTCTCCCGCACTGTCCGAGTCGAGTCCTAAGCAGTCTCTCAACAAGCTCTGCTGGCCTCGCCACCCCCGAGCTATCACCTCTTTCGAAGGGCATCGCTTGGACTGCTCGCTCAGTCCCAGTCTTCTTGACCCGGTTCCGCCTGGAATACATGACGACGCCACTTCAGCAACATCCTGTCCTGCACAAGCGCCACCCAGCACAATATCTCGACGACACACTTGGCGAACTGGACTTGTCGACTCCTCGCGCGATCTTCCACCCCGCTGCCACCCAGGAGCCGGAATGCAAGACCGATGAGCCAGGATCCATAGACGCACCAGACCACCGCAATCAGCAGCTTCAACCACCACAACGCCCGTCTCGTCCGTACCAAAGTGATAGTGGCCGTTGCCTCTTCGTGTGGCGTGTCCCCTGCCGGGAGAGTACGCTCTTTTTCATTGATCGCAACGTCGCTGCCTCCATGTTCTTCTGCAGCAGCTGGGCCGTGCTGCGCCCCTACTGCCTGTCCGTGCTTTTCTGCGCCGGCAATCGGCTGTTTCCTCACGCTCTCGTCCGAGTCCCCGCGGACGGCGGACATCTTCGCTGGGTAGGATTCGTCAAGCGCGTCGGGCGGGGGCATCGTATTGGATGGTGAAGAAGTGGCTGCCTGGGCTCGGAGCCGTGCACGTATTACTAGGGTCGCGCACTCGTCAGCACGAATCAGCACTCGTTTAGGTCTTCAACTCACGTTAGAGGAAGGAGGATAAATGGTGCGATGTTGTCCAGGGATGGGACTGTATCACATATCTTGGACAGAGGAAAAGAATGAGGCTCCGTTGCAGATGAGTTGAGGAGACGAGCCTGTGTATGGATGAGGTGGAAATGGACTCAGATCCAATTCCAACACCAAGGCTGCGATTTTAGTCCGAATTGAACGGATCACTCACCGTCAGATCGCCGGTGTCAGATCTCCTGAGTTGTACTGGCGAAGTGCTATAGATAGAATTTTGGTATATCTCACCAATTCGCATTTTCTACACTCGGGCTCCACCTCAACCTCGGCTAATTCTATCTTGACGCCGGCACCAGAATCCCGTCACAAGTAAATCAATCAGAAGACTTGCATCGTACTGAGAGGGTCGGGGACGACAACCCTGAAGGGTTTCATGGTTAAGATCCAGAATGAATGTCCCCATCCTCTCCGTCTGTGAAAGGTTTATTGTGAGGTCAATGGTTGCTTGCCTTCCGGAAGCGCCGGTGCGGGACGGGAATCAGCAAAGGGCAGGCGGTACGATAGAGGGTCGGGTAAGTATTGGGGCATCGCTTGTGGGACATGTCGCGCCCCGCAACTGTGATAGTTGTGATCTCTGCCGCCCCTGGGGACATCTGTTTGTGGGCGCTTCCGGATGACAACTAGGGCACTCAGAATGGGTGTGCACAAGGATCCTGGATGCTTTTGCAAACTCATTCTGTCGAGTCCACTGCCGCTTAATTTCCAATGAGATCAAATGGACAATCCGAAACGCCTACTCCCACAAAGCCAACAACTATCAGATATCCGAAACTTTTATCTATTTGCCATTGCTGGCAGCGCGGTTGTGTGCGTTAAACCAAGGGGTGCGTAACACCCCCTTTCCTTCTAAACTGATGACTGATGACCGTCATGACATTTCTAAAAGAAAACAATGGAAGGTCAAATGAAGCTTCACTTGTTTAACGTGAACCTTCCTTCCCCCCAATGAAGCAGGTCCAGTTTCCTTCACCATGGCTTCTGGGCATACACGACGACTCTATTGGAATGGTTAGCACGTGGCCAGAAGACAAAGCCGGGAAATCCAAAAGAGCTAGCGAGCACTTACACCGGCCAGTATGCATGAATGCCCGTTTTTCCAATGTCCTTTTCGACTCCTTCGAGCTGCTCCTGCACGGCCGAGACGGGGCGCTCCAGATACTGGGTGAAGAGTCGCAGAGACCATGCTTCGAGTCCACGTAGGGTATTCTCATGCTGATAGGTCCCCAACAACTTCAGGGACTTGAACTTGGGCCACTTGTTCTGGGGCAACTTGAAGACAACCTTGTGAACGTCCGTGAAGCCGACCGAGTGGAGTCGGTGTTCGTATTCCTCGGCGATATCGGGATTGCGGCCTGCTGCTCTCAGTGCCGTATGGTAGTCCTTAATCCATGTGTGGTAGGAGCCGCCCTCAGGAATCGTGCCATCGTCGGACCTTGGTAGCACAATGTCCTGCATTTCGAACCAGCCCCCGGGCGTCAAATTGTCCCACACTTGTTGAAAGAGTGCGTTGGAGGGCGACGTGATGGAGGTCCATATCTCCCGGGCACAGACAAAGTCAAATTGGTGGTTAAACTCCCATGTCTCCTTATAGTTGAAAATCTCGAAGGAGCAGTTCGGCGGCACCCAGTTAGGCTGAATCGGGCTTAGATCAACTCCCCGAACGATTGATTCCGGATGCAAGTCTGCGAAATCGATGGCCCATATCCCCGTGCCGGTACCAAGGTCCAGGACGTGGTCTGGGCGTGAGATGGGAGCAAGATATAGTCGACTACCCAATAGCCTAGTGAACATGGCATGTTGCAAATCCAGTCTCTGCTGCTCTTCTTCGTCGTTGGGGAATAGATAGGCACCATCGCAATAGGAGTGGTACGTTCGGCCGTTCTCGGAGAGAGACGCCGTCACACTGTCAGACAGTGAAGAGCAAGTAGAGTCAACAACGTCGTCTCCAATCGCCGAGTCGTCGTCGGAGTCGTCTACTAGCAGCGTTGGATTTGGGTTTGGATATGGGAAGGCCATTGTCTTGGAGTACGGAATCTGTGTATCAAATTGAAATTGGAAAGAGTCCAGGCCGATAACCCCGGTGCGATTTGAAGGGCGTAGCTCAGACCAAGAGAGGAGAGGGACGCAGAGGAGAATGGAGAGAAGAAGGCACAGAGGAGTTCAGAAAGGGATGCGGAGGAGAGGAGGAGAGGAGTAATGTGCCGGGACCTCCTTGCATCTGTAACCTCAATCCCTCCCAAGCTATCCCTAGCGACCAGGCAACATCATCGTCCTGGCGGCCAGCTGGGTTTCATCGCGCCGTTGTCGAAGGGGAGATGGATGATGGAATTGATACAGCTATCGCTGCAAGGGAGGGGGTAGGCACCTGAAAGATGCATGCGCAATAATCCCAAAATGCCAACATTCCGCCTCTCCCTTGCACAACCGGCCCCCATCATCATCATCACATCACATGCTAGGCGGCAGCAAGCTTCCTTGCTGGTCAGGAAGCTGTCCTTGTCGGTTTGGGTCTACGAGCCCTGGGTGACAATCGGGTTGGCAGCGGACAGCAGCCCTCACCCGCCCGGCGAAGAACGGGGTAGCGACCAAGAGGGCCTTGGTGTAGTAGAAGAACTGCGACACCCGGGCGTCGAACGATGCGTTCGAATCATTCGCCTGGCTCACCTGGGCCCACGCCAGGAGGGCGAGGTAGTAGTAGATATGACCAACAGTGCTGCACTTGTACAGAACCCGAGTGTAGTGCTCCCGGGCTAGTTTGCCAGGGCTGTTCACTAACTCGGCTGACGCTGAGAGTGATAGCTCTACGCAGCGTTCGTGTGTCAGTCTCTGTCAACGCATCTATAGACCAGAGCAGGGGCAACTTGCCCCTATCGACTCACATCTCCTATCCATTTAGCCCACTTCTCGTCGAGCCTCGGGACCGCCGTTTCCAGCGAACATAGCATTCTGTACGCGTGGAGGATGAACGCCGTCATAAATTCCAAAGATTGGGAGTTGTAGGCGTAGGAGTGCGAGGAAGGAATGAATAGCGTGCTTGAACATTCCCTTCGGCATGTAAGCTTGGTGGCGAGCCCCCGCACCTCTGGCGATGCCATGGGAACCTGCGATGCCATCAGGAAGTCCTGGTGCTTGCTTATCAGTGTGCAGTGGAAATCCATGCGAATCTCCAACTGCTCCGCGCTGAATTCGTCGCCTTTCCTCTCCCAGATTTGGTTGCCCACCTTCGTGTACCGGGTGCAGTCATCCAGCCGCCTGAATTCGGGGAGGGGGTCGGCTGGGTCCCTTCCGCTGTTGATTCCCAATATTTTGCTCTGCTTGGTCTTGTCTGCCGTGATCAACAAGTCTCGCGATGGCTGGTCGATCAGGTCGTCGCAGGTGTCGAGTGGCTTCTTGCGGCGCATCACCTTCTCACGACCCTTGTCGCCGAAGGCCGCCGCCGTGTAGCTGAATGCCGACCCCATGGAACTATGTCCGGAGAGCTATCCAGGTGCATGCGCGTGCGAGTGTGTGAGGATGTGATTCCGAGTCGAATAGCCGTTGGCCAGAGAGGAGAGCAGCCTTGGGCAATGTTTCTAGCCTGTGCTCAAAATCAGCAAACATAGTCACCCTCATAAGGGTAATATGGAAAAACAGCATTTCTTGTGATATGTTGGGCCTCACGTAACTCTGGATCATGTTCCTGGGCGGCCCCCTACTCTTTTTGAGGTTTGTAGGCCACGAGGTTGTGTATTTTGAATCGCTGAGACTTCCTATTCCAATCACCTCTTCGCCCCATTTCCGTGTCCATGTCACATTCAATCGAGGGAGCCGAATGTAGGTCCCGTCCCCAGGTATGGTCGTGTGTGAGGCAGATGAGCTGCTGTGGCCGAAGGATGCGATGGACAGGCCTTTGACCAGCATTATGTACAGGTCTGACGCGCTAGTGTCCGGGCCGCAGCGCTCAGGCCTCTCAAAGCCACCAACATACGGTCAATTGATGATCCATGGACCAGGCGCAGGTTTCGTCTTCCCGTTGTAGTCTACTCATACGTTGGTAGCACTCAGGCTCTGGAGCCAGGAAGGTCTGAAGATGCAGCGGCGCCTAGATTGTCTCCTAATCATGGCACATTTGATAGGAAGAAAGACTAGCACCTCCGGGAATATATGTAGAGGGCTACTGAGTTGGCCGCTGAGTGACATGAGGTGCATCAAAAATGTCATTTGCAGAAGTTATTGGTCTCAAGGGGCTGGAGGCATCAGGGTGGTGTCTTGTTGGCATTCCTGATCATGATCCAGTCTGCATATGGTGGGAAAGTGTAAGTACGAAGTGCCCTTTCAATTGTCTATAATGGATGAAGCTGTCCTATCAACAAATATACAACAATGATTCCAAGCTGCAGGTCTCTGTACCTACATCCTACCGACCTCGCCCTACGTCCCGGTACGTTCATCTCCTTCACAAGTGACGGTCCCACGGTCCCCTTTCACCAAGCCTTTTGAGAGCTCCAACTTCATAGGCCAACTGCCACACACCGTCCGCTGACGGGTAAGCGAAGCCGGTGCAAGAGAAGGGCCATAACAATGCTAGAAATCGTATCGGCATATTGAGCCTGATTGTGGGAAGCATGGGGTATAGGTGTCGAATATCGGTGACAACATACCCTGTGTGGCAGCACATCTCGGATGATGGGCTCGAAGAAAGTATGAGAGTACAACTCGATTCTCCTGTCGACCTGTAACACACTTGACAAAACATGGCCGGTGTCGTCCACGGAGAGTCCAATCCGCCACTTCCATCGCCACTTCCAAACCTCTTTGCCCAAGGCAGAGCTCAAGATACCTTCCCAACACCACATCGAACAAATCGTCGTCCGCAGCATCTCTCTCTGCCCGCCATGCCCGAGTCAACCCCCAGGCAGGAGGTCATCAGGGGTCTCGCGAACACCTCCGGTGAGAACATTTGCAATATGGTGATGGCTGGAACGTCCTCCAAGTTGAAGCGTCGGCAGAACAAGGTCGAAAGGGAGGCTAGTGGAAAGATGGAGAGGGAGACTGAGGAGCAGAATGGCAAGGTATTTCGCTTCATCACACGTTTTGAACATCGAATCTTTGGCTGCTGACTATTCTCACCGCAGGGCTCTATTTCTTACTGAACTTTCGGCCTGTTGACATTCGTCCCCACTGCCTGCTTTCCAACAAATCCCACACGCAGCCATCCTTGAGCCGACTACACCAGATATAACCGGGTGCCGTGGTTTGAACAGAGAAGTTTACTTATCCCTTCACACCCTGTCTTCAGCCTTGGGTCTTTTCTCGCCTCTTTCGATCTCAAATCGACCATGCATAGGCGTGCTCTTCTCGCCTCACACTCTCCTGTGCCTTCTCAGCAGCCAACTGCTACACCCTCAGCCAGAATTGCCTTTGACGAAAGTTGTCATATCCTCAACCTCGCGCAGACTGGTTATTAGAGTGACGCTATCGGAGCCGTGCACAAATAGTGGGAATGGGAAATGAGTTTGAACATTTCATAAAGACTCGCTTTGCGGCAGGGTGAAGAATATAAGCCGAGCTGTGATGGCTGCAATATTAGGGGGAAAGCCGCTTTTTCCAATGAGGGAGTTTGGTTAGCCTGCCTTGCACAAATAGCTCAGGTTGAGACGAACAGGGAGTGAGAACTTTACAGTGGAGTTCGAGGTCCTTAAGCTGCAGGAAGACCTACCTTCCCGCCTGCAGTGCCCACGGTAGTAGCACTGCCGCTGACAACAAAACTCGGCCTCAGCCTGAGCGCATTCATCATGATGAACCTCTTTGCGAGCAGTAATTCGGAGCGCTTGTGGCAGGAGATGTCTGGCAAGAGGCTCATAGAAACCGAAATCCGAGTCAAGGACCTCGAGGGCGACCACAACCTTGATTCACTCCGCTCAGGGTTAGAATACTGGGAATATCTGCCTCATCAAGACAATTTGATTGAAGTCTGCATGGACAACACAAAGAAAAGCCCTTCGATTGCTCGATACACTGCGTGATTTGATGCGCAAAGTCGGCGACCAGACATCCGCAAACAGTCCATTCATGCTCTTCACAGAGAGCGCCTGCTTGAGCAATATCAGCGTTGGGAGCCGGTACGACATGCCCAATGTGAGCCTGTGTAGCCTCGAGTGGCCCTGTCTGCAATCTCGATAAACTGACCGGGTCGTCCTGGTGGCCACTTGACTCTCGGCTGGGCCTTGATCAATTCGAGCTCAAGGCAGAACAACGCTCCATGGCGATCCTTGGCCGATGCCCGGGGCGTTTAAAGATCAACAAAGCGCATGCAGGACTACCAGAATGGATGACCTCACGCCATCGTCGTTAAAGTGGTCTTAGAAGTTGGCGGCCTGATTCCACATCCTGCTCTGCCGGCCCGAGCAACTAGGCCAATACCCACGATTCACAGGGGAAGTAGGATGGACTGACTGCGACGCTGCATGATGCCGATGAGTTGAGCGCGTACGAGCTCTTCAGCGCGGTGTAGAACAAAGATCTCGCTGTCAATCCTCGGGCTGACGAAGATAGATTCAAACCAAATAGTTTCTTTGCCTGCCTCTGTTCATGTGAGGCAGGAAGAGGTTGGGTATGATAGTTATGCGGCGGGTTTCGCATGCATGTGCGTGCACAATAGTTGAAAGGAACGGCGCTGTGAACGGTCACAAAATGTGCGGGCGCTCCCGAGGGATGGAAGACGTAACCTGGCTTGTGTGAGACGCAAGGGAGGGGGTTCTCTGCAAAGAATGAGAGAGGGAACAGGTACCAGACACTTTTCTATCACTAAAGAGCGACACGGTAAGTCCCCGTGCAGCACCTTGTTCCCTGTGATGGTTATTACTTGGCTCAGACACAAGCAAAAGCAGAAGCCGGTACAATGAACCACTACTGAGACATCGAATGTATATAATGGGTCTCGTAGCCTCAGCCATCAGTTTGCACATGAGACCATAAACAATGAGATATATATGTGCCAGAACAGTGTTGGAGCCATGTTGAATGGCCCGCAGCCTCAGCCTCAGCCTTCATTCCGATCCACAAATTCCCTGTTTGATGTTGTTCAGCCACTCATGAAAGATCTCACTGCAACACGTCAGTTTTGCGTCTTTTGTTGGACCTATATGTGCCTGTGGTGGCCTGGTCTGCGATCGGCACATTTTTCTTTTTGCTCGGCATCCTTGCGTCTCTGACAGCTTGGTCTGCGCTCGGCACATTTTTCTTTTTGCTCGGCATCCTTGCGTCTCTGACAGCTTGGTCTGCGCTCGGCACATTTTTCTTTTTGCTCGGCATCCTTGCGTCTCTGACAGCTTGGTCTGCGCTTGGCGTGTTGGCGTCTGCGATGGTTTGGTCTGCGTACCCCCCGGATCGGAAAACGAATCTCAAAGGCCTGCCACGCTGCAAACCGGAATCAGAACCAGAGCTGATCGATTCACTTGGACAGTCATCAACGTCGTCCTCTTCGGTATCCATGTGGCTGTTAGCACTTTCCATTCCTCCTATAGTTGTAAAGTGTTGGGGTGCCGTGCGCATAGTTGATCCGGGTGCAGTTTGTCTGGGTGGAGGTGAGCTCCCAGGAGGTGAAATGCGGCGTGGTGCTGTGATACTTGCACTTGGACTGCTTGCCACTGTGCCTGCTACAGGAGGAGCACTCGGTGCCGGAGCCCGAGCGCCTTGAACCTCATCTTCATCATCCGAAATGATCACCGGACACGCCGCGGAGCTCCCTGACAGGGCTTGAGCAAGTGAGAGGCGCGCTTGTCGGCATGTCATGGGAGCTATCTTTGGTGAGAAAGATCGGACAAAGAACACGGATCAACCCGATCCCTTCGGCACCAGTCCTATTTGGGATCAGATCTCTCGACAGCAATGCCACTTGGGGTATTCAGATAGCCCTTCGTACTGCAATATAATCAATTCGTTGCCGGTGGAGGCTGTTCAGATCGATTCGATCTGTGACCGTGATATGGATGAAGAAAGGAAGGAAGGAAGAGCCAGAGGCGAAGAGGACTCAGTCGCTGCCGAGACAGATTAGATGGCGATATGAGCAGTTCTTTCTCAGTCACGGCTGAGAAGGGAGAAATCGGTGAGGCGAAGGGTACTCCGTCGCTAGTTGAGATGGGAGAAGAAGTTCGCAAGGTAAAGCAGTTGTCGATCGCCAGCCGAGATTGAGAAAGAGACTGGCGATATGAAGAGGGCTCGGTCGCTGGCTAAAACTGAGGAATGTTCTGGTTCAGGAGCCGGAAGAGGTTAGCGCTAGTCAAGTCCAGGTGAACTGGCTGTGACTGCTTTGAGAGAATCTCTCGCTCACCGTTTTATCCTTTTATCCTGTTGAGCGAAGCGAAGCAGTATATAACAGGCAACTTTGTCGAAAAGGCCGCGGATATGATTGGTCCGGAAGTACAAGCATCCGATTGGCTGTTTTTGGTAGTGTCAGCCTGTCGCGTTTGTCTTTGCGGATTCTAAATGCGCTGCCAGAGGTTCTTTGTCTTCTTTGCACCAACCCCAAGCTCCAGGTACTCCAGGTAACATTCCAGTAGGGTTCCCCCCACCTCCTCGCCCCTCCTACCCCCAATCTCAGCGGTAGCCATCTCCATTCTGCCCATAAAAGCCCCCGAGGCGTAACGCAACATACTGTCGACAGTTGGCTTTTATCTTTCTTTGGGCACAGCATGACCCGGGCCTTTCCCTTACAACAGGAGACACACGCCCAAAGCACGCAAAGAGCCGGCTTGCAGCACCTACATTTCTATTCCAGGAACATGGTCGCTCTGCACACTTCTCTCGGCACTTCTGCCAGTGCCGACATTTCGGAGGGGTTGGGTGATGCCTAACTCCCCGGGTGTCTCACAGAGCCTCAAGAGCGAATTGCTCCAAGAAAGGGGGAAACGGCCATGCTGCTCTAATGGGTGAGGAACATTGACAGCTGCCACCCATCGCGCTTGCACTGGCACGGCCTTCACCACCAAATTCCACTCAGTGAATTTGCAAACGCCACCACAAAGGAAATGGCATTGCACTTGCATCATCCACCCTTCACTTTCCAACATGGCGAACAGAAATCCACGCTGGCAGCAACAACAGCACTGAATTCCTCCGTGTCCCTATTATTCGGCATGCTTGACTTCCCTTCCTCCTCTCACTCTTGTCTCGTTCACTGTATTCGCTCTCTATCTGCTCCTCAGCGTTCCTGCAGTGCAGTCAGCTTTTCCATTGATTCACCATGGACATCGGTCCGGGGTACAGCCCCCGATCACCCTCAAGGAGTCCTGATACCGTTGTGTGCGGTCGACCTAGGTGATAAAACTTTCAATCCTGAGAGCCTCACCTTGACTATGATGCTGATAGAAGTAGTGTCGCGGCGTTCCAGTCCTCCCCATGCACTCTTTCTCTGCGCCACGGGAGGAATCAAGAGGAGACCAAGGGGCACAAGAACAGAGACATAGCCAGAGGGAAGACGTTTGACGGGATTGTCGACAAGATTGACCCACTAACGGGACACTGGAACATGGATTTCGGATACTTGAACAATTGGAGAAACCCCTTTTCTATTTCCCCTCAAGACAGAGACGATGGCCTAGAACTCTGCATGGCTTTGTTCAGCCGATGGGAAGCCGCCACGACGCCCACATCGCCCTCAAAACAGGACCCGGAAAGAATGATACGAGAGCGAAGGTTCGGGCATATCACGCCAGACGGGGTGATTCGCGAAGTCAGGGCCATCTATGGAAGGCTGGTTCAGGCTGAAGTCACATGTATGGGCATGGTCACCAAACTGTCCTCATCACGGTCCCCCATCAGCCACGAAGAGTGGCGGTCTCTCATCGCCGCTCACAAAGGCCTGTTGAACCTGCATCACGACTTCTTCCTGGCATCATATCACCCCAATGCGTCGGTGGCACTCCATGACAAAGTACGAGAGTATGACATGCCTGAAAGAATGTGGAGTCATGGTCTGTGGGAATTCGTCCAGCTCATACGAAATCGCCTGTGGGAGAGCCCGGACAATATTCACATCATGATTCCTTACCTCAACTTCGTTCGCGCTATGCTGGATGCACTCGACAACGACATCCCGCCCCTGAGAACAACTTGGGCTCAGTGCAAAGCGGAGCTAGCCCGCTATATGTGAGTGGAGGGACTGCCCTGACGACGACATGGCTCAGCCGATGGCACTAATATACCATTCAGGTCCCTGATGCAGTTTGACGACCCTGAACTCCGCCAGCGTTTCCAGTGTGTGGCCTTCGAAGAGTACAGCAGGAAAGCAGACGCCGAACCGTCGTCTGGCATCAGTTACTTTCAACTGGGCTCTATGCCGGGCGTCGAGACGTATCACGATATGATTGATAGATTTGTGGTCCGGATTTCTAACATGACCAAGGCGCTCGTTGTCCAATATCCGTGCGATGTGGCTCGGGTCGCACTGATCACCGTGAGCCCCGAACTGGCTGCGGCGAACCCAGACGGCGAATGTCGGCACTTTCCACTCGCACTCAGTCATCTGCTTCGCGCTCGGCAGTCACCCTGGATGAGAGATCAGAATGGTGACAAACAAAGCACCCGGCAGCACCTTGACGCCTTCACCGAGGAGCTCAAAAAGCTCGATGACGCCGCGGATATTCGGGAAGTCTCCGATAGTGGACATCAGGCGACAGGACAGGCTTCAGGCGCGGAGAGCCTGCTTTATCCCAGGTTGGTGTCGCCCATACTCTTTCATGCATGTGATCACGCGGGATCTATAATAACCAATTGATACTAGCGCTGAGCTCGCCATGCTTCTCTGCCACATCTTGGTGCTGACAGAACTGACTGTGGAGTATGACCATCTGTACATGGCGGTCTGGGCTCCTGACTGGGCCACGTGTGCGTACCGCGAGGAAATTCAACGTCTCAGGGTAGCTGGGCAAGAAATCTACGACCCAGAGATGCTCGGGGCTCGGCTTGTCTCCACCGTGGTCCGCAAGATTTTGAAGCGCGCTGATACGACCGACGTGAAACTGTGGGAGTTCATCCACATCCTCATGGTCTTCATGCGCAGCCTTCAGACACGACCGCATCAGCGGTACCGGCTCCTCTGGGCATTTCATAGGGATCTGCTCTCCCCGTTTCTGACCATGCTTCTCCGTGACGCCGAGAGGAGAGGCGACGGGGATTTCTGGGAGTTGGCGCGGTCCAAGTTCCCTGTCACGCGCTTGACGCTCAATGGGAATGAGGGAGAACGCGAGGCATGCTACACCGTGACGTTGCGAGAAGACTTCCTTCTACGGGGACACTTCTTTGCGAGAGAGGCGATGCAGACCCAATGGTCCGGCGCGAACGGCACGCCATCGTCAGAGACTGAAGAAGAGAATATCCTAGCAGCGGAGCCTCTCAACTCTGCCTTAGATGTAGCTGAGACGGCCGAGGAAGCTCGACTAGCAGCACTCCAGCAGCTCCAAGAAGCGGAGAGGGTAGCAGCCCTCCGTCGTGATCCCCATCTGTTCCCCACAAACTGGTTTGCAGATTCTAAATACGACTTTGAGGAGAGATGCACTCGACAGAGGTATGTGCAAGACGTTGAGATGGTGTGGCAGCGACAGCAGCGAATATTGTGGTTGGCCGCCAGCGACATGAGGAGATTGTGGTCAGCGGAGGAGCGGGCCTTCGAGCCAGAGCCGTTGTTCTACCCATCGACCGACGAGAGCGGATGCATCTCCTTCAATGTGCCTTGGGCCGAGTCCGATCCATCTTCTCTGGGCGGCAAAGAGATGCCTGAAGTCGTTCAACGTCGCGTCGACACCAAGTCCATCAGCGTCGTTTATGCCCATCCCTCTGTCAAGCTACGAGTTCAGGTATGTGAGGAGAAGTGGAGGGACCATGCGGAAAGAAGCCGCCTTCTTCATTTGGAAGCGAAGATGCGAGACGGCGAAAGCAAGGCTGAAGAAGGGAAGCAGCAGCAGCAATCTCAGCGGCCAAGCGTTGCCGAAAGAATTTGGAACCGTGCTGCAGCACTCAGTGAGTCCGCTGACAAAGAGGTAGAGAACGTCCGAGTCGTCGTGCCTACGGAAACAGAGAGCCAACCCAGCGCCGCGCGGAGACGAGGGCCTCCGCAGCTCGACGGACCGCCTGATGATCACGCTGTCGTCGATAGCGGCCGAAAACGCCCGGCGACCGTCGCAATAGTTAGAGGCTGGCACGTCAGTAACAACACCGTGGCACTGAACAGACAGGCGCTTGACAGGCTCCTGAGCATGGACAAGGGGGAAATAGTGAGGCTAACCTTGGGAATGACTGACGCAGACGACACAGAGGTAGACAATAATGGGTGGGAGCACCGGAGCAACGAAAGCATTCCAGATGGTGATAAGACGTCGATTTGGCAGACAAAGGGGCCTGTGATTCCGGTGCTTCTGAGGCACTAAATTCCACAAATGGTAGTCGACTCACGCCACGGTTGTGTTTCTGGTGGTGCTGGGAAGGCAAAGAGGGTTTCTGGAGATCTCGAAGTTGACCGGATTAGTCACGAAGCGATCATAGAGCAAGGGTCATCAGTCTCATATTGACACGCACATCACTTACGACGAGAATCATCATTATCAGAACAGTCCCTTTCTCACATCAAATTAAACCCATCATCTGCAATGGTTTTGTTCTCTGATGTCAAGATGCCAAGCCAGCACATGTTTACCACAACAAACAAACAAAGGTGGTAACAGGAACAGAAGCTACCTGGCGGCGGCAAAAACGTCCATCTTTTGCGGCGCCCAGCTCTGGAGCAAGGAATAGTAGATATGGTCCCGGACCACCTGTCTGCCGCTGAGGCTGGGCCAGCATGTATTGGGAATACTGGCAAGAAAAGAGAGGAGGGTGAGTACACATCGGGAAGAGCAAACACAGCACCATCACCACTACCATCACCAACGAGTCCGTGTCCAACACATGCACACCGTTTCGTTTCTATCCCGTAGTTGAAAAGAAGGTGTCGGGAGGTTGAAACATGTTACGAGCTTACGAGCATACGGTGGACAGCGGTCAGCGCTGCCTGAACGGCTGGGGACAGTGGAGTTGGCGCAGAGGCTTCGCGACAAGGAGCGCCTTTGCAGGTCAAGCTATGTTGAATAATCCTATTCAATAGAGGCACACCATGAAGCCTGACGTTTTCTTGTCAGACGGGCACTGGGGGGAATCCGCGGTCAGAAAATTGGCCGGTCATGTCTACGTACGTATTTGGCTGAACAGCAAATGCAGGTGGGAACTCGGGGGCGTCCTTCTACACCGGCGGCGAGAAGATGGCCACTTCACGCGGCCTCAAGTCCACACATAGGGAATTCATCCTGCGCCGTGCGCTGGCGGTGCCGATGAGCGCGGCGAGGTGCGAGAGGTTCCAGCAGACTATGGTTGCGACGCGAAAGGCCAGAAATCAGGAGCATGGTTGCTTGAGCAGCCGATCTCGCTCCGACACGATCTTCGAGCCCAGAACATCAAAGAAAGGATGGGGGAGAGAGCCATGACGGCATGGTGGAGTATGAGCGCAAGACCGGAGCCTACCCACCAGGAGCTCGTCAATCCACGTCGGACAGAACTTGGACGAGAGGAGCAAAACTGATTCGCCTGCTGGATTAACACGCATGAGTGCAGCGGTATGTTGCAGCTGTATTCAGTCCGTGGCTCTCCCGCTCTCCCGGAAAAGCCGGGAGGAACTAAGGATAGGATGCGGTGCGTTGCACCACCGTTTGCAGGGAGCAGGACAGCGCCGCCGACGATCATCCGCCGCACGTGCTGACATCGACTGGAATACTCCTACACAGGCACTCTCGAGCAGCCTGCAACGCTGGAGACCGCGTTGCTAGGTCGACCAGCCTCCCGCGAAATCGCTCGTTTTTCGAAAAAGCAGCACAGGAAGTGGTATGGTTCACGGTAACATGCAAGACAGGTACAGAATGCATGGAGACATGTGAGGCATAATGAAGTGTATCACTGAAGTCCAAACCAGTGCCCAGTTCACGGAGACCAGTCGACAGACACCATGCCAGCACTTCTTTCCCGATCCGGGCTGTCAGCTCGTTTCACTTGATTGAAGTCTATTGCAGAGGAGATGCAGTCTAATAGGGCATGATGGAAGGTTATGGACAGACGGCAAGGCAGGGATGCAGAGATATCTATCGACGAGAAGGAATAAATCGCAAGAAGGCTCAGCTGACCTCGCCCCAACTGACTTGTCTCAAGGGCGCCTCGAACGTCACGTATTTACTAGCGAGCGTTATCTTGCTAGTCCAGACTCGCTGGCACCGAAAGCATTCATCCATCGGCAACAGCCATTCCCGCCACCCCCCGTGAACACTAGCCCGGGGTTTTCCATCTGCTTGCCTCAAACACGACTCTCATCCAGCGTCCTCACATCGCATCCATGAAGCTTCTCCCCGGTCCGATCATACTCTCGGGTGCAGACTGTTGAGCTCTGACTGGAAAGAAAGGACGGGCTACGAGCAGTGACGAGGCGGGTTTGTTGGCGACACCGTTGGCGAAGACAATGCACCAGCTCCTCCGAGCAATTTTACCTCGCACTGCCCGTTGTGCGGATATCGCGGTCGTCGAACTCTCTTTGCTGGTGATTTAATCGTTTGCTTTGTCGACGCGGCGTGCGCAGAACATTCATAGGCATCACGACAATTATTTCCCAGCAAAGCCTTCGAGGGCTGGTCATTCTCCAGCCTGGCTTGTCGAAACTCTTCAAAGGGATCTCATTTTTGCGTAGCTTAGCACGTCCTCTACGCCAAACCAAGCCTTTCTTGCGGTGAACGACACCTTTTCGCGCGTTTGATACGGCCAAAGCGCTACCTTGGCTCGCCCCAGGATCGCCAGTCAAGCGTCCCCTGATCTGGCTTGTTTTGTTGGCATCAACAACCCCAGATTCAGCATCCCCGCCACAGATCAAGTTGATATCAACGAGCTTGGACAGGTATTTATCGACCGACCGGATTGCCTTTCAAAAGGGCAACTTGGAAGGGCTATGCGAAACTAATATCTCAAGCGGCACGTGACTGAGCCAAGAGTTTCGGTAAAGTCCGGGACTGCTATTCGAAGAAATCCTGGCAGCGACCATCAGCAGCGGGAGGTGAGACTGGTGAAGATGCACCGTCATGCGAGTCAGGATCTCGGGCCGAGGCCATGGAGGAAGGACACCTTCGATGTTTGAATGTCGTCGTTCTTGATTCTCAGGTACAAGTCGACTCTCTCTCGCTGCCCACGATTTTCCATAGAAAGAAGTCCTTTTGTCCGAATTCCAATTGCAGGTCGACGGAGATTTAATATCCCCCGGTGGACGGCCGCCACTTATGGTGATCGGAGAAGCCCATTCATTCTTCCAATTGCTTGTTCGCAATTCTGCACAATAGCTTGCCGTGCCAGCCACAGTTCGGATCTAATATCCGTGGCACGCTTCTCAACGGAAGTTGGCGACAAGAGACTCCGCTGCCCCTGTGGTACTTTCATCCTCGTCTAATGGAGAATAATGGCGTCTATGTTGCATACTGCTCTTGGTAAAACGAATACAAGTCCACGTTCACAGCGCGGCATCGTCTTGCACAATCTGTCTCGATATCTGCGACTGAGCCTAAAGGGTCGGGTCCAACGGATCGATCCCCGAAAGAGGGAAGGGAAAAGCTCGATCCGTTGCTCAGTAAATGACGAGAGGAGGCGGGAGGAAGGTCTTACTGCAGGACGAAACCAACAATTCTGAAGACTGCAATCCCCGACGGGGATGGTTCCGGGCAATTCGGTCATTGTGCCCGTCAGTGTAGGTAGACCAAGGCCAAAGATAAAGGAATTCCTGCAGCCAGTCAAAAAGCACTACGACGTTTTGAGTCAAGTGTACGTTTGTACCCAGCGGGATCCGACGGAGTCGGCCACGACGGCTGGCGAGTCACGGAGAATATTTAATCCGCGACCACCAGCCGACACCCCATCTGCCTCTTGGAGAAACCCGAAATTTCATTTCCCGTTTCAAGTCAATGGAACCTCAACTCCCCGCACGCACTTCTTGTTTCAGGATATGGGAACGCCAAATCCGAGTGTTCATTGGCCTTTTCCCGGCCAATGGAATCATCATTCCAAACATTCATTATCTTTTTTCAAGCCAATGGACGTTCGGCATATATTTGCTTTCACATTAGACCGATGAGATTATGAAAGGCTCAAAAACTTGTCGGGCTTGGTTATGACGGACGGATCACGTGATGCGACGCGCCGTTGCGCACCGCACAAAGAACCTGCCACATTCATACTGCGTAACTCGATCATTTGGCTCATAGCTTGTTTGCAGAAGAGAAGAGAAAATAACGTGAAGACCCGAACCTTCACCCAAAAATCCAAAAACAATCAACAATCAGGATTCCCACCTGGTCACCCACGGTAGTACTAACTGATCGGCATGTGGCTTAAGTACGGCTGAGCGAACGGGAAGCCCTGTTTTCCACATCCTATGGTCGATTGCGAGGGAAACTGTGCTGACACAAATTATAATCGACAAATTTTTTTCCCTATAATAATACATCTCACATCTCTGTGGTGGGTAGGCAACAAACAGCACAATCCATGCTGCCTGCCCGACTACAAAATACTCGGTACGTAGACAAGTGCAAGTAACTTGTGTCGGCCACCTACAGTGCACAATGGACATTTGCGCAAAGCAGATTGGTAAATGAAAGCAAATATTTGAAAAGCGATTTCAGCGATAGGAACGAATGAAGGCAATCGTATGAAAAAGTCACGGGAATGTTCGCACAGGGATTGTCACCTTGACATAAGTAAGAGCTCCAGGCAGCCAATCATTAGTTATTTGTGGTGCCTCATGAACTGGCGGGGTCGAGGAACAGCCAAAGCTCACAGAGCAGAAAAGCAAATATTGACACAAAGTGATTTCAGCGCCAGGCGGCCAGTGACACCCGATGAAAAAGTTCCGGGCAGCCAGTTACAAGCTTGGGTGCTTGCTCAAGTGATGTGATATAATTTGTGTCAGAATAATTTCCCTCGCAATCGACCATAGGATGTGGAAAACAGGGCTTCCCGTTCGCTCAGCCGTACTTAAGCCACATGCCGATCAGTTAGTACTACCGTGGGTGACCAGGTGGGAATCCTGATTGTTGATTGTTTTTGGATTTTTTTTTGGGATTTGCACTTTGCCTGAGATGGATGCATCCTGTGTGAAAAGCTGGGCTGCGAGACGGCCGTGCGGAGAAGATGCCAAGGCGCTAAATGATGACCGCATGAAACTAAATTCAATGAAGCCTAGTGCCTGGGGCCCCAGTAAGCACTACTAGCTTGGCACGCTGGTGCAGCCAATCAGATTTATGATTTTTATCTTTAGCTCGGTCAGAGTTCTGTGAATTGCCAGCCCGACCCTGCTTTCCTGCTCTGATGTTCCCATCGGCCTGTGTGTGCCCTCGTGTGCACCTTCTCATGTGGGAGATTCGATTTCCTACGAGCCACTGTAAGTACCAAGATTTCAGTAGTCGACGTCTCTCGTTTGGCTTCCAATTGCTGCCTGCTGGATCGTGGTTTCAGAGTTGTAGGAAGATCAGAGACCTCGAAGTTCCCCCTTATGTCCTCTGCCTTTAATGGGAATCTGGAATGCCGTCCCCACACTTCCCTTTCAAAATGCGCTTCTGCTCTTCGGGCGTTTCTATTGGCCTCCACCATATCTCATGAGCAATCGGGTTCTACTTGCGTGGAAAACCCAAACCACAGGATGTGTAAGACCCCCGTTAAAACCCCCCCTCTTCTCACAGAAGTCACCTGACTTCGGATATGAATTCCATCCCCCACGCCAATGGTCAGAGATCGAGGTCCGAGAGGGAGGTTTGCTGGTGACATGGGCTGAGAAAATACCTATAAACGCAATAAATCAAGGTGATTGAAGAGGTATTCCTTCAACAAGATGCCAATGGCGCTGAAATCAGCCACAGGGTTACGATTTGCAATCTGCACAACGGCTTGACCTTGGACGGAGGACGAAAGCTCATAACCTTCCACCCCCACGTGGGGGTTTGCGGCCGGACGATATATGTATGTATGGGTCAGGCGAAAGGCTATCAACCTCGTCACTCCCTTGTTTCAGATACACAAATAATGCGACATGTGGAAATGCAGTCAGATGGAAGACTCACGCAATGTGGTCTGTCAAGTCGTGGATTGAGCCACCGCCTATACACATCTGTGTTTCCTCTTTGTCGGACTCCTGGCCGATAACTTGACACCGGGATTTTCCCCTCGAAGGACCTTTTTTTTGCTGGAGAAACAATGCAAGTCAAACCAGCACCATGTATTTCACCACCTTCATCCCCACTGGTCCTCAGTCGAAGATGTCGTCTGTTGCCCTGCCCTCATTGCTGATTTGACAGATTGTTGACTGAAAAAGACTGCAACTCTTATTCCAGCGGATTCAGCGAGGGCAGCGGCAGCCAAGTATGTAAGTGCCTGCACATAATTCAAGTCAAGGATATCTGACTTATTCCGCTATGCAAGAAATACTACCCAGCACGCAACGTCACTCATTCTTAACTATCAACTTTACCACACCCGTTGACCCGACCTCACTCATGAATGACATCAACCACAGCTTGCTTGTATCGTGTGCACTTGCAAGCCAACTATATCCACCACAATCGAGGCATGTTATGTCCTTACAAGATCGCCATTGCCGCCGCCACACACCTTCCTCGCAGAATGCAACTGCACCTGCCAGCCCAGATCTCCATCCGAGCGAGATCAAGTATAAGCCCTGTGCTTCAATTCTTTCTTTTGCTCTCTCCCAAGTAGCCCGTACTTACAGTCTTTACGTTCTCTCATCCAACCACTGCAGACACTCTCTTTATACTGCTTTCATGCTGTTTTCACCGTACCGTTATCCAGATCACCAAGGTTCTCGTATCTCCTCAGCCTCTCAAGCACACATGCCTCAACTCTCAGTTCACAATATCAACCCTGCTTCTGACCAAGCACCGAGAATCATACTTACTCCTCCATCACTTGAATCGTCTTCTGCTGGACAGGAGACGCAGCTCGAAAGCCTGTTGCGTGATGCAGCTCAGACCCCAGCCCCTACGAAGCCAATTGTGACCAGCACAAGTGTTTCCATTACAATTGACAAGAAGACAATGGCAAGTCTCCATGTCTCTCCGTGTCCTCAGATCGTGGCTAACAAGCACAGGACGGCACCACGACGACCACGTCCTTCTTTCGCATTGAGATCCCATTAGATCCTGACCCAAACGAAGACCCGGAAATTATCGCTGGACTCCAAAGGGTGGAAGAGCTCGCCGAGCGGGCATTTGAGAAAGAGACATTTGACGCTGTGGTATATCCGTCTCTTGCTTCGTCACCAGCACAGACTGATCTTTGAAAGTGTGATCCAAAAGATCTCCTCACGTTTCTCGAAAAGCTCATTGTCTTCCGTGATGACGGCGAAATCATCCAGTGGGATGATATTGACGAAAGTGGAGGATTCCAGTCTGGGTCTAACACCGAGGACTCTGAAGATTCAGACATTTCCGCAGCATCTGATGCTTCATGGGCACGAAACTTTTGGGTGGATTGAGGTGGCAGCTGCGCATCATTCCGGCCCAAAATGGGGCCTGCTCTTCCATCATGGGACTGAGGCTCCGGTGGGAAGTCAAGAAAGAGACGGGAACACACAATGGACACCAATGGCTTCCTGACTGGACAGGATTTTGGTTAACATCGGGACCGCACCTAATCAAGGCCGGATGGCCATTGACACGAGCACCATTATCTGATCCTACCTTGGTAACAGAGTATCACATTCCATTGCACTCCGTACGGGTTTTTTGTTTACAATATCTTTTGTGCCGCTTGTGTTGAAAACTGAATCATGTCGATCAGGACCGGATCCCTTGCAGGCATCCCTTAATGCAGGCAAGGCAATCTCTCATCGGCTCACGCTCAGGTCCACAATTACAGCCTCTTTTGAGAACCGCGGCACGCCGCAAGTCCATTGAAGCATTGCAGCAGTCTCAAGTTGGCTGTGCTTAGTGCAGGTCCGTTACCAATCTTTCATTCGTGATCCTACAGTGTTGATTTGATTTCACCAAGTCAATAGAACCCAGCCCAAAGCATGTCTTAAAAAAGGCTTAGCAGAGCTGTAAGGAAGAAACCGAGCCCGCTCCATCGCATGCCGCAACTTCCTGACTCCCTGGCACGACATAAACCACGCAAAAGTCGACAGAAATGCTGTAACATCCCGATACCAACCAATGCCGAGAAGCACGAAACCCATCCGCCGACGTGTCGATCAACCGCTCTCCTTCCATCTGCTTTTCGACTCTGCCTTCGTCTTCGTTCTTGGTCATATGGTTGTTCAAAAGAGGGTGAAAAACATGACCACATCTACAGCATTGACTACTGGGGGTTGAGTGCTAGAGCGAGGCTTGCCAATACGCCGCCTTCAATAATACGCCAGCTGACTGTGGCATCCTAAGGGTCGTCGCAGCCCAAACCCGACCTTTTCCTACATGGCTAACCACCCATAAAAGTTAACGACCCATTCCTCCGTGGAAGCACTGAGTCCATCAACAGGCGATCCAGCCCCTCGGAAAGTCCTCTCATCAGGGTCACACCGTCGGAAGCAGTTTGCCTGGACGACCCTTCACCTCTCGATCAGCCAGGGTACCGTACCCGAGCTGTGGGCTTGTGACTCGAAACAACAGCCAATGTTGCCGAAAACAGTTACTGGGCTCTCGGCAGGCTCTAGAGAGTGAACTCTATGGTACGCCTACCGTGCCATTGATCAGGAGAGGAAAGAGCGCGGGCAGATGCTACTTGTCGACTGCTCGACTCGCAGGGAAGATCGTTTGAAACATGAAGTTGCACGGCTATCGCTAACTATGAGTTTTAAGAGAAGTTTGTAAAAAATTCCCGAAATACTGCATCTCTATCTGCCTTTTCTATTGGACGGCCACCACCTTGGCCGTCAAAATCATGACACTACGGTAGAAAGTGGATTGGAAACAGGCCATGCGTGGTCCTGCGATACCTCATTCAATTTCAGGTTGTGCACAGAGACCTCAGAGTGCCACCTGATCTACAACCGACGGTCGAAGAAGTTGTGCTGTTGTCAGTGGAAGACAAAGTATTGTTGCTTTTTGAGAGAATGACACGCCTGGTGGACGATGAAACCTCTGGTAGGCGGGCGCTCTTGCCGACGAGGCAGTCAACTGCTGCTTGCGCCTCGCAAGAGGTATTTCAGCATCCCTCCTCGATCAGAGAGCAGCATGGCCGTGTAATGGCGTCGCTGTCTCAAAGCGTGTTGTGTCTGTGGCCAATAAACATGCTTCCTATCGCCAAATAATGCTGGAGCCAGTCATATTGTGCTTCGCAACAACTCTTGGGTTCCAAACATAGCGCTCTCGGTGGGAGAGGGTAGCTCGCTTTCACCGCAACGCGGCAGAATGAGGGAGCTACAGCCCCAACCTTGCATCGGCTGGTTGTGTTGATGTAAATTGGAGGAGTTCACTGGATCTTACTCTACCTGTCCCTCAGGCAAACAAAGGAGTGGCCTTGACAAACCTGGCTTATATCTATTACAGTTACTCGTTCTTTGTCGCACTTCCTGCTGGGCGGTGACACTTGGTCTGGTCACACATTGTGGCTGGGTCAACCGCGTCCCCAGAAGTATGCTTCACCAGAACTGCCCTGCTGCCTTCTCTGACACTAGTGATAGGAGACCTGGTCACTGATTATGGCTGTGCAAGGCACCCATCACCCTCGGAACGGCTGTATGAGTCAGAGTACTGATCAAATTTCCCTTAAATATCTCCCTCTCCGTCTACTCTCCCTCCTTTTCCTCTCCACACGCAGCTGCCACCTCCACCTCCTCCAGAGGCCTTGGTCTCAACTCTACCCATCTGGAGGGGAAGGAGTCTCAGAGTTATTTGAGTCAGCTACTTCCACACCAACACATCCTGCACAACACACCAGCCTCCACAACATTATGCTCCAGTACTTGCATCAACCTTGCCACCGCCAATTCATCGCACTACGAGCTTTGCAACATATATAAACTCCCCTATTCGTCATTATGCCGAAGCTTCATGCCGCGGTGCCGATGTCAAGCATCCGCAACCATGCGCAACGTCAGTCTAAAACTTTGCTCTCCGACGTACACAGCCTTGTTCTAGTCCAGGGCCAGCAACGCCATCTCATGGGCACACCAAAGCATTGACGACATCCACCAAAGTGGCTTTATATATATTCCAAACAGTTGCCATTCTGCTTAGCTGCAGACCAGCTCACTCGGTCCTTGGGAGGAAGAGCAAGCCGACGGACAATTAAAGCGTGGTATTCTGTAAGGAAAAAGGACGCGCTACCATCGAAGGCTCTCCCCTCGTTCAACATCGCCTCAGCCGGTACCGAAGCCAGGAGGACGAGAGACCATCAACCTGCACCGACGACGCCGAGACCCTTTGGAGACCCTGACAACATGGGAACTATCATCCTAGTCATGGCATACGTGATCGGAGTGCCCGGACTTGCTGCTATCTCTTCTTGCCTCTTCAAGAGCTCCTCTTCGTCTTCCTCCAAGGGGCCTCCCGGCGCCATGACGAAAGCATGCAAGCTCGTCACTCCTCTATGGGTCACGGTGCCCAGGCAATTTCTTCAGCTCACGCTGCCAAGTCATCTGCGCCACCTACAAGGTCTGCTCTCACACCCACCAATGGACGGTACGTCATCGATAGCCCACTGCGGCTTTTCAATGTATATATATTTGTTCTCTGGCGCTGTCCTTGGGCCTGCATCTCCCCTGACCAGGTTTGAGAACCGCTCTCCCCCCAGATGATGGGGGCTGCTCTCCCTCAACATGATGATGTCCATGCCTCAAGGGTCCACTGTCAACACTCTCAGAGGGCTGCGGCCTCGAACGCCAACACAGCCCGCCATTCAATCTTTGTTGTTGATACAACAGAGAGCATACAGCATGACGAGGAGCCAAGTATCAATCCGGTTGGGGCGCGGGAAGCAACTCCAGTGAGCAGCGCCCCAAAACCCCAACATCGACCGCTGCGTACCAGATGGCCAATCCTGCGCCCAAGCTGACCGCCGCACGGTTGTGGGAAACGCAAAGTGGACCACGGGCTGCGCGAGGGCTGAATTCCCCAATGATTGCGTGTGCATGTGACCTCATGGGATGCCGACTCATTTCTTGCTCGTTGCAAGAAGGAATATAGATCCGAAGGCTCGAACGAGGGTTTCATTCTCGTTCCTTGGCCGTCTGTCTGCGAGCATCTCAAGAAGAACCTCCCGAGGGACGTCAGGAGCCAGAAAGAGCTACCATTTGTGGTTCCTCTTTCACCGGCGCTACGCGGTCTGGGGAGGAAGAGGAGGAAAAGGCGACCGCGGCCGGGTGCGACGACAGTGGCCATGGGGAGAAGTTCTCCCGTTGCACGGGAGCGGTGAAGACAGCGAAATCAGCGACATCGGTGGATGATGACGAAGCGACCCCATTGTCTCGTCAACGATGGACTGTTATGATGGAGGACCTGGGCAGGGTGTCAGTGAAGGGCGGCCGACTTCGTCGATGTCTATGTATGTGCCTGCGGTAGGCTCGAGCGGGGTTCATTCAGCTATCAAACAAACTGGCTCTTTCCTGTCACCGTCAAGCACTTCGGGGCGTAATATATTATACAGTTTCGAGCAGCCTCTTTGGCCGGAAACCATGGTGACCAGCTGCCTAGTTGCCCAGGACACGTCGGTGCCCTGGCCCCGCCCCCCTTGGTTGGGATTGCTTGCCCATCGACCACGTATATGAATACACACGTCCTTTTTTGAAACCCACGCTTCCGGAACCCATTAGTTAATTCCCCTTTCCCCATGGCACAAGAAATGGTTGGTTGTAAGATGAGACATGGAGGCGTAAATAATGACCAATTTAAATTTGAAGCTCTGGTTTTATCTGCATGTCGAGCGCCCGGGGGGCAGGGGGGTAATGAATGAAACAGCAGCTAATTTGCGAGTAGGAGGAAGCGATGGCCTATATGTTGAACCAACCACACTGATAGAATTGATTTATTTTCGATGAAAGCTGTGTGTGTGCGGCGCAAGACTTCTGAAGCACGGACCATGAGTAGGACAACGGGGGAGGAGAGTCCACCGCTCAAATATCTGGCCACTGCTTTCTTGGACCTAGCTAGTTTTTCTCTTTTCTAACGATTCGATAGAGTCCAAAAGCCATTGCTGACAGTCGCAAGTCGAAGTGGACTATGGAACACGTATCAATTCATGCTATCCGGTCTTAATCAACTTGTTTAGTCTGACCGTCGATCGATCACCTGCCATGTCCTGTCACCCCATGCGATCACCAGCTCCTGGTGCATATGGCCACCGACCCCAGCCTGCGAGACCTATCTTCCCTCCAGCTGACAGCATCTCTCTCACGGCCCCGAAGCCGACATGAACTTGATTACCCCAAATACCATCGCAAACACAGTACAGTAAGCTGTGCCTCTCTGCTCTCTCTGTTCCTCCACTCATCCAGCCGGCCGAAGTTGTATTGTGCTTTCAGGTAGGGAGGGCAGGAGGAAGGGCCAACAGACTGCACGAAGCAGTAGTTTCTGGGGAAAGGGGGAAAGAAAAGCATCGCAGGATAGCTCAGCTCCAAGAGGAGCGTCGGAGCGTTGGGAAGCGCATCCTTCCTCTGTTCCACATACAACAGGCTGAACAATAACATATGAAAAAAAAGCAAAGCTAAGAAGCTCCACGGGCAACTTGTTTTCGGACAAATTGGAACTTTTTTTGTGTGTATCCGATACAGTTGAACTTCTCTGCGTGAACAGGCCAGGGACTCCAGTGTGTGTGGGTGTGTATCCTGTACTGGCGTAAAGAAACAAAAACGAAATCCGAAGAGGACGTGTGCCGTGTGCCGCGTAGAGACTCGGGATGGTAGACCTGTGGGACATAGCCTCCAAAATTGAGTCAGGGACATCTGAACTGAGCACAGCCAGGGTGGGCGAGTCCTGTGCCACGCAGCAGGAATACGCAGACAATGAAGGTATTTGTCGACGATGTGTTGAAGCAGGTAGGAACCTAAGGTTCAACAGGACCTTGGGTCCCAGGGTGATAGCCACGTTGAAGATTAATTGTCCGCCGCGGCTTGCTCGGCGTCTCCGTCGTTCCCGTCGTCCGGCTGCTCCGCCGTGGTCGTCGACGTGCTGGCCACGGAAGCCTGTGGATTCAACGAGCAGCGTTTTCCCAGATCACGCCACTTGCAATTGGCACAGGCACCGCCGAAATGGTCTGGAAGGTGGCGGCAGGAGGTAAACGGCGCGAGGCGGCCGGCGCGGCACGAGTCACACGGCTGGGTGGGCGCAACCCCGCGGGATTGGATGAGGATCGCGTTGATGTACGACAGGCGTCGCGACAGGATTTGTTCCGGATGGATCCGATTGCGGACGTAGGGCACATCGCTTCCGGGCATGTCCAGGATCGAACGACTTCGCGCACCGGTGACGGCCGGCGCCAATTGTCGGTTGCCCACGACCAGGACGGGAGTCTGTGGTGCGCCGGTCGCAGAGGAAGACGAAGTCCCAGCAGTGCGGCCGAGTCGGCGACCCCGAGCGGGTGTGACCTGCAAATCTGTTGCTGGCGTGGTAGTAGTACCCTGTGCAGCTGCGCCTGGAGTGGTGAGTTGATTATTAGCCGGCTGGGGAGTTTGCGATTCAGCAGCTGCAACTGGGGCATTGACTTGAGTGTTAGCCGGTTGGGCATTTTGTGATTCAACAACTGAATCTGGTGAATTGGCTTGAGAGCTAGCTCGGTGGGCATTTTGAGATTCAATGTCTGAGTCTGAAGCGTAGTCTGGGCTGTTAGCTCTCAGGGCATCTTGCATGTCAGCATCTGAGCCTGAAGTGATGCCTGGACTATCAGCTCCCAAGGTATCTTGCATCTCAGCATCTGCGTCTGAAGTGTTGTCGAGACTGCGAGCCTGCGTGGCATGTTGAGATCCAGTATCGGCTACTTGAGTCGGTCCCCAGGAATGGTTGTCTCTCCAGTGCTGCATATTTGGCCACTCACCAGTTCTCATCCGCTCCGCCAGCCACTGAGCCGTCTCGGGGGGGCTTGGAGACGGTGTGATGTGAGGGCTGTTTGGCGGCACCTCAAAAGGGTCTCTCCGAGGACGGGCCCATTCATCCCGTCGGTAGAGACGGGTTTTGAACATAGCGAGTCGGATTTCGACCTTTTCCCATTCATAGAGAGGGGTCCGAGATCGTTCTCGTGGACTTGAAGGCCGGGAGTCTGCAGGCTGCTGATGATCTGGAGGCTCGGTGTCGGCGAGGTGTGGAAACACAGCGTTGATCCACTTGTCGTCAGCATCTGCATTTGTACCTTCTGCATTTGTCTGCTGTGCCGCTTTCCCCTTGCCTCGGGCAACGGGAGTCGTATTGGTATTATCGTTCCTAGGGACCCTTGCTTTAGTATCGTCGGCAACTGTCAGGGGCCTATATATGAAAGCAACTCACTGAGACATTGTAAGAATCTGATCCTTTGTTAGCAGGAGACGGCAATCACATCAGACAGGGACTCACCAAGATAGGTACTCTGAGCGCGTACGGTTGTTGATGGTGATGATGACAGTGATGGTAGTATTGCTTGCGTTGTTGTGGAGATGGAAGTGGTAATGGTGATGGTAACGGATGAAAAGGATAGTTTTGGGTGTCAACAGTTGAAAGACGGATGAATATCACCTACGCGACGTCGCTGCCTGAGTGTTCATTAAATAACTCACTCACTGCCATACAATGAATTTCAGACGCGTTGTTTGTTTCTGCACCTGTTCCATCCACACGGCGTTTCAGCAGCCTACGTACCTGTGGTTTCTGACTGAACACACCACGCGAATGAAGTCAGTTCCAGAATAGGTAAGTAACTTCCACTGAAGTATGGTAACCTCCACGAAGGAAGGCTGTGTGTGTGTATATATGTATGGATTCAACTCAGATGGGAAATTGTGCGTCGACCGTGAACCGCCAGCACAGAAGAAGGACAAAGAAGTAAGGACCTGTTGCCCTATGAGGTTCCTTTGTGCTGTCCGTCGTGGCCCTCCGTCGCTGGAACTCACTCAATACGAGATGCATAGTGACGACTGGAGTTCCTTGCTCCGAAGGCAGGTTGCCAATGGTGCTGACGGCGCCAACACTCCTGGAAAAGTGGCTGGTCTGTCTGCGTTTTCCCTTGGGAATGGCTCTTTCTCCTCTTTCTGTGAGCCTCAGGGCCTTCTCTCACTGCGTGTGACACTGACTCAGAGTCCGGCCAGAGATTCGTTCTCAATCTTTGCTGATGCACCACCGAGCAAGGCTTCTGGGCAGTCCTCGTCTTGTGTCACGCGTGCCTGCACGTGACTGGCGCGCCTACACGTGACGGGCTAAGATGGGGAAGGTCTGCCGAGGGCTACTTCTACCTCGCCATCCCACTTCCTTCCTTTGACAGACTCCGTCAGAGACAGCCCACCACAACAGTTAGCTAGATAGCTAGAGAACCGTGCTATTGCAGCCGTTCATCTCCACCAGTGTGGTGGATTCCTTACTTCCTTCTTTTCTTCCATGTGATATGGTAGCAACGCTCTTAAACGTACTGCACGTTTGATCGAAGCCTCCGTCTGAACCTGGTCCCCTTCCGCAGTTACCCCTCTCTTATCAAACCCTCATCTCCCTGACTTCTCGGCCGGCCGCGAAGGCACTCCTCCTCAGAGCCCTCGCTAGCTCACGACCCTTAACGACCGTAGACTTCCAATCTGTGACCTGTCGGACCTACTCGCCCAAAGGCTAGTTTTCCAGGATACGAGCGCCGGACTTTGAGTCGGCAGTTACAAACGGATTAATACTTTGATACTAGTTACAAAAAAATCACACCCAACGGGCTGACTCTCACCTCTCTGAATGCCACGGAAATCAGAAGAAGAACGCCTCCGAGAATACACTAAGCAGTTTTATGAAGTATACGGACGCGGTAAGAGACGGAACGCCAGGTCAACGCAAAATCAAACTACACTCTCACTCAGACCTAGAACGGTATCTATTATAGAGTTATAATCTCTCTTACCTATCACGGAGGTCTCGTCGTTAAGCCAGGTCACGAGCAAATAGATACCAATCGTTCCTTCTATTCCGTCTATCCCTAGATCCTACGTACAAACTCCGGCGTCGTACCTGTCCCTCCCGGACGCACTCGAACGCGACTACCTCCAGAGGATAGGAGTTCAAGCCGCGGATCCCGCGGTGCAGTAGCGAATTGAACAACTCACGAAAACTCCCGCCTTTCAACAATTCCGCGATAGAGACACAGCGTCCTCCCCTCCATCTTATGGATCGCCCCCTCTCTCGCCCGTGATTCCTTTTGCCTAGACTCTAGGCTTTAAGGATATCCCGTAAGACCTATACTCGGAACGTATGTCACAAAATCAAGAGTCGGGGTTCAATATGGAGAATAACGCTACTTAGCCCTCGGGCCCGAGCCAAAACTAAACCTCGGACCTAGTAGCTCACGACCTAACCGAGCATCGACCCGGGTCCCTAAGCCACCTTTAACTAAATCAATCACCCCCACCGAGTCGGCCTTTAGCCTCTACTATCGAGATATATTCTAATAATCAATATAGGCGAGATATAGAGTTTATTATCGTCGTATCTAAGCTCCCAGCCTCGGAGGCCGGAATCTTAGGAACCCTACTCACGGACGTGGTCGTGACTAAGGCTCGCGGAGCTCTCGCGCTCTATGACCAAGAAATGAGAGCTAATCTATAGGAAAAAGCAAAGCTTCGCTGTGTAATAGATGAAGCCGTATTTGAAGAAGGCGCCGTAGACTTCGTAAACCGATTCTTGTAGGGACCGGATCACCGGCCCGGAGCACCTACGGAGAACATAGATAACCCGATCGAGCGAAGAAGACGTCGCTTCGCAGCGTACGTACAGCCTCAATATCGAATAGATATCCCTTCCTTTACCGGTCGAGCCCCTGCTTCGCCAATTCTCTCTCATATGCCGACGCACCAAGCCGGTACACCACCTACCTACACTCAGTAACACTCGGCCCTAGCTTACGGATAGTATCCCCCTTATCGTCTACCGCCGCGAGCCTGGAGCCTCTATCCTCCGACGACGTATGAGAGAGGACCAGTAATGTCCGTAGCGCCTATGTAAGGCCCGATGCAGCCAGTGGGATTTCTTCCACTAGCATCGGCCCCTATGGGAATGCAACCACTAGGACCGCCGGGACCACTATCTCACGCCGCCAGCCACTCAGCACTATCAACTAGACGTCTCAAGCCGTCGGACATCGGCGACTTCGACGGTAATTAGCTCACCTTCTTTATATCTCGCATTGTCGCCTTCGCCGAAAAATATAGATAGGCCGCCGTGTTAGACGTGATGCCACTATGCATGAAGGATAAGGTACGTCTTTGGTACGATATACTAGACCCCGCTACTAAAGGCAATATAAACGCGTCTCTTGACGCTTGGATCATCAATCTACGTACACGATTCGTAGAGGACCCCACTATCGCGCAAGACCGAGTAGATAGATGTAAATTCTGGTTCAGTAAACGGGACTAGTTAAGCTTCCGTTCATACGTCACGAAGAAGCAGGCCTACCTATAGGACGCCGGAATTGTCGATCCCTTCGCCATAGCTAACGCTATCTGGAAGGATATGGATCTATTTTTGCAAAATATAGCCCCGCGCCCTCACCTACAGATATCGCTCGACGAATTCCTCCGGATACTATATAATGCGGAATACTAAGCTTACCGCCTGTGGCAATCCACATAACGCTTTCAGTACCCGACCGGACGTCGAGATAACCGGCAGGATCGAACCTATCCGGAAAAGACCAACCGGGAATTCCGTGAGACCCGTCGTCCTGACTAATCGACCGCCGGGGAAGGCGACCGTCCGTACGGACCTTAAGGCAATCCGCAGGATAGATCTAGATATCAGAATCAAAGCCGGGACCGGGATCGGTACTAGAACCGTAACCGATATCAGAACCGTAATCGATATCAAAATCGTAATCGTTATCAAAACCGTTAGCGGTCACACCTCGTGGAACAATAGGACGAAGACGAATCTCCGGATACGGATGACTCTTCACCGCACCAAGAGTTCTATAGCCTAGACGATTCCCTAAAGTCTCAGTCTAGTCCTGTCCGCACCTCACGAGAGAAAGTCCGCGTTCAGCCCTACTAATCGCTACTACGGAAGGGTATCCTATCGAAAGGTACTAAACGCGAAAGCCCCAAGCGTATCCAATTCTCGGAAGGCGATAAGGAGAACGCGAAACCTTCCTCCCCCGCGGCATCTCCTTCCCCTAACCTAATTGAATTCGACGCGGGGAAATAGGTGGCGGATCGTCGACTAGTGGTGACGACTCCGGTAAGTTAAGTGATAACCTAAACGGCAACTCTACTACCTTACTATCGTTATCTTATCCACTTTTGGCAGAAGGAATTGCGTTTATATTTTACGAATAAACAGTAATCGACGATACCGGAAGTTACCGAGTATATATTAGAGTAAAAAGCCCTTTTAGACTATCCTTCGCGGATATAGATATATAGATCGGAACCCGTATGCCCTTTTATGTAGACACCGGATCGGGTATCTCCCTATTGCGACGGGACCAAATGGAAAACTTTCCACGAGTGAAGATCCGTCGGATACGGAAGGGTAAGTCAGTAAAAATCGAAGGTATCGCTACCGGAAAACTTATCAAAACAAACGAGTATATCAAATTACTAATAGTCCTATAGGTATCGGAGGGGGAAAAGGTATACTATTACGGCGAAGTGTATATCGTGAACGACCTACTAATCCTATATATTCTGAGCACTAGAGTTCTAGCACTAAATGACCTTAACTTCAAATAGTAATTCGCAAAAGGAAAACCCAGCCTATATATAAATAGACACTATATACCTCTTAGATTTAGTATCAATAATATCGATAATGAAACCTACCCCGCTGAAATATCCCCTTATCGAGTCACTCTCCTAGCAAATCGGATAGTTATTATGGAACCGGGTACTGGACTAAACGTACTAATTCGTATCCGCCGACCGAAGTCTTGTGGAGGCGGTCGCGGTTACTACTTGGTCGAGCCCGATCGGGCCCTATTCAAACTAGAACGCGGATAGATAGCCGGGGTACCTAATTGTCTCGTCCGAACAGACGAAGACTATTTAGCTATTTCAAATTTCGGCAAATGCACCGTTAAGATTTTGAAGGGGTAACGACTTACTATAGTATATATATATTACGCGAACCCTACCGAGAGCACTAGCGCACACCTATACCTAGTAATAGACGAGATATTCCGTGGCCTACTAGATAACTCCGAGATGGAAGACAAGCTATTCCCGGAGGACTTACCATTCCAAATCCATCCTATAGATAAAGATATCAGCATTTTAGAGGCTAACGTTTCCGACGCCTAGGGAGCAGAATATTAGGAGAAAGTACGACGTATCTTACGCGCACGAAAGGAGCTCTTTCGAAAAGATATGAGTATATTTAACGACGGTATCGATATATCTATCCTATTCAAACCGGATATCGACCTCGCTAAACTTAAATAGGCACCTTATAATCTCTCCCGTAAGGACCGCGAAGCCTTCGATAAGGTTATAAAGTTACTACGGTAATAAGGACGAGTAAAACAAGTCCCTCTGGGATAACTAAGTGCCGCAGTATCACTAGCTTTCGTCGTCTAGCGAAACGGTAAGCCACGAGTGGTTATTGACCTGAGAAAAATAAATACCGCTCTTTACCCTAACGCGTATCTATTGCTAAAGTAAGACACGATCTTATAGGTACTGAGCGGCTTAGTTATCTTTTCCTTACTCGACTTCGTCAAAAGCTTCTTCTAGTAGCCTATTGCTCCGGAAGACCAATAGAAGATAGTATTCGTCACCCCGCACCGCGGATAAGAAATGCTATACGTCGTAACTATGGGTTTGATAAACTCGCCCGGATTCTTCTAATATCGAATGGAGGACTTACTAGTCTCCTACTTATGGAAGTTCGTACTAGTTTACGTTGACGATATTATTATTTTCAGCCGCTCTCCGTCGGAGCACCTAAAGTATCTGGGGGAGGTGCTTACTCTACTGGAGAAATCGGGAATCACTCTATTCATTACTAAATGCTTCTTTATATTCCTATCTATTCACGCCTTAGGACACTACGTATCTCGACTTGGGATGAGTACGTAGGAAGAGAAGATAAAAGTTATTATAGAGTTATACTTTCCGGAGACGCTTTAATAACTAGAGATCACCGTCGGGCTATTCGGGTATTACCGTCATTTCATCCACTTCTTTACAGTATATATCGAAGCTCTTAGTTACTTGAAGATAAAAGGACTGAAAGGAGGACCCGGAAAGGGTAGAGAACGAGTAAAGTTCACGTTAAAACGATTGATAACTAAGTATACTATCTTAGACGAAATCGAGAAAGGAAAAGTGGCGTTCTAGGTATTAAAGGACCTATTCGCCGCCTACCTAATTTTACCCTATCCGGACTTTTAAAGAGGCTTTATTTTCTATGTCGACGGGAGTAAAGAAATGGGCTACGGTATCGCGGTCCACTAGATCGGTGCGGACGGAATTGAACGGCCTATCTTATTTCTGTCTAGAACCCTGTCGAACGCGGAAAAGAACTACTAGCTAACCGAGCTTGAGACCGGTGCGTTGATATGGGCACTATAGAAGCTACCCTAATATACGGACTATGGAGACCTAACGGTCGTCTACGACTATCAAGCCCTTATCCAGTTATTTAAGGACGAAGGTCCTTTGAAAGGGAGACGATCGGATAGACTAAACCGTTAGCGAATCTTCCTCTCTAAATACCGCGGGCGCATAAAGATTATCTATAAGCCCGGAAAGCTATACCGAAACGCTGATACGCTCTCTCGTCTGCCTTCCGGCTTACCTGACGAGGCGGACGCTATAACACTTACGACCTTCTTGAGTAACTAAACTCATACGGAATTTAAATCGGATTATCGAGCAAATCCCGTGGGCAGAAGGATATTCCGGCAAACCTTGATCGGTATACCCGAGGTATCAGCGGAAATCGACGGAGAAAGGGTCGCACGCCAGGCTGACCTCTTCCGGACGGACCCGGCGCTGCTATAGTAAATTCGCCTCGCGCTATTATAGGATCGCCGGCTGAAAACCGTCTATATGACGATTCGTAAGCGGATAAAGGAATCGCTAAATGACCCTGACGGCGTTGACAATACCCTAGATGGCTTCCGAATAGATCAGGACTCACTACTCATATATAAGCTGGAAAAGGACGGTCGAATGAGATTATACGTCCCCTTAAAGCTAGTCCGCCAGTTCCTAGAATATGCACACGATACGTAAGTATATGTAGGAGTCAACCGGGTCACGGAACGACTACGAAGACATTTCTATATCGTTAACTTACAACCTCTCGCACAAGTCTATATCAATAGTTATCCGGTTTGCGTAGTAGTAAAGCTATCGTATCACAAACCATTCGAAGACTTATAGCTAGTGGAGACCCTAAGCTAACTATACGAAGTGTAGACTATGGACTTCGTCGTTAGCCTGCTCACTACTGTCAATGGGTACGACGCTATCTTAACGGTAATAGACAAATTCTCCAAATGGATTATATTGATCTCCGGGAAGACGACCTAGGACGCCTTCGAATAGGCTATCGTTTACTATAACGAATATTTCTCCAAGTTCGGACTGCCTGGAACCATTATCAGCGACCGGGATCCAAAATTTACCTCACAGTTTTGGACGGCTATTTTCAAACGGACTAGGGTTAAACTGGCTCTTATAACGGCTTACTACCCAGCGGCTAACGATTAGAGCGAGCGGATAAATCAAACGGTGGAAACGGCCTTGAGATGTCTCATAGCGGATCATACGAATAATAAAGGAGTGATAGAATGGGATGAACTACTTCCTAACGTGTCATATGCCCTAAATACAGCGGTAAATGCCTCCACTAAGGCTACTCTATTCGAATTGTTATATAGCTTTCTATCTCGTGACGGTATTGATCCCATCTTATCTCAGAATACGGAAGTAGATACCTTCCTTGACGATCGACGATAGATTCGGAGGGAAGCGTCGGATATAATAGATCTTACAAAGGCTAGAATGGCCCGATACTTTAACGAAAAATATATACCTATACGAGTCGGCGACTAGATGATATTGAAGCTCGCGATAGGAGTGAAAATCGGATATCGCCTACTAAATATATTAGCGTTGGACGTCCGTAAGATCGGTCCTTTTAAGGTTAAGAATAAAATTAGTAAAGTCGCGTTCGAACTCGAGCTACTACCTCATATTAAAATTCACCCGGTTATCTCTTATATCTATCTAGAACCTATAACTCCGGATACTCTTAACCGCAAATAAGCTCCCTCTCCACCGGTTATCGTTAAAGGGGAAGAGCGATACGTAATCGATCGAATCTTGAAAAAGGAATAACGAAAAATCCCAGGAACGTTAGCGAAAGCTATATTCTATCGCGTCCGCTAGAAGGGCCTCGGCCTAGAGGAGAACGCATAGATTGAGAAGGACGAACTCCGGTCGTAGATCCCGGAACTCGTCGACGCGTTCGATAACGCGACGAAACGAAAACTACGCTAGTCCTGAAGGGTGAAAGGATCTAAGCTGTTATATTTACCTATCACTTTCTTTCATTATATCCAATAGGTAACCTTAGCGGGCCCTGTTATAGTAGACTATAGAGCCTAGTATTATTCAATATTAATAACGGATAGTAAGGGTAATATCGAAAGACTTTTATTAATAATATTAGAATAAGAGTGCGGTAGAGGAAGAGAAAAGTAAAGATAGCGCTAAGAATTTTTATCTCGTGAGGAGATACCTTACCTATTCTTCACCTTCACCTATTCTTTATATTTAATCATCCTCCGCAAAAATTCTCGCTCCTCACTTTTCATAAAACCTTCCTCCTTCTTAGATAAGTCTATAACACCCTGATCTATTATCCCGAGATAGCGGAGAATCACACTAAATCTCGAATCGAAGCCTAGTAACTGGACGCTCTAACGTAAGTGGAGGTCTGGGAATCCGGCGGACAACCTCAGAACGAACT